TTTAGTGTAAAAAAGTCTAAAAATGCAAAGACTATAGTCTTTTGCGTAAAAAAGTGTAAAAAATGCAAAGACTATAGTCTTTAGTGTAAAAAGTGTAAAAATGCAAAGACTATAGTCTTTTGTGTAAAGAAGTGTAAAAATGCAAAGACTATAGTCTTTTGCATAAGCTTGTGTAAAAATGCAAAGACTATAGTCTTTTGTGTAAAAAAGTGTTAAAATTCAAAGACTATCGTCTTTTGCGTAAAAAAGTGTAAAAATGCAAAGACTATAGTCTTTTGCATAAACTTGTGTAAAAATTCAAAGGCTATAGTCTTTTGCGTAAAAAAGTGTAAAAATGCAAAGACTATAGTCTTTTGCATGAAAAATTCGTGAATTATAGTCTTTTGGTGAAAATACGTGATTTATAGTCTTTTGCATGAAAATTCGTGAACTATAGTCTTTTGCATGAAAATTCGTGAATTATAGTCTTTTGCAAGAAGATTCGTGAATTATAGTGTTTTGCACGAAGATTCGTGAATTATTGTCTTTTGCATGAAAATTTGTGAACTATAGTCTTTTGCATGAAAATTCGTAAATTATAGTCTTTTGGTGAAAATACGTGAATTATAGTCTTTTGCATGAAAATTCGTGAATTTTAGTCTTTTGGTGAAAATACGTGAATTATAGTCTTTTGCATGAAAATTCGTGAACTATAGTCTTTTGCATGAAAATTCGTGAATTATAGTCTTTTGCAAGAAGATTCGTGAAGTATAGTCTTTTGCATGAAGATTCGTGAATTATAGTCTTTTGCATGAAAATTTGTGAACTATAGTCTTTTGCATGAAAATTCGTAAATTATAGTGTTTTGGTGAAAATTCGTGAACTATAGTGTTTTGGTGAAAATACGTGAATTATAGTCTTTTGCATGAAAATTCGTGAATGATAGTCTTTTGGTGAAAATACGTGAATTATAGTCTTTTGCATGAAAATTCGTCAACTATAGTCTTTTGCATGAAAATTCGTGAATTATAGTCTTTTGCATGAAATTTCGTAAATTATAGTCTTTTGCATGAAATATCGTGAATTATAGTCTTTTGCATGAATATTCGTGAACTATAGTCTTTTGCATGAAAATTCGTGAATTATAGTCTTTTGCATAAAAATTCGTGAATTATAGTCTTTTGCACGAAATTGCGTGAATTATAGTCTTTTGCACGAAATTTCGTGAATTATAGTCTTTTGCATGAAATATCGTGAATTATAGTCTTTTGCATGAATATTCGTGAACTATAGTTTTTTGCATGATATTTCGTGAATTATAATCTTTTCGTCTATAAAATAGTTCACGAATTTTCATGCAAAAGACTATAATTCACGTATTTTCACCAAAAGACTATAATTTACGAATTTTCATGCAAAAGACTATAATTCCCGCATTTTCATGCAAAAGACTATAATTCCCGCATTTTCATGCAAAAGACTATAATTCACGAATTTCCATGCAAAAGACTATAGTTCACGAATTTTCATGCAATAGACTATAGTTCACGAAATTTCATGCAAAAGACTATAATTCACGAGTTTTTATGCAAAAGACTATAATCCACGAATTTTCATGCAAAAGACTATAATTCACGAATTTTCATGCAAAAGACTATAATTCACGAATTTCCATGCAAAAGACTATAGTTCACGTATTTTAACCAAAAGACTATAATTTACGAATTTTCATGCAAAAGACTATAGTTCACGAATTTTCATGCAAAAGACTATAATTCACGTATTTTCACCAAAAGACTGTAATTCACGAATTTTCATGCAAGACTATAATTCACGAATTTTCATGCAAAAGACTATAGTTCACGAATTTTCACGCAAAAGACTATAGTTCACACATTTTCATGCAAAAGACTATAGTTCACACATTTTCACAAATTTTCGCTTTTTTTTCATACAAAGACTATAATTCACGAATTTTCATGCAAAAGACTATAATTCACGCATTTCATGCAAAAGAATATAGTTTACGCTTTTTCACCAAAAGACTATAGTTCACACATTTTCACGCATTTACACCAAAAGACTATAGTTCACGTATTTTCATGCAAAAGACTATAGTTCACACATTTTTATCCAAAGGCTATAGTTCACGCATTTTCACTTTTTTTTATACAAAGACTATAGTTCACACATTTTTTTGCAAAAGACTATAGTTCACGTATTTCACAGCAATTACCGGCACCTTACAAACGACTTATTCACAATACAAAAAAACGATCAACTAAAAACATTACACTTCACACTAATTGACAATGACAATACACAATTGACACCCACACGTTACAACTAAAAACATCACACCTAAATCACACATCACAAATAAAAATATTTCACTTCACACTAATTCACAATGACAATACACATTTCCTGTACACACAATACAATGACGTAAGAACCAGATAACAAATACGGCTAACCTGACGTTTACTCCTCATTTGACTCTGAAGATGACTACCGCTAAGGTTGTCGAAACGTCAGGAAACAAAAACAAAAACAGTCCTTCTCAGGACTATACCAACCTGGACGATCTACATTTACAAACATGGAACTATACTCCCTTGTTCAAACCATTTACTTAATTATAGTCTTTGTGTGAAAAAAAAGTGAAAATTTATGCATACCACTATGTATATCGTTGTGTCTACTTTTATGTCCCTCTTTAAGTGTACCTTTATGTTTACCTTTTGTCTACCTACATGTCCACCTTTGTCTACCTTTATGTCTACCTTTAAGTGTAGCTTTATGTCTACCTTATGTCTACCTATATGACCACCTTATGCCTACCTTTATGTCTACCTTGATGTCTATCTTTATGTCTACCTATATGTCCACCTTTTTGTCTATCTTTGTGTCTTCCTTTGTGTCTACCTTTGTGTATATCTTCATGTCTACCTTTATGTCTACCTTTAAGTCTGCCTTTGTCTGCCTTTATGTCTACCTTTGTCTACCTACATGTCCACCTTTATGTCTACCTACATCAAATCTCCTGTTAAGTGACATAAATAATACAAACAAAACATACATTTTATCCATTGATTTTTCCAAGACAAATCTGCACCTAATCCTCCTTTGATCATCTCAGAATTAATATATAGTTTCAGGTTTGTAAAAGTAGCAATCATTGCTCAACCTAAATTTCAATTTACAATTAGGAAAGAAGCTAAGAATGATGACTTTTTGCAAATTTGACTTCTACAAAAGAATGAGTTTTTGAAATGATAACTTCTATGTTCTTTTTTTATTCTACAATATACCAAAAACCAGGAAATGGCATAAAGTTAAAAACTACAAAAAATCAACTTAGATATGAAAAGCATAATAATCACATCTACATAATTACATGATTTTTTTCTAAAATTTCTTAAAGCAAGCCCTGAAAATATCATTTTCTCAATTATTCATTTGCCCATAATGCCACATTTGATTCTTTATAAAAAATACAGACATAAAACTTCATGAAAATTTATCCAAAGTAATACCAAGAGTCCTACTGGGTTCCTTTGGATGAACATTCTCCCAGTCAGGAAAAACAAGATAGGAATTGCAAAGTTTATAATTGAGTCTTGGAATTAACATTTGAGATAAAAAATTGTTTCCTTTGGCTGAGAAATGCAAGCCATCTGAAAGCATGTCATTCCAATCCTGGGAAAAAGATAATTCAGTAAATAATATATAAATTTACAATAAATTTTATTTGACATTACCTTTGCAATAGCAAAGTCATGACCCCATAAATCAATAACTTCAATACAAAGGTTCTTTCCAACTGTGGAACAGGCTACTGCATATTGCCTTATGTTCTCATTTCTGTATCCAGCAGGAATACCTAGGAAATATTGAGGTTTGAAACCAACTATCTCAATTTGATCAGGAACAATTATTACGAGTTGATTAGCAACTTTAGCTAAGTTATAACATCAAGTAGTTTTGTGTCCTGTTTCATTAGCATAGTTTATTTAATAGTCAATTCACATCACTAAAATCATACCCTTTGCCTTGCAGTATTCAGACCATGCGTCTTCATTCATTGGTGGTGGTGTGATCAATAATTGACGTTCATATGAAACACCTGCTTTCCTAAACTGCTCACAGATATCTGTCAAATTTTCTTTGTACTCTGATATAGGCACATGTCTGGAATTTGGAATGGAGGGCATTTCACAATCATTTGTACCAAGGAGAATGGTGACGGCTTTAATACTCCCAAGGGGGTGGTTGTCATTTTGAAGAAGTTTCGAAAGTATAAGTCTAGCTGACCGTGTGGTATAGCCACTAAAGCCACGATTAATAACATCAAATTTCCTGTTAAGTGACATAAAATACATAAATATGAGATAAAAGAAAGACAGATGTTACAAGATCATAAGTATTAACAATGCTTGCAATGTAAAACTAGCTGAAGCACGACTAAAAAAACTTTTTTAATTGGTTAAAACTTAGAATGAAAATTTTGTGTTGCTTAAGTCATGTACTGTTGTAGTGTTGTACAAACACATTTTGGTGGATTGTAGTTCACAAAAAAAATAATTAACATATGTATTATTCAATTGATAAAATGTCAATTACATAAGCTAGATAAGGTAAATTTGTTACTGCATTGCTTTAGGTCAACCTTTGAAAGTGGTTGCTAATTGCCGTACCAAACCCATCAGATGAAAATGAAAACTAAAAAAAAACAGTCAAACAGATAGTCATGAAACTATGATTATTACTTTGGAAGATAAATGGAATAACTTAATATGAAGTAACATATTAAGTAACATCGATTTCTTTCAAACCTGAGTAAAAGAATCGCCAAATAAAACAATTTTGGGGAAATAATCGATAAATTTGTTCGCCATTTTGGCTGCCAGAATGCTGACTACAACATAGTGCTGGCGCAGGTAGAACTTAACATACGAAATAAAATCCTTTGAAAAACTTCATGAATATCCATTGATGAAACTTTATAAAACTATGTTTTTATAATTTCTACCCATAATTAAGTACAGGTTCTTCGGCTCATTTTGCAATGGTTCGACTAACACACAGCAACATAGATGAACAGGACCAAAAATGACAGGGTCCGATGTCTGTTCGCAGGTAAATCATATATTGCATTGTTTATGTCATTGTTTTTAATATATTAGTCCTAACACGGATTTTAATATGCAAGTGAATATGTTCACATGTTTTTCATGTGCATATTAAAAACCGTGTTAGGATTAATACGGTTTAGTAACCATATGATTAAAGCTTTCTATTGCAGGTATTCTAATCAATAATTACCTGTAAGAAACACGCATTTGCAAGAACAGCAAAAGGTGATATTTATTAGGCAGCAACCTTACTTAATAGAGCTAATAGTTGTAAAAATTACACTAACAAGGCCATCGGCAAACTGCTGATGTTCATTTATAAACATTTATAACCATATTACCACATAAATGAACATCATAAACACCATATTACATCATAAATGAACATCGGCAGTTTGCCGATGGCCTTGTTAGTGTAATTTTTACAACTATTAGCTCTATTAAGTAAGGTTGCTGCCTAATAAATATCACCTTTTGCTGTTCTTGCAAATGCGTGTTTCTTACAGTTAATTATTGATTAGAATACCTGCAATAGAAAGCTTTATTTAGTATTATTCAGAGTTTAATGGTTACTATATCTATGGGATTAATATATTATATATTCTCTGATGATGGCTTTGGAATATGTTATTGTATGGTAATTGTAATTAAATATGCCGACTTGTAAATATAATATAATGAATAATATATTTTGCACAGTTGGTGAAAGACCTGTGCATTGTCTGTTTATTTTTTTCATCGATTTTTAATAAATTTTTAAATGAAGCAGTTTTTGGAAGATCTATCGCAGTTCACCGGTTTCCCAGTGGATCAGGTAACGCGTAACGGCTGGTAATACTCCAAAAAATGTATCCAAACTACGTTCTAATGTTCGACAAAACACAATAACTAGACGCTTTCAAGTGATATGTGACATAATACTGACATAATTATTATGTCAAAGTCCTAATCTATAAATGTTTATAAATGAACATCAGCAGTTTGCCGATGGCCTTGTTAGTGTAATTTTTACAACTATTAGCTCTATTAAGTAAGGTTGCTGCCTAATAAATATCACCTTTTGCTGTTCTTGCAAATGCATGTTTCTTACAGTTAATTATTGATTAGAATACCTGCAATAGAAAGCTTTATTTAGTATTATTCAGAGTGTAATGGTTTGGTTTATGACCAGAAACTCTTTTTCACTGCATAACAATAAAAACTTATCGAGACTTGAATGTCACGACAAATGTGAAGTATAAACTGTGTTGAGAGCAAGTTGGCAGTATTTGCACAAGTTATATGTTCGACAATATCAATCTGACAATTGTTTTCACACATAAAATACCATGGAAGGTGACTGTGTCTTATTTAATGACTAGGTACGCTATGTCACTGGGATGTTCATAACACTATTTCTGGCTGTCCTATACAACCTTTTCTTACCACCGAGCAACACCACTCGTTCTACAAGATTGACTGTAGGCCTTATATGGGGCATTATGATTGGATGGTTGGTCTATGAAAGGTTAACAATATGAAGACAATTAAATTGTTAAAGTTCATAACTTTTACAAATAACAATTAAACTAACTTTCTTAAATGATTAGCTAAAGTAAAGTTTTATTAAATTACATTACATATGATAAAATTAATTAGTATGTCTATGGCAACCAAACATAGTTTAACTCTACTTTCTTCTTATTTGTAGTGCAATTCTACAACTGATTATTTTACCAATGCTATGTTATTTCCTCATCTATTTGGTTCCATCAGATATAATACACAGGTAAAGTAGAGATACGTAGCAAATATATGATATTTTATAATGAATACATCAATCAACATATGTTTATTTTATATTACCTGAAGGTACACATTTATTCTCACTATGACTTGGCTTTCTGTGAATCACATTTATCACCAAATTACTGATTATGGTGGCTATAGACAAAATGTTACAGGGTAAACCAAGTTTCCTCAACTAACCAAAAAGAAAAATTTCTTTTAAGTAACTTGTTGATATTATAGACCACTCATGGTTATAACTCAAAGACTAACATATGTGGCATACAGCCTACATGATGGTAAGTTACTTATGTATCTTGTTTAAAATAATTATTTTTGATGCATCTGTAACATTGGCTACTTAATTTTACAGGTCTTTGTAGAAATGCAAATGAACTTACAATTGAACAAAGGCAACACTGTATAAAGTAAAAAAGTTTGTGCTATCCAATTTCAACTGCTTCAATAATTTATTTTGACATCAAAGCAATTGTTCATTGCAGGGAAAAACCGACAATGTTGGAATTTTTCAGTTATAACTTACACTTCACAATGTTTTTGGTTGGCCCATCATGTACATATTATGAATTTATTCAATTTATTGATGGTAATAACATGAAGGTGCTCGCTTTTTTGTCAGATGTTGCATTCAAAATATGTTTAATTCAATAAAGGCACTTCTATCTTTTCATGTAGGGATACAAAGGATTATATAAAATACCTGTGGTATGTAAACTTGGAACTGTACACAGCTTGCCAAGTATTGCAAGTAAAACTCTTCTTATTTTTGTACTTGTAGATAACAGTTGCAATGAAAATCTTCAAGGCCATTACATATTTAGGACTATATGTTTTGGGAGGATCTCTTCTCTCAGTTTACACTTGCATAGGTTTGTTGAGATATCTGCCATTGTATTTTTTTCAATCGACTATATAAAAACAAATTAGGAGTTAAAAAATTTTATCATTCAAACTCACCACAGATTCTACATATCGTTCAAAAACACCATTATTAACAAAGATTGTTCATGGATACCTTGTAATTGGTGCAGTAAAGATGCGTTATTATTTTGCATGGACATTTGGTTTGTACCGTACTATATGTATTAACATATTGTAGCGTTTATCAAATTAAATGATTTACAAAATCGAAAGCATGGTTGTTATTTAGCTGGACAAAGTACAAGGGTCATAAATATAATCTCACTAATTAGTTGATAAAAAGACAAACTACCAAGTTTATTATCAGGAGATGGAGTTATCAATGCTGCAGGCATGGGCTTTAATGGATATGACAAAAACGGTGAACAGCGTTGGGATGCATTTACAAATATTAAAGTCAAAAACATTGAGGTAATTACAAGGATATCTTACTATAACACATGCATGCCTTTTTTACTACAATTTTTTTTGATTACTTTTTCATTTTTAAAAAGTTTGAATAATATCAATGAATGTATTGGATGCTTTTAGCTGGCTACTAATGCACGAACCATCCTTGAAAACTGGAATATTTGCACTGAAAAATGGTTAAAACGGTGAATGGTCAATTCTTTCAATATGTTTTTCATCAAACATCACCAGCATTGTCATATTCCTTTTTTCTTTGCAGGATAATTTATTTTAGAGCAAAAAATAAAGTACAAGGTGTGATGACAACAGCTTTTACATCTGCCCTTTTTCATGGATTTTATCCTGGCTATTACCTATGTTTCATATCGACTGGTCTTATAACTATATCATCAAGAACGGTACGGAATATATATTTTTTAACCACATGTCCACGTCATTAATGTCATGTGACCATTATAAGAAACTTAATAAATGGTGCTAAAAACGCAACAGTGGACATGAACCGAAGTCTCTTTACCTGTGTCTCAACATCGTCTAAATTTTCACAATTTCGTTTAACAATATAGAAACGCTTATGAAACTATGCAGTATAAACGTAGCCTTAGTTTACGAGTTCGTACGTACGTATAAAAGAGTCTCCACAAACCTTTTAACTAAATCCAGATCATTGGAGTATTATCATTACATATATCTTCTCTATCTTAGGCACGGCATTCGTTCTGGGCTTTCTTTCAAGAGAGCAAGAGAAAGAAAATATTCTACGATATTTTAACGTGGTGTATCACAAATACATTAGTCAGTTACTGTGTTCTACCTTTCATGTTGCTGCGACTGGAGTATGGCATTATCTTTTGGAGGTAGGAGCTTCGTCATTTGTAATTATATCTTGTAAGAGAAGACATAAAGTTAGAATCGCTTGAGGTTGAAGGGGTTCATTGGTGAAACATATTGTTACATAAACACAATAAATATGATCAAAGTTACCGTGTAATCGTTTTATGAGTGCACATTAAAGACCCGAGATTTAGCGTTAGACGGTCAATGCATCATCGATATCTGCACTATGAATGACGTTTTGTATTTCGTGACTTTGTCTATACATTAGATCAATGTACTTCTTCGGTCATTTTGTCTCAATCCTTGGCTTTGCCTCCCCTTGGATAAGCAAGATGTTGGGTATGTGGAAAGACAAAAAGCTAGAAGAAAGACAGAAAGAAACGAAAACGGAAGCAATAAATGGTCGTAGGATCATCAGAAACATTGACGATGACGAGAAAGAAAAATGACTCAATCAAAGTATTTTATATTTATCTCAAAGATTGTGCCAGTTCTTTCCATTACAGCATTTCATCCTCAAGCTTGTGTAAACTGCAGCTAACAAAACACTTTTCAATTAACAAAAAACACCATTTCACAATTTTATAGCCACCAGTTGAAATCTTGAAAAGCTTTGTTCACTTACAACTACCTGTAACATAAAGAATAATATTGTTATATGTAAAAATATATGAATACAATTTATACTTAAAAAAATTAATGAATATTAAAACTAAAAATCCTTTGCACAGGAAAGATGGTAAATTCTTTTAAATCTTGTAAATTATCGTACCAATATGGCTTATACTCAAATGGATTTGAGCAAAAACACGAAGTTCACTTTTCTACTTATTATTTATGGAGCATATCTGCTTTGTGGGGCGGTTATATTTCAAACATTTGAAACACCGAACGACGTTCAGCATTTAAAAGATATTAGAAAACTTCGCAAGATGTTAATGATCACTCACAATCTAACTTACGAAGAATTTGATTCCATGGTTTGGAAATTGTTCAAAGTGTTAAAGAGAAGTTGTCGTAACGTCGACGAATGTAGCGAGCGTTGGGACTTTTATTCATCTCTATATTTTGCTGTAAGCGTCGTTACAACGATAGGTTAGATATACGTTATACATATATTATACATATGTTTTATAGTTGCTTCTACATACCTTAGAATAGTGAACATTCCGTTTTGACATTGAACGATATGCAGGGAACGAAAGTCAGGCTAAAATCATATAATGTAAAGTCAGAAATAGAGAAGATTTTATGTGAATCAAATCGATATAACATAAAAAATTAAGTTGATCTAAATATGCGAAGTCTATGAAGAGCAAAACGTGCTCACTTCAATTAGTATCAGACTTATAATTCACGGCTGTTAGGTACTTTATTTAACAGCTGGGTATCACATTAAATGGTGCTTTATTTCAATAAAACATCCTCCGGCTGTACAAAATTCACATGTTTGTAGGTCAAGCAAGTGACACAAATTTCAACAAATTTGTCTAGCCACAAAGTATTTACAATATTTTATGTCACTTCTTTGAGGTATAAGAAAATTTTTTTCCTTTTTTTTCTAGGTTACGGACATTTATCGCCTGAGACAAGTTCTGGCAAAATATTCTGTATCATTTTTGGTTTAATAGGCATTCCTATAAACGTCATGATATTGAAACAAGTCGGTGACGGACTGGTCTCTTTCATACAATACGCAATACGCAGTTTCGAGTCGCGATTTTTTGACACTGTAAGCAAAAATATGCGCAGTAAAACCGTCATCGTTATATTGTATCTCATAATGGTGATATTAATGATTGGAGGATGTTTGTACACTTTGACTGAACCCTGGGGATTTCTAGATAGTTTGTACTTTTGTTTTGTAACTTTCACTACTATTGGTTTTGGAGATCTGGTACCGAATGAAGGTAGGTGATGATGATTTCTTCACGTACGTACATCACAACAAATATATATCTAGTTTGTACAGCAGATGGTTGAAATAATCTTAAAATATCTTTGAAAAACATTGCTGTTTGAAAATAGTGTTCAAATCATGCCTACATGCTCTAGAACAATCTTGGATACGGTGTTTAGGCCTGGTCATTAAAATGAATAACTTGTTGAATCATGATTTGAAAGCTAGCGCATTCAACTCAAGTACAGAGATTAATAGTATAGTCATCCACAATGACAATACACATTTCCTGTACACACAATACAATGACGTAAGAACCAGATAACAAATACGGCTAACCTGATGTTTACTCCTCACTTGATTCTGAAGATGACTACCGCTAAGGTTGTCGAAACGTCAGTCAACAACATCAAAAACAGTCCTTCTCAGGACTTTATTAACCTGGACGATCATCATTTACAAACATATAGAGATTAATAGTTGTTGTTAATAACACCTAACCTTTATCCTTTGCTCTCTCCATTCCTAGGAAAGGCACCAATCGGTCGTTACCAGGCCATGATAGAGGTTGCGCGAGCAATCATCCTAGTTCTCGGTCTTTCAGTCTTTTTTGCTTTCGTTCATCTGGTGTTAGCAATCAGTGAGGATTTGAAGTCCATATCTCAAAAAGACGTTGCCCAGAACAACATGAATAACGCAAAAGATAAAATGTTAGAAAATTGTGATGCACCAACGACTCAAAGAAAAAAAGAAAACGAATAGAAATAGTTGATTCCCGCAAATTATTCTGACTATAAAAGGTAAACAGAATAACAAAAATAATTGGAGTTGACCAAAGTTGGGACAAGAAATTTGTAATTAAATCTACCACGAAATACAATACTTTTTATACATTAAAGTAAAAATTGTTTAAATAGTGTTCTTTGTCTAATATTACGAATGCATTTGACCAAACTTTTTCGAGTTCATTAAGTGTTCCACTGATCATCTGCTCTTCGTTTTTCTCATATTTCACTCCTGCATATTCCTGATAGCAAAAAACAGAAAAATTTTAGTGATGATAATCAATTTAATCAAGTGCTTGGTAGAAAGATAGATATCTTAATGATCAACGGTCTAATCACACGAAAACGAACCCTTTCTCTGATAAAGAATAATTAAAAAAAAAACCTTTCAATGGAATCTGTAGTCGTTCCAAGCTTCATTGACAGCCATGTATACTCCACAAACATCGATTGCTACAAAATATCAACAAAATAATGAAAACGTGAGTCACAATTTTTCCTTCAAATATGAACTTGCCTTTTCCTAGTGCAACTAATTTGGTAATCATAATTTCATTTTAAAACCTAACTTTATTTTCCTCATAGAAAAAATCAACCAATACGAAAAAGAATTCAACAAAAATAATTCAAATACCTGCAATAATCGGTTCATTCTTTCTAAATGTCTTTCTATATAAAATGATTTTCTTTTTTCAACTCAAAAACAAAAAGACCCTGTCACGGGACAAAACATGAAAGTCTGTCCATGTACATTTTATTTCTTATTTAAATTCTCACCTGTATAAGGAAGCAGTGCTTCAATTCTTTCTTTCATGTCAGGTCGATCCATCATCCAAGTCGGTGAATGTTGCTTGAGAATTGTTGATAAAACTAGAATGTAAAAAACATTTTATAAACAAGTAAAGAGATGTAACTTTGTGTAAACACCAAGACCTCAACTTGCCTAGTTGTGATACACGACTATGTTTAGCGTTCGTATTCCAGTCACAGAGAAACTTTATCAAGACATCTATAAGATCAGTAAGGAATACATATATTATAAGTTATGACCATTATACTTTGAAAATGACAACATATGAATTTGAGTATGATAACAACTGTAAAACATGGATTTTAATTGACGAAAAACAAGTTGCTTTGTACCAAAAGAAGTGGGGTCTCGAAAATGGCGGGATAAGTTGTTCTGATACGCAAATGCCGAACAAGTCAGTTCAGCAAATGAACATCCTGCGCAAGCAAAGGGATCACGCTATCCTACAGGAATCAGGCTATCTTACAGGAATCAGGCTATCTTACAGGAATCACGCTATCCTACAGGTATCACGCTATCCTACATGAATCAAGCTATCCTACAGGAATCATGCTATCCTACAGGATACATCCTACACAATCAAGGATCACTATATCACGTAACTAGCAATGACGCTAAGGATCACAATTTAAAATACCTTAATTACCTATTTGATCGTCCCGTAAGCTTTGTAAAGTTTTCGTAAGCTCTTCATTACCTTCTTCTTCAAGCAAAATATCTTAAAAAAACCCCCCACAAAATTAAAAAAAAGAGAAAGATGAAATGTACCTATGGAGAAAAACCGTATTGTTTCACATACCTTTTATCACATTCAATGTTCTGTATGGCTGCTCTAAAGTCAACGCCAGACTTAAAGCTTTCGTAAACTGCTTTCTTTGCAAGTAATTTGACAATTCTTGTTCCCTCAAATGCATTAGAAATAACATAAGCAATTGCACTTCAAACAGTTCTTTTGACAACTTAACACTATACAGTTCTCCCAACAACACCCCTTTAACACGAGTATCAACATTTTCCACACGAAAATACAAACCACATTAAATATTGTTGAACTCACTTCTTTAATTGATCTTCAACAGCCATTCTTGCAGTCGATTCCTCTTCTTCTGTGACATCCTAAATTAAAATATTATATAATCTCTCAACATTCATTTTTTTAGGGAAAAAACGTTACAATGAACTTTCAAATACAATGTCTGCATATGACAAATCATCATACCTTCCAAACATTAAGAACAGAGTCAACACCACCACTGACCATAACTTGCTGTGAATCACTAACAGCAATGCACCACAACTATACATAAAAAAAACAAACAATGCCAGGAAAAAACACATGGCTTCACCTTTTTAAGATCTCCTTTTTACATCAGGGTGATATTTGGCGCCAACTAAATATACAGATGTGAAGGTTTCTTTGAATAAACTTACTTTATCATTATGTTCATCCGATGTCTTGACACATTCACTTGATTTTATTGTCCACAGTTTAATCAAACCATCCGAATCACTAATGGTTACAGAGAACTACAGTAGTATTGAGTATGTAGAATCTACTAGTATAAAATTAGGTTATATGCCACGTTGTTAAAGTTACGTTGTCTATCGACGCCCAAAGTGACCAACCAACCAAGGCAACACAACAATCAAATTTATCCATCTTAAATCTTTATGCATTCACCCATAAAGAATAAATCTTTATTATATTGGCTTATAAATACATCGCAACAGCAATAGTAAACATACCATGACAACAGCTGCATTCCACGAGAAATAAACAAAATTTTTAGCACAGAGTTTGAATGTCCTTCCAATGTCTTCAGGCACGTGAAGTCAGAAAGAGCCCAAAGACGTATCATAGAGTCAGCAGAACCTGTAGCTATACACTGATCTATAGGTGAGAACTGAACAGACCATACACCACGTCTGTGACCACGTAATGTACCCAATAATCGGAAGTTAGAACGACGCCAGATCTAAATCAAACAATGCTCATATTTCAAAAAAATATTTTACTATCATCGTGATTACATGGTGTAATCTCACATGTATAAAACAAAGAAAAAAACAACAGAAAACGGGGAAACTTGTACGCCAAGCAAAACCAGGAGAGGAAAAGGGGCACAAGTTAGAGCAGGCAAAATAAATCCATACAAATTCTTACCTTAACCGTTTTATCTTGCGAACCTGTTGCAATCATTTTATCATTCGGTGACACAGCAATGGAGTTAATATCCTTTTTGATAAATAAATCATACATAGCAAAGCAATGACTCGACCGAGATTTTGTTTGTTGTAGAAAAACATCAATGAAACAATTGATGAGTGATGACTTACTTTATCATGTGCTTTTTCTGTAAGTAAAACATCAAGTTTACTAACTTCTTCATTCTGTGAATATAGAGAAAAAAAATCCCAACGTGTCAACATTTATTAAATGTAAAAGATCACAAAATGATAAATCATACCGTGTAATCAACTTCAGTAGACCACATTTTGATGGTAAAATCTTGACTGCCGCTTACAACAAACGATGTTTTGATTCTGGAGAAAAATTTATACATGACGATAATGGTGGTCAACCTAGTTTGGATTCAATGCGGTAGCTCCTTGGTGAGTGTCCTTATAGTAATCCTTCATTAGGAAATTTTTCTTCCCCCTCAGCACCACTTCTAGCCAAAGTTAGAGAGGGGTGCGCACCCCCTCCCCTAAATCCATTTCCCAACAGCACCCAATTCCCAACTACTCTTTTGCAACGCAAAGCAAATATAAATTTAGATAAAATGGCAATCAACGAAAATACATGCAGACGCCAACAGCAATAGAGTTGCTATCAAAGCATGGCTTATGTGAAAACTTTCATATCTACTCGTACGATCAAATTACAAGACTATACTTCACAGGTATCCATTAATAATACTACAGAGACTCGACTTACATAAAAATACAACTATAACACATACTTCGGCCATGCAACACAGCTAACAACGTGGGCATGTCCGTGTCCAACACCAACACATTTCATTTTGCCATTTTCTTCTTTCTTCCATATTCTTATCGTGTTGTCCTGTAAAGTAGCATGCAGCTATTCTGACATCCAATGTTTTATCACCATGTGGCATATCAAAAACCACAGTTGTTTTACTGTTGGTATTTTTATGAGTCATATTCTGTTCATGATGAGTTGAAAGGGTTAAATGAATCGTTTATAAATGTTTCAGAAAACAACTCAGGAAAGAAAGATCATACATTCAGTTTATAGCTTCATTTCTTTAAGCAATATTTTGTTAAATAAAAGAATAACTATCATAGATTAATTCCTACCTTTGAACCCGTTACCAAGAGTTCTCCCGACATATGTACATCCACACATATCACAACATCTAAGATAAATACACAAACAAACAAATTAGGAGACTATTTTACTTCTGTGTATTTTCTTATTTTTTGGACGAGTACCTTGCGATCGTTGACAAAATATCCATATTAAAGTCACTATTTTCACACTAGCTCTATCACCGTTTGAAAATCGTCACAAATATAACATAAATATTAATATATGTAATTCTCTTGTATTCTAATCTGTGCTCTTCTGTATTTACACACACTTGGCGAGCAAACATGAGTTATTGCTATGTTGGAATATTTTGTCTTTTTATGGGGAAGTCAAAACATAATTTAAAGTAAAATGTTATCACCATACATTTTTGTAAACGTACTTTCTCCAAGTTAGTGTAGTCCTGAGAAGGACTGTTGGTCTGGGTGTTAACTGACGTTACGACAAACGGTAGTCATTGTTTGACACAGTAGATAATTATCGCTAAGGAAAACACTCGTGTACCGTCTAAACTTCAGTCAACACCAATACCTACAGTTAGACTTACCTGGATTGTACTGTACAATTCATGTCATTCTGTTACTTTCTGACAGCAGTTCACAGTAATATGTAAAACAGGAAACGTTGGACTGTAAAGAAATCTTAGAAAGTACCTGAATGAGCAGATAGCAGTTGACAATCCATCGTCGTTAAATCGTAAAGACGGACCTGAGCACTATTAGATGCAACGACAATCTCTTTCTCAGAGGGACCCATGAAAGCCATATCAAGTATTTCATCGTTATAACCTACAAACTAAAACATACTCCAAGTTATTTAGAATATTTACCTCAGTAATATTCTCTGTGTCATACACTATACTTGTTTTTGTTGCTTTATGCCATCATAACTGAGTAAAAATATATTATGATCTGCTGTAACGACAGAAATACATCGAATATCTTGGCAAACTTCAGCTTGAACAATGACGATAGAACTGTTCTCTCGTTGACTGCTATCACTTGCAGCTCCTTGAAGAGCAGTTTCAAATACACACTTAAATCGCGTGTAATCCCACACTTTCAATATACCTACAGTGAAAATAGCAAAAATTCAACTTCAGCAAGTGACGTTATCCGAGCATGTGTATGTGTGTGTTGTCCTCACAACATAAGCGTCATCATTTACCCAATCAGATTAGAAATAATGGTGATGCTTTCACGAGTACAGCAACATAAAATATCCTATGTGACAGTGCTGTAAAAAGCTTTACTGTCATCAGATATCACTGCAATTTAAGACAACCAACAAATCACACACATTTATTTTCTTAAAAGCCAATTATCTGCGATTACATTAAGAGAAAGATAGAGGTTGCCTTGTCAGAATCACACAATGGTTCAACCTTTGTGTCCACAAGTTAAAAAGTATTTTCGTTGAGTTTCAACATCAGGAAATGTAACATCTGAAGGAAGCATTAACACAGCTTCAATCATCTAAAATACACAATTTCATTAATGTTATTTAATATTTCATTTTGTCAGTGTTTGCAATAAATACATAAATAGTTTCAAAATGAAAAGAAAATATGGTTAGGTTTGTAAAATGTACATGACTATTGACTATGTTAAGGAAGCAAAATGTCATATAGTAATTACAGACATACTTCAAATGTTGGAACAGTCTTTCTGAGTTTTCTCTTTGATACATCCCAAATGTTGATGACATTATCTCTGGAAGAGCTACAAAAACACACATAATACAAAAATATGTTGTTTTGAAACAATACACATATGTTTCAACTATCCAAGCATAAATAATTTGAAACAATACATGTATGCTTTAACTATCAAACCATAAATAATTTGAAACAATACATGTATGCTTTAACTATCAAACCATAAATAATTTGAAACAATACATGTATGCTTCAACTATCAAACCATAAATAATTTGAAACAATACATGTATGCTTCAACTATCAAACCATAAATAATTTGAAACAATACATGTATGCTTCAACTATCAAACCATAAATAATTTGAAACAATACATGCTTTAACTATCAATAATTTAAAGTTAGGAAAGTAATACACATCTTGTGCAGGTCAATGTCTTACTCACCTAATCAAAACATCTTCCTCAGGAAATGCCAAGGATGTTACAACACTATAATGACCCTCAAAAACTGTGACACATCTAGTAAGAAAACCATTGTTAACATGATAAATCAACTGACCAGTTAAAAATCCAGTTAAAATTTTTCTTTCATATGTAACATAATTTTGCTGCTAGTGATACTTGAATAACATTTGCACATTGAAAATGTCATCATGCAACTGTCAACAGATCTATGTTCATTTTTCTGTAAAAAAATTGCAAGTTCATGGACCCCTCCCCCTCTCCCTGCCTTCCCTCCTCTCATCTCGCCTTTAGAAAATAAGCAATTTTCAAAAGACTTCAAATGATATCATACCTGCTTTTATGCAGATCCCACAGTCTTATTTTATAATCATCTGCTGCTGTTAGTAAATGTAATTTTTCACCAATCTCATGGAAGAATATGATACTAAAAACAGAAATATAAAATCAGATTTAGTAAACTATAAATATTTGTGAACAAGCAGCATTGCTTTGTGCCAACAAAATTAACCTTATAACACCCTGAGAGCCTTTTAAATTGTGAGTATAATATTGCTTATCAACATCCCAAATTTTAACTGTCCCATCAGTTGAGCCTAAAAAACACTACACATGATAAACAAAGATGCAAATCAATATTATACTGTCATGTGTAAGATAAAACACTTTAGTTACACAATTTTATTAATTTAGTTTCAGTTTTAGTAAATAAAAGTAGACATTGTTAAGAGCGATTGATAGACAACTCAAGCTACAATGGATGACAAGTCAGGTACATCATTAAACCTGAAAATTGAAACCAAGGATTTTAAATAATAAATCCACAACTTTGAAAAGCTATTTATGAAACAAGTCAATGCATAAACCTGCAGCCAACAATGTGGAAGTTGAATCAAACTTCATGCATGAAATGGGTCCTTTGCATACAGCCTGGAAAAAACATCACAATTATTGAAATACATTATAAAAATAATTTCTTTAAGATTGTCACACTAATACCTTCCATGATCTAGTGCACTTTTCATTTCTCCAATCCCATTGCCTAAAAAGAAGATTCTTGCTGCAAGAGATCAATATCTGCAAAAGATAATAGCAATTTATGAGTTACTCTCCAGAAGAAAATATAAAGACAAAAAAATTTAAACATTACCTTATCATCAGGGCTTAATGCAAAACAGGCTATGTCATCACTTTCCTAAAGCAAATAACAGAATGGTAATGTAAGTTTTAGAACAATGCCAGAAATTTAAGAAAAATCATGGAAAAATAAAGTTACACATTTTAACCTCTGATAATGAATGTGTGACTTTACCACTTGTGATACTCAACACTTGAATTTTTTCTCCACAGGTACAAAAAATGACTTGCTGAGAGGTTGCAAACTTGAAGAAAATTCATAGCTTTTGTTAAATGACTTATGAAAATATTTAGGAGGGATTAAGTGAGAAACACAAATACAAAAAATTTTTTGCATTAACATACATTGACCCAAGTCATTGGACTCATTTCACCCTCCCCCCCCCCATCTTTAGCCATATTATAAGTGTCTGCTCCTGTTAAAAGAAGTAAACTCTAACGCAAACTCCAATACTACTCTGCTGGTAAGTGTGGTTCATAATACCAAGACAGAGTCAACAATTCCCTATTCTCGACTTGTAACCTTTCTCTTGAGACTTATCAAACAATGTTGCATGCCTAAGTCGGCCGGTTCTGACAATAACACTGATAAACTATTCTTTTGTATCAGACTGGCAACATGGCTGAATTGCAAGTCAAGAATTAAGACCAAGTGCCCAACTCATCTTACTCCTGTACTTGACACTTGTCAACAAGGACAAAAGACGCATAACTACGTATTCTTTTATACAATATTTGTTAAAAGATACCTGAATTTTCCCTCCAGTATAAAAAGCTTCATGCTTGGTCACCACATTGAAACTGTTATAATAAAGAAATAAAACTTCACAACGTTACAAAAATAAAAGTTAATTAATCTTGTTCATAAGTCAAAATTTTACTTCGTTTTGAGCTTCACAACATTTGATAATTGTGCCATATCAACCGCAGCGACTTTCCATATAATTTGCGTTTTTGTTGATTCAAAGCAGAGCAAATAATTCAGTATTTTTGTTCAAATTCATTTCAATTGATCCATGTGGATTTAAATCGTAGTGAAATTGGAGAAAAAATGGCGCGACAAAAACAACAAAACTTCATGTAATCAGTAAAATTTTAGCTGCACGTGGACGCAAAATGGATTGGAACTAGTAAACATTTCGCGGTTTATATTCAATTTTCAAATCGATTTGTGTCTCAATAATAACAATCACTGAAAACAATAAAATGTATCGAAAAGGAGAAAAATACAAAACAAAGCCTGGACGAACATATTTCTTTATAAATCAGCCTGGTTTTCCGGAAAAAAAATTTACCGAGGTAAGATAGTTCATTAATTTGCCATCTTCATTCTACTAGTAGTGACCTTCCGAAAATTCACAATAAGAAATATTAACTATTGAACTACATACATTGAACAATATCTCTTCAACCAAAAATGTTTGTTATGATTTTTTCCCACAGGCCATCAACACATACTGCAATGCTTTAATAAACAGTGATGGTGGAATTATAGTTTTTGGTGTGGATGATTCTGGTAAATAGAATATATGTTTTACAATTATTATGATTGGATTGCTGAAAACTCTGTCTTTCTTTTTTGTTTATGTTCAAAAATCCTAGATACTTATTGTCTTTAGGGTATGTAAATGGCTTTGAGCTTTCAAGAAAGTATGAAGACATGTATAAATTACGTTTTGATGCTGCCATACGACAAATGAGACCTACAATTCATCCTCATCAATACAGGTAAAATATAATTTCCTTTTTTTGTTACACACTGGTGTAATATTGAATAACAAACCATTTATATGTTTTGATACAGGCTAAATGTCATGTACATTGAAAAGCAACGACGTGCCATATTTGAGATCAGAATGTCTGCAGGCGAGTTAGAACACATTTATGAAAACTCAAAGCAAGAAATGTACATTGTTAAAGATAAAAAATTGTATGGGCCATTACATCCTTGTGAAATTCATCAAATTGTTTTAGCTAAATTTAAAGAGGTAAGATTGTGTTTTGTTATGGGCATTGACCAACAAGATGCAGAGATAATAAGAAAATTTACATAACGGAACCGTCAAAATATTCTAGTGATTCAGCTTTAGCATTGCCACCTGGTCTCTGAAGACAACATTTAAAGGTTTTTTTCACTATTTCAGGAGATATCAACTCTCATCATTAAAAATAATCAACCTCAACAGATGAAATTACAAAATCAAGAAGAAATCATTGCTTTAGAAAATTCAACAGTAAAAAATACAATACCATCCCAAATTGAGGAGAAGAAAGCACAAATAAATATAAGCTCAGATGATCTTGAAATTGTTAAAGTTGTCAAGAAGTCAAAATTGAACAAAATAACATGGCCTTAAAGATGTTTCATTAGAGTATCGAGTAAAGAGATTCTTACAAAGTTGATGATAATATTTATTGCCTTTCAAGAATCAAAATTTTGCACATTAGAAAAGAAAACTTTCATTATTCATGTTAATATTTTAAATTTACCATTATAAATTCATTGCTTAATTAAAGCAGGAGTTTGTATTTTATAAAAACTCCTCATGAAGATGTAGTCAAACCTTCTTTTGCCTTACTTTCCTTGGCAGTGGCTTACATAGTTCTTCTAACCTAGGGTTAGCTTGAACATGTCTAGCTGCTATTGACACTTTGTATGCATTCTCATCATAGTGATCAACATAATGTGACTGACTTTTTGGTCTTGAAAGCTGTTGTATTCTTAGAGAGGGCAATGCCTTCATTGTCATTTTAGTTACATTCCATTGCACCTCACGACATTCCCTATATTCATTATGCATTTTCTTGGGTGTGGCCAAACTAAGAATATGGTCTGATGGACTTGCCAACTTAGATGCCTCTGTTACAGCACTATCCCATTCACTCCAATCCCAAAGACTCTGATTAGTTGGCAAAGCTGACGAATTTTTTGGCTTTGCAAGACTATCTACCCTGGCTGAAGGACGGGCAGATATTGCTGCATCACTGACTACTGAGTAGACACTTTTTGGTGGCTTGTAGTCTTGATGAAACACCTTTGATTTGGATAGAGTTCCTAGTCTTACACTTGGTTTGGCTAGCTTTGCTGCTGCTGAGACTTGCCATATTGGTGATGGCCTACATTGGGGGCATTATGAAAATTAGGCAACATGAAGACCTAACAAACAACACTAGAAATAAACCGAGTGATTTTTATTGAATCTTCTTATGTAAGTCTACATACAACATCTACTGCTGCATTGTTGATTGGAAATATACATCATTTAAATATACACCATTATTTGTACAATTCTCTGATTACCTGTCACCCTCATATTCTGGTGATAATGTCTTAGATTGGGAAATTTGCTTCAATCTCGATGAAAGATCTGCAAGACAATTACCAATATCACAGAAAGAACAGTAATTGAGTCACAATGAATAATAAGTATTAGTTTGCCTTACTTGCTGTTGTTGTTGTCTGTGGTTTGCTCCAGTTTTTACAAATTTTATTGTCTGAATACACTGATTGTCTAAATAGGTCATTAAATAATGATAAAGTATTAATTGTTACTCAATGTATTGGCTCGGAGGCAAAGAGAGTCTGTACCCCCCAATAATTCGATTTATTTGTTAGGATATTTAGGTCTTATAGTGAAGAGGTTTGAGTCAGACCGAGAGTATCGCTACATGTTTGTCGATATAGATTGTAGGGGTTAGTAAAGAGGGACTGTTGCTATTGATGTTGACTGATGTTTCGACATCCTAAGCGGTACAGAGTCAAGGTCTCATTCGAATCTCTAGAGACATTTTTATAGATTTATAGTTCTGCATCCTCCCTCAGTAATTTGGTCTCACAGGGCCTGTTTGGTGTGAGTACTTCCGAATTAACCAAAATTTTCAATTTGCCAATAGGCTTGGGAAAAAATTACATCCCAATAGTGTACTTTACAAGCAGCATTTTTACATAAAAACAAACAATTATGGACTTACTTATCCTCAATAAATCCTTCCGGTGCCCTTTTTGGAATGGACAAAAAGTCTATTCTACTCCTTCGACTTTCTACTAAAATGTGACAAATTATTGGGTTACAACAAGAATAGATTAAGAATGAAAGGATTTCTAAAGGAAATATGGAAATCATAAAAAATACCGTTTAATGCCATTGATAAGATGCTTTGATCCGAGCTTAAAATAATACGTTAATTGAACGTGTCGACTTTCGTTAAAGTTGATCGTGGTTGCTAAGACGCGGTTGTCAGGGATATTTTGCCATAGTAGCGAACTGATTACGGGAAGTTCCGACCAATGGTTTCGAGCAAAGATGGCAGCGGAGACTGGCAAAGTTCGAGACTTGGATATGTACGTTTAACGAATAAAATATCTTAAGAAGCGATGGGTAGCTTGTTTTCCAGAGTATGGATTCAAACATCCAATTTGCCCAGTCTACCTTTCGTTGAGCAATTATCAACAAATGTAATAAGAATCTTAGGTTGCAATCCAGGTCCAATGACGTTACAGGGAACAAATACTTATCTTATTGGCACTGGGATACGGTGAGAATGGATATTTCCAAAGCTGTGTTTTGACTTTTAAGAAAGATCGGCATGAAAATTTATATGTGTATTATTGCGTTGATGATTTTTATTAGTCGAATTCTCATTGACACTGGCGATGCTGCCACATCAGGAGAATACATCAAAAATCTTAAAGATACATTGGAAAATTACCATGTAGTATTGCAGAATATTATCATAACTCATTGGCATCCTGATCATGCTGGTGGGATCAGTGAAGTTCTCAAGAATTGCCCCTGTGGTAATTATTTACATATTACTTGTCAATTTGTTTTTTTTTTGTCAAACACTTTTTGGCAGTTGAAGTTTGTCAAGCTATTTCAAATCTCTAATCTCATGTCAGATGATGATCTTAAGATCCTAAAACATCCTCGAGTACCCTATGAAGATGAGGTTATCCCTTATTGTGGTAAAAAGTACACATATATCAATGATGGAGAGGTTGTGGAGACAGAGGGGGCCACTTTGCAAGTCATTCACACACCAGGTCACACTACGGACCACCTAGTGTTAATGCTTCAAGAATCAAAGACACTATTTGCTGGAGATTGTGTTCTAGGTCATGGAACAGCTGTAGGTTAAATTATAAGCTTTTTTAATCTTCATTAAGCTTCACTGTTTCAATTAAGCAAGAAATTGATTGTATAACTTGTGACTTGTGATTGTATAACTTATAACTTGTGATAATGTAAAATAATCCTCTTAAATAATTCTGATTTTCAATTGTTCAGGTTTTTGAAGATCTATATGACTACATGAATTCTTTGGAAAAAATAGCCTCTTTGAAGTGTAATGTACTATACCCTGCACATGGTGCTGTGGTTAACAACCCAACAGAGAAGTTGAATGAATATATTGCCCATAGGAAGCAGAGAGAAAAAGAAGTTTGTAAAAAAGTTGAATTTCCTCTATTTCATAAGAAAAGAACAAGGAGCCTAACGAGGAATGCAACCTAAGCATTACTACTGCAGTTTCGTATGTGTACAAATCTTGTCTACGCAGTAAAAAATTTTTCTCATTTTTCAATTTTCAATTAGATCTTAGATGCATTGAATGATAACAAAAACCAAGCCCTAACTTCAATGGAAATAGTGAAGAAAGTTTATACAGTATGTCATTTTCCAAAAATATTAGCATGCATTGCTTCATGCAGACCTAGTATTCGCTGTTGTATATTTCTCGTTCATCTATTTATATTTAAGGAGACGCCATTTTATCTACATCGAGCTGCCGAAAAGAATGTTCATCAACATTTACAAAAACTTGAAAAAGAAGGGAAAATTTGTATGCATTTTTTTTTACAATATTTTCTTTGCTTTTTTATTTTGTAACAGCAAGTTTTTGTTTTCAGTGAAAATGTCGACAAATGAAAATTCAAGTAAAATTCAATGGATAAGTCGTCTGTAACAATTACTAACCATGAATAATTAGAGATAATTGACAGTGAAAATGGCGTCTTTAAAAAAATAAAATTTAACTAAAGCTATCTTCAGAGGTAAATATAATTGCACACACTAGGTCGTCCGTCTATGGGATGTTTGAGTGTGTAATCTTACACTTTACTCGAAGGTAACATTTCGTGTTTTATATACGCTAAATAGTGCAATTATAACATCATCTTTTGTATCCAACACTCATTCACTGCCTTCTGCCACAATTTTAGTAAAAATTGCATTATCTATTATAAACGTCATAGATGTTGTTTATATTTTAAAGTTGTTTTAAGAAATGCGACAGCAACGCAAGGCACGAGTTAAACACGACATTTGTTTTACACGAGTCATTCTGCGCTAATCAAACACAGTTGCCATTTAGCCACTACTGTACAACACTCTACATTAAGTACTCTACTATGCAACACTTAAGTACTCTCCTATGGAACACTTAAGTACTCTCCTATGGAACACTTAAGTACTCTCCTATGGAACACTGTACATTGAGTACTTTACACTGTGATACACTCCACAGGAAGTACTCCGAAGTATATTAAAAAGTAAAGATCTTTGTAGCAGAATGCATTTCCGTACATAAAATCGCCAGTAAAACCATTTCGTTCAACGGCACAAAAGCTTCAATTTAACCCCTGTTAAGTCCATTTCTTACGTTATATTTTTATAATCGGTGTCAAAGCGACTGTTAGTGGTTCAAATTTAACTGAAAAATATTATCAACAAAATTATTTTTTAAACATGAAATTATCTTTTATAAAATTGAGATTATGAAAGCGTGAATTACACTTGCGTCTCACGAATTTTATCACATTTCATGCTATCGGTATTGTTAACATCGGTATCATTCAACATGTCATCCAGTTCTTCTGGATTTCTTGTATCCGAACCAATAGAGAAAAATGCACTGTCAGTCCTCGAACGAGGATCATCAAAATCTCGGCACAACGGAAGCAGGTCTTCTTCAATTATACAGTTTTCACGACTATTGTCTTGACTACAGTAATCGTTATCTACTTTCAATGTAGTTGATGGAGGATTTTTCACCACACAATCGTCCAAAACCGTAGATGCTTTAAACTTCTCCTCCAAGATTTGTGGATGAAGTTCGTCTGCAATTATAAGCCTAATGCTTGGACTATCTTTAAATGACAACCGCTTTTTATATGGTGACGTTGAAAAATCGTCAGTAACTCTTCGACAAGATTTTTCCTTTAAACTCATTTCATCATCTACACATCCTTGTCGAGTAGTGTTGACAAAATCTACTTTTATCTCGGGCAAATTATACCCATGGTTCGAAGAACTTTTACTGGTGGAGGAAGAGGCGTTGTTTTTAACGTTATCATCACGACTTTTCAGTAATTTATCCACTTTTAAATCATTATCCCCATGGTTCGAAGAACTTCTACTGGGGGAGGAAGAGGCGTTGTTTTTAGCATTATCATCATGACTTTTCACTATTTTAACCACTTTTAAATCATTATCCCCATGGTCCAAAGAACTTCTACTGGGGGAGGAAGAGGCGTTGTTTTTAGCATTATCATCACGACTTTTCACTATTTTAACCACTTTTAAATCATTATTCCCATGGTCCAAAGAACTTCTACTGGGGGAGGAAGAGGCGTTGTTTTTAGCATTATCATCACGACTTTTCACTATTTTAACCACTTTTAAATCATTATTCCCATGGTTCGAAGAACTTCTACTGGTGGAGGAAGAGGCGTTGTTTTTAACGCTATCATCACGACTTTTCAGTATTTTATCCACTTTTAAATCATTATCCCCATGGTCCAAAGAACTTCTACTGGGGGAGGAAGAGGCGTTGTTTTTAGCATTATCATCACGACTTTTCACTATTTTATCCAATTTTAAATCATTATTCCCATGGTTCGAAGAACTTCTACTGGTGGAGGAAGAGGCGTTGTTTTTAGCATTATCATCACGACTTTTCACTATTTTAACCACTTTTAAATCATTATTCCCATGGTTCGAAGAACTTCTACTGGGGGAGGAAGAGGCGTTGTTTTTAACGCTATCATCACGACTTTTCAGTATTTTATCCACTTTTAAATCATTATCCCCATGGTCCAAAGAACTTCTACTTGGGGAGGAAGAGGCGTTGTTTTTAGCATTATCATCACGACTTTTCACTATTTTATCCAATTTTAAATCATTATTCCCATGGTTCGAAGAACTTCTACTGGTGGAGGAAGAGGCGTTGTTTTTAGCATTATCATCACGACTTTTCAGTATTTTATCCACTTTTAAATCATTATCCCCATGGTTCGAGGAACTTCTATTGGGGGAGGAAGAGGCGTTGTTTTTAGCATTATCATCACGACTTTTCAGTATTTCATCCACTTTTAAATCATTATCCTCATGGTTCGAGGAACTTCTATTGGGGGAGGAAGAGGCGTTGTTTTTAGCATTATCATCACGACTTTTCAGTATTTCATCCACTTTTAAATCATTATCCTCATGGTTCGAGGAACTTCTACTGGTGGAGGAAGAGGCGTTGTTTTTAGCATTATCATCACGACTTTTCAGTATTTCATCCACTTTTAAATCATTATCCTCATGGTTCGAGGAACTTCTATTGGGGGAGGAAGAGGCGTTGTTTTTAACGTTATCATCACGACTTTTCAGTATTTTATCCACTTTTAAATCATTATTCCCACGGTTCGAAGAACTTCTACTGGTGGAGGAAGAGGCGTCGTTTTTAGCGCTACCATCACGACTTTTTACTATTTTAACTACTTTTGAATCATTATCCGCATGGTTCGAAGAACCTTTACTGGGGGAGGAAGAGGAGTTGTTTTTAACGTTATCATCACGACTTTTCACTATTTTAAGCACTTTCAAATCATTAACCTCATGGTTAGAAGAACCTCTACTGGTGGAGGAAGAGGCGTTGTTTTTGACATTATCATCACGACTTTTCACTATTTTAACCATCTTCAAATCATTATCCCCATGGTTCGAAGAACTTTTACTGGTGGAGGAAGAGGCGTTGTTTTTAACGTTATCATCACGACTTTTCAGTATTTTATCCACTTTTAAATCATTATCCCCATGGTTCGAAGAAATTTTACTGGTGGAAGAAGAGGCGTCGTTTTTAGCGCTATCATCACGACTTTTTACTATTTTAACCACTTTTAAATCATTATCCTCATGGTTCGCAGAACTTCTACTGGTGGAGGAAGAGGCGTCGTTTTTAACGCTATCATCACGACGTTTTACTATTTTAACCACTTTTAAATCATTATTCCCATGGTCCAAAGAACTTCTACTGGTGGAGGAAGAGGCGTCGTTTTTAACGCTATCATTACAACTTTTTACTATTTTAACCACTTTTAAATCATTATCCCCATGGTTCGAAGAAATTTTACTGTTGGAGGAAGAGGCGTTGATTTTAACGTTATCATCACGACTTTCCACTATTTTAACCACTTTTAAATCTTTATCCGCATGGTTCGAAGAAATTTTACTGGTGGAGGAAGAGGCGTTGTTTTTAACGTTATCATCACGACTTTTCAGTATTTTATCCACTTTTAAATCATTATCCCCATAGTTCGAAGAACTTTTACTGGGGGAGAAAGAGGCGTTGTTTTTAACGTTATCATCACGACTTTCCAGTATTTTATCCACTTTTAAATCATTATCCCCATGGTTCGAAAAACTTCTACTGGTGGAGGAAGACGCGTTGTTTTTAATGTTATCATCACGACTTTTCACTATTTTATCCACTTTTAAATGTGGAGTTTCATGAATGGGGAAGTAAGAATTACCTTCCAAAGATTGACAATCAGTAAAGGGCACCTTTTCGTCGTAGCCACATAAATTAACATTTCCATAAAAATTTGATGAAGATGACGGTGTGATGACATTACAATGGTCATTCACCTTTTTGTCAGTAGCAAAGTTGCGGAGGTTTGATATTGTGCAATTAAAAAGCTGATCACTATCTTGAGGTTGTCGACGACCTGTATTATTAATATCAACAACACATGAGTTATCCTCTTTGATTTCAAAATAACCCTTGTTGTTTTTGTTATAACCTCGTGTATTCAAGTTTGGCTGTCTGTACACTTGTTCATTGTGAAATGAATCAGCTAAGATAGTTTCTCTAGAAAAGTTATCTTCATCTGATATATCTTTCTGAACAGAAATGTCGTTAGTTGATAATGTAACACAACCTGGTTTAGCCATCCCATTCTGTTCATTTTCAACCTCCGAGTAGCTTTCTTCTGAGCTGCAGGGATTTGGCGAAGGGCAATTATCATACATATCATGAAACGAAGATTGTGGAGACAAGCAACCTTTGTTGTCCTCGTTTTCATAGCTTGGTGATAGTAAATTATTGGCCGTGTTAAAACCAACCCTGGGACATTCCTCAAACCTTTCAACACTCTCAAGCTTCCACATTTTATGAGAGCTTTTTTCTTGAATATCTTCATTGAGTAAATTTATCTTACGCCAGCGAGAAGGTTCACAAAACATCGTTATACATTCACCCATGGTTAGATGTGACACTTCGCTAGGGCATGCTTCTGAGTTCGGGCAATTTTTATAAGTGTGCCTACATAAACAATATGATGGGTTTTCTTCCAAAAATGTAGATGTTTGGTTTTTATGTTCAAGTAACGTTAACATTTTATCCATTTTAATGTCCAACGTTCTCACCTAAACGAAACAAAATAGTCACAAAGTAAACGAGTTGCTTTGTGAAAACATTACTTACTTTATATGGTGCAACGTTTTCACTCTGTTAGTACAAGATAGCAGAACAGTTTTATGTACGGTGCATCGTTTTCACTCAATTCCTCCATAAAATTACATTGATATCTTCGTTTTGCAATTTCTCGCAATTAATTGAAATTTGTAGAGAAAAAAACACATTTCAGCTGCGATAAATTTGTTTTAAAGGACGCCCATTAAGCGCGCGCATTTACACATAAACAGAAAAGAAAAAATGATGGGTAGTTACTTTATCTCACCCTACCTGAAGTGTATCAATATGTTGTTATAAGGGAAGACACGTAATACCTTCCTACGCAATCTTAACCATATAAAAGTATTTGGTCATGAAATATACTTTTAAAATACTAACAACTTTATTTAATTAGGTTTAGGGAGCACAAATGTTTAACAGCAAGAAAAGAAACTTAGCATTTCGTACCTGTTTCTCTAGTTTTGATAAACGATGAATGACATTTGACTTTCCTGTTGACGAGTCATCGACCTTCTCTAAAAACAATGGCACATATAACAGACATGTGCATATTTACCACAGAAAACGTAGTTAATGCCAATCATGCGTTAATTTTTTACCTGTTTCAACTTTAAATCTCAACGCTTCGTCAATCCTAGAACAAATTGTTGATATAAAAGTGAATTCTCAGATTCTCTCTCGTTTTTTTTCTTTACTGTATAAAATAAACTTAACACAAACAAATAACTGTATAGCAGTACAGTCTTATATATTGGTTATAACAGGATAGTATTACATTCGTAGAACGTAACAAAGGTGCGAATTTAATGAACATACTTGTTCCCGATGCTTTTCACTTTTCCCAGAACCTCTACATGTCCTGTACTGTACTGTTCAATAACGTCCTTCACATCATAAGGTTTCTTGGCAAGCTACATTGAGGTAAAATTTTTGAGACAATTATAAAATAAAAAGGATTGGTTTTACCATACATTGCATTTATAATTTGACTTTTCGTAAGGAAAACTGAGCAAATGCTATAATAATAATTTATGCAAGCATTTTTTTTAATATTTGTTGAAACATCGTTATGTACATATAGGTAACTTACAACCATGTTTTGTTTGTAAAAATTTGGTTGTAAAATCACATACTGCCGTCACCACTCATGAAGTAATCAATATTGATCTGATATGATATTATCACTAACACAATATGAGAGTGAACCATTGTTAACTACGCAAATACGATCTCTGACAAAAATAGTTTTTTTCCTTCGCAATTAAACTTGACATTTTCCACAGACCGTAGTTTTTGAAAGTGAATAGACAATGCAAACTTACTCTGAATTTTCGTAAAGCAACCAGAAATTTCAAGTATCGAGTAAAGCGAATGCTTTGTTTACACGCGGCAGATAACCTTAAAAAAAAACAAAATGCGTGTTTTTCCTGGAGATCAAAAATCATCTCCCAAAAAATTCTTACTAAACTGCACAGAATTAACAGGAGAAAAAACAAACAAACCAACCTGACAACTAAAAAGAATCACCAACAAAATTACGACAAACAATTACCTCAGATTTCCCTCAGCATCCGTAACCAGTGCAACTCTATCTGCCATATAACCAGCGTTTCCTATGGTAAACGATTACAATAAATGAAAACAATAATTTTTCTAAATTTCCGGCCTAAATTATATCAAATCATTCATCAGATATTTCTGTTCAATGATCGTTAACAAATGAACCATTCCATCAGTCAATTTAGAAAGAGACAAAATATTAATTTATTCGAGTTTGTTCACCAATCTGGCGTTAAAATATTCTTGGTGTCCATTTCCAAGACAGAAAATGCAAAAACGTGAACGAAGTAGAAGATATTTGAAAATAAGCAATTTTTTACTCAATACATAAGGAGCAATGTCTCTATAAGCACTTTTTTCGACGCGTGTTTTAAAAATTTGTCATACCATTCTCATTACTATCCGTGTGTTGATCAGAGGTTGATGAATTGACTCCGTCATGTAAGGAATCATATGACCGGAACAATTCATTTTTGTTCATCTTTCTTTGCTCGTATATGTTGTTTACCGAAGGTTTATATAAACCGTCAGAGGAAATACACGAAGCCTTACGACCAAAAATAGAGATCTTTCGAACACGTGTTGCGCTAGTTTGACTAGGTTTCTCAGAAACACACTCTTCCCTGTTGGTATTCTTTTCCTGAAGGTATTTGATGTAAGGTAGCCACGTTGCATAAAGCTTGGTGTTCTTACGGGACGCGTAGTAGCGCCAGTTACACTAAATCAATATTTGTAAAAACACGAAGAGTTAGACGTTATGCTTAACTGTTTCAAACTAACGTTCAAAAAACAGCGCCAAGGTTCCAGTCTGGGATTTCATTCAACCAGTGACACACTCACAGTTTCCAAGACATTAACGTACGAGATGAGGTTGGAGATTTAGTACAAACAGATACTTTTTCTGGGAGCTTGCTCTTCATTTTTTTAAATAATTATTTTGAAATAGTTGAAGTAAAACCTGTATCAACATGGCCGCAGGACGTCTTCGTTTCTTCACGTATTTTTGCCTTTGTAGCTGAGAAACTTTCAAAGCGAAACCTGATCCAAGAATTCCCTAAACGAAACAATATATTATTTGCACTATTTTCCTAATTTATCTCAACAGGAGAAAGTCTTGTTTCACAAGTTTCATTCAGTGTTTCCTTCATCGGAGATGAACATCTACAATACCAATAATTGACCATTAAGATTTCCTTGCGTACCAATCCAAACGGCGTCTTTCAAAAAGCGAACATTAAATGCATAATCCTTAAAGCAATAATAAATGTACTTACAGCAGGCAAAGCAAAAAATGATATTCCCATAATGGCGAAAAATGCGGCAACAGCACGTCCTCCCCAGGTTTTTGGTACTTTATCTCCATAACCAACAGTCGTCAATGTCACCTAGGTTATAATATGTAATATTTAATTACGAAAAAAAAGATTTGTGTTGATGTCGTAACTTATTTTCTGTCCCATGTGACAAATAAACAGTGGTGTAGAAGTGGGGGCGCGCTTGGGGAGGAGCCCCCCTTCTACTTTTGAAATTGGTAATTATAAAAGGGCACTATTAACAAAAATGTCAAGAGAGCCACCCTTCTGATAAATTTAGTTCTACAGAACTACAAATAAAGCTTATGCAAAAGACTTCCACAAATTTCTCATCCAAGCAAAACAGCAATTACAGATTCGGATACAGTAAAGCAAGGTACCTGAGGAAAAATACGTATGTTGTATAAAACCCCGTTGTAAAAATATTTAAACCTTAAAGCAAAGCATTAGACAACAAACATCTTGCAAGGGTCTTAATAGCAGAAATTTTCCATCAACAGATCCTTTCATGTACGTAACGTTTACGAAATACAGGATTGTAATCCAAATCAAATCATATTGATCGCTTCATTCTTATGTAAACTATTTCTTAAACAAGGATTGTGTATCACAGAAAACTTACAATGCCCCACCAAAATGAATCAGCAAATGTTCCAAACTCTTCAGAGTTATAATCTTTCTCAGCTTGATACACAAAAAATGATGCAAAAATCAAACTGCATAAACCAATGTAGACTGTTGTTAAAAGTTCCTAAAACAAACAATCAGTGCTCATTAGAAAATACACACATATACAATTTTATGCATAGAGCTAGGGGGTTACCTGTGTGCCACGTGACTTTTGCTCAACCTCCCTTGGCTTTCAAATACATTAAATCACAGAGTAATAATGGTTTCACTTGATGGTTAAGTAAAACCATTATAGTGGTTCACTTACTGTAATTTTTTTTACTTATTTATAGCCAGTCAGAAAGTTTACTTTTGCAATATTAATAGTGAGTTCATAAGTATAGCTAGCACATGAGTTTGGTGGTGCTATATATGTAAGTATTTATGACTTAGCTTACTTTTAAAACAATGTACATTTTTGAAGAAATACCTAATGCTAATTAGCAAAAATTTTCACAGCATGACCTGAACTAAACATGTAGGCTAGCTACAAGTAAGATAAGGGCCTCTACAGACTGGGTATTTAGTTGTCAACAACTTTTCATAGTTGACAACTAAATGTAGTTGACAAACAACACTTTTCTGTGATTAGTTGCAAAAAAAGGGAAACTGCTTCGTGGTCGACAACTACAGTTTTACAAGTTTAGTTGTCGACAATTTATTTCACAGATAGTATTTTTTGTTAGTCAACTGCCCTTGTTGCCGACTGCGAAAGTTGTAGACAACAAAATACCTAGTCTGTGGAGTGCGGAGGCCCAAATTGAGGTGTAAGTAAGGTAACAACGGGAATAATATGAAAGATTTACCTGTCTATGTAAAAATAAAACTGAACCAAGCAATTTCCATGAGTCCCCTTGTCTGTCGAATCTAATCATACGTAGGACTTGACAAAACCTTAGCACACTAAATAAAATAATAAGTAATTTACAGCAGTTTGATCAAACATTTTGCCATCATTTTCTTTACCTAACTGAAAATGAGTGCATTTGAAAGATAGAATATACAATGACACCAAATGTTGTTCCAATCACAATGAGATCTGAATCAAAAGACATTGGTTAATTAGTGCAAAAATTATTCCAATGAAATGGTCAAAATTTAAAGTACAAAACCATTATATTTACTTAGGAAACTGCTCACCCACAATAACAAAAGGCTTCAATGCAAAACGAATGTGACCAAACAGACCAGAATAAGTACTTCGGCAACCTGCTGACCACATGCGAAGAATGTATTCAAATGTAAATACAAAAAGCAGAAAAACTTCCTGAAAATCATAATACAGAAAATTCATTTTAACACAGAAATACAGAACAAAACAAAATTCAAATAAATTATCTTCTTACCAAAACCAATGCAGAAGAATATAGACCCTGGCTGTCTTTAAATGATGTGGTCTCCAGGATTGCAAATATCAAACCAACAAGAACCATTCCAAACCTTGAAAACATTAAAAAGTTACATGTTTGAGATGTGGTAAAAACATTTGTAGTTTTGTTTGGGAAAATCTAAACCCTTTCATTACTAACTGCTAAAATTATTTAGTCCAACCGAGATTTTGTTATTACCATACAGAAATGCAGCTCTAACATTATTGAAGGTTAATTGTCATAAAAATAAATGCTATCAGTTTGTTCAAGTGTGTGACGATAGATTTTTATATTAGCTATTAATCTCTTAACTGTAAAATCATTTTTATAAGCATGCTCATTATTTTTTTAGTTAATTGTCTGTATTATAGTATGCCAACGCATTTTTAACATAATTGATTATTATCTAGGACCAGTTTTGGACAGGACAAAAAAAGGCATCAGACTGCATTACACAAACAATATTATACACTGGACCATTATGAATAAATCCCCGCTTAATGGCAAATTTTTTTTTACATCTTGGTTTCATCCCTTGCATCTTTCAACAGTAAAGAAAAATAAAATTCAAACAAATGTTTTAGTAATATATTTTCCCTAATTATGAAGCACAAGTAAGTATAAAAAAATATGTCTTCATTGTGTTCATAGGTATGAAACAGTAATTCAACGAATTAACACTTGAAACGAAATACCAAATTTTCCGTCCCACAAACAAAAATTTTGATGAAGTACTTTTTTCCCATTTAATTTTTTCTTGAGAAATTTCATTTGAATTTGGACAGAATTGGGACGAGAATGGGATCTAAACATATTTTTGACAACGCAATATTCTATAACACTGTTTCTGAGCACTTGTAGCTAGAATGTAAATGGTAGTAAAATTGATTTTTTATAACATAAAATAGACGTGCCGCGAAGATTTTACAAAATTTATGCTTCACTTATATTGGAGCGATCAATTATGAATAAAAGCTTTGAGAAATTCACAAGTTTTATGTACACTTGGCTTGCAGAAAAGAATTAAATTTTGGCAAAACTGGAAATATATTTTCAAATAGAATACAAGGTTCTTTCTCTATCATTGATAAATAAATACATTATATATCATAAATAATAAGGGCGATGCACAAGCTGTAAAACGCCATCTTCATACAAGATGAAAAGGGGGTATTTAAAAGATAAGATTTATCATAATGCAACGCCGCATGTGCTTAAAAACTTTAAATAGGGGATACAATTGCAGAGGACATCGACAAAAAGTATCTATGGAGAAGCCGTTATGTACATTCAATTGCAAGCGACAGCAGTGTATTTAAGGAAAGAACTTATCTCGACTTCATTTATGAGTAAAAAATATACTCGTAACTAGTAATATAATGATTAAAAATATAATAACTATTAGTGCAGCGTCACAGCTGTGTAGTTAAACTTGAACTTACAATGCAAAGTGATACGATACACTCGCTGGGCCATTCGGTCGTTCTAAGAAATTATAGCACCTTGACTGAACGCATTTATATTTAGTTCGCGATTTCGGACTTGATTCAATATTACACAACTTTACACGATTCCTCTCGCTCAAATACTCAAAACGATCTGCATATTTGGTATCCATATTTACACGCGTTTCTTTCAATCAATATTGTTAACAATAACGCAAGTCCTAGCCATCCTGGCCCTTCTCTTCAACTCTGCAAAGCTAATAATTTTGGTTTGTATATATCTTTCCAATTACTGTTCCCGTTCATTATACGGCAAGTTAAATATAACTGCACTCTTTCGACAGTTTTCACATCACGTAGCACAACTTTCGCGCCCCTTTTTTACAATCAAAACGTTGACCAAACCCACGCAATGTTAAACCAGTTAAAACCAACGTCTGTTGTTGTTGATCTTGATGTCACGTGGCGCAATTAATAGGTAATCGCCCAAAGTGATTGGTCAAGAATTACCAGATGTCTTCAATGTCTACCTCATTGTCTGCCTGTTTTGATTATTTCTAACTTTTAAAAAGTTTGCAATTTTACAGATCATTTTGTCAAAACGCATGGAATAAATAATACTTAAGTTATACGGAGAGTCAACTGTCTATTTTGATCTCCTGCAGAAGAAATACACGTCCATCTTTTTTTTGAGATGACTAATTGATACATTTGAAGTATTGTTTACAACTTTTTTGTTTATGTATTTTTTATATTGTTGCTGCAGGGAAAGTGCCGAATTTTTTCGTGAGTTTAGAGTTTTGATAACACAATTGATCCGTAAGGCTAAATTAAGTTTCTTGTACTAAGATTAAGGTAATCTTCCTGCTGTTTATTACATAATGAAACCCATTTAGAAAGACAATACCTATTGTCAAAGAGCGCATTGCTAAGCTTATGCTATCCCTTTTATTAACCTGAAAATGACGCATTGATTTGATGAAATTTCGTATGTATGGTTAAAGATTATCAAAAGCAAATGCGCCAAAAATAAAAGGCATCCTTCCTTATTAACTTTGAAACATCAAACATATCAATTCGGATCAAACTTTTAGTGTTGATTCTGAAACAAAGACATTCAAAAAACCTCCCAAATTTTATCGTAATTTCAGAAAAAACTTGCAAAATCGTATCCAAGCTTTCACAAAACTTTTATAACTATATAACTGTACAGAATCTCGGAATCTACGTTTTCTAAAATCTTCATAACCCTAAAATTTGGGATAGTTTAAAGAAATGTCAGAGGGGAAAGTTTGAGAGGAATAAGGATAAACCAGTCAAGCACGGGGGGACTGTCAAACAACAGCCTATGCACACCCTCGTCGCTTTTTATACAAGAAAATAATTTTTAAATAACAACAATAAAAAAACAGCTATTATTTGCTCAAAAAAGTTTTATTGGCTCAGGCAGCAGTTTCTTCCCGACCTAATGTGAAATTATTTTCTCAAAAAGCATTCTTGAGACTAAAAAAATTCAATTTTTATGTACATACGGAAGACTTATATTAATTTCTGATGGAAGAGCACTTCAAATAAAATATTTTTCATTTCGTGCATTTTCAGAAGTTCGACTCATGTAAATGGAAATGAGCCAAAAAATAACCGGATAGTGGGAAAAAAACCCAATCCCTTGCACGAAGTGATCTAAAAAATGCACACAATTACTTATAAAGTGCCGACATTCTTTTCTTTAAAACATTTTCCCAAAACATTTGCTTGTCTACAAAACCACATATCTTGTGTCAAACAATTCAAAGAGATTGCGACATTCTGTTCTTTATTTTTATTGGTTCGTACAATCTTAACACGGCAATACACCAATCAACGCAAGAACGGAAATAAAAATATGCTTTGAGAAAATTCAGTTGAATACACTTTGCTCTCATATATGGCCTTACTGCCCATATATGGGCAATTGTCGTTCAAGAATATTTAAGCGTCGTGGCGTAATCGTCGTAGAAATTTTCAAAATTGCGTCAGGCAGTCATTGCGTTATGTTGCATTAGCGCGTTGTTGCGACACAAGTAGAGAATAGAAAGAACATCATGATCATGATTTTATTTTACATCGTTTCGGTTTGTTGAAGGGATTGGCCGTGTGTTGGCCTGCCCTACAACCAAAGAATTATATTATTTCTCCGCCGATTTCTGTTGCAGATTGCGTGTGCAAACGACAGAATTACAACGTCATTAGAAATAAACCGAAACAATCACGAAGCACATTGGCCCATATCACTTCGTTCGTCTTATCAAGACCCACGAAATAACAGTTTTAGCACTTGAACTTTTAGCTTAATGCTCTATCATCGTCGAAGCCATCCCTATGCTAGAAATGAGACGAAAAGGGCTACGAATGAAACAAATTTGGCCTACTTGACAACCAAATCATCCACTGGAAAAATCAATGAAAGTCGTCGAAGTTTGGATACAGTCCGTTCTCGTGTGAACGCTAATGAAAATACCAATTCAACCAGACAAAATGTACATAAAATCGGACAGTATTTGATAATAGATGCAAACCCTGCCTCTGCTTTCTCTCGTGCAATCAACTGTCATAATCGTACGGAACTGACATGCAAGATTGTAGATGCTAAATGTTTGGGTGATGTGTTGGCACCTTACAGTCGACTAGAATCACACGAAAACATCAATGACATTATTGATGTTATTGTCGGTGAAAGTAAAGCATATATATTCATGGCAAACTCTTTCGGTGATTTACATAGTTACGTTAAAACGAAAAAACGTCTGAGGGAAGATGAAGCTCAAAAATTATTCCGTCAAATCGTCAATGCAGTTTGTCTTTGTCACGAAGCCGGCATAGTTCTTCGTGATTTAAAACTGAGGAAATTTGTTTTTAGAAATAAAGACAGGTCAGTGATGAATTGGACATGTGTAAAAAGCATTCCATTGTGCATTGTTGTTAAACTCCGCTCAATAATGCTAGCACATTGTTCTTTGTCTATCGTATATTCCTTTGTGCTTTTTTTGTGTCAATTTACTTTTTGTTGATTTCAGTCATATAAAATCACAATGCCTTTGACAAAAACGTTATAAAAGTTAAATTTTTTTATGAGCTTAAGGTTTAATTTTGAACAATAATATTGGAAAGTACAGGCTACACCGATTATGAAATTGACATTTTAAGAAATCAAATAATGAACTACGGAGACGTAGAATTTGCTGTATTTACCATTTAAATATTGTTTTAAACCCTGCAAAAGTTATGTCGAAAATTCTACATGTTTATGAGTACTGGTTTGTGCGCGTGGGAGATATATTTTGTTTCCTTGTGCATGGGCGTCGAGGTTTACAGCGTCATTGGATACTGTTTTGGAGTTTTTGTTTTTTCAAATTTTTATTTATTTTATTTTGCTGATTGCCGATGATATTCGTTATGATTTCAACGAGTCTGTCATACTTTATAAGCACACGAAATGATGCTTATGGTTCTTAAAGATGCTAGTCATGAAATTGTGTATGATTTACGCTGGATTTACAAAAATTTTTACCTGAAAATTGACGAGTTTACTTTAAAGAGCTTCTGCTTTAATTAACCTCATTGAAAGAATAATATTGTTGATGACATTTGAACACAATTTGTGAATATAGACTAGAGAATTCTGGAATTCACTGCTATTTGGTTTTTTATTTTATTGTGAACTTGACGTACGTGTGTGGGTAATTATTAAGTCAATATGATTATCAAACATTTTTTGCCCACGTTGCTTTTTCAAATTGGATCACAAAACATTTTATGTGGCAAGTTGACAAACATATAAGTTAACAATTCTATTTCTTTGGTTAATATACACAAAAGGGTGTTGATTTTATTAAAAATATACATATTTTCTTCAGAACTGAATTGAAACTAGAATGTTTGGAAGATGCACGTGTACTGGATGGATTGGATGATACACTAGAAGATAAACATGGATGCCCAGCATATGTTAGTCCCGAGCTCTTACATAACTCTGATGGATATTCTGGAAAACTTGCTGATATTTGGAGCCTTGGGGTGATGTTGTACACCATGCTTGTTGGGCGTTATCCCTTTCAAGATGTTGAACCTACGGTAATGTTTTCTAAAATTCAACGTGGACTCTTTGTTGTTCCCGACTCCTTATCTTCCAAAGCAAAATGTCTTATCAAATCAATGATGAGGCAAGACCCTAAACAAAGATTAAGTGCCTCAGAACTATTGGAGCATCCATGGTTCAAGTCAACCAATCTGTCTTCTTTATTGTACCGTTATGATAAAAAATCACATGATCAAACTGTGCCTAGCATGACCATGGACAAATCTTTTTTTGTCTCACTCAAGGGTTATCCTACTTTATAATAGTTTCTATGAGCCGTCATACTATTGTGTAAATATTTCATTGTGTGATGTGTAGAATAAAGCACTTCTAAATTGACTTTGCTTGTTAACTGAGGGACAGTTCACTCTAACAAAATGTAAATGAGTTCATTAGGAGAGATGTTTGAGGGAAGGGAATTTTTGAGGTGGGGAACTTGAAGAACTTGTATAATCTACTGAACACTGCATTTTTTTTGAAATGAAATGCCCTTAGCAAGTCAAGCACATACAGTGCTCATATTGTGACTGATATTTTGATCATGTTTCCAGTTATGCTTATGTTCATTGATGTATAAAGTATGGGGGCATTGTAAATAAACAGTTTAAGATGAATATACCCAACTAATTGGACACTTTGAATGTTTTATGATATTAAGGATATTTTCAATTTAGGAGAAACGCTACAAATAAAGTTTTACTAATAATAAATCTACACACTATCTTAATTAAATAATTGTTAATTATTTTCCTTATCGCGCCCGACATACCATGATGGTAGTTTGATAGACAAGAAGAGAGTGATTTGTTCATTACTTTGGTATAATAACAACCATGTCATTAATTTCCTAAATGTTGTTTCTTAAAAAAATCTAATTATTAGTTGCTATTATGTGAAATAAATGAACAAGTGCAAACTGGAGAGTTACATATCGTTTTGTTTCATTTGCCATACTTGTTTAACACACCGTTCGGAAGAGTTTGGGCGCTTTTCTATGCACCCAGGGACATTTATTATTCAGATGAAGAAAATTGAAAAATAAGAAGGTTGTTTGTATTCCTAAAAATGGTAAAAAATCTATATTGTGAAAACTCTATGACAGTTTGTCCGCAATGCTCTTTGAAAACCAAACTTTTAAAGAGCTGCAATATCAAACATAATACACCGAAGCTAGTTGTTGAAAAACTCCAAGAAGTTCTTTTTTATCGCGATGCAACTATATAAGGATGTTATAACCATATATAGAAGCAAAAATAATGAATTAACTAACCGGAACTGACTATCATGAATGTTGAAATTTCAACATCCATATTTCGTCGTGTTTACTGGTGATTTTCATGAATCCTAAATTTTTGATAGTAATTATTTGATGAGAAAAGTTTCAATATGCCAGATCGCATAACCGTGAAACGTTTTATCGAGGAGACGCGCGCAGATCTATCATCGCCCGTAACTTCAAATTTTGCTGAGCATTCTACATTAAATTCATGTCGAGCATCGATTATTAGCTTGGAAGAGGTAGATTGTTTTTTGAAATATACATAATGGTGTTACACCCTAGGGATTTTCCTATCATTTTACGGACACTCGCTTTGCGTATTTGATACCAGCCTGTAGTGTTATGAATACCAAATTACACTCTCGACTCTATATTAGTCTTCTGTTAATGAACATGTCATTGTTTCACATGTGTTTCATTGAACGTTATTGTAAAGTTGTATTCACGTTTTCTGTGTTCCTGATTTTATATACGACAATCTTCCCAAATTTAATATTGGACGAGTAACAATAATTTTATCTGTCTAATTTTGCCCTATAAGTTTCAGTTCCGTTGAAACATTTTAATTTTTCACTCTGAAAAATACCAGTCTATGCTGACAGTAGAAAATTACATATATGAAACTGCTATTTGTATATATTTTGTTGTTGGAATCTAGTATTGTAGTTGTTGTGCACCTTAATTGATTAGAAGTGTTGAAAGATTAAAGATGTCAATCCTATATGTCAACTTGATAGAAATAATTAATAAAGATTAACTTTCCATTTCATGACAAATTCTCCTACAAAAAGTATTTCCACATCCATTTCATTCAAAGCATAAAGCCCATAAACTTTGACTGTTCATTTCATATCTGATAAAAATTATGTGATAATATATTAAATGTGATTGATGTCACATACTTATTGATCACAAGGTTATCAAATGTATATTTCCACAAACGTATTTATATGACATCTATTATATTCTCATGCAGAGAGAGATAAAAAACTACTTTAGAGGGTACTTGGTTGTCAAAATCTAAGAAACAGGAGAAAATGCAAGAAACAAGTTTTCTCAGTTCGTTAAAATCGTTATTTCTTGATAGAAACAAGTGCAAACTAAAGCATATAAAACAATAAAATGTACAATTATCGTAAAATATGCTAACACAATGCATAATCAATTATAAGAACATTACTGCAATGCAAATAACACAGTGAAATTTTACTTGAATTTAGATTTTGGACGATAATCGCTCACATTTGCGCAACTTAAAGAAATCTGTTAAAGGTCTTGTGGAGGCTGGAAAAAGTTGGTTCAAACATTTTAACCCATGTATTCAGTAATACACTGACAATGGCATTTTCTTGAAATATAGATTATGTGACATCTGAATGCTTGCTTGCTGAAAACCTTGAAAAGCTGGGGATGTTTGTGCTTTCAAAAGAAGCAGAACCAAGCATAGGTTACTTTTTTATTGATTTATCTCATCAGAAAAATTATTGTCTCTACCTTCAGCACAGTTCTTTTCTTTGAAAATTTTTCATGCTTATTTCAGGAACAGCATTTTTAAAATTTTCTGTTGTTGCCAAAGTAAGTTTTTAACAAATGTTGATTTCAATCCCCAAAACATGTAATTATATTCTAAAATACTTTATAGGAACTTTCAGCAATTACCAAGAACATGGTATGTCTAATTCATATTTTATGTACTTTGTTATCTCTAGTTCTTATTTTACGGAATTGCTTTAATTTTCAGCTGAATAATTATAGCAATATAGTACTGTTTCCTTTGGAGTCAATTTTGAAAGGTGATCTTAAAGAAGTTAAGGGAGTATGTGTTATACATGGTTTACTCTGAATTCAAAATGGATTTCCTACATTAATTGCTATACATGCTTCTAGGATTTGCGAAAGCCTTTTGACAAAGCATCTAAAGACTATGATGCAAAATAGTGAGTTTTCTTTTACAGTGCTTCTTATAATTACCATTCAAGTAATTGGCACATATTACTATTTTGATGTTAATTTCAATCATCAAATATATGCTTATATCATATTTGATGTTTCATTCTATATATACTCTTTATATAGCACTAAACTTGAAAAGGAAAAGAAGCAGCAGGCAAGGGAATCTGGTTTTATACGAACAGAGGTTGCTCCTCAAGAGGTTCATTTTGTGCTTATGGCTTGTCCCTATATGTATCTTCTGAACATAGGGTCACTATTCTTATCTTAAGTTCATGATTTTAGATTACTACCAAAGCTATGCAATATTATTTTGTTTGCATTCATCAATAAAATCAATGGTGCTATGATTATGTTGCCATTCATAAAGATAGTTAATTTTGCTATAGATGGCAGATGAAATGGAAAAAGAGCGGCGATATTTTCAATTACAAATGTGCGAGGTAATTTATCCATGGTCAAAGACAATATTTAGCCTTAACTGCTTTAGACAAAACATGCTTCATTTTATTTTAGTATTTAATAAAAGTCAGTGAAGTGAAAATCAAGAAGGGTGTAGATCTTGCCCAGCATTTTGTTGACTATTATCATGCCCAAAATACGTAAGTTGTGATAATTTTCTCTATTGCTAAATTTAATAACATAAAACCCTACCAGTTATATGGTCGTTTAAAATTATAAGATTGCAACAATAACCAGGAAGACTAGTCACATCACATGGTGATAAACAGGGCCTCCTAATATTTGGCTTGATATATCAGGCTGTTATCACAAAAAAGTTATATATGTATAATAATTTTATAGATATTTCTCAGAATGCAACGAGTCATTGGAGTCAATTAGAGGCTACACAGAAACACTTGTTGTGGACTTAAAACAGGTGATATAATTATTTTTACCTGACTACTTATCATGGATCTCCTTCTTCACTTTACAAATATTACTTGAACCATTGGATAACTTTTGCTACGTAACTTTGAAGCTAAGAGCTGCGCAGGAAAACGAGAGAAAAAGTTTAATGACGCTTCGTGATGAGGTGAAGGAAACATTACAGTTAGATAAAGAGGTCAGAAAACACGTTATTTTAAATGGTTATTTTCTCTGCGCAAAATATAATTTATCTCATGACTGGTTATCATAAAAGTATGACGCGCGGTAATTCTGTCCTTAATTAAACCTGAATAGGAAATCTTTATTCTACTTTAAAAACGTTTTTGGATTAATACCTTGTATTATGTAAGCTCATTATTTATTATTATGATAATGTATACTCATATAGAAAAGTCTTGAAAGAGCTGGTTACACATTACACGGCCCTCAAGGAGACATAAGTCATGGAACAACGATCAAAGGATATTTGTCGAAACGTAGCGAAGGGTAATTCTTTTATAATTCTGGAACCTGGATGTTACACATGCGCAATCGTTTAGCGCGTATTTTTAACTTTAATTCCTACATATCGCGCAATTTATGATTAGATAAGGTATTTGTGATTTAGAGTGCGTAAAGTGTGGCAGAAAAGATATTGCGTCGTCAATAACGGTCAATTAACAATAGCAAATTCCGCGGTAAGTATTTTTTTTTAACGAACGTTTTGATTAATATTAAGCTCTAAAAAACGTGCCAAACTAAGAGTTTACGCGACGATAGGTAATACAAAATTAAGTTTAATTCTATTCAGGCTCATGTATCATAGGAATGTCCAATGTATTGCTGTAAGCCATGTCTGCAGTGACTGTCTCCATTCTACATATTGCAAAAACTTCATCCCTTAACTTTAAAGAGCTGTAAAATTAAATATTGATTTAAGAAATAAATTATTAATGTTATTATTTATTTATTGAACAGAACAGCGCGCCAAAACACACCCTTAATCTTTTGACATGCCAAGTAAAGGTTTGTGTCTGTAAAACTTTGTTTTTAAAAGCTTTCGCCAAAAATATTTCCTTTTTATTTTACAATCAATACACGAGTTTCCTGATTGATAAATATTAGGATGTCAATTTTCACCGAAATCATATTTTATTTATAAGAATGGTTAAATGGTAATTATTATGCTGAGAAAGTTGGGGGCTTTTGATTACTAGTCGGAAATCGTCATGTTTTACGAATGACGTCATAACATGGGATACGACTTTTCGTAGTATAACATTGTTACACTAGTTATGATGACGTAAACATTTAACAAATAACAATGTCAAAGGACACAAATGCGAGGGAACATTTTTTCACTTTTACCCTTTAAAATCCTTGCTAACACAATCATCATCATCTCATTTTTAGGGTTCTGTTGAAAGTGAAGGGAAGAAAAGCCCTATATTTATTTTAGTCACACGTAGGTTTAGTTTATTATAAAAATTGCTGTTATCTGTTGTGTTATTAAGTCAAGAATTTATTTTAGATAACAGAAATTATTTGTTTCAAGCAGAAGATCATGTAGAGATGGCAAGGTTTACATCATTCCAACTAGAAAAACCTTTCTGGCTATTTTTTTCATACAGCTGCATTTCTCCTTTGTAGTTTAAACATACACTCTACAGTAAACACTTATTTTATATATATTTTGGCACTAACATATCAAACAAGGATATTATATATAGGCACTAACCACATACATCAAACAAGTATTTTGTATAATTAGGTACATACATGTATTTTTTAAGGTGGATGTCAGTTTTAAGCAACAGTAGGAAGGAAGCTTTGGAGAAGGCGTTCGGTGAACACGGCAGTGGTTTGGTAGGTTTCTTTTTCAAAATACACTTTGAGGATTAAAAACATAACATTAAATCTGCTACTGGAGTTAAGTATATAAAATTACCAAAGCTCAGTGTTCAAGGTTAATGTCATCATTCCATGAATTATTTCAGCAAAAAGACAATCTAATGGACGAGACTCATGATTTACGTCAAAGAATTGTTCGAGTCGTTCAAAGTTTGCCAGGAAACGATATCTGTGCGGATTGTAATTCTCCAGGTACGGGCGTATAATGTCTTTTTATACAGGTATTTATCTTGGTAAAGTTATGGATATAACATTGAAGTTGTGGGAAATTTTCTCCACAAATAAGCAACTTAAAAAATCAATGTCAAATTTAAAATTCTATGACAATGAAATTCAATTTAGATCCTACGTGGTTATCGACTAACTTGGGGTTCTAACTTGCATTGAGTGTTCCGGTATTCATCGTGAGATGGGAGTTCATGTCTCAAGAGTGCGATCATTAACATTGGACAACCTTGGTACAGCTGAATTGTTGGTATGAGAAAATAAAATAATATAGATACGAAATAATATAGACTTTTTTTGTACGTCTTTTTTAAGCTTAGTCCAATTCAACACAATCATGGTATCTCCTGCACACCATATCATAAAGCAAAGACAATTCAATCCGTATCATTCAATTTAAATCTCGTCTACTTTAGATAGCAAAGGCGATAGGCAATGGTGGATTTAATGAAATCATGGAAGCAACACTGGACGACGATTCATTGAAACCAAAATCAACTAGTAAAATGTAAGCAACTTGTTTATATAAAATATACTTTAAGATGAAAGATTAACATTCGTGCATGGTAAAGTTGAGGAATTGTCTTTTTTGTTTAAAATTGTCATATAATTATTTAGGTTAATATAATCTTTAATTTAAGTGCCATCTTAAGTCATATATAACATGTGTGACATTAATTTATACAGGGATGAAAGAAAGGAGTTCATTCGTGCCAAATATATCAATCATAAATACGCACAAAAGTTGGAGGAAAGTCCGTCTGGTCTTTCAAAGGTCCACTTAATTTAAATGAAAAGGATTAGAATTCATTAATGTTAATTATATATTGTCGGAAATATATTATATATTATAGTTAATTATATATTTTTGGAAATTTTTCATTACGTCTAGGGTCTAGCGAAAGCCGTACACAAGAAAGATATCTTAGCTGTACTACAAGTATTTGCTGAAGGAGTTGACCTCAGTGCTCCCATGCCTGATCAAGTACGAAAAAAATATATTTGTTGAAGAACTGTAGAATCGATGCTACGCTGTGCTTACTCCAGTGGTTTTTACACCTTACTTCGATTTTGTTCATTGAGCAAATTGATCATTTAGTACAGTAAAATGCTCAATCTGTAGCGTGTTATTTGGTGCAAATACTCCCACGGTCCCTTGGTGACCGTGGAAGAATTTTGACTATTTTAACTCGGGGATATGATTTGACGATGTTTGACCCATTACGTAATATGAAATAAAGTCTAAATAATCATGGTTTATCCTGTATAGGCTATCAACAGCCATGCTAGATGATCCGTTATGATATGACGATATCTGACTTATACTAAATTATAGTATAAACATCCTAAGCTGTTATGATTTATATAATTATTGCACAATGGATGCACATTCAAAATTTATTTTCCTTACTTCATAGGATAACAAGCACACAACATCATTGCACTACGCAGTGAGAAATGACCAAGATGATACCTCTTTGCATATTGTTGATTTCCTCGCACAAAACACGTAGGTTTTAGGTGAAAGAAATGAAAACATATACATTGAATTAGTTGTAATGTAACTCAATTTAAACGCTAATATAACTAACCTTGATCTATTTTAAGACAATTTATTCTTCAAAACTTTTAGTTAATTTAGCAATTTATGAATCCATCCTTTATATTATAAATACCTGCTCTTGTATAAGTATTCAATTCATTTCACTTCCACTGTGAAAGCAGACGAATTTAAGTTGAGTTCAGTTATTTTCTATCGTATAGAAGCAACATAGACGTACTATCAGATGGCAACTCGGCACTGCACCTTGCTGCTGGTCTTTGTAAGACCGAATGCATTAAAGTACTGGTACGAGGTGGAGCTAACTCAAGTTTGGTAAATGTTCATGGTCAGACTGCATTGGATATTGCTACATCTAAAGGAAATGACGAAACAATTGAAGTGGTAAGTGTTGCAAATGAAACATCGAACTGATAAATAAAGATTAGAAACCAATGAACTTAGAAAAATATAAAATTAAAATTGCTTAATTGCGTTATATATTTAGAAATTATGATGAACAGATTTGATTTAGTAAATGATTGAAAGAATAAAACACGAACTCGTTATAAAAATATTCCCTCTGCATCCTTTGATGACATTGCATACTTGTTTAATGACGTAAATTTATGCTTGTTTAGTTGAAAAGCATTCAAGGAGGTAAATTAAGTCATTGTGACAATGTTAAAATTGACTGGGGACTAGAACAGGCAAGTGCGACAACTATAGATGCATAAGTTATTTGATTTGACATTTATTGAACTACACATAACTTTTTTTATAGGCTGAAAACATTTACGAAGATCCATGTAATTTTGATGATTTACGTATTGATTTACAAAGTGAAGACGAAAGCGTAGATGAGCCTCTTAAGGTCTCCATCTTTTCTTTTTCTTATTATTTTCAACGATTCATAGCGTCCAGGCACACGTAACGTCGTGATCATGATAATTAACAAACTTACCATAAAAGAAAGGTTCACCATAGTGATACAGATTTTCATTACTTGGTTAGCATTGTTACCATAGTGATAAAGGTTGTCACCACTACATCACTATGAGTATTCTCACCATAGTGATTGATATTGTCACCATTATGATAAACATTGTCACATTGCACGGGCAAATGATTTATATATGTTTTTGAAATTTTTATAACTACTACGGTTTTCATCACGTTGCCGTATGACATAGCTTTAAATTGATCATAGGTTTAAAGTAATTTTCTTCATCATTGTTTTAAATACATTGTTTCAATTCATTAAAGTTGACTAACCTCAACTTTTTTTTTGACTCAGGCTGTTGGAACTCCGCCACGTGGTAGACGTCGACCATTTAGCATCGCCGTCATGCCGTCCCCAGGCCAACGCTCTAAAGGAACGAGTAACGACAATGATGTCGCACAAAACTATCATCCATCCAGTCAATCTTTAAACGTCATCGGTGAGCTAAAGAAGAGACACGGATTAGGTGAAGATCTTCAAAAATCCCTTCGAAAAGTCGCACCCCCTCCTCCTCCTACGTCCACTATCCCTGGTACATATGCTGGGGGACCTGTTTATCCCACCACGCAGCACTCCACGTTTACCAAAGGTCATAATAGAAGGTTTGTTCGATCACATGACAAATTTGCTTCAATTTTATATTGTTATGTAGCAGTTGGCTTTGCAAAAACAATAAAATTACTTCCTTAAACCATCGAGAGAACTTCGATATGTTACAATTAACTTGTTGGAATTCTTATCATTCAGTCATTTTAAACCAAATTGCGGTTTCCACGTTTAACAGCAATCAAAATTCTTAAAAAGCAATTTTTGTCCGTTTACCGAACATAAGAAAACTAAGAAAACTAAGATATAGGAAAATATATTTTACAATTCCAGTAACTCGACTCCTCACGACGACCTTCCACCGACACCTCCAGTAAGAGGAGCTTCTGTAAGTAAATCAACACGTACAGCGGTTGCTATCCCTAAAAGTCGCCCGGTATCTCCTCCACCTAAACCATACACCATACAATCAAATATGTCTACTCCTCAAAAGCCGACAAAGAAATCTAATTCAATGGAAGCGTAAGTAACTAAATTATATTCAACCGTGGATAGATATAATTTTCTGTAGTTAACATGTATCGCAGAATCGTGAACATGTGAACTTCTGTTGCATTAGCACATAATGCTTCCGACTAAGTTACACACGACATTGTCTTAAACTTGTTGCCTTGCTGAAATTTACACATTTTCATATTGACTTAATTGTGAAACACAAATTTCGTAGGAAATTTTGTCAGAATAGGATTGATTAAGAAAAGGTTGAAAATATTTTCATATGTCGTAACGGTGAAAGTTACTTTATCCAAACATGTTTGTAAATGTAGATCGTCGAGGTTAGTATAGTCCTGAGAAGGACTGTTTTTGTTGTTGTTGAAAGTCTTTTGACTCTGAAGAAGACTACCGCTAAGGTTGTCGAAACGTCAGTCAAGAACAACAAAAACAATTCTTCTCAGGACTATACCTACCTGGAAGATCTACATTTACAAACATGTAACGATACTTCAGGGTTCAAACCATTTATTTTATCCAAACATGTTGTATTATTTTTGTTTAATGTCAGCCGTCCAAAGCCTCCAATAGTGCCTAAACCCAAACATGAAGACATAAATGGTAAGAATGGATATTTTAATATATTTATGTGCATTGTTTTTAACTTAATGTTAAAACTACTTAAGATTCAAGAAAAGTCACACGTACACTCTCATCATCTCCTCCCAAACTGCCTTCTCATTTACCCTCACCTGCAGCTCGTCAATCGTCACCTCCACCCGTGTCTACCCCAAACATCTCCAGAACAACATCTACACCGACATCACGAAACGTACTTTCTAACCGGGTTGTGTCTCCACCCAAGAATGGAGTACAATCATCATCCACAACCCCAGCTAAATTACCACCATTACAACACAGAAAAGACGCCCAGGAACTTGTTCCCCCACCTCTACCACCAAAGCAGTTGAAACAAAAGAAGGAACCGGAGAAAGTTGATGAGGACACTAAGCCACCGGAACTTCCACCCAGAGTAGTATCTTCATCAGTAAGTTGCATTGTAAACTCTGAGATAAAATATTATTAACTATGAGACATGTGGTTCAATACATTTTTTTTATAAAGTCACTTAAGCATAATATCAAGAAGGTTCAAGCAATATTCGATTGCGAGGCAGATAATGACGATGAACTATCATTCACCGAAGGCGAAATTATTATAGTGTCTGGAGAGGCTGATCCTGACTGGTTGGTACGTAAACATTTAGACTCGTTTATGATTATTTTACAGAAATTTATTCTTAAAAAACCGTTTAGAACGAACTAAAAATCTACCTGTGCAGCGTGAATTTTGATGGTTTTGTTTAAAAACTCCAGCTATGCAAGTTAAATTAAGTCAGTTTAGTTTAGGTTCCCTTCTATGTCCACAATTACTGAATGAACGGAATGAGCTGTCTAGTTACTTTAACTTATCTCTTAGAAGAAATAATTCATAAGTAAAATAATCTCCATTCTTTCTAAAATGCTTTTGCTGTTATTTCTTAGATGGGTTATATCGAAGGTAACCCTAAAAGGGAAGGAGTATTTCCGACAACATTTGTACGGGTTTTGGAAAGAGAATGAAACCGTCATTGTTGAATGTACTCAACCTGGCTATTCGGAAAGATTACTGAATAGTGTGATATGCATTTGTGGAGAAATGGGTAGTCGTATGAAAGCCTTCTTACATTGAACTATTCATGGACCACGTCAAGTCAACGATCCAAGTAATCGTTTAATTTTACGAACTTATGAAAACAAAATTGAAAATCGAAATTCGCGGGGGAGAATTTTGCAACAATCTGTTCAACTAACGTAATGACGATATGTATGGATAACGTATACAGTTAAAAAATATTGAAGATCGGCTTTAAAAAGATATATTGTGACCGCCATGGCCAATGAACTGATTATCTAATTTCAAAATTTATGAATAAAAATATGTACTTAAAATTACCACTTGAATTACAAAAAGAATTAATAAAACTCTGAGACGACCACATTTTACGATTTATGTTTTGTCAATGTGCTTGTCTTATTAACAGGATGTCTAGACGATTTTAAAAATGATAATCCGTATTTGGTAAAGATGTTGGGGTTACGTAAGAAAACGAACACATATTTGCCAAAAATTTTATATCATATCGACAAAATTTGTCATTTAATATAACCAAGTGATTTCAAGTATATTATTTGATATGAAACAAAATCATGTTGGCAAATTTTTTTTATTAGATTTAATTACTTTACATCGACTGACGAGATTTTGGTTGTTTAATATAATAAAATAAATAATGCGAAATATCCTTATCATTCAGTTAAATAATAAAAACATATTTGTCGCTCCATATAAACATGGTTGTATAACGCTGAAGTATACTAAAAGACCCATGAAGTATTAACGAAAATTGTATATACACAGCCATGCTGTACAGCCCGTTATGAAATGACAACCACATAAGTTGTGGTTTATATTTATATGATTTCTGACGTACACTAAAATAGAATATTAATAGTCTAAGATGTTATGCCTTATATAGTTATTATTACATAAGTGATGCATATTCAAAATATATTTTCCTTATTTCATAAGATAACAAGCCCACAACATCTTTGCACTACGTTTTAAAACACGACAAAAATGACTCGTCTACGTTTACAAATTTTCATTTATATATATATATATATAAATGAAAATTTGTAATCCAGGCATTGAATACATAAACGATAAAAGTTTCTCCGGATTTTGAATGATTTTTATTGAGCTTTTTTTATTGATTTTTATTGAGTCGAAAGCTCAATAACAATCATTCAAAATCCGGAGAAACTTTTATCTTTTATATATATATATATATATCAAACCAATTACAGCCATTTTTACGCGTTATGGACCACATGTCGTGTTACACAAATGTTTCTGTTGTATATTATTTGAAAACAACAAAAAATTTTCTCAGACATAATTAATGCAGTCAGCATTATTTAGAAAATGTACATCCGATAGTTCAGGAAGATAAAGAACAGTGAAGTAATATGTTAAATTTATAACATAAAATCAATTAATTTTCATGTAAAAATAGTTTTAGAACACCTTCATCGTATTACCCAAACATATAAAGAGGCCCGTTTTTACATAACTACTTTCGAAAATGACTTTTCAATTTTTCAAAACTCTTATTATTGCAACAAAAAAGCATGTTGTAAAAAAACCCAAACTAAATAGGTTACAAACATTTAACTATATAATACAATATTTTACTAAATTATTTGATGCCGTATAACAATTATTTGATGTCGTTTTGAAATTGTTTTAACGACTTAAAACAATTTCAAAACGACATGATGAAGATGATCCAGTCAGTAAAATTTAAAAAAGTACACAACACATTTCTCACCAAAATAAAAGACAACAACACAGCCATCAAACACAAAAAAAAGCTACTTATCGCAGCCGACAAAACAACAATTCATTTCATTAATCGACAAGCACTTTCCCATAGACCACAAACTCAGGAAACTATTTAACCGCAACACAATTAAGTACAGTTGCATGAACAATATGGAACGTGTTATCAATAACCATAACAAACGCATATTGAGAGAACCTGACAATACTAATGACACCATCAATGACAAAAAATGTAAATATAATTTCCTCATTCTGATGAAGGCTCGAAGCAACGAGTCGAAAGCTCAATAAAATTGTTTATAAAATCCGAGAAACTTATTTTTAAACCATATATATATATATATATATATATATATATATATATATATATATATATATATATATATATATATATATAAATATATATAAATGAAAATTTGTAATCCAGGCATTGAATACATAAACGATAAAAGTTTCTCCGGATTTTGAATGATTTTTATTGAGCTTTTTTTATTGATTTTTATTGAGTCGAAAGCTATATCGACTCAATAAAAATCAAGATTTTTATTGAGTCGAAAGCTATTTATTGATTTTTATTGAGTCGAAAGCAGATATATATCAAACCAATTACAGCTATTTTTACGCGTTATGGACCACATGTCGTGTTACACAAATGTTTCTGTTGTATATTATTTGAAAACAACAAAAAATTTTCTCAGACATAATTAATGCAGTCAGCATTATTTAGAAAATGTACATCCGATAGTTCAGGAAGATAAAGAACAGTGAAGTAATATGTTAAATTTATAACATAAAATCAATTAATTTTCATGTAAAAATAGTTTTAGAACACCTTCATCGTATTACCCAAACATAAAGAGGCCCGTTTTTACATAACTACTTTCGAAAGTGACTTTTCAATTTTTCAAAACTCTTTTATTATTGCAACAAAAAAGCATGTTGTAAAAAAACCCAAACTAAATAGGTTACAAACATTTAACTATATAATACAATATTTTACTAAATTATTTGATGCCGTATAACCAGATTCATAAAAATATCGTGCATTTTGATCAAAAATGTAAAATTTATGTAACGTTGCAATTCAGTAACATTTTGTCTATTTTTTGCTAATAATTGTGTGAGTCGGTACTAAATTAGGATCGACTTCCCACGAGACGCGTAGGTTTTCGGCAAAGAATTTTATTCATATTTAAGAAATCAAACATTTTTGTGTCCTGGGTTTTAAGTATATATACATAGCTAGTTCTCAATTGTTTTTTAAAACAACAAAAAGTGGCTAAAGACTGGAGATAGCCAAAGACTCGATAAAGTTTGAAGATCAAAAGCATAGGTATTGTAGCAGGTTTTCTATCATATATATATTTAAATAGATTAAATTAACTTAACATTGACATAATAATATGTTTGCACCTGGATGATCATTTATAGATTTACCAGGATGCAAATTATACCAACCGATTCTGTTCCTCCTTTCTCGAAAAACAAAACAGCAAAATGAATTATTAGTTTTATCGTTACATGTTTTTTGTTGTTGATGTGCAGGTTAGTAAAGTCCTGATAAAGCCTGTTGGTGTTGACTCTGAAGATGACTACCGCTAAGGGTATCGTCATATCAAAATTTCAATTAATACCAACATCAACAGTCCTCATCACGATTGCACTAACCCTAAATTCATCGTGTTTATTTATGCCATGCATGGATAAAAAAACCTGTGAACATTGCATGGGGCACGGAAACGTTCACGAATGATTTCGGAAATGTTCATTTCATATCAATTATTTCTAAAAGACTTTTAATAATTTATAGATTACAATAATAAAATTTACACAAACGCATAATTTACAGATCGATGCACGCAAGATTTAAATTTAAAGATACATTTTTGATACGCACACTACAAAAAATAGTTTATTAGTTACTTATATAATTGTACAACGTATCATCACAACAAACCGTATGCACAATTGGGGTGGTTTATTTAATGAAAAAACGGTTTGTTAATGACACCTTTTCCATTTTTTACACAACTTATGTATTTTTTAACAGACATAAACAGGTTGGGAAAGTGAACTGGGATTACACTGAATTGAATTGAATGAAAATGAATATCCAAAACACAAACAAAAATATCATATTGGTACTAGCAGGATTGATGGTCATCAAATTTTCCCTGTTTTGCAACATAACCGTCGAAGCGAAGCCTATCAGTACCAACAACACGTTTAAGTACGTCAATTTAGTGACTGAAACTGGAAAATATCTTTGCTTCAAAAACAACCATATCACGGGAAAAAACTCCCACAGTCATCATGGTAAGTTATTCTATTGCTACATATCCAATACGTTCAATAAATAATGATGAACACAGCGCAAAGTACAATCATTTAATCATCAAATTTCTACGTATTTCTAACGAAGAAAATATAAGGCACATCACGTATGCGCAGAAAACGTATCTTATATCGAAAATCTCGTACTTATAGCATACCGGTCAATATTTCTTAAGGGAGTGTCGGTTAATTTTAACCCATAATAACCTAGTGTTCACCTACTATTTAGCCAACTTTCCACAATATTCAGCAAATATTACTGTACTGGTCTTTTCATTCAACATTCAGGAAGGCTTCCCTCCTCCACTGCCCGATATGCCTCTGTTCGTATGTCTGAAAGGCGACCCCCCCTCAATACGTACCAAGAATTGTGTTCTTTATATAATAAGTAGCGAAGCCATAACGATTTTCGATTGCTGTGGTAACATTTTTGTGCTCATTCAATGGAAAAATGAGTCAAATTAATGAAAGTTAATTAATTAATGAAAGTTTTGTCACGGCAGAAGTAAAATCATGACTTCGCTGCCGTTGTGTACGTCTTTTTTCAACATTGTCGTGATGTAACGAATTGAAAGTGAAAATTTTGATGGCTTCAACTAGACTTTTCTCAATGTTTCAATTCATTTGCTGGTTTTTATTAAGAAAATATATAAAAAAAACAAAACAAAGAACTGTCGAAAATTGTTGCTAAGGAAATGAAAACCTTAGTTGTCAAATATTTTGCAGCCAGTTTGCAATTGAGCGTGCCGCGTGCATAAATTGAACTTTCTATAGTTTCAAAAGTTGATGTTACTAACGACCATATCATTGTTGCTAAGATGTAACCTTGAGATATCATTGGTAAATAACAAAGTGTTGTGCTAGGAGTCAACGATAAGATCACACCATGTCACACCGATAAAAATTTAAAGTCAAACACCTAACAAATAAAACTTTACCGCCTTTTCAAACGTCCTTCCCACACATTTTAAATTTCAACATGTTATTACTGTTTATCACATTTAATTTATAACAAACTTTTAAAATAATTTCTGAATGCCATAGGGTCAATTACAAATAGCTGCGTAATAATATATTTTCACATATAACTATTTTTTGTCATTATTTCGTTTCCCGCATTGATAGAAGGCAAACAAACTATGAAAAACTGTTTTAAAACAAACAGCTAAAGTATTTTTAACTGTATGAGAAAAATCATAAAAAACTGAAAATTGTAATAGATTTAAATTAAGTATGTAGCTAATAATAAAAATTGTAATATGAGATTTATCAAACTAATAAAATTGTTTCTTCCATGACAACAACGTTTAATTGGTTTACGCCAAAACCATTTTTTAAGTTCTTGTACGTCATTCTTTGAAATGTGTAAGAAAGATGACAGAGAAGCAGGAAAGTTACAATTCTTTTCATTTTCTAGCTAACCTGAAGAAGCACACCATTGGACTAACAGGGAAAGTAATAATCAAAAGAAAAGGAACATATTTGGCAATGGACTCAGCAGGCAATGTTTATGCAAGTGTGAGTATTTTATTTCTTTAATTACAAGAAATACGATCAAATTGATCACTATTTTTAGCGAAAGCATAATTAAGCCAAAATTACTTCATGAATGGTAACCAATGTATGAAATAATTTTTTTTCCCGCCAATAGAAACAGAAAACAACCGAAACTGAGTTTATTGACGTGAGAAAACCAAATGATAGTTATCTATATATTCAATCAAACAAGTATCCCAAGCTATACCTTAGCATCTCCAGTAGTGGTTTAGTCAGTGGCACCAGCATCATAGGACAAGGTGATACAAAATTTGCAGCCTTGACACCTTAAACAATTTGTAAATATTAACCCTTACGATATTCCAAAGTTTGAATACCAGCAATATTTATATATTATATATTGCATTAGTAAAATATTTATTGCATCAATAATTTTATTTTTGTCATTTATATATTTTTTATGTTGAATAGATTGTGAATAAAATAATTGCTTCAAATTGAAGCTTTTGAAATTGTTCTCAGGTCTTTTATGGAAAACCATTACTGATTAGTTATCAATGCCACTTGTGTTTTGTGTATTTCTACATGGATTAAATGCCTGATAATTTTGATGAATACAAAATGCAATCCAAATGACTACAAAAACCTTAACACAAAGCTTTGCACACAATTTCCAATAATACAAATGACATAAATCACTTTATTGCTCTGTGCTGAAATAGAATTTTTTCAATCTTTGATAACATTTTCAAAAGAAAAATGTCACACATACATATACAATACTTCTTAAATTAATATAGATGTTTGAAGTTCTTATTATTTTAAACTTATGTAATTATACATAACCATTCCACCATTCTTACAATATAGGTTATATAGCTAGTTTATACTTGCTAAATTAAATCATAGAATAACTAGTCAAGAAAATATTTCACTTATACAAGTATTTCATAAATATTACTGCAGTTTCTTATAAAACGCCGCCTATGGAAAACTCCTCAATCGATAAGGATGGTGTGGATGAAAATAGTTTTGCTATCATGTCAAGCTTCAATAATATGGTATAAATCTGTGGCCCACAGTTAACAAAAAATTGAAAAAACTTACCAAAGTAATAACTGCTCGGAGTAATAACTGCTCAGCGAGTAACATAACAAGCAAGTAAAATTTTAGCTGAATCACGGTGCATTTTCGATTCCTTTTAAAAGAGTTTCGATGGCTTTGACCATATCTGTCTCGTGTCTGGCTTTGTGGGCATTTTGAATATTTAGGCGCGAAAACAATAACATGATGGGTGTCCCGGGAACGAATATGGTCGTCTAGTTCCAGTTTTCTCAAGATGTAAAAAAAAGACAAAAATTTCGCGATAAATATAAATCCCAACATTCGCGTGTTCTATTAATGGTTCTATTTGATAATAGTTGCCAAAAAACATATGCAAAAAAGCACACGTTTGCTATGCAATACCACATCAAAGGTATGCGGCAGTATTTTCGTCGCTACACAAAGTGCAAAGCTACATTATTTTTCTTTTCGTTTGTGATTGTTTATATCACGTTTTTTGACCAAAATATTGCGTACAAATTTTATTGCTATTTTGAGTTCAAAATTTCACCAAAAGAAAACAATACGTTGCCAATAGTACAGAACGAATCGTTACAATGCAAAGATTTGATAAACATTGCGAAACAGATGTTGGAAGGGGTGAGAATGCCGTTACCCTTTGAAAGTGAGGCAGTGCGATGGAAATTTAGAACAAGAGCCACTAAAGTGAATGTAATGTATGGGGACAACCTTACAGAACAACCTTCAGAGATCGTAAAAGTACGAAACAAGTACAATGTAACTTCGAAGAAAATAAGCCAACATAGTTTTATGTTCACATATGGTCATGGTTGTTGCTACTGCTCAAGAAGACGTGCAACTTTGAAAGCAAAAACAGTTGGAGGATTTGACTATGTAAGTTCGTTTGACTTAGATGCAATATCAAAAGGCTTTCAGAAAACACATCACGATATAATCAGTGCTCACCGAGGGGCTGGTTATTGGATATGGAAACCTTATCTACTACTTAAGATGTTGACATTGCATATGAAGCAAGGAGACATAGTTATGTACCAAGATGCTGGGGCATATTTCATTAGATCTGCTGGACCATTACTAAAACTATGTGAGGATTCTGACGAGGGTATCATTGTGTTCAGTCTTACTCATGTGGAGCATAAGTTCACTAAACAAGACACTTTTGTACTGATGAACATGACTATACCAGAAGCAAAGGATTCCTGGCAACGTCTTGCATCATATATTTTGTTGAAAAAAAGTTGCAATGCTATACAGTTTGTTCTGGAGTGGCTAGCCTATCTTACAGACAGACGTATTGTTTCTGATGACCCAAATGTTATGGGTAAAGATAATCCAAAATCCTTTAGAGATCATCGACATGATCAATCTGTTTTATCCCTTCTTTCTAAAAAATGGGGTCTACCAGCATTTCGAGATCCTAGTCAGTATGGTGAATATCTTTCAGGAAATAAAAAATATTCATGCGGACCTTATGATGAAATAATTATGCATGATAGAAATAAATCTTAGCTCAAAGAAGCTGTTACGTATATTTTTTGAAAGAGAGTTCTAATATAAATAATCTTAATTAATATATATAAATCTATTTTATTTTACAATTGGTATTTGTAAATTTTAGATGATTAAAAATGCTAAGATACTTGTGGCTTGTTTTTGAACTTGTACAATTAAAAGAAAATCGAGGATTAATGTTTTGCCTAAAAGGAATGAAATATGCAGTATTTCATTTCATAAAATCTCTCATACCTAACATGAAAGCAATACTTGCATGTTGTTGTCAATTCCTGTTTCTGTCATGCACAATAAGTTGGGGGAATGGACCACCTGCATATCCCAAGTTATTACCATATTGACTAGGTGTTCGATATGCTGGAATTCCCCATTTCTTTGACAGTAATGACAAAATTGACTGATCATGCCTATGCTCTTCATATCCAGGTAAATTTGCTTTACCTAGAGTGTTTTGCTGGTCAGTGATGAGTAGTGGATTTGTGGCATACATAAGCCACTCCATAACAAATTGAATTGAATGGCAGCTTCTACGAAACAAAATAAACGATGCCATTCTCTGATATGTTTTATAAACTTGTCTAAAGTCCATATCCATGATTATGAACGCATCTCTCTTTGTGTAATGTTGCTCAAGTAAAGTAACATAAAACAACAAAATGCCGTGTTTTGAATCCAATGCTAACTTAAGCAATGGTCCTGCATCTTTGATTAAATAAGCTCCTGAGTCTTGGTACATTAGTATATCACCATTATTCATCTTGTTCAACGTCTTTAAAATTATATAAGGTTTCCATAACCAATAACCATTACCTCGACGTTGCTTTAAAGTCTGTCGGTATCTAATTCGAAAGCCTTTGCTTAAAGAACTCATATCGTGTATTTCAACTACATCAAAGCCACCAGGATAAATTGCTCTGGTGGCTGCTTTTAATTTGGACTGTTCGCAACAATTGTCGGCAAACGTTATAAAGTGTTTCTTTGCAAATATGTCAACAGATCTCGAATTATTGTAAAGGCTTACCAGTTTCTCAAACAGCTCTGTTGTGAAATGCTTCTTTTCATAGTTCAGCAAAGGTAAGTCCATTAATTTCTTTTGAAAATTCCTCCTATAATGTTGATGAACGTCTTTAACCTTCCACATTTCATCAAACGAAATTAAGTATGAACCGTTGAGCAACACGCCCGCCATCTCACGAAGGTTTCTACATTCTTCTTTTGTGTGATATTCATCAACAAAATTTACATTATGATAACTTGAATAAAAAAACACTTCTTTAACATTCGTAAATAAGAAAAACAGCAGAGCCAAAAAGAATATTGAAATTAAAAGTAATAGGTTAACACACCGTTTTAATAAGACCATATTACGAGATCTTCGCATAGGCACGATATTGTGATATACATGAATTATTCAACGAGTATTCACAATAGTTGATTCTAAAATCTATTGCACTGGACCATAAAATAGTTGTTCTCTTCAATAAAGCTCGAAAACTGTTTTTTGTATATCTGTTTTAATGTTTATTTTGCAATTTATTTGTTAATTTGCAATAACTTCTCTTTTTGATATCTCATAAGAATTATAAGAAAAATACCGATTAACGCGTAATTGTGATTAGTAAGGAATTTTTTAACAGTATCAGGCATGCAATTAAAAGGTACACACAAACACGACTGTACTTAGCAAAACTATAAACGCACATCTAGTGACGTGCTTGGAAATAATCCGTTTATTATGTTGTCACAAGGACCTAACAAAAGGTTTGAACGCTTATAGCTTTTCTCTGCTTCTCGATTCATGATTTCTTGAATTTCCAAATCGAGTTCATTGAACTCAATCAATTCAGTATCAAGAGTTTCACTCATTTCTTCTTTTCCAATACTGTTATTCTCTCCAAATACACGTGCTGCTGTATTATCAGATCCATGAATAAGCGTCGTCATTGTTTGCTTTAGCTGACAAAAATCCATGACATTTGAACGAGATTCAGAAATATTTTCACGAAAAGTCTTGGAAACACAAACATCGTCGGCAACTTCGTTTCTTCTTTCTACATTACATTTGACAGCTACCCCTTCTACTATATCATTTTCATTGACTTCACTTGAACCAAAGGGGATGGAGTTTACCAAACTCCCCTCATTCTCAGCTTCATTTTTCTGTTCAACTCTCGTTTTCTCTTCAATCTTTGGTTCAAAATCAAGAAAGTCCATTGTGCCAATGTCGTCCATAAATTCCCTTTCGAAATTGTAGAATGACTCAATATCTGCAAAATTTGAAGTTAAGGATTCCACTTTCTTTTCTGCTTCACCCTCTTCAAAAGAGTAATTTTTGAGATTCTTGTCGGCGTGGTTTATGGTCTGGTTGTCCATAGTCATACCAACATTATCCAATGTGTGAATTATTTCCTTCATAAATGTTTCATTCTTAGTACAACCTTGAGAAGCATTACTTGTTGTAGAATTGTTTGAACCCGGACTAGAATAGCCACTGTCAATTTGACTGTCAATTTTTTCAACTCGTTTTTCATGCCCAACGGCAGCATCATTACCTTTCCATGAAAAACTTGAAAAGTCGTGTAAGGCTGCTTTCCCATCACCTTCAACTGATAAATTCCGCTTCTTTTTTGGAACATAAGCTTCAAATAGAGTCTTTCTTTTGCTAGAATTTTTCAAGGACTCTTTGCCATCCTCTTTAATGCATTTGTCAGAAGATTTTGATCTTTCAAAAAACTTCGAATGAGACTTAGATGCAGCAAAATTTGAATTGCTATCTCTTGGCGAAGAAATTATTCCTGGAGAGCTGGCATTACTTTTCCCCTGCATTTGCTTAACGTCTTCTAACTCCCAGTTATTACAAGCAGATAGGTCAACGTGTTTTGGTCCAACATAATTTTCAGTTGAAGTATTAGTAGTATAGTCATTGGGTAAATCATGTATATCTTCAGTTGACTGGGAACTTCCGACAGCGGACTGTCCACCAGATGAATGTTTCTTACGATACAGTGAATTTCGCTCCCAGACAGCAAGATGTACTTCATGTAAAGGTACTCTTGGATCACCTTCTTTCCAATTACAAATTATATTTTGAGTATCATCCACTTCCATCCAATGTGTCCCTGCAGTTGGAGAAAAATAATTTTGAGACGAGAGGTAATTAAACAAAGACACGACTAATAACTCCGTATATCCTTTTCTACCACATAAGTTACCATAACTAGCAAATTTTTCCATTGTTCAGTGTTCACAACTTCATGCCACTAAAAACTTTTTTATTCGCACAATACAAACCAATAAATGTTTTGTAAATGTTATTAATAGCTTAAAGTCTAACAAATGATAATTGTTTCTCTTTATAAATACTTTATAATTGTAGACGACAGAAAGACACATGCAAGTAACAAATAAGGTTAGTGATTGAAAAAAGATCAACTGCTTTTTACAAAATATCGCGTTATAATTTCAAACAAAAACAAATCTATAAACATCACAACAGTTACTTAGCTAACCTATTTCACTAGCATGAAAACCTTTACTTACCATTCTCATGGCGAATCCAAGCGACAAAATGATCTGGGTTCTTCTTGTACTGTATAAACTGACATAAGTTGTAACACTTTCCTTGATAGACAAAACCTGACGAAAAGAAATCTGTCTTCTTTACACCTTCGACAAAATGAACCATCACACAAGGAGGCAACCTAAAGAATTTGAACTCATTCATAAATAACATTTACATCACACATCACATCATAAGCAACATAAAATTAGATATCCATGTACATAAGGTCAGTGCCGAGCTTCAACCAGCTATTTCCCATGAAAAAAAAAACCCAACAAATTCTGTTTGTTAAGAGACATTTCCATCAAAATTTACACTGATCCTGAGGATAATGTGATGGATGCCAGTTTACATTCAAAACATTAAAAATGATCTTGAATGATAAAACATACATCCAATTCATAAACATAAGAAAATGATGTTTATTACAGTTAGTAGTAAGGATTATAAAATTGCTTGCTTAACTAAACAGCTTTCTTAAACAAGTTTAACTTTTCAAAAAACCAATGCTCACTCATAATATAAACATGGCACTACCATACCTTTTTATGTCCAGTTGACTTCTTTGACATGGAGTGTTGCATTTATAACAATTCCTCAAAAAAACTCCTCTAGGCACATTAAAATCTTCAAGTGTGTTCGGGAAACTAACAACCAGTTTATTCAATCTACAAAACATAAACATTGTTAGCTATTATAATGCATTAGACAATGATAAAATACTTTATATTGTTATCCATAGACATTCATTTATATAATTTTATTAAACTCACAAGCTACATCTTCATCTCAAAATTCTGAAAACTCCTCCCCTCTAGCTTCTAGATATTTGTTGAAATAACCCCTCCTATCCAGCATATGCTAAAGCTTACTCCTACCTTAACAGAAAATTGACTGCTGACATTATCTTCAATTACTTCATATTGCGGAGTACATACTTAACAAAGTAATATACCCTACCTGTCTACTTGAGTATATCCACACAAAGAACACTTAAATGTCCATTCATATTCTAGACAAAATCTTTCAGAAACAACTGGATTATCCTTTAATAAGATATTCATACACTGCAAGACACTGTCCTTCTCACCAAGTTGACAATTCATCTTTTTTTGCAATGTTTGAAAAATTTTGTTGCGAGTATTGTACAGCATTGTTTTTCCTTCTTCATTGGGACCCAGTACTTGAGCTTTTGCAAACTTTGCACATAGCTCTTGAAGTATTGAGCCTTTCGGCTTGAATTTCTCAAGACAAAGTTGAAGACATCGATTGTTTACAAGGATGGTCATCACAGAATCCAACCAACACAGGTTAATAAAATTTGACCAGTAGAATTTTGAAACAGGGAAACTCGTGTTAGTAGTCTTTGATGTCTAAAACCAAAAAAATATCTAAGCCAAAAAAACAAAAAATGTAACAAAAAGATTTACTAAATAGCTATTTATAGAGATTGGCTCATCCCAACTCATGAACAGCATTTTAATTCCAAAAACTGCAGTAGCAATTTTATATCTCTGCTACCTTGATACTTACTTTGATAACTTCTTTTTCACTTTCTTTATTGGAGGATAACTTCATACTCCCCTTGTTAGTACTTCCCCATTCACGTTGAACATCCTTTACAGCCAACATTTCAACAGGTTCAAAGCCAAAGGGATACACACACTAAAGAAAATATACAGAATATAATATAAAAATATGGCATGACAACTCTTCATTTATGTTGCATTTATTTCATCAGCATAGTTTGATCTATTCAAGAGTACACAAACATTAAAAGAAATTATGCTAAATAAAAATCCATAAAAATTACCTACAATATTTAGTATTTACACAAATATATATAAAGCCAGAAATACAATCAAAAACATATCAAAATTCTACACTGATACACAAGAAAATATTACCATTAGTGACACCAAAAAAGATACACTCCTATCGTACCATTTCCTAAACAGAATGCACCAATTTACCCTGAATATAAAGAGGATACTTTGAATGAGAAATGTTTCTAACAATCAATTCCTTCCAGTCTTCTTCACACCAAGGTGTCTGTCTTCATTAAACCATTAAAATGGCAAAACAAAATGTCAGACTGGATTGCCTTTCCAAGAAAGTGTCTTCATTAATTTATCAATAACCAAGAAAGTGTCTTCATTAACTTATTAATATCGAAGAAAGTGTCTTTATTAATTTATCAATATCCAAGAAAGTGTCTTCATTAAATTATCAATAACCAAGAAAGTGTCTCTATTAACTTATCAATATCAAAGAAAGTGTCTTCATTAAATTATCAATAACCAAGAAAGTGTCTCTATTAACTTATTAATATCAAAGAAAGTGTCTTCATTAACTTATCAATAACCAAGAAAGTGTCTTCATTAAATTATCAATAACCAAGAAAGTGTCTCTATTAACTTATTAATATCAAAGAAAGTGTCTTCGTTAACTAATCAATATCCTGAAAAATTGTCTTCATTACCTTATCCACATATTGGAAGAAATTTCTTTAAAGCAAAGTATAGCAAATGTACATAGTGAAAGACTTATAGATAAAGTTGAGGTTGACAATTGGATAACATTGATTCAATGAAAGGCATTAAGTGAGCTAAATTACGCTAAATAAAAAACATGGATATTTTAAAAAGAAGACCATTATGTCAACCATACTGACCCTTTATCTACTACATATTACCCAATTGCACCATATTATTATATTACCCATACTTCCAAAAGAATCACTCATTTAGACTGCTAGTGTTGTGATTTTTATCCATTGTAGCGTTGACTATAGCTCTGTGCTCTACACTTTAAGCTCGTTTAACAGCAAAATAGTTGGCAAAAACAAATATTTTGAAAATCACTCACCATGGCGTTGTCACACAGCAAAATACCTTCTTCAAAGTTTACACGACAAAGTTTCAATCTGCTCTCGATTCCTCTTCCTTTGCAAATTTCACAGTATTTATTCTTCATGACACAGCCATAACAAGCAGCTGAAACGTCACGACAAACATAAAATCAGCAAGGAACTGCACTTTTAAAGACATAAACGTTGTGATAAACCGCCAAATTGTTTGCAAGTAAAAAACGTGCACCGAACGTTCTTGGTCTCTGCCACTGACCGTATAATACATCTTTATATCGTAATGCGACTTTGACAGTTGATTTTGAGGAGATCTGGGTCAGAGTCGAGGCGATGTTGCGAAGAATAATCTTTATGTCTTTATGTAAATCTTTTTTTTTTCAAAACGGATAATAAAATTGAAAATAACCATGGAAATAAGTCAAATAACCATTGAAATTGAAATACATTTACGAATAGTTTGACAGAGATTTACAGAATATAAATATGTTGTGCATAAATCGCGTGTCTGAGATTGATCAAACTGGCCCTGATCAGTGAAAGTCACACACGAGCCTGACGCTCTGACATGAACAAACTGAGGTAAGGAAATTTTAACTACAGATGACTTGACCCAAGGAAGATAAAACCCAAGAGTTAGTTAACCATTTTTGCCAGTGTTAACTAAAAGCACTCAACAAAATCTGCCTACCAGTCAAAGCAACTTCACAATCATGATTCATGATACAATGTAAACACAACAAACAAGCAAATAGAAACTCAACCATTGCAAAATATGGAAATGGCTTACATTATTTTAATACATTATAGAAGTAGAGAGGATAAATCCTCTAAGTTTTCAGTAGCATAACATGAGTACTCCATTTCACTCTGAGGTGAAGTCTTTAAATAACTGGCTTAAAACATAAGACATAATCAAGTAAACATTACTTTCACCTAACTATCATCATTATGAGACTAATGTTTTTTAACATTTCAGACCTACTCTCAATGGTTTAAGTTTGGATGGCCACAACAACTTTAGGATTTCCTACATTGTCTTCTTGGATTCTTAAACATTGTAATAGAAGAACAGTTTTAAAAGTTGGCATTAGAAATTTTGTTGATTAAAAATATGAAAAAATTCCAACAACCAAAATTAATGTAAAAATACTTACGTTTTAGGTAAAGTAGAACGTCCTGATAATGTCAACATCAACAGAAGAATGCTCTATAAAAATGGATTCAACATACATTAAAGTAAAAAGAATGGAAACATTGCTATCTAAAGTTACCCAGTTATATTAAAAATACATCAAATAACCTGTAAGAATAGCAGACAGCCAAAACCCTACAGGACATAAAAAAAAGTTAACATTAGAACAAGCTATAAACGTGGAAGAAACATGTCAGGATTGCAATTTTAAACATGCAATGGCTTAAACATTGCAACATGATCAAGTTTAGCACAAGTTTTTGTTGGGTGAATCAATCAAAGCTAAGATTGTCAAAAATCCCAGTTTTTTATTAAGGTTCTCCGCATCCCACAGTGGTTAACTTCTAATGTTCTCTCATGTAGACCACATACTTTATTTACTAACAAAACTCAGGCATTCCATACCGTGCAAAGCCAATGAAATGAAAAATACTGATTGAAGACTCCACTGAATGTAGGACCAATAAATGAACTGTATAAAGAAGAAATTGTAAATATTCAACATGCAGATTACACTATTCATCACAGTTACATGATGGTTGTTGACCAACTAGTTATAAACTCACTTCAGTTGTTTGAACTGTACTTCAACTTACATAAAGTAACAGCACAACAAATGTTGGATGGTGATTATTGACCGCCCAGTTTTTAACTGATTTCTTTTGTTTAAACATACAGTTCAAACTTTAAACTTTACAATTCAATTCACACAAAAAGTAACTGCTTACCCAATGTTAAATGCTGCACCAAATACACCAGATACAACGCCATGTGTAGCTAAATCGATTGGAAAACCTTCAGCTCTGTCAAAAATGCATTGCACACATCATAATTCTATGGTTGTGAAAAATCATACTTCATGAGCAAACAATGGGTTCTTATGAGCAATTTCTTAAATAGAATTCGACAACAGCTTTATATTCTCTGCCATATAACCAAAATATGAGCCATTTGTATCCAAAGTGAACTATGCACAAAAACCAAAACAAAAACAAAAAATGACAACAAATAACTTACTTGACAATATTTTCCATCTCAGCCATGGCAGGCACCAGCATTGGACCAATAGATAATCCCAACAAACCCAAGGAGACACAGACCAACCAAACCTTACTGTAAATTAGCAAATGAAAAACTTATTGACATGAATCATGATTGACAGTGATTTTTTAGTTCTTTGGCTAAGGTTGCTTGTTTATAACTAACTAGAGGTTACTTCACACAGATCAGATCACTTACTTTGGCATAAAAGAAAAAGGAACAGGTCCCAACAACAAGAAACTGATTCCAGCAACCAAACTACCCAGAGTCATCACTACTCTAGCATTTGTCTTGTCAGCAATCCATCCAAACAGGGGAGCGAAAAGTGCATAACATCCACATAATGTAAAAAACAACAGACCAGTCTTTGTACTACTGTGAATTTTGAACTATGTGAAAATAAGGATTGGTTTGTGACAGGAAACTTGTTTCATATCAATAAATTGTTGTCACAATGTATATTCAATACACTTACCTTAGCCTTCATATGCGGTGCAAGGGTAGGTTCAACCACACCAATAGCCATTCCACCAAATACTATCGATAATACTATATTTAAAGTAATCAATATATTTTAAAATTAGTCATAACATCTTTTTGAGCCTTTTTAGTCTGTTTGATTCACTCAAATACAAATTATCATTCAAAAGAAAACAAAAAATAACAAAGTCAAAGCTTACATATAACATCAAAAGCTATAATTTTTAAAAATTTCCAAAGAGATGGTTTAGTCTCAATGTCTTCATCTTTTGAAGATGACTCTAAAATAAAAAAATTGAATAGTCTTTTAAAAATGATTTTAGTTCCAAATTGTTCATTGAAAATCATGCAGTGTGCGAATTAGTTGAGAAAAAACGATGTGCAATTTTTTTGATAAAAGTGTTTCTTTAGAGGCATAATCAAATCAATATTACGTTAATTATTACATAGCACTAATTGCTAAATTTATATTTTTAAACGTGCACAAATTCATATGATTTACAACAGTATTTTTTGTTACAACCGCTGATCCAATTACAAATGTATGAGAAAAATTTTTTGCGCATGTTATTCTCTCCTCCTTTTTGTGCAAACTTTACAGCGCAATAAATTCACCTGTTGGCCATCATCCTAGTACTCAAAAGAGTCAGCATTTGATGTTTCCATCCATTTTTTACTGTATTAACTTTGCTGGTAGCTAAACCTTTCGACGAAAATGGCAAGAAAGACAAGAGTATAACCGAACATACTTTTGCTTTTTGATTATTAATCGTAACATCCTTGATGTTTGCTTATGATAAAAAACATCATATTTATATCATATTACAAGCAATATGTAAAAGCAAAAAGTATGGCTGATCAAGGTTGCAAGTTTGGCTTAATAATTTGAGCGAACTTGTCTTTTTCTCACGTTAGGCTTATTTCATTTAAAATCAAAATTCCCTTTGGTTTATTTTTAAAATTTGGCTTATTTTAAGTTTTTTTTTGTCTTATTTTAAGAATCAAAATCAACATGTTTCCTGATTTTACTGAAAATACTAAAAATAGCTATGATGCCAATTCCCAAAAACAAAACGTAAAGGTTTACAAAACAACTCAAATACAAAAATTGACATTAATAATGTATTACATTCCTATTGTCATATACATATAAGCACCATGTATGTTGACTGTTGACTGACTTCCCAGTTTTAAAATGACAACGTCTTTAAAATTTGATGACATTGTGTCAACATGGATTTTAATGTCGTGCAGCACATTCATTTATAAAGTAAAGATCAGTAAAGATTAAGCTTGAAAACATTTTCCAATTTACGTGGTGGTAATCAATAAAGATGTTTTTTGCATATCTTTTTAAAAAGTGATGTGCAATTGTTTTCATTTTAGCTAAAATGATGTGCAAATTGCACATTGCACAGCGTTAATTCGCACACTGAAATCATGTCATGAATACTGACCTTCACTAACATGAGGCAACGTACAAACTACAATAGGTAAAGAGACAAGAAGTAATCCAGCAAGAACAAAGAAAGGTAATCCAAACCCTCCAAACTACAGATGAAAAAAGCCAACATTCAAACAACAAAACCACCTTTATTTCTGTATAGTACAATCATAAATTATCGTATACCTCATACAAAAAACCACCAAGTAAAGGTCCAATAGTTAGACCAATGCCTGAAAATAACTCCAAACTACCCTAAAATTGATCAAATACTTTGTTACTTTGATGGTCAATGCACAAGTATACATACCAGTAAAAACTGACTTCAAAAGCATCAGTTCTTACCATTACACTCCCAACATTGTCAGGAAAACACATTGCCAAAAAAGCCATTAATGCAGTCATTGCCATGGCACCCCCGACACCATCAAAGATTCGAATGACAAAGGAAAAAACTATGAAAATAGTTCCATAAGGCATCTTGTTTAGGAATCTTGATAAAGAGTAAACAGTAAAGCAACAGACTCACTATTTTTTATGAATTGTTATTTTCAATATATTCTCTTACCCAAATAGGAATTCAGAAACCCCAATTACCAAAAGACCATTAAATAAAAAGAATCGAACACCAATGGTGGGAAGCTTAAAATAAATATGGATTCAATTCAATGTTTTATTAAATAAAGAAAGGCATCAATAGCAAACAGCACAAAATCATCCCCTTGTAATATATATGATACTAACATATGCGCCAACAATTGGTGAGATAATGACATTTGTTAAAGCAAACATTCCAAAGATCAGACCAATAAAAAAGCTGTCGGCACCTTTAGTTTTTGCCTAAATGAGAAAACAGGCAAATAAGATATGTCAGAAAAAAGGTTTGTATGTGATACCTTGTTGTATGTAGGAAGAAAAAATATGGGCAAGGTTAAGAGGGGTGGTTAGCCTTCTGGCCCTTCCCATTGTAACAATTATAAATGGAAGAAATCATAGTGGCACACTCTCATAACTTATGTATCGGCCCAACACATTCTGTAGGTTTCATAAATCAGTGAAAAGGGGTTACAAGAAACAAGAGAGCAACTTAAATCTCCTGGAACACCTTTAACCTATGGCCAATGGAAGTAAGGTTTCAGATTATAGAATACCCTTCCACTCACTACCCACTCATACATGCCTAGTTCTTTATATTTCGTTCTTTATATTGACCACTAAATGATACTAAACAAAATAATAATTGAGAACTAAATTATAATTAAGTTAAACTACGTATGTTTTACTATGAAACCGGTATCCTCGAATTTGTAAGGGTGCCTTTAAAAATGGACGGGTAGTCCATAACTGCTCCTCAGCTTACTGTAATCCAAGCTTAAATTTTTCATTTTTTATAATTGATTGTTTTATTAGTTACTCATTTCGTTTCAGTAAATTAATATTGGCACGATCAGTGGGTTGTCTCGTTAATTGGGCTATTGTAAATACGGGTCTTAACGCTTACCTCCGTCGGATAAAATGGTGCAATCACAGAGTATGAAGCTGACACCGTTACGTAAATAATAGCAAATGTCACTAATATGAACTTCTTTCTACGCTTTTCGCTGTTTGAAGATAATTGCCTTTCTGGATGTTCATTCAACAACGGAGACGTTTCGGTGTTGTCGATAAACATAATTTGTGCCTGTCGATGATCGGTCAAAGAAATTGTTTCGAACGTTAATGATTTTTAGGGCGACTTTGTCGATATTTAGTAATTATGAATATTACAGAAAAGTTTGTATTTGGTTCATTTATATAAAGACAATAAATTATTTCGTGTCTTACGAGCCTATGGACGGGGGTAAGAACGCCAAAAAGGCGAATTGTAAGGCCAAACGTCAAAGCGTAAACAATGATCGTAACCGACAAGATTAGAAGAATGCTCCCCCGGAAAATTTTAATAATTAGATGTACCTTGATTTGGTGACGTTGGTCACACGTGTTTCCTGTTTTATGACAGTAGAATAAAACCATAACGATTATAATATTTGAGACAGGGATATGTGTTAAAAGTCGACAAATATGCAACGTTCATCATATAAGTGCCCGGGGGCCTAGATATGCCAAGAATGTTTGAGAGCGAGTTTAAATCCGATCCGGTCAAATTCGACAACAGCTCTCGATTTGTCCACGATTAAATTATCCAAGAAATTGCATTTTAAATTTGAACTTTCAAGCAGGTCGTACCTCGGTAGGATGAAAGGGTGCTATCACTGAAGATGAAGCTGCAATCGCTAAATATATAATAGCAAATGTCACCAATGCTAATTTCTTTTTACGCTTTTCTGTCTAAAGATAATTTTCTTTTTGAATGTTTATTCAGCAGCAGCAACGTTTCGGTGTGGTTTGACATAACGTTTCCTATTAAACTGAATGCATTGAAATTAATATATTATATAATGAATAATATGATAAAATGTTATACAGTATGCACAGAGGCCAGAGCAATGGCGCAGTGAGGGTCCACAATTGGCTGCTGTATATTTATTAGATTATTGCTGCTGTTAGCCATTTCCATCATTCTTATTGGTCAAAAAAAGCAATTAACAGGCTGGCACATGGTTGGTTAGTGGCAACTTGGCTTTTTTAGGGAAATAAAACTGATAAATAAGTAGGCTTCTATTTTTTTTCGTTTGGCCACCAACAATTGCTCGCTATTTTGGCTTCTTTTCTTTGAGTGTAGTGCTTGTTGCTGGACCAAGTCCAACCAATCGTGACGACGCAATATTGCGCTGTGGACGCGTCAAAAATGAAAAACACGACATTTTTTAAGTCATTGTGATTTGTTGTTAGAGAAAAAACTATTTGGTTGACGTATAATGCAATTAGTGAAAAGAGGCAGGAGGTTACTTGAATAGAACATGTTTATAATGTTGGTAAGATTTGCCTCTTTTTTAGCTTTTCCCCTTAAAACATGCTACTTGGCTAAATTTTGTTGGATTGGCTTTTTAGAAGAGTCAATTGACTTTTAGCATCTTTGTCACGCGCAAAGTCGCAAACAAAAGCCTATCAACCCCAGATCTGATCAACCCTGCTAGCTGCCACTATGGTAATCACACATGCGCAATAAGATCATGGCAAGAAAAAATCCAATAGAGTGGCTCTACTGTAATACTGGAAAAGAGATTGGAAACTTCTTGGAAGCCAATTTAAAATAAAAATCATTGCACACGACACGTTTTTTGCAAATTTATACCACATTAAAGATCGAAGCAAACAAACCTACGGTGATTGTAAAGAGCGCCGAGGCTTTTATGCAATACTTGAAAAAAGTTGACGAATTGAAGACAGGAGCAAGAATGCTCAGAAGATTGTGAAGAGTTCAAAAAAAAAAGAAATGTGAGAACATTGATTAGTTAAAGATTGCAATAAGCCTGCTTTGGAGATTCGTGAACAGAGCTATAATTTCACACGAAGAAATGTTCGACCGTGAGAAATGACAGATTGATGAAAAAATGCTCTAGAGATTGTGAACAGTGCTATGGCCTTACTGGAAGAAATGTTGGACCATTAACAAATTTCATTATTGGTGTGTTAAAATCGCTTGCAATTTGTCTCGATAACTGGACGGTAGGAAGTGCGTTAGTGATTTGATTTGAAACCGCAAATGTCGTTGTTTTTCCGCCATTTGAGCTTACGGGCGCATACATTGATGTGCAAGCAGTATTGGAGCCAGTTTGTGGGTCCACGCGAGATGCCAACGCAAACGGTAGTTGTACTTCGGGAATAATCGTCGTTGCTCGGGCAACACCACCATTACTTGGCTGTTGTACGTTGCCATTTGTCAACACTGCGTCAGAAAAACACACAATGGGATTGTGAGACCACTGAATACCTTCGGCTGTCCCGTTAAATCCCCCATTGTTACAGGTATCGGTTTGAAAGCTATTTAATCCATTGAATGAAGGCACATTTCCAAGACTATTTCCAAATGTCGCGTTTATCCCATTCAATCCTATGCCATTTATAGTATTTATCCCTTGAATTCCATTGATATTTGTAAGACCATTGATTGTATTGAAACCCGCAAAACCGTTTATTTGATTCAACCGAGAGTGATTTTGTCCGTTTATTGGACCAATTCCGTTTGAGGAAGTGCCTGCAGTATTAATGGCAAAGTTGCCACCGGTAGTATTAATGGTGGCCAGGCCGTTTAATGTTCCAAGTCCATTAATGGTATTGATCCCTGTAAAACCATTATGAAGGCCATTTAGACCGCTTCCCAAGGTTTGAAAATCACTCAATGGGCTCAAGCCATTCAGGTTTCCTCCATTTACAGCAATGCCAGCTGGGAAATACTTGATCCATGTTGGTGATATCTTCTGGGTGGCCTGTTGAACATTAAAAAAATTTTTTTCAAATACCGAAATCCTCTCTGTTGATTTCCAGACTTTAACGTACTTTTTATAGCCTTAAAAATCCTACAAATGGTTTAGGCTCTTTAATTGTACCTCATTTCTATTTTTAGATGATTGCTCGTCCAACTTTATTTTTTTCGCCTTGTGTTTATTCTCCTCGTTTTCTTTGGGCAAGCGTGGCACGTCTTTCACAAGATCATTACCATTCAAATCACCGTTTACCTCTTGTTCGTCATCGTCACTTGTCGTAGAAAGTCGTCGCTTCTTCTCGCGGATATTGTCGTTGCTACTGGTACTTTCGCTACTGCTTCCTGGGCTGCTCGTACCAGTTTCAGGAGAATGTTCGTTACCTTTGTGCGACGACAATCTTATTTCACTTGGATTGTTCGCATGTTCATCTGCTACAAAAAGCGAATGAATACTATTGTCATGTGACCAAATAATCGTGGATCATTCGAATGGTCACTTAGTTCTAATAACTTTAATCCATGCAGAACAGGTTTAATCAGTAATTATCTGTCGCATATTTCTTTGCCAAACAATCAATTTCATTTATTTGTCATCAAATCAAGCTTCGTGTTGCATAATAAAGGGCTTTACCTTTTCCTCCTGATGTCGTCACGTCTTGTACCGCAGTATTCTCGATAGACGCATCACGCGTTGGCTGAAAGGACTGGAACTGCTGCAATTGATTCGGATCCAGGGTGGTGGCATTGGTAAATGCCGTCAGACCGTTGGAAAACACATTTTGTGGAAAAGTAAGACTAAATTGCTGTTGTGGAAAAGTAGCGGGACCCGCGTGCATATGAATCTGCTGTATCTGAGCTTGAACTTGTGCTTCGACCCTGGCTTTGTTGTGAACAGCTTTTGCTTCCTTTTCAGCCACGTTGTTACGTAATATTCTATTAATAGAGCTGACGCTTGGCACGTTTGTTTTTTCACAAATTCCATCGTTCAGAAGATTGTTTCGAATCTCCCAGGCAAAAATGCATGGATTCTTGTCTTTGTATTCAAGAATTTTCTCAACCACTTTTGGAGTGGCAACTTTAGGTTTGCTGCCTCCAATAGCACCGGGGCGTACTGAGCCCGTCTCGTAATACCGGCCAAGTATCTTGCTGACGCAACCATGTGAGACGAGGAGCTGCCGTGAAATTTCTGAAGGTCGTACCCCAACGTGAGCTAGCTCTACAATTCTCTGACGCATATAGTCGGGCAAAGGACGACCGTTGACGAAAACACCACCAAGTTGATTGACACCACCGGGTCCTAAAAGAAAAAAAGATGCGCAAAGTGTACATACATAATATAACACACACGTCTCAAGATAACGCACGTTTCTCTTGTGAATAAGGACTGGGGATAGTACAAACTTATAAATGGATGATTACAATGTAGCATATACGTCTCTCCTGCTGATTATAGCGTTACATAAACCAGCTTACTTGTGATGGCAACAGGGGTTGCATATATCTTTCTCATCCTCATAATAGAAAAGCATACGCTTGTCTGTGATTGTTAAGAGAATAACTTAAACTTCTTTACAGCATTATATCGTTCACAGCTTTATAAAATACTTTAATAATTCTTCATGAGTGGTTACAATAGAACACTGTCTAACTCTCCTTGGTTGATATTCCCCGGATAAAGCAAAGATATGTACATCCTTTATGAAAAAAATGCTCACCTCGGTGTGGCATAACGTCCTCAGCAGCGCCGGTGAAATTCTTTTGGTTTGTCCCTCAACAAACTACAAGAACAAATATATATATAATTGAAGTGCACTGTTTTAAAGCGCATAAAATTTCTTACTTGTATAACTATGTAACAACTATGTAAACTCATTTATAAACCAATGATCTTGACTATAATTTTATATTTTTATATTATTTTCAGCACTATCCAAAGCAAGCTCCTAAGAAGGGGTTATTGTAGCTTGAGGTTATCACTACCAGTCATGAAACCAGTTGTTTTCATTTGCAATATAAAACACAACAAATAATTTGAGATAAAAATGGTAAAATTACCAATAACACCTATACCAATAAGCAATTGACATTTACTAAGCGCGTTGAAAAAAAAATTGAAAAAAGTAAAGTTGGTTTTGAGTGGAAAAAAACAGTAAACATCGACGTACAAACATATAGAAATGAAATACATATAAAATACGTATATGTATATATATATATACAAATATAAAATACAGTTGTTGGTAAACTAGACCAAATTCAATATGTTCCTAAATTAGCAGCAGCTGCAGCCTAACTCATTACACGACATATTTTTAACATATGGAACACAAATGAAGTGAAGAATAAATAAAGAAAAATATTTATCCATGATCATGGATCTATAACTGTCTATGAGAGAATACAATCACTAATGATACATATTACTTTGGAGTGTTTTTTTTCCAGTAACATTGAATGACCTGTTATTTTATCGTTTCCATGTCATCCCCTCATTCTTATGCAAATAAGAAACCTGAAAATTGGTTTCGGGAAAAGAAATCCCGAAAGGTAAAACACCAAAGCTTTGCAATTTTATAAAAATGATTCTCGAAACAAAAATCATACTTTAGCTCACCTCAAATACATTGACGTTCATTTAAAATATCTACAACGTTTTTTCGCCACGTTAAAAGCCCGAGCAGGCAATGAAAAGGAGAAATGACTCATGTCATTTTAGAATTTAACATTTTATTCGATACAAAATAACCTGATTAGCGAAATGATTTTTGAATCAGCTGGCGTTTCTGCATTCCTTGCCAAGTCAAATTTGCTCCGTTGACTTTGAAAGGGTTTTTATTGAATGATTTATTATTCATAAGAGAGATCAGTCGAACCGTGTTAATATCAAACGCTCTGATGAATAGGATAAAACCATTATACAGGAAAAGTAATACGTACAATTTAAATGAACAGTTTTTATTTTTAGGTTTTTGGCTTCCACCAATTTGTTCCTTTAACCGAAATTAGTGTATTTTTAAAACTTAAAGCGACAAATCGGGATAATTTTAAAGCAGGTTAAGTTATCAACACGACCGGTGTATTTGCATGTATGCACAGGTTACAAGACTTAGTCTATTGTTCTGTCCATATAAACCAAGTAGGGTTATGATTTTGCGATAAAGTACATTATCTATGACCGCCAATATCCACGTATCAACAATCGTTCATTTTTCAGATTAAAACCGTGGCAACAGAACTTACCAAAAATTAAATAAACAGCAATATCGTGGCATTATCTCTAAATGTATTTGGCAAATAATCCATAAATACTTTCCCGCCTTTTTCTCAAGATGCTAGAAGATCATCTGTTAAATATAATCACCATTACATTTTATTCGTAAAAAGCATGGCTCAAATCTTAAATTCTGTAAAAAAAACAACAAGAAATAAAACCAATTAATAAAAGCATTCGAATAATACTTAATAAAACAGTGAGAGTTAAGACAAAAAAACGTCTACCTTTTGATAGGAGTCAGCCAGCCAGAAAAGTAGTATGCAAGACACGAAACCTGGCACTGAGCTTAACATTTGAAGCTGGTTGCAAATTCACAAAACTGTTCAAGTTGAACGTTAATGTTTATGCTTTGATGAGCACAAACAAAACAACTTAATGATTATTCACATCAACAGAGCGCGTTATGTCGATGCACAAGCTTGACTTTTCTGTAGTGCCTCACTACATGTTGGTCGTTGTTTGTACACTAGGCCGCCATAAGAGAAGATAATTGGAAAAAAATTACTGGAATTTACAACACAACAGTGACATGGTGCCATAAAAAAAGTGAACGTTGTCCACCTTATCACTCAACGCAGCCATCTTAGTTACAACACATTTTTTCAACCAGGGATTCTTTTTCGATAGCGAAAAATTGGAAATTTCTGTAAAAGGTTTGAGAATGAGACGTTCTACGCTTTTTTTCTATGTAAAGCTTACATTGAGAACTCTGGTGGCTCTAAAATATAATTTCAACAATTTACAACCGTGCGTCCAGCTCTCAAATAAATGAATCACTTTCGCACTCTGTTGATAAGCTAGAGGTCATACTTGTAGGATCCCTGTATTAATTAGATCTACATTAATGAAATAATATTGTTAATTGTTGTTGTTTAGCTATGTTAAATCTCTGTTAAATTCTGCCATTTCCTCCATCATGTCACAGGGCAGGGGGGAGGCGTTGCAGTGTGAATTGACTGGATTTTTTAAATTTTACATTGTTATTTTTTATGCCAATCATCAACATTTCATATTAAAATGCATAGATGAAAACAATGATTGAAGCCCAATTTCAATTTTAAATCAAGCAAGACTTTTTTCAAATTTACACATGAAACACTAGACGAAGATAACACAATGTAAAACCTATCGCCTAAGTGCTGAAGGGTTGAACCGATTGATTAAAAATGACAAAGTTGCAACTAGGGATCCATGGTAATATTTAATTCAATTAATTTATGTGGTATAGAAATTAATCACAATGATGAAAATAATGTCAATACTGAAGTATGTAGCTATAAAATTATTATAATCATAATTACTCGAGTTTTCAAATAATTATGATCCCTTTACAACTGTTTTATATTCAATAATACAATATCATGAAAGGTAATTAATTAAGTTCACTTAGCTTTTTTGTCCATTTCTACTGACTTGGTTTCATTACAAGTTTTTCTGTTCTCATGCTGAGCATTTTGGTAAATTCTACGACGATGCTTTGTAATAACGGACATAGTTTTTGACGACTCCCATAGCCAAATCACCTTCATGGAAATTTAAACAAAAGAGTGCTGAAACAAATTCACTCAAATTGGACATGAAATGCATTCTACAATGAGGAAATCAGCCTAAGTTTTTGCTATTTATGAAGAAGCACAAACGTATTTGTATATCATAAGTAAATCATTGTGCTTCGTTTTATCACTACAATTCTAAAATACAATACATGAGGTGTTTGCAATCTTAACGATGGTAAGTTTTTTTACAAATATCCACAGTTTTTGTGGAGAAATCTTTGAGATTTTAAATTTGTCAGTCTTCCAAATCAGCAAGTATAAAGTGTGTAAACTTTTCTATAGAAAGTTACCAAAGCACAATGTCTACATCAAGGATCTTGGGCATTCATGGAGTTTACGCAAAACACACCAAGGTAAAAACCTTTTATTTCTATCTGCAATCACTTACAATAATCACCAAGCTGTTGAACAATATTGGCGTTGAGAAAATAACAGACATAAATAGGCCAGGAGAGTCAAAATATTGCTCACTGGCAAACAATCTCCAATTTTTGGCTGCAAACTGATTCAGTTTCTCTGAGAAGTACACACACATCACTGCAATAAAATTAAACCCAAAATCATTACATCAGTTATAGAACCGAACAAAGAAAAATTTATCATGCGACAATGACCAGACCATATTATATTAACTTACACAAAAAAACGAACACGAAAGCCAAGATATTAGTTCTGTTACGATTTAAAATTATTATCATGAACACCAGTATGTGAAGAATCATTAAAAAAATCAGCCATTTTTCTGTCCAATCAATCTAAAAGGAAAGCAGTTCACACGTACATTTTAAAGTATATTTTTATTCATGGATGGATGGCGAAATGGCGTCAGCTGTTAATTTGCACCTCTGTTTCCATCACAATATTACTTATGTAAAAATTGATGACTCAACTGCTTTTAAATACTCTAAAACTCCGTCTATTTGATCTGTAGCCATCCATTTAGGCTGCACGTTATAAAATTTTCCATCGCCGTCAGCCATATTTGTTTCCTTGTTTCCAAGACTTTTCCGCACTGCAATCATTGCAAGGCTTTTGAGACACAAGTCTAGACATGTCTCACCCCCCCCCCTCACCTCATCAGAAGGACGTTTGACCCAAACTATTCCCTTCAGGATTATTTAACTTTTCGTAATACATAATACATTTTCTTTTTAAAAGCAAAAAATGCCTACAAGAAAGCAAAAAGAGAAATGGTAGCTTCGCATCATCTTTAAGTAGATTTCCTACTTTATGAGATGCACAATCTCCAACATTCAATAGTGGCAATTCTTTAGAAAAGTCACGCTCGAATTCAGTGTTAAACGCATACGGGGTTCCATTCTACATGCACAACATTGTCTCTCATAAAAAATAAAATTGTGGAAATCGTCTATAACGATGAAAAGAGTTTATGATCGAAAAAACCTATCAAATTCACAAATAACTATCCTTTCAAATAATTTAACATTGTAACTACGGTAGGCAAAATAGTTAAAACATGTTCCCGGTCAGTCCTCATTGAAGCATTCGTCACGTGACCAGTTATTCTTGCACCTTGGTAGTATGTACAACGAGAACAGTTCAAAACGAAAGTAAAAGAAGTTAAAAACTAAAGTAGCTCGTAAAAATAGTCAAGACCCTGTCCTATTTCCCATATTGCAACACCAACGCCAAGCTCTTTTGCTAGGTTAATTCTTTCACTGATAGACTGAAAAAGGAAAGATTGACAAGAAAATGAGATCAAAAATGACAATCATTGACAATTATCTCACCTTTAGTGTTGGGTAGAAAGCAACACGTGTAATTCCTCCTGCCCTGACAAAAAAACAACATCAAGTTCAACAATAACACTTGCTTTAAAAATTTATTGAGCTTTGAAGATTCTCACTTGTAGTAAAAGGAATGCTCTCCAATTGTTTTTTCCCAAGTAAATGTCCCGTCTGATTTATGTTTCGTCAGCAATTCGATATACCTCAATAGTAATTACCCATTATTTATCATGCCATTCCAAAATATCCATGAAAAACACCACATCATCTTATCTTTACTTAACTTACCTATCTCCGATGAGAGCTAGGTAAGAAAACGAAGATAATCATTAGTATAACATCAATGAAGCGATGAACGTAAAAACTTGCAAAAATAACAACTTGCAGCAAAACATAGATTGAAATATAATAAATTTTGACTCTCCACAATCCCCGTCAATAAACATCGAAATTTTAAACGCAGCGATATACCACTTTCATGGAGACCATAACCCTAACTAAATCCCTTGTAGTAATTTCCCTTATCTAGTGAGTCATGAACTGACTCAAGAAATATAATTATAACAATCATTTGTATCATATATTGCCAGTGTTTTTGTAGGTCCTTTTGTCATGCGAGAACACGATGACAATGATACCACAAATCCTATACATAACTATTGTATCTACCTGATCCACCACTTGGAGAATAATCCATTCCATAAAAATTCAGCCCAATATAAATCTTTTTGCTTTGTTCATTTGATTCAGGTGATAGAGCTTTCACACTCTGCTTTACCCACTCTAATGGAGCATTGGGACCAGCTTGCCTTTTAAACACAAAGTATGTAAGATATTACTGACATTATGCCATATTACCATTATGCATAGAGGTGTAGAGTGTCCAGTATATACACATTTTATGGCGTTTTAAATGCAACAGGACAAGTGTTTGTGTGCAGAAATATTTAAGTTCCCCAATTGTGTTTGACACATAGCGATTAAATCCACTCAAGGGTACAGGTAATATTTTAATTATTAGGGGTTTATAGGGTGCTGTAATGCTCTAAATGCTATAGGGTTAACATCACAAACTGTGATGAGTTGTAGACAAGTCTTAGCTTTTCATTTACTAGCTACACCGAGAATGGTAGTGACTTGCTAAATTATAGGAATTTACTCTGAAACATGGCTATCCTCTTGCAAAATTTTACATAAGGAAAAGCATTGGTACTATCTTATGGTGGTACATACCCACCATGAGATGAATAGTCATAAGTCATCATACTGAATCCATCAACAACAGGATATAAAAGTGCAAAATCTTCTTTTGAGAACATTCCCTGACTTCTCCTGCTCAACAAATCATTTTTGCAACAAGCCTTGGGTTAGTCATATAGATTGCAATGTTTCTCAAGGAAGGCAGTCTTTCTCAAGTCACATTTACATTCATTATTACCTATCACTGATTTCAAGAGGAGGAACAACCAAGATTATTTTGAGATTTGCAGAATGGACAGAGTTTGCCAGACGACTCACAAGTAGATACAACTCGCTAATGAAAAATTAACACAAGTGCTTTCTATCTCAGGAATATCTGCTATTTTGTAAGACAATCACATATAGACTGCCCTAACATGAAGTATAACTTACTGCTTGGAGCCCCCTTGGAATTGCATCCACAACTCAAGAACAATTCCATCAAAACCATGAGCCTCAAAAAAAGTATAATGATAACTCTAAGTTTCATTGCAAGCACATTTGAAAGAGAAACTACAACATAAAATTTTAAAGCTGAGTTTGGATGTCCACAACTGAGCAAACTTAGCATATTGCTAAGTTAGTATGTGCTATCTAACAGGATGCAAACTACACTAGATACAGAGTTATTTAAAGCTTGTAGGTTATATTAGTTACTTGCGAAAATTTGAATTAAACTCAACTTGCAAACATTTACATGTCTTTAATACATCACAAAGCTTGTCAATTACCTGTGAAAATGATTTATAATCTTGTTACCTTTATAAAATTGACAACAGTAGCAACAAGATCTGTCATTGCATTATCATTACTGAAGAGAGAATGAAAGTCAGAACTGCTCCATTTGTCAAACAGTAACCTGGGCACTGTGAAAGAAAGCAAGACTTTCACAATTTTCATATTATTGTTCTGTGTATTTAATAACATCCTTATTTACATTACAAACTTCAAATTTTGCATCAAGCTTACCAATCTTCGTATTGTTTCCCAAAGTTTGAACTTCTTTGATCCATTGACCATCAATATCATGAGTTCCTTCAATCACAAAGTTGCCTGTTCGTCTGTGACAAACAAATGCATACAACAATGTCTCATAAATGAATGAATCAAAAAATGAAAATATAATTTTCATGCAAACCATACAAATAATTACCTTCGTTTCAGTTGAAGCCAGACAGGAGATATGTAGGCAAATCTCTTAGCAAAAGTCTTGGCAATTTCATAACCTTTTCTATGCCACTATATAACAACATGACAAAGGTAATACCTCTTTCAGAAACAACTTGCCAATTCTATGACTTAGATTTAAGAAGTTTTTCCTTCTAGGTGATTTTAAAGTTATTAATAGATCACTTTAACATCAAGCGCTGTTGTTTTAGAATTTTAAAATACTCTGTCACATACTTGCCCGCCTTACCTTTACCCTAAACTTATTGTTCATCATAACCTAACCTTATTAATACTGGAAGTCTTTGTGGAGGGTAAATCTAAAAATATGCCAGCACATATAATTGCACTTAGTTTAGAAAAAGAAACAAGTGGACATAACATACACTAGGTATGTATAGTTCAGAACAATTTGTTGTAATAATATCTGCAAAGTAGTATGCAGGAAAGCATATTCCTGACTTGCAACCATTCTCTTGAGATTAACCAAACAATGTTGCTCGCCTACGTCAGCTGGTGCCAACATTAGCAGTCATAAAATATTCTTTTGTATCTGACAACCAACATGGCTGAATTGCAAGTCAAGAATACTGTAGCGTTTTCAACAATATAGGAGCATTTTTATTAAAAATGCTCTGTCAAAATGATCAACATACAGCTCAGTCACCTACTGGGGTCACATAGGCTAAGCTGTTGACGGATGCTGATTCGTCTAAAGTAGTTTTGCAATAGGACTCATAGTTCTTTAAAATATCCTTCGGTTTGACATCTTCCGCGACCAATCCACGTTCAAAGACTGTCTTTACGAGTAACTAAGGAAAATGTTCATCAGAAGGCAAAATTATAAACCCAAGTTAGAATAGATGTCGTTATTCAAAGGCAGCCTGTACCTCTTTCGACCTTTTGTTCTTTACTTTTTTCTTGTCTGATTTTGAAAGTGTACCATCACCAACACAAAGAACATCTAACAGTATAAGTGTGAGGAAAATAATTGAACAACTTGTCATTTGTTTTCTTTTTCGTGAAAATTTATTTTTAGTACTTAAATAACTGTTGTTAAATACTGATTCCAGATGTTGGCAATGACAAGCTTTCACATGAATTGAGCCCACGATCAGTTTTTCTATTTTCTCTATCAAATTGAATTCATGACCAGCGGTAGTATTTAGCATTTTCTTTTTTTTCTGGTCTATTTCTGCTGCTCTAAAAAATTACTAATCATTCCTAGAAGATACCAATGAATTTTAAAAATTAAGTAAATTTTGCATTAGTGTAAGCAAGCTATTTTTAATTTCATTCTTGTGAGGGATCAGTTTTTCCAAATCGTCCCTACTCCTCATTTTTATGTAAAAGTATTATTCTGTTTCACTTTTCGAGGAATTTCTCCTCGTGGCTATCCCAAAACGCGCGCTAACACACTTGATTGACCTTTTGCAATCTAACAATTTGCGTAATATGATCCATAATCTACTTGCAAACAATCTTTCTGCTTGTGTCAGACGCAAACAGCGCTTAACATATAAATGCCTTTTTTCTCAATCGGATGTAGTCAAGAATATTCATTAAAAAGTTCACGTGAATTCTGTGTGTCGCGAAAAGCATTTCAAAGAATCTGAAAATCACCAAGTCTCGCGAAATAGCTCGAAGCAATAAATTTGGCCCGGGAATTTATTATATGCGACTTATTCTCTTCAGGTGGGTAAAGGAAACCAAATGCTCTTTCACAAATACATTACAACTCTTTCATGACACTGTCAGCAGAACTCGATTCAGGTAAATACGAAATTTTTAATTTAATGGCGTGGTTATTCATGCCAGTTTGGACTCTCCTCGAGTCGAAGATGTTATTCAAGTTGGTGCTCTTTATTATTGTTTTCGTGTCGGCTTTACTATCGGAGGCAAATTTTAACGCTAGTTTGCTTTTTTGCGATTTAATTTTACTTCGTTTATTCGGGAAGCTCTCGGCACCTCGCGAACAACTACTAGCAGAAAGAATTTTTTTTTACTAACTCTATCATGCGACTTCAACAAACAATGAATAGCCCATTTCAATACACCATTATTACTATTCCTAAATTAGCAACATAATTACGTAAAGGTATATCATATAGAGCAAGCCAAACAACGAACATTTACAAGTTGAATTTTGCAAGATTTACAATGTGCTTGAAGTCATAGAGGAAAAACTCGCCGTCTTTCAGCATTTCTAACTTCAAACTGCAGTTATATGTATACAACTCTTTCTCTTGTTCATTAACGTAAAAAAGACAGGGTTCAAATTTCATTGTTGAATTGTTGCAACATTTCGTGACATCTCTGATTAACGTCTCGATAAAAACTATTCATTTACATTAAAAGCCAACTTTTTGGTACTGGTTTTGATGATAAATGCATGAAATTCTGTAATTAACAAGTTCATTGCATGCTAATGGTAGACAAACCTATATAAGTATAATCTCCATTAGAAATCTTCGAGCATCACAGAATCTTGAAAAACATCGAGCCAAGATATTAAAAACTAAAAACAACTTTTAATACGTTAACACCTTTTGTCTTATTAATATGAAACGTAGTTTTGAGAAAAAAAATGTATTTTCCGTTTTTGCAGACATGCGCAACACCTTATAAAAGAGTTACACGAAATCAAAATATATTTGAGATGAAAAATTATGTCGAGTGCAGTTGAGAAACTCGAGGAAACTGACCAATATGATACAAAAGATATCCAGAACAAGCAGGACCTTCTACCAGCAATGGGAAAATTGTCTCTTAACGTCCAAGCCGTCCCATACATCCCCATACAAGATAATTTATCCCTGGTGCACTCCAGTCTTCATACAGAAACGGCAAATGAGGTTGAATATGATAAAAATGAGCAGGTATTTTGTTTTGCTTTTTAATCTTTTTGATATTCTTTCTAAAAGTTTGTGAAGTAAACTGACCTCACATTCATCATTCTATGGTGTTTTTTTTACCACCAAACGAAGAAATTTAATTATTTTACAGATTACAACAGACAAACAGAACGGTCATGAAACCGAGGCTGACTTACGTGCTCAGATAACCAGTTTACAACAAGACTTGAAGCAATACCAAGACATGATCGGTGAGTATCACGTGAGTGAGCAAACCAGAAAGCGCGAGGTGGACTCGGCTCTAATTACAGCTAGGGAAGTGGTCGAGCGGGAACGAAGGGAAAAGTTGGACGTACTTTCTGATCGAAAATCCAGAGAAGAACAATTTGAACATTTGTCCAAAACCCTGAGTGTTTTAAAGGTAAGGGGAAATTTTTCGCTGATTGTAACGGACCGAAAGCATGAAAATCAAAAAACGTAAGTATTATTTACGAGCATGGACCAATGAAAGTTGGACTACGTTGAATGAATCATTAAGATAAATAGATAAAGACATTTTTAGGCGGAAAACGACGAGAAGACCCGACAAAAGGACGAAACGTTGGCTGAATTATCACGTTTAAAAACACTGATTCAAGAAAATGGTTTCCCAAATGTTGATCAATTTCTTATGTTGCAAACACAGGCAAATATTTCATGGAATTCCTTAGATAATATTTTTAGCATTGCACTGATGTCTCCGCGTTTCGTCCATTTTTTAGTTAGATACAGTGAGACAAGAATTTTTTGCCGAAAGAAAGGAAAGGGAGAGGATTCAATCTCAAAAAGATAAATTAAAAAGAGAGCTGGACGCAGCCCAATCAAGAATCGCCTCACTCCAGGAGCAAGTTGGTTTTAAACTTTTATTTCTATAATACATAGTCCATTATTATCTTTCCACGATTTCTGTTTGTCGAAGTGAAAAACAATTTCCATTCTATCACTACTGAAAAATGCTTTTTAAATGATAGAGGTAGCCTTTTGGAAGATTGTGGTTATAGTCAATTTTGAGCTTCAGTATTTCCAGAGTAAATAAAAACTCAAGTTCATTTTTCATTGACAATCTCTAGGTCTACAAATATCGCGAACATATATACTTTATTCAAAGCAAGTTCAAACAACCACCGCAGTTTCGTCCGATTTCCGGCCAGGAAGTTACCAACAATCGACCAATCAGCGCAAGCGAGGCATGCAAGTTATACGGACCAAATGCCACGCAATACATCAATCATAGTATGACGTCTCCCATGAACCCAATAAGTTCTGGCACATCTAATACTGATATAAAATTTAACAACAGAAGCGAAAAAAAGACATTTAATGTAGGCCGACAGTGGCAGGTTAGTGAGAAGTGAAGTTTTATGAACTGTGCGTGAAGTAAACTAATGGATGAATTCTTTAAAGCATTTTGACAAACCGAGTTTATTTTCCATTAACGTTGCCTTGTCGAAGTCACCATGTCTCATGTTTATGAAGGAAGCACCTTTTTTTCACAGGATAACAGAGCACCACGGTCAATGAATGATGATGGTTGGCGCAGAAACCTGCAACAATCTAATCGTTTTAACAATAATATACACCGCATGACGTCATCCAACAGCACACCTTCGCTAGTTACCATGGCAACAGATGGATCAGGAGATATTGCGTATTACGACAAGCAGTATTCTAAGCCTGGTTTTACACGAAAATCGCGTTCCTCACTTACTGATGACACAGCTAAAGACTATGGGTAAGTAGATAGAAACCATGGCTCTTGATGAATACTTTTATGAAGCACTCCATTTTTGCAGGCTTGGTGAATGGCCAAAAATGAATAAACAAGGAAAGTGTTTTACGTCCCCTCTGCCCAGTCCAACGGTTCTCAATTCTCCTGGAACCGAGTTGTGGTCACCTCAACAACCTCCAGGTTTTCAGAATACCTGGTCAGGTGGACAAGATGAATTTTTTAGATTTCCACCATCACCACTAATTACACCGACAACGAAATCTTCATTTGAGACCTGGCCCAATCCCTCAACACTAATCACGGATGACAAAGTCTTCTCGCCCCAGATCCCGGTCGGTGCCAACGAAGATAACAGTATTTTCAATTTGCCTATATCCTCTACTAACAGCAATGGAGAATCCGGTTTTGTGAACTTTCCCACAGGACCAACATTGTCAAATTATTAGTTTATTTCAAATGTGGGATGAATTTCGCTGATAAGGAAGCACACAAGAACCGCGCAGTGAAGTTTGGATATGGAACGTAAGGCATGATTCAGAATCATTAAACATAAGCGTGACCCCACAGCTTGGCATAAAATGCTACTCATTAACCTATGTTGATCCAATGCAATTGGTCGACGTAGTGCATCCAAATTATTTAGCGTTTATTTACAAGTATTCTTATACCGAACAAGTGCGGTTTATACTTTTTGTAAAACGATGCATTACTGTGTAAGCATTACGAACACGAATACGAAATTCTAATTTTAACCTTATTTAGAAAAAAAAATTATAGTATTACTATATATATATATATATATAATACATAAACTATAGCTTATTTATAGGACATTTGAACAACAACTAAAATTATTTGTCTTAGAAATGTTTTTATTCAAAGCAAATCGAGCAACTTTACATTTGCAATGCATTTGAAAATCTTGCTAAAGATGTATTTAACTATTTTATGTAGAAATTTACAGCAGGCGAACACTAGCTTATTTTGGTCGCATTTATTTCACTACAAATGTATTTAGAAAGGGTTGAAGGAGTTTCATATGATAAAATTTTACATAAAAAAATGGTCATTCGATGCACTTTTTCATTTTTATGCCTAAATCGTCAGGAGTAAAGACGTAAAAAAAATAAGAGCGATAGACAAAGAATGTGAAGACGTCATTAAATGTAACAATTGCGAAAAAGTGCGCATTTGACGCTTAATAATGATAGTATAATGAGCTAAATAATTGATAGTATTTAAAACATGAACATAAGTTCACCACGCTTAACTTAACTTACACAGACACGAAGTGGCATATTTCCTTCACAGGAAAAAAACTTGATTTGAAGCCTTGGTATGCAACCAAATTATATAAAATTATAGAGAATTGAACAAGCAGTGTCTTGGTTGGTGATTGGTGTAAACCCTTTGGAAGTTGGAACTTTAATGAAAGGCATTCACTTTCCTCAGGTGTCTTCACAAATGCAGATTTTAATAGCGTTTTTAGATTTTGAATGATCACAGGTAAGAATAGACAGGAGCTAAAACCACATACGTTCGTTGTACGTATATATTTATATATCTCTCGTAGAGCTAATGTGTAGAGCTATCTTGTAAAACTCGTGTTTCTTTGTTAAGCAAAATAAATCGTTCTAAACTATTCTCGATCTATCGACATATTCAACAAATGAAAGTTTGTTGAAATTTAAATACAAAACCACGGTTAGACAAAACCATATTTATGCTTACTGAGTAAGTTTTAAAATTAAGCAAATGATGTTTATAGACTTAACTATAGCAACGCCATAAAGACAGACGTACATGGCAAAAATATAAATTCATATTGATTTTAAATCAACTGTTAGTACTGTAGGCTACCTATAAACATTCATCAACAATAGCAACTTTGCTTTTCTCTCAACCGATAACATTTTACTTTCAAAAAATCAAGCTTAAAAACCTTTTTTACTGGAATTTTCGTCTATTGTCTTTGTAAAGTTTTGCTGCATATTTTCCACTTCGATTTTTTAGAGACAAGATGAGTGCTTAATTTGTAAACGACTAGGTATATGTTTATGACAGCAAACGTGAAGTATAAAACAAAAGTTCTCTTATTTTCATCTAAAAATAACAAACGAGTTTTTCAATGCCATTATACACAAGTTTGCAATCATTAACAAAACAAAACAAAAAAATAAAACGAGAGCAATGAATCATTTAAAAAGAATTATAACTGAAGACAAAAAAATTTCATACATTTGCTCCATTTATCATAATGCAATTTACTCACACAGGGGAGTAATGGCCGTGTAACTTTCTTTCGTAATAAAGTCACACATGTGTAACTTTCTTTCGTAATAAACAATCGAGCGGGAACAGGTGCTTCTAGACCAAATATATACACGTTTCAAATTCGCCACCAGAAGGGTTGCACTGGTGTAAATTGTTTAAAATTGGAACAGACACTGTTACCAGCAAAAATAGCAAAAAAGTACAGTAGGTAAGTAGCTCTTACAATCTAAATCTAAATATTTTGAGGTTTACAAAAAACATGTTTAACATGCCTACATATACACCGAAGGTTGGCATTACCGAATGCCTAGGATATATCATGCAAAATTTCACTTACATTACGAACCTAACAAAAATCAACTTGACAAAAATCAACTTAACTTTATACACTCCCTAAAACAACATAGACTACACAAAAACACGTTTCCTACATGTTTTGAATGCTATGGCTGTTAAAGTTCGTACATGAAATAGGTTTATTCCAATTATTATTGACCATTTGTTAATAAATATTCCATTGAACGCTTCGTATTTATAAGCAGTTTCTGAGGTTGTTTTTGAGTACATATATATATACTTGAACCTTCAATAAATATACTGTATTTGATTGTAGAAGAAATGAACACATGGGTATTACTACTGTCGTGTAAGTTGATTAGCGGATGAGAACATATAACAAAAAGGCATAACGGTTGTGTAAAGTAAATAATACATGTTGTCATTTACATATTTCAATGGCTACTCGAGAAAATTTTGCTAGCTAGCTAAATATAAAAGACAGTATTGCAAAAACTATATCATTGTTAGAACAATTTTACAGAACAATCTTACGTTACATGTTTGTAAATGTAGATCGTCCAGGTTGGTATAGTCCTGAGAAGGACTGTTTTTGTTGTTGTTGACTGACGTTTCGACAACTTTGCGGTAGTCATTTCACTCTGAAGATGACTACCGCTAAGGTTGTCGAAACGTCAGTCAACAACAACAAAAACAGTCCTTCTCAGGACTATACCAACCTGGACGATCTACGTTTACAAACATGTAATCCTAAGTCAAATGCCACAATACTTTCTAGAAAAGCGGAATGGTGAAATTAGAGGATTTGGCAACCCCTCCCCCCCTCTTTTTATAATTTTTTAAACTTGATTCCACTGCTAGAATGATGTACAGTTTCGCACCGAGAAAGAAAACCACAATCACCGAAAGGCTAAAGTCAAGCGACAAAAGCCCCTTATCCAGCCGTAAAACACGCGTCATTCGTCGAAACTACTGGCAAAGACCAGACACAACATACGACAGCAACAAGCGACGATTGAAATTCAGCGTTTCCGGAACAGTTTACGAAACTTATGAAAAAACTCTAAATCAATTCCCCGAGACGACACTCGGCAGCCCGCTTCTGAGGAATGAATATTACGATGCATCAAATAACATTTATGTTCTACCATGTGATAAATTTGCATTTGACGCAATACTTTTCTATTACCAGTCAAATGGTATTCTTTCTCGACCGCAAACAGTCGCAGGTGACGTTTTTCGAGAAGAATTAAAATTCTTCAGAATCAAAGACCACAGATTTCCGTGTTTGGAAGAGTCGGGTGAACAGTCTAAAGCAAGATACAGTGACGACAATTTCAAAAGCAAAGTTTGGACGTTCTTAGAGAATCCTTCATCCAGCATTTGTGCAAAGATCTTTAGCTACATAACAATATTTCTTATTATTTTCGGTGTTTGCATATATATACTTGAAACGTTGCCTGAGTTTTCCAAGACAGCAAATGATGCAAACAGTGTTGAAGGAGCGAAACCGAGCTTGCTAACATCCTGGTTTTATATGGAAACTGTTTGCATTGTATGGTTTTCTCTAGAGTATGTACTTCGAATCATCTTCGCTCCAAGTTCGTGGCAATTCGTGAAATCACCTTTCGGATTGCTAGACCTCATTGCAATAGTTCCTTTTTACACAAAGCTAGTCATCGAAGAATCCGTCGGTGTGGATTCGTTGATCGTCGTAAGATTAGTTCGGATAGTTAAATCCCTTCGTTTACTAAAGATATCAAGGTATTATTCTGGATTGCAGGTATTTGCACGTGCGGTACACGACTGTCGAGAAAAACTACGCGCATTAGCAATGTGTATTCTTATTGTTGTTATTCTATTCTCTACATTCATGTTCCACGCCGAAAGCTTTCAGGAAAATGAACATACGTCAGAGTTCAAAAGCATTCCCGATACATTTTGGTATACAATCATTACCATGGTAACAGTTGGTTATGGTGACGTTGTTCCCAAAACTATTGTAGGAAAAATTCTCGGAAGCTATTGTGCAATAATTGGCCTCATTATTCTCTATTGTTTACCGACACCAATTGTCGTTTTACACTTTAATAAACTGTACAAGGAGTATGTCAAATCAAGTGGAAAGGAGATAAGTAAGAAAGAAAAAGCTTTGGTAATTGCTAGAAGTTGATAAATATAGAACGAAATATATAATTGTCGATAGATAAGAACAATTACACACAGTTTGAAATTACTGGTGGCAGTTGATTGACTATGAAAGGCAATGACATCTCACATAAAAGTCAATACATTGTGCATTGATTATAATGGATAACAGTTGACAATAGATGTTTTTGTAGGATCGCTAGAGGGAGCACTTTTCCCTTGCTCCATAAGTTACAATAGAAAAGTCTGCAGTAAAACTGTAAGGAGTATTCTCTGATATCGCTTGCAATACAAGGACAAATATGAACCCTGCAAAAATTTTTTAGGTTGACTTAAATCATTCAAAATCAGTTCAGGTTAAGTCAGGAGGTATGATTCAAATGGTTTTCCTATTTTTTCTTTGGTTTTGTCGCTTTTCAGGAAAACATTGGAACTTTTCCACTTCCTTTCCTGAATTTGCCACAACAAATATTTAAGGACTAGTGATCAACGAGATACCAGGCAGGAAGCAAATTCTTATCATAAAAATTAAATCCTTGCAGCTCTTTCAAAAGCACTCTGCCGGGCTTTAATTTGTATGATAAGATATATTTAAAGCTTAAAAATAAAAAAACAGCAAAAAAACTTCTCCTGTTTTTTCATGAAAGTTGACATTTTGAGCTTAAACGATTTAGGACAAGAAAAGCAGTGATCAAGAAAAAAAAAGGAAAACAATTGAAAGATTATTTATGTTCAAATTTATTTTGCAAACAGAAGTCATTGACTTTTTCCTTTGCCAGCACTCTGTGCCTTTAGAACCCGTACAACAATCTTTTGTTCTTCAATCAAGAATGCCCGCACAATTCTAAAACGAAACAAGTCACAACTGAGTTTGGAGAATAACAAAAATGTTGCAAAGGTTTACAAATAATGTCTTTGATTGTCTTAAGTTTGATAGTCCAGTCACTCTTCTACTAGTTTCAAAATGGTTTAGTGTGGGCAAAAAATAAGAACTAAATTGTAGTGACGTGAACTCTTGGTTTTTCCTTTACAATTATTTCTCACAACCAGAAAAAAACTGGCAGTAGAACATGAAGTAGCCTGGAGAATTTTTCCAGTCGCAGGGTAGTCTTGAAATCCACACTTTCCTTTTTGATTAAGTTTCTACACTACTAAGTTTGTCCATTTAAATATATAATAGTAATTTCACAATTATATACATTATGGGTTGAAGCCTGCATTGATTCCCTGAAAAATTAGGTATTTTAAGACCCAAGTTAGCTTAGGTCTTCAAAGGCAAGAGCAAAAATGATTTGGCCTATGGTGATTTGCTTATGTTACATCACATGATTTATATAATATGATAAAGAATAGAACAAAACTGTTCTGCCTTTTAAAACATATTATCCAAAATGTACAATCATACCTCCCTTGATTTTCAGATTTCATTAATAAAAGCATTACCTTGGCATATCTGAAGTGCCAAAGATATTAACTATAAAGACAAAAACCATAGACAACATACCTTTCTCGAACACATTTCCCACTGATCGAGCCTCCATATGCACGAGAAACTGTCTTTTTAGGCTTAGAAAGCTTTTTCAGTTTTCTTGGGCGAACTGCAGGCAACTAAAATCAGAAAAGATGCCGTCAGTTATTAATGTATTTAAATACCTAGTTCAACGTTTTAACTTTCAATTCAAGCTGCTTCTTACCCCTTGTAATTTCTTCTTGGAATCTCCACATTTAGGTACACTTCCTCGCTTCTTCGTATAAAGATATACAAGTTTACCACCTAGTTAAGATAATGCAATTGTGAAATTACTGTGAAATTACACGAATTTCGAGCAAAAATTCATATTACTACGCCTAACCTGGTGTCTTGGAGCTAGAATAAAAAGATAAAAAATATTTACTATTCCTAAAAAGAAATGACTAATTTGGCGTTAAATTAAGCAGAATTTCTCACATTCGTCTGCCATTAGACTTGGTGTTATAAGATAATCGTCGTCTTAAAGTAAGTCGTTGCACCATCTGCAAGAGAAAAATTTAATTAATATACAGAGGGAAATGTCATACACTATTATTTCATATGGGATATAAATTTAATCTAGCATAAGGGAATAGATTCAGAAGGATTGAAAACTCAAATACCTCGACTTCTTGATATGTGACGGAAAAGAAAGGTTGGAAGTAAGGATATTTAGGAAGGTAGATCAAGGAATTTAGCTGTCACAACATTTCCTTAATCACTGTGTTTACCATATATCACCCAAGCAGCTACTAAAGTAGTAAATAGCATTTAATGATCTTCGTGACTTTCATATCAAGTTAAATTTCAAACTTTTACCTCTTAAAACGTTTTTCAGCCTTTTCTAGGAGAATTTTTTTGTGAAATCTAGTTAAGTGAAATGACTCGCCCCAGTTTCCGTTGACAACATGGTTCATAACTTATGCAGATAACTTCTACAAACCTAAACACGTGGAAGACAAAAACTGGAAATAAATGTATCAGTATTATACAGAGTAACCTTTACTGTAACATAAAGAGAACACAATGGAATTGAAGGACAACCATACCCTTGAGAAGAATAATAGCAAAGATGACAAAACATTGCCAGAAGAAAAAAATGGTGACAAATTTGATTATTTTCCTATCGATAACAAGGATCCGGTGTCACCAATAGTAAATAAACTTGTGACAGACTCTTCATCAGACTTAAGCAACCCAGTTTCCAACAACATGGTCAAAGACGACATGAAAAGTTTGGGAATATCTATGAGTAACAAAGAACCTCTCGATGTAGTTGTCAAGACCCTAAATCATGAACCCAATTCCAGCGACGATAGTGCTTCATCAAGCTACGATAGTGCTTTATCAAGCTATGACAGTGCTTCATCAAGCAACGAGTCCACTTCTGATGAGTCTGACATCGAAAGGTTACTTCATAATGTCATTTTTTTGGTTTCATTCTGTCAATGATAAGAGTAATAATGATTTCTTGCTGCATACTGTAAGCATGTTTGCTAATCCATATACCTCTTTTTAAATTAGTGAAGATATGAAAGAAAATAAAGCTATTAATGTGAAAGAAAATGATAAAGTAGAAAAACTGCCCAAAATAAAAGATAAACTCACTCTAGGGGTATGTTTTCCTTGCAATAACTTGAAAAATCTGGACTCTTGCTTGCAATAACTGAAGGTAGTCTGAATTAATATTTTCTTGGTTTTTCACACTGCAGGATCTTCCGAATGTTGAGCCTTTAGATATTTTTGTTGATAAAACAGTGAAACTAGCACCATTGGGTACTGTTAAAAGTGTTCTAAATGATGATGCAATTGGTAGGTTTTTCATGAAATTTTGCCATCCATATAATGTTTGCTATTATCTGGTATTTTTCTCACTTTCTAGTTATCATTAAATCACTTGAAAATGTTCCTGCAATTGATGCTGATAGCATTCTCTTTATGGAAAACCGATCTGGTTTTGGCAGAGTAAGGTCGTACCTAAGACAATGTCATTTTTGATATTCAATTTTCGACTCTGTTTTGTTTATATTTAAGGTGTTTGAAATATTTGGGCGGTTCGATGCCCACATTATTGTGTGCGTTTCAACAATATTGAGGAAATCAAATCTACCAGTGTTGAAATTGAACAAACTCTCTATTACGCTCCTGATTCAAAAGATATAACACATTTTGTATTTCTTTCACAGTTGAGAAAGTAAGGATTTTTTCATTTTAGACGTGTAATTAAAGTTAAATCTTAGTCATTTTTTTTCATTATTACATAGTATGAAAGGATCTGATGCATCTTGGGTAGACGATCAAGAACCACCATCTGAAGTTTGTTCTATGCAACATTGCAGTTACCAATAACATAAGTTGCTCTTTCATAAAGAATGTATACTTATTTTTCAGTTTATTGAATTCTCTGATGATGAAATAGAATCTATGGCCAAAAGAAATAAAAAGAACAAAACGAAAATATGGTATTCATCTCTTTTTAAATGTTTTCAAATGCTAACAATCATAACAACAATGTATTTTTATCTAGGAATCAGGCTGATTTAACTGATGAAGGTACCTACCTAAACTTCCTGTTTCGGTATATTTTTGGTCTTTGAAACTACTGGATAAGAATAGAAATATATTGTTATTATCTTGTGAAAGGACATACAAGGCTGGAAACTGGGGAGCAAAGATATCCTGAAAAACTACACATGATGCAAAACACCCCAAAAGATACTGTATGTAATGCCAAATTACCACCTCCATTGCCACAGTCAAATCAACACCACTTTCAATCATGTGAGCCTAAGATATCACCACCACCTCCATTGCCACAGTCAAATCAACACCACTTTCAATCATGTGAGCCTAAGATATTACCACCACCTCCATTGCCACAGTCAAATCAACACCACTTTCAATCATGTGAGCCTAAGATATCACCACCACCTCCATTGCCACAGCCAAATCAACACCACTTTCAATCATGTGATCCTAAGATATCACCACCACCTCCATTGCCACAGTCAAATCAACACCACTTTCAATCATGTGAGCCTAAGATATTACCACCACCTCCATTGTCACAGTCAAATCAATGCCACTTTCAATCATGTGAGCCTAAGATATTACCACCACCTCCATTGCCACAGTCAAATCAACACCACTTTCAATCATGTGAGCCTAAGATATTACCACCACCTCCATTGCCACTGTCAAATCAACACCACTTTCATCCATGGGAATCAGAAACAAGATCTTCACCTCACCATATGCTGTATCCCAAACAACTACCCAGGACATCTCAATCACATATGGTTATGAGTGAACAACAACAAAACATAAAAAAGGAAATACGGCTAAACCCACCTCAAGTGAATGAAATGGCACCAACTCTCAGGGTGCCATGCTATAGACGTCCTGGGTCATCTATGGATACAAGATTTTCAACCAAATCGACCAATTTCATGATGCAATATCGTACCCATCACGTTGTGGGCCAACCTGAAAATAAAAAACATGGATGGAATGAGCATCACTCACAATCTGAAAATCCAATAGATCAACAAACATTTGGCACAAACTTTTTAAGCATGCAACCAAATTCCTGGTTTCGAGGAGTTTACCCTTCAGATAATAGATCACCAATGAACCAACAGTGCCATTCAAACAATCAATGGAGAATGCCACCATCTCATCAACAGAGAATGACATCATCTCATCAACAGCGAATGCCATCATCTCATCAACAGAGAATGACACTATTTCACCAACAAAGAATGGCATCACCTCCACAAAAGACCTCCCCAAAGTGTTATGGAATATTTGGATATGTTATAACATGCAATTTGTGAAAATTACAATTGCATTATTAAAAATTGTTTAAAAATTATCCAAACGATTTGTCATATAAAATATAAAATCAAACTAAAGTTAGTATTCAAAACACACAAAAATTAAAATGATATACAGTAGCTATTTTTTGAAACAATAAATGTTGTGTTATGCCTAATTTTTTTCAATGAAATTACATTTATTTATTATTTTTAATACAACAATATAATCCACTGTCCGTAGCTGCATTGCTATATTGCTGGTGTGAATTCTACTTTAATTGAAAGTAAAAAAACTTATCGCTCATCTTAAAACAAATGTTCAATAATGTGTAGGAGATGGAGAACTAGGCCCAACCAGGAGATGAAATGACATTGCTTCCTTTACCATATGTAAACTTCTCACTGAGGTTATATACTGTTGCCAAACTGCCTCCAACAGCTGCAGCAATACCCATAGCTCGAATGCCAGCTATATTATCACAATACCAAGATGAAAAGTCAGAACCAATTGCAAGTGAATAGAAATAAGAAATGGAATACCATGAAATACATTCTTGTTTGTTTATCACAGTTTGATGCATGCAAATTGTGTTTTAACAAAAATAATAAAACGATAAAAGTTTAAGAATCAATGTTTTTGTAGTTATAGTTTAACCTCTTCTTATGTGAACCTATCAAAAGTGGAAACTTCTTTTGGGTCCTTGCAAATATATAATTACCTCTATTAACCTCCCATAGGCAGACACCTGTCATATTATGGTCCACAGGGTGTTTGCATAAGGAAGGTTTGACTGTATTAACTTTCATTCAAAATTTCATTCATTGGATAAAATAATCATTTTCCATAGAGTACAAAGTCCATTACAACAATATGTGTCTATTGTGTTGTTACCATTTGTATACTAGTAATGTCAACATTGGAGACTTAAGATTAATTTTCGTGGAAATTATTAACTGCATTTTTTATGTGTGCTACAAAAAATGTTATAGATACCTGTTGATTTAAAAATTAATCCAGTAGAGATGGCAGCTGCAATTGAATTATATTCATCTTCCTTGTCACGTAACTTGCCAATACCATAATCTAATGTTGAGTACATTAAAGCAAGGACCCCCAAACTATTGGCTACAAATGGACCCCTTCTAGTACAGCCATTAAGGACACTGAAAGATGAAGATAAAGTCCAAGATATAAACTTTAAAATTCATCCTTATGGGTTACTGATGCATTTACTTGCTATTTGTTATGCTTCTATTACTTGATTCCTCTCCAATAAGGAGAAAGAAGCTGCCTTACGGCCCTTACCTGATTTATATAACATCTCATATCTGTCAAGTAACAAAATGATGGCACACCATCAAATATGAGATTGATTTACAGAATTACTCACTACCAGTATAAAGTATGGATGGTACAGCCCATCAAGAATACACATGAAAATAGTTCTAACTAAATTAGACAATGGTTACTACCTGTTCATTCTTAATTTGAAAGTTCTACCATCTGGATTCCTAAGACCTTCATATAATCCCCAGCTTCCACCAGCAACTAAACCGGTCAGGTAGGATGAACCAATGCCTGAGAACATGCGCTCACCCCATGTACGCGTTTTTTTGTGGTCTGTTGGGAAAACAAACTCTGCACCCCCCTGGAATGAAATTTATAAATAACTAAGGTTTAACTCTTCTCCATAGTGTTTGTGGAATTTTTAGTATGCATGATATTCTTCTCAAAAGGAAAACAATGCCACAAGCAATAAGCAAACATTTCATTCTATTTTCAATACACAAGCAGAAAAATAAAAATTATTTTTTTACCTGTTGTAAATAAGATGGATCAATACTTAAGTATGGTGACAATGCAGAAGTATTTGGATTCACTAAAACATAAGAATAAGTAAGAATGTAATAAGAAATAAAATTTGTGTTCAACAAACAACCAGATAAAACAAAACAGGGGGGAAAGCACACAAGTTTAATAAAACCCCATAAATTGTCATGTCCTACTTGACCCTCGAAAAAAGGCAGTAAAATGGGTACCCTCCCAAGACAATTCACTAAATACAATCAAATTTGACGTACTTAATAAGTCTTACTCCAGTCTAGCAGAAGAAATTGATATTTTACCTGGAACACCATAAGCTGAATTATTTGAAGACATGTCTTCGCCATAACGGCTATCACCGTGTCCAATATTCATCATAAACAGTAAATACACAGTTCTTTACCACATTCTGAAATAATACTTTATAATTTTAAGTTGTCAAGTATTTCTCTCAAGTTCCCAAATTTTCTTATGAAACACCGGCGAGCGTGGTGAAAATTGCAGTAACTGCACAGCGGATATTCCCCGGTGATTTTTCTCCCATAAGAGATTTCTTCCCACGCGAGGCCAAAAAAATAACTTTAATTTAATTTATATTACAAAATTACGAAAATATTTCATAGTTCTATTGAAAGTTTTTAAAACTGTAAGTCACGCTGCGTTCAAAAATCTGTGCGGATCATCTAGCAGCATTTAACTTTAGTCAAGCTTGGTGACATTAAATGAGTTATTGTCCATCAACTCCCAAACTTTTTCTTTCAATGTTTCAACTATATCATTTGTAATGAAGAGATGAGTTTCATCTAAATCTTCCAGAACAAATTTTTTCCCAAATGCGAGTGTTTCATCTAGATGCAACAGAAACTGCTTCAAAACAGCATCACTAAAAAATGATTCGTATATGAAACGTAAAATGTAAGGTTTGTACTAAATAACACTAAAACATTTGAGCACTCAGAGTAAAAAGTGAAAATCCTGTTCATCCAAGCAATGCAACCCAATAAAGTTGTTGAAAATAATGCTTGATAGTTCTTAAGTTATTGAAACTGTTACTTTGTAAATGCCAAATGAACTGACCCAAATCATGACTCTTAGGTTAACCCATAACAATTTCAATAATTTAGGAGTAATAAAACTAGTTGGATACAATGTTTAGATTAGATGGTTCATCCTTCATCCTTACCATTCAACAAGAACACCTTTCTGAACATTTACCATCTTGAGAAATGCTTCCACTTCCAAAAACATGCAATTCTAATTGTTAATTTTCCTGAGTCATTCATGCTATTTGGTTATAGTTTAAGATCCATTCATGTGGGATGTATCCACTAACTTAAATCATTTGTACATGAAGCTACTTGGTTTATCATCATGTTCAAAGCTAATAGAAGGAAACTGTATTCATTCTGTAAATTGTTTGTTAGCAGCTTTTTGTAATGTCATTAACATAGTCTACCGTTTTGACTTTAGTCTACTTTTTCTCTGCCTTAGTGTCTATCTTTATCTCTACTTTTGCTTTGCTTTTTGTCTGACATTTTAAATAATTTTTGTGAACATAACAATCTGGAAGATCCTAAATAAATCAAAATGAAAGTATAATAATTTCTTTTCTTCAATTTCCAAATGAAATCATATTCTTCACTCATGTTTCTACCTGATATTTTGCACCCTATATAATAGAGTCATTTCCAAGACAGTTTATATAAAGGTCTCTAATGATTCAAACCTAAGTACTCACACGGTCACACATAAATAACATTTATCTGTATCATTGTACATAAACACGTTCTATCGTGACATTTCACTTGGAATTAATTTCGTTATCTAAGCGCTTAATGTTCGCTTCTAGTTGTTTCATTCTTTCATTATGATCACGTTCAATCTTATCAAGGGCAGTTTTTGTCTTTTCTTCAAACAATTTCCATTCTTTTTCCATTCTTGTACGTCTTTCTTCAACTCTCTCTATGTTTTCTTCAGGTAGTTTACTTGCTAATATTGCATTTACTTTCTTTACTGCGTCTTTTGTTCGGTCGACAACACATTGAACATGTTCTCTTGACAAATCTTCCACATCAGGAAGCAAGCTTTCGATGTGACAAGAATGAACATTAGCTTGATTTAAACGAGAATGTTCTCTGTCTTTACGTTTTGATTCAAATTCTTGAACGTAAAAGTTAACTTCCCTCTGAATCGGACCGCGATGGTTAAATAACTTAATGTAAACATCAGCGACATCGCGAACTAATTTCTCGGCCGCCATCTTACTTGTGTAGTCAATACTTTATATAAGCCTAAAGTAGTGCGACAGCTGGCAGATGAAATATAATACAACTGAGTTAAAATTTCTAACGCTGGCTATTATAAGTGCAGTTAATAAATCACGCTTGAAGTGAGCAGCATAATTTTAATAAGTTTGCTACACAATCAAGCAACATTTCCTTTAAAGAGTATGATTCTGATAAAATAACTATGTACATTTCTTCAATATTTTACCAGCAAGTGATGTTTGTCTAATAAGACTCTTTGATATGTACATCATTTACACCAAGGAGTGGGGAAGAAAGGGGCAATAGGAAATAATTTGCCCATGATCATAATCAAACAGTGCACCCCTCAATACATAGAGAACAAGATTAATTTAAGCCTGAAGGTCAAATGAAAATTTTTGCCTAAGAATATGAATTTCTTTGTAAGCTCTCAAAATGACTAATAGCTAAATGCAGTGGTATAGCCAGTCAGTAAATTTGCTCATGTTGTCAAATCAATGTTGATGATGAAATTTACATAGGAGAACCAAAACTTGCAGGTTGACTGCACTATTGGTTAAATACAACCAAAAGTATTTCACAACATGAAAACTAATACCCATGTCTAAATAAATCTTGCTAGGCATTATCAATTTTCTGAATAAGGAGGCGGGGGTTCTACGACATCTGTATAAGGTGGTGGCTCATCTACAGTATTTGGTCGAGTGTACCTCACTTGGTTTAATGGCTGTGTTGCTATCTGAACTCTCTCTTCATTTGTCTCTGGCTCCATTTCCTAAAATGACACAATAGCAGTAGATGGCATAAAATATAAACAAAAAGTTTTAACATCATACCTGAGGTAAATCAACATGACAAGGAGATGTTTCTTGAGTAGAACCTCTATGATGATGCTACATTTTTTATTAAATAAAACAGGACCATAAATAAACTATAACTAAAATACACTTTTGTAAAACACATAACAAGGGACAAAAAATATGAGAATTGAAATATAATTCGCTATCATATAAACAAAAAAATTATTTTATCTGCTAATAGAAACTACTATGAAAACAAAATGAATCATAAATCCTTTCATTTACCTTGCACATTTTGCAATCCTCATGTAGTACATTACAACTCAATGCAGTAGACAAACAGGCAATTCCCATATCAAATGTGGATACACATACAGCACTAATGACAATAACTTCAGATTTCTTCATCACACTCAATGTCCATGCAATTCCAATAAGATTCAAAAACATTGAGAGTACTGAGAGTAACATGAAAAGACCAGCCTGAAAGTGAAAAAAAGATTTGGTACGAAAAAAAGTGAGTGCTGCATAGTGCACACATGACAGAATCGGTATACTGCGCAAAACTTACATAATATTTTGTTCTTTTTAGGTGACATTGAATACCAGAAAATCCAGTAAGAAGAAGCTATCATAGCATGTAAAAAATCATTATCGTACAGTTATTATACATTGTTGATCAATACGTGATAAGAAACTCACCAACAAACCAATCCACAAGGGAAGTCCATATACTGTTTCAATTGTACTGCTCTTAATTATTGCCATTGAAAATATTCCGATTATTATACACGCTACAGAACAACAAACATGAATAACAGCTGTTTGCAATACCAATTTACTACGTCGATTGTGTCGCATCCTTAACACAAGACGTCGGGGCTCGGATTCCATTATCACGCTATCTAAATTTCCCAAACAGTTGAAAAATCTTAGGCCGTTCTTGAAATACGACAGTATCATACGTTTGTCAATTAACACTGCTTATGAACAATGGCGCCAAGCTGTGAAAAACTTCCTGTGGCTTCGTACTTATTTTCATCCATGAAATAAAATAATAAACACGTTTTTCTTAAAAAATTAGGCGAAGGGACAAAAAGACAAAAAGAAACATATTTTAACATTACTACAATTTTAGCTCATCTCTAAAATAGGGGGGGGAGGGGAGGGGGGTGTTGCAATGGTTATCACATCATGACGTATCATCCACCACACAGAGAACAGTTTCTCAATATTTATGACAAACGATGAAATAAACAAGCTCATATTTCACTTGAGCCCCATAATAATATAAATAATACAGAAGGGTCACTTAAGTGTGCACCACATCCTCACATCCATCATTATTCCAGCAAGATACTTTAAATTTTTTAATTCTTCCAAACACTGCAATAACATGACATCATTTTGTTGAAATGAAATTGACAACCTTTCAACTTGCATTTAAACATGCAGCCAATATGCAAGGCACAACATGCTTGAGGACAAAATCATCATACTTTCTGACACTGTATATTCCATATTTTGTGCTTGAACTAATATCGCAACAGCAGACCAGCAATGGTTGCAAAGAAGAAAAGAATATAATTGAAAATATTTAAAGATACATCATTTTTATTAATAAATATAAATAAAACCAAAATTTCCATTTATATAAACTACCTTCTTCGTTCACCTTTTTGAGTTCGTTTTTTTTCCTTTTCTTTCCTTTGTTCTACCTTATATTTCTGCCTTTCTTTATCCTCTTTGATCTTAACTTTTTTGTCTTCACTGTCTTGCTTTTGTCTTTCACGTTGCTGTTTTTCCTTTTCCATAACCATTGCAGCATTTGTATTTTGAAACAAAACTGATGTAAAAAATTAAAAAAAACAGTAGCAAAAGAATTTAAAAAAGGGAATATGCATCATTTTCCAAAATGATTGCTATAAGACTTTTATTCAAAAAGATGTTTAAATCCTTCTTTTTTAAAATTAAAATAAAATGAAAAAGGCTCATCAAAGTATACATAAAGACTTTTTAAAGATTTACTGTACCTTTATCTTTTCTTGGAGACTGTCCTGTATCATCATCACTACCAGATGTAACATTGGTTAAGAAAACATTCTAGCATACCAAACTAAATCCTCAACTTGGCTACTAACAAAATTTATTCTTTTCTCTACTGATAATAGAACATCTTCTTCACTTATCCCAGGGGTTAAGCCAGCTATAAATTTTAGCCCTACTATGGAGTGATGAAAAAAAAGAAAAATGGATATTCAAAGTTCTCATCCAAATCCTGTGCATACTGTGCAATCAAGCTTTTTTTCACATTCTTGTCAACCATATGCATTTGCTTGATGTTTGCATTTAATGCTTGTTTTGTTTGTCTTTCAATGACTTCAGTCAATATGTCATTTTTTGTATTTTCTGTAAAAAGGATCCAATGTTAATGTATGATTTTGACATCAATAAGACAAAATAATGGCCATCGAAAAATCAAATACCATTATCCTTTTTCTGTTTTTCACCTCTATTTTCCAAGTCTTGCCATTTTGAAAAAATCTCAAAGCCAACATCATGATTGAGAGATTCCTATGAAAATTTGTGAAGTTTCAGTATGCCTACCAGTCACTATGGTACACAACATGAATGCAAATGCAAGAAATTATTGTAATATTATATTATAAACTATTTTTTAATTTTCAAAAGATTTATCCACGGATTTGTGTATTTCAATCGCAATAATAACTGCCTATTTCGGTACCAAAGGTTTGAGAACATATTACACATCTTATTCTATCTTCTACTTTATAATTATGTATAATGTAAAAATACATTGGTAACATTACCATTGTTTGTTCCACGGCTTCGCGTTTCTCATCAAGCGTGGAATCATCACCATACAAAATACCGGTAATGTACTCTCCTAAGATTTCTTCGTCAAGTTCAAGAGATTGAAGACGATCATGCAACCAAACGTTAAATTCATTTCTATATTCTGGAAATAATACGTTATCTTTGTTCGCCATATTGTATTAATCGCGCAATTATCAATGGCCTGGTGACGAGAGATGCTCCATTTCTAGGAAAGCTTAAAAAAATATACTTTGGCGTGTTGGTAATAAAAAACATTAAAAATTTTGCACAGTTGGCTATATAATATATTACAAAGTGGAAAATTCGTCATGGAAAATCTTGCAGATTACGAAAAATGTGAATATTTTTCTACAAGGAAATATTCAACATAAAATACTCATGTGTTAATGCATACATAAAAAATATAGCTATGAATAACTGCCATGAATTATCCATTGCCAGGGCCATAGCTAAAATGTTGACTGGGGGGGGGAAGGTGTATATTAATATATTCAGTTGTACCTAACTGATTTCTTTAAAAAGTCAAATCACATTCAAAAGAAGTCAGTAGGACACAACTGAATATAAGAACAAACACCCCTGTTTAGCATTATAGATACGACCCTGGCCATTGTATGTTTTAAAAGTAAGGTGGACAGTAGATAATCAACAATCGAACTATTAAATAAAAAATATGACCAGTAATAAACTGTTTAGAAAATGTAGAATTGTATTTGATAATATATGTAAAGTAGACCAGAAGATATTGTTTCTGAGAATCACTTGCATCCAAAGTCCATTAACAAACAATAGAAAATAGTTTTTAAAGAATACCACAGAAAATGTCCATCAATAATAAAAAAACTCAGTCCTTTACATTGCACCAAAGCAGTAGTCCACCAATAGATTATACAAACCACCATAAGAACCATATCAGTCAACGGTCAACCAATAACAAATGAAAGTCAAACAAGTGCAGGAGGCCATGATATTGTTTAATCGATACAATACAATCACTGGGAGCAATTGATCACAATTTCTTGTACTTGCATTACGTATACATTCGTTGATTTCTTTCTCATTAGTTTCTGCTACCTAGCTACTAAATCACTTTTTAGAAAACGACTGACATCAACAAAAAGTAAAGTTAATATTATCCAAAGGATAATAAACAAATAATACCAAGAAAATGTCACGTGGCCATTCAATTTACTACAAAGCAAGCAAAAAAATACGAACGTCAAGATTAGGAGTAAAAGAAACCATAGCTTTCGACTTAATGTGTGTCCATCATCATAAAATCGTCGTCTCATTTGTCGTCCAATTTTTGACAAAACGACAACAATCAAAATCCCATTGTAAACTAAAATTGGCACAAATACAACAAAATAGTTCCAATTGCTTTCTTCATCAACTCGCACGACAAGAAAGATGATCGTCATCAAAGTGACGGACCAAAGACTCAACACTCTCGCTGGAAGTGGTATCGCCATTGTTCATTAGTCGAATTTTTTTATTTTCGTAATTCTTCGTCCGCGCAACGTCGAAAGCCTGGTGACAAGAAGGTGAGTGACTAGTAACTGGGTGACTGATATCAGTGGTGGTGTGTTGGTGACCATAGATAGGTGTGCCAGTGAGGTGTACCTGTTTAACTCACCAATGTCAGGTTTGGTTAGTAGCACAAACCAATGTTTCAAAATTCAGTGGTGGTGTTCCATCCAAAATGTTCAAACAAACTTAGATGAAATTCTCAGAAATCAAGTTTATAGGAATCTGTACTAGACACGAGTTTACATCGATGTTGAAAATGAAGGTTCTTTATTTCTGAAGATGGTTGATTGTGATAGCTCGAGACAAGACGAAGAAATACAGGCGTTGTCTGCCATTTATGAAGGAGATTTTCTAATGATTAACCCAAATGAGAAAATTTTCGAAATTTGTATTAATCACGAGAAAGGGTGTTCGCTTAATTTAAAAGTCTTAATGCCAATGAATTACCCTAGTTCTTGTCCACCGATGTTTGAGCTCCATGGTCAGTGGTTACAGGACTGCGACGATGACGAGTTACGAAATAAACTTCATGAGATTTATTGTGAAAATGCGGGAGAATGTGTTGTGTTCCAGTGGGTGCAAGCTTTACGTAGTTTTCTTGACGAAAAACCATCTTTGCAAATTGAAAGTGAAGGTACACTTGTTAAACTTCTGTAAAAGGCGGAATATGAGTAACTAAAGGTGTATCAAATGTATTTGTGTTTTTTTAACAGTTATCAACAGTGATGAAAAAATAAATGACTCAGAAACAGTTGAAGAAAGTATAACCTGCATAAACAATCATGAAATCAATCCATTCGACATCATTCATGGTGAGCCAATCACTGACCGCAGAAGTACATTCCAGGCACATCTTGTTAAAGTAGAGTCAGAAGAGGATGTGAAGAATGCTTTGATAGAATTGAAAAAGATTCGTAAAATCTCCAATGCAACTCATAATATGTATGCATATTGTATATTAAAAGGAAAATCTCAGATTAACATTCATGACTGTGATGATGATGGTGAAACTCATGCTGGCTCTCGTCTCTTACATTTGCTGAGAATTTTAAATGTACAGAATTATTTAATTGTTGTGTCTAGGTGGTATGGTGGAATACAGTTAGGACCAGACCGATTCAAGCATATTAATAATTGTGCCAGAAAGTTGCTCAAAAGCACTGGTGTCATTGTAGATAAAAGTCATAAGGAATTGTCTTCCCCAAAGAATAATAAGGAAAAGACTAAAAAGGGCAGAAAACATTAAGACAATATGGTAGTTTTTGTTGATTACTGCATTAACTGTCAAACTAAAGCAAACAGACAATAAATACTTATCTTTAATGGCTCAAAAAATACTTATTTTAACATTAATCTTGTGGATTCTCATTTATATTACAATTAACACATGGAACATATAATTAATTACACTAATGTACAAAAATGCAGGGTAACATACATTTTCAGATAAATAGCTTCATAATTTAACAATGTTATAGATTCCTTAAATAGTCTTTTTTATCTTCTGGAAATTCAGGAAATACCTCAATCAAAATGACTTCAAACATTTCCAACAGCAACTGCCTGAATAAATTTGAAATTATCAATTCAATCAATTTGTAAAGGAAAATATATTGTTGTCTTAAAATTCAAACCTGTTAATTTCTGGATATTGAAAGGAATCGACTATTTCTTTGGCGCATTCTTCAATTATCTCTGCACCAATAGTGCTGTGAAAAATTCCTTGTAAAATCATAGAAATGTCGTAAAATTGAAGTATAAAGGTCATATAATCAAAATTTAACTTTATAGAAAACATCAACACTGACCAGTCAAGACATTAATGAGAGTTCTGACTGCTTTTTCTCCATTCTTCAAAATTTCTTCAACGTTTTTTTGGTCTTTTTTGATTTTGACAAGTCTATCCCCAGGCCAAACAGAGTCAGTTAGCAACTTAAGGTAATATTGCCACTGTTCTTCACTTACTAAATCAGATAAAAATCCTTCCATCCACCTAAGGATAAAACATTTCAAAGTCAACCCATTGGTTTACAAAATCTTTCGCATCTTTATTCATGTTTCTAAACTGTTTTATGATTAAGTGCTCTGATTAAGATTACTGATTAAGATTACTCATAAACTCAACTGACCATTCAATGAAACAGCCAAAAACAGCCGTTGCAGCCTCTTGCACTGGCTCAAGACAAACCCAATTGTGTCGTTTTTCCAAGAAATGACAGGAAAGATTAAGAACAGTTTTGGTTAAAGGGTTGCTTGCCCCTTCATCTTTACAGAGGCCTGTCTTGTATGAGTCCAATGGTTGAACATTCTTAGACATTTGAGATTTTTCAGCTTCTTTCATTCTTGATAAATCTTTTTCCAAACCGTTCAACTTAAAATTTGCTGAATAACTGACCTGTGCTTCATGCTCATCCGTCATTTTGTGACGTAGAAAAGATTGGAAACAACTGTGATTTACCTAATGAAAAAATTCAAGTACATATGTAAATATGTACATGAACAGACAAGTTTATTTTAATGATACTCAAACAATATATATTTTTATAGTTTGCTAAATATTTTTGAAATGATTATGAAATGAAATGAATATTTTGAAATGCATAAAATTTGCTGAATAACGATGCCACTGACCACACTTTATGATGAAAGCAAAGGCAATCAAGACGTATATTATTTCCAAGTGATAGAAAGGCCACAAACTGTACGTTCTACACGTAATGTACATTAAAACACAAAACTATCATTGCATTAAAATTACCCGCTAGTAACTATCTTAATTGATTTATTCACACTTCTGACAGGAATGTGACAATTTATATCGCTTTTTATACCTGACTATCTGTAGAACAAAAAACAAACGATCTGACATCGTCTTGTGTTGTTTTATCATCACCAAACATTAATCCTTCATAATCGTAGTCTTCTTCTCCATCAACGGGACCTAAATTAAGAAAAAGACAAAATGAAAATGGGAAGACGACCGACAAAGCGGAGAAGGAAACTAGGAACAAAGCAAAGAGCTTAACCATGTACCTGAATCAAAAGCCGTCTTTATATGATCCAAGAATTTCGACATATTTTCTTTCAATTTCTATAAAATAAGATTTGGTGATAAAATTTGGTAATAAACAGATTTTGAATAGATGGAACGGGTAAACTAGGGACCTAAGATCGTGCAAAGTTAAAAAAAACACTGCCTTTTGACTCGTAATTTGAATCGACCACAAAATGTTTCATGTATTTTCTTCATTTCTCCTTTAACTCCCATTTAATTTTAATTCATGTATCATGAGGCAAACATCCATTGAATTTGTGGCAAATTACTTTTAATGATAAAACTTATTAAAACCTGCAGTCTAAATAATCACTTGCTTTCAGTAAGCAATTTTCTCATTTTGTCTGTGTCGTAAAATCTATGGTTGTGTGTATTGGCTACTTTGCTTTTAGGCTTGGGGGAAAGGAGAACGCCAGAATGGTGGAAAAAGCAGTTTGCCATTCACACGTGGTTCATGTTTGTTTTTTCTGCGGCTGAATAACGTTAGACCTGTTTCTGTAACTGAAAAGTGAATACACTTCCAAGATTGACATTTATCTAGTTCACATCAAGTCATTTATACTACTGCACTAAAAACCAAATGAAAACTGAACTATTTTGTTTATACAAATTAACACTATTTTTGTAAAGTAAAAATAATTTCTCAATGCTTTTCTGTTAACAGTGGTGGACAATTCTTACATCTGACATCAACTACATTGTCTCCACCACTGACATTGAATCAACTTTTACTTTAATGAACACTGAACTACAAAACGCCATTCAACTATTCATTAAATGAAAAAAACGCCAAAAATTTAACTTTTAATAGTTATAGTACGTGAAAGAAGAACTCATTCAATATTTACTTTGTCAATTCTTGGCACTTGCGGTAACGTTGGAACTACAACTAAGGGTCGACGGAAATCAGTCTTGTTCTTCTCGCCAATCCCCAAGAATCCTTTGAAATCTTCAGAATTCAGAATCGCAGGTTTATTAACTAAACACTACAAAAAATAAACGAATATAATAACTTGAGTGTCAGAAACTGTTGTGTAGGTTAACATCTTAGTTTGAATGTAGTTCCTGGAAACCTTCTTTATAAGCGAGAAACACAGGAATGGGTTTATTACAACATTGCTCTCGCTAAAAAAGACGTTAAACAAACCTGGACGAGAACGAATTTTGCTGCTCGAGTAAATAAATGTCTTTTCTGTTACGTTTTTCATATTATTAAAAACGACAAAATCTTGTTTACAGTTTTTTCTATGACACACAAATAATCTAGACTTCATTATTTCACATTTCAAAAACAGATTTCTGCGTCACAATAAAAAGAATTCCACTGTTTTCACTTAAATGGAGAGTTGATAAACAGTTTAAATATTTGGTAGAAGCAAGAAATTCGGGGTGTTAGACAAAAATACAACCTTACCTTAAGGTAATTTTCTAGCAAAAATTGCCTTCCTTTAATAACATCTTCATCCAAACGAAAAAATGGTGAATTAAACTTTCTGTTTGGTTTTGGAATATCTGAATGAATTGAAGTCATTTCAAGTTAACCGAACAAACATATACAAAAGAAAATTAAAGTGACCTTTCATGTAGTCGGACAGTGCTCCACACACTAGTCGATGATGTAATTCCATAAACTCACGATAACGTCGTTTGATTTGATTTACTCCACCAAGTTCTTCATCTTTTTCATCATCATTAACTTCCCACAAATGTAAATTGTACTGAACATAAAATATAAATTTACGTCATTTCATACCAACTACGTACATGCATACAAGTCCTGAGTAGTGGGATTTTGTTTACTAACTTACCTTTATCAAGTAAACTGTGTATTTTCTCTTGTATGGTTCAAATGAATGATCATTAATAAGTTCTGTTGATGGTATATTGATCATGGAAGAAAGATTAACCGTGTCATTAATGGCAAATTCTGCTCTTGATATCATATCATCTTCTATTTGACGTTCTTTTAGTGACAAGTCATTTTCTTTTATATCTATAACAGTCTGAGTGCTCTTTACTAATCTATTATCCTTACTATCTGCAGAGTTTTCTTCCAATAAACCATGATCCTGTAGATTTCTCTCCAATTTCTTCCAACCTTTCTTATCTTCAACAAGTCCACCATCATAGTTCCCAAAGTCAGGAGCTGAAGTTTTTGAGCTAACATTACAATTTACACTTCTTTGATTCTCCTCAAACATCTTTATGAGTTGTTCACCATGTCTATCAGGTAATGAATTGTCGCCACAAACACTAACTACTGGCACATCATTGCACTTTGCAAACACTTCATTAACCAAACAATCATCATCTGAATTGTTGACAACTTTGTCATTGCTGTTAACTTGATCAAAAAATTCTGATGAGTCCATTCTTTCTGGTTCTTGCAAACTTTCACTTTTCAAGTTGGTCTGGGTGACATTACCACTACTACTAAAACATGAGCTTGTCTCATGATATTCTTCACTGGAAAAGCTCGACAACTCATCATTGTCTGCAATTCTTGAAATGTTTTCTTTGTTGAGAAGCCATTTTCTTGAGCCACTGGTCTTCAGATTAGGAGAGGAATTAGTTTTACGCAGTTTTTTAGGAAGCATTGATCTGCTTTTTGAGCTAAACAATGAGTTAAAAATAGATGAATTTTTTCCTTTATTTGGTTGAGAAGGATTGTTCTTCGCTTTATCAGAATCATTAATGGATAAAAGTTGAGTGGATTCTTTGCTTTCTACATCTTCCTTCTTTCTGTTAACATTGTTCTTCTCATTTGCTTGCTTAGAGAATAATTCAAAACTTGTGCTTTCTTTATCATTGAAGTCATTTAAGTCGTCAGAATCAGATCGAAAAATTGAATTTAAACTTTGATCATGTGAATCATTTTCCATTGAATAATCAACCAAGTCTGTGTGATTCTCCTCAGCTATTGTCAAATTATTGAACTTAAACTTTGTAGTTAATTGCTTGCTTTCTACCTGTTTGTCATTTTCTTTCCAATCAATATTCTCTTTTAAACATTCATTGAACACTGAGGACATGTTAAAGTTTTGTTCCACAGCAGATGTCACTTCCATTGTGGAAGTTTCATCCACTTCAGAGATGCCTTCACCAAGCATATGAATTATTGAAATGTTCACAAAATCTGGTTGAGAAATTGTTTCAATGAAAGGCAGGAGAACATTAAAAGTCAAGATTTCTCGAAGTATAAGTCGACCAATATCACAACTAAATGTTTTCTTAGGAACTAGTTTAAAAAGTAACAAATCAACAATGTTGAGAATGTGTTGAGATTCATCACTGACGTTTGGTCGATCGTTTTTATACTGTGAACAAATAAATTCGACAATGGCTTTGTTGTTTTCTGAATGCTTTTTTGCAGCTTGTAAGTCTGACAAATGTCTATGATAAACTAAGGACAATTTCTCAATGTGAGTTTTTACGGATGTATTTGATAATCTGTCATAAAGAGTGCAAGTAGCTTCTTCAATAAGTGATCTGGTTTCTCGAATAAATGCATCGTGAACACCTACATTTTGGTACCAAGATATCACGAAATCTCGCAAAATATTTCGTATCAAAATGTGTCTACGCCTTTTTAATGCAGAGGGGAAAGGTTTTCGCGAAGTTTTGACCGAATTCCCTTGCTTTTTCGTAACCACAAATCCTTTAGATGAAAAATAGGCTGTATAGTCTAAATTTTTTCTCCATTTAATAAAGTGCGAGCAAACACAAACGACACGATCGCACAAAAGGTAAAAGCCAAAATTCCATCAACACTGCTAATAAGAATGGCAAAAGCAATAAGATATAAAGTTACCGACCATAGCATTGCCAAAGAAAAACTCAACTAAGTATCCACTTCTTTCTTTAAACTTTGGAATGTAAAGATTTCTTGCAACGTAGACAATTTGTTGCATGAAAAGGACGCCATCTTGAAATTTTAAAAGAAGAATATATTATATATATATTAGTGTACAAGTGGTGATAATATGGAGCATGGAGGATCAGAAATCTAACTTCAAGTTAAACGAATAAATTGTTCGGTTATTTGTTTTAACAATTAGTTCTCCGATTTAATACTAAAACTATAAATCACTTTAGGTATTGTGATTAGGGCCTAAGGGCTTTTTCACCTCGCCTTGGGAGAAAAATTTAATATTCTAATTGTTAATACATTGGCTGGCAGCACTTTACCACGATTTATAACATATAGAAATAGCAGCCAATCAGAGCACAACACGAGCTAAGCAACGAGCGGTGCCACGCAACGCGCGCGATACACGCTTTAAAAGTAAAGTAAAAACTTTTAAAATATATAGTAGTAAATGAAATTTGTAAAAGATATTGTTGCTGATATATGAAGTACGGTTTTATAGAATGTACAGTAGCTTCTATCAGTTTTTCTTTTCCGTTTCTTGCTATTTTTTAATGCAAAATCATGTGTATGTTTTTGGAAATTTAGATAATGGTAAGTATCGTCTGACAGTTTTATGTTGTATTATTAAGATTATTCGGTATTTCAAAAGTTTGTTTGTTGCCCCATTTGCAAGCATTTTAATCAAACCATGTCAATTTCGAAGAAATTATTCATGCAAAAGTTTTTTCTCTCTTCCGAGTTATCTAAACAAAATTAAAGCAGTTTTTAACAAACAGAATTCAAGTTTGTTACATGTGGTAGTGCCGTAAAACTTCTCAATCCATACCACAATGTAAGATTACATTCACACGAAGTCAAGTATGGTTCAGGCTCTGGACAACAGGTTTAAATTTTCACTTTAATTACTGGTGATAGTCATTGGTATGTTATGTGTACTGTTGTTTCAGTCAGTTACAGGTGTTGGTGCACAAGATGATATTAACAGCTTGTGGATAGCAAAGGGTAAAACAGGAACACCTTGCAAACGAGGGTAAGTAATGTACTGATGAAATCTCTTTGAGTAATTTGAATGTGTTGTTTTGTATGAGAAAAATTTTTTTCTACAAAAGAAACCCTATAAAATGCGGTAGCACTATTCGCCTGGTTCATCAGAGTACTCAACGGTACTTACACAGTCATCTATTTCAATCACCACTTTCAAGCAACCAAGAAGTCAGTGCATTTGGTGAGCATGGTGTAGGGGATGATGGTGATCATTGGTCTGTCATTTGTTCTACCAAATATTGGAACAGGAGTGATAAAGTGCGCTTCAAACATACACTTACAAAGAAGTAAGTCAAAATATACATGCACTTGTTTAGATATTTTGTTAGTGTTAATGCATAGATCCATGTGTTCTCCTAGATATTTACATATCTCAGGTGCAACCTTTGGCCGACCGATCAGTGGACAAAGTGAAGTGAGTGCTTATTCCTATACCGAACCTGGTAATGAATGGAAAGCCATGGTATGTGTACATCATTTTCCACTGTAATTAGAATTTAGCATCATGATTGTTTTATATGTCTTATGATTGAAATTCATATTATCTTTAAAAATTTTTAGGAAGGTATCTACATACATGATAGCTCAGAGAAATGAAGAACTAACAAAACAAGAGCAATGCCATTCAAATAAAAGAACAGCTAAAGGAACTTTTATTGCTTATAAGAATTAGATTTGAATCACAAATTCCAAGGTGAAATTCAATTTACATCGGTAGAAAGCAACCTACATAAATTTTCCATGTATGCATATTTGTGTAAGTAGTTTTTTGAAAGTCTCATTGTATAAAACACAAGCACTGTTATTTACTTAACATAAGCATTTTACATAGAGGAAAAACTCTACTTTTACATTCTTTGTTTCCATGTTTCCTTGAGATAAATTTTTTCGCCAAATCTCGATGTGATAGTAATACCACCAGCTTCAACTAATCTTGTATTTTACTAGTAGAAAAATCAAATTCATTTATATAACATGTGTATAATCTTGGGAAATTTTAATGTTTGACTTGTCCTTACCTATCTTCCACTTCTCTTGAGGCAGGCCAGTAAACTTTAAAAGAATATTCATTTTTTGAAAATGACCCCTTGAAAAGATTTTTTGCTACTTGAACAATAGTCATCAATTTAAATGCATCATTTCATCATGAAAAACATCACAATAAGCTCACATATATAATAAGACTGTTTCAAAAATCAATATGACTTACAGGATTCACACAAGTACAATCTAATGACGTAGGTTGTACATAAGAGTGGTATTTATCGGCGAGAATTATCTGAAAAAAAAACGCAGCATTGCTGAAAAAAGGGAACTTAAGTATTTCACAATATATACTTCACTAACAGCATAATTGACTACCATTAGTTGTAGAGTAAATGGTAAAGCATCATTACCATTGTGAAGCAACTTACCAGATCAGGGACGGGATATATTCGTAAAGCGTTATCGTAATTCCAATATACTGGTCTTACATGATGAGGAAGAGGAGCAAGATGAGCTTGCGAAATGATTGTTTTAACCAACTACAACAAAGATATCAATGGCTTGAAAAGTTTTAAAATTGTTTTAACCATACACAACTTGTGACCCCTGCGGTCTGCGTTGTCGCTGATATTTCTTAACATAGTTCGTCGCAAATCAATCCTTTTTGTCAATACGATTTCTTTTGAAAAAAAACTCACGTGGCTTGGTATGTTTTCGAGATCCTTGGGAAGATGAATGCAAGTACGACACATTTTATTCACTAAATCCTCTCTGAAAACAACGATCTCTTGACTGCAGTACTGTATTCTGTGACAAAAAAAAACCAAACACGTAAGAAAAAAAGCACACTGTGTGTTTGAAGCTGCATTACATTAAGACAGATTTCTAGTAAAAGAAACTTTACCTGCATGGGTTAGTAGCAAAAAATGTGAAAGGTATTTTTGACTTCATGCGCTGTGTCAGACACGATGGTAGAGCCGGCCTACAGAGATGAAAGAATGAAAATTTAGGAAAAGCAAAACAATAGCAAAATTATGAATGGAAAAGACGTCTGGTGGAACTAACATTAAAATGCTATTTATAAAAGAATAAAACAAAAAAATCAAATAAAAGTGACAATTGGTAAAATACCTTGGTAAAATATTTCCTGGGCCAGGATCCTGAGGGCCTGGGACGAACACAAAACGACTACTGTTGGAAAGAAAAAAGTGAAAATAAGATGTCATGGTCTTACGTTGAGCAAAAACTGCAAAATAAAGTGAGCAAACAACACAGAAGTTGTTGCTTTAAGAAACCTTTCAACTAATGAAGGAAATTCTGAGATCAAATCTGAAAGATCATTGAAGCATTCTGAAAAAAAGTAGAAAGCCAATAAAACCAATTTCCTTTGAAAAATAAGGAAAGTATGAACATGATCATGACTACCGCGTAATTTCCAAGAATGTTTGGAGCCAAAAGGTTTGGAAATAAAATTTCCACAAAATATAAACAAAGTTGGGGGAACAGAAGCGTAGCCGTTAAATAAGACTCTCAGTTTGGCCATAACCTAAAAATATATATAAATATACATAAAATGTCCACAATACGTACATCAACATCGTATTGACCACTTAAACTGCATGGCTGATTTGTCACCTTTGCTACGCATTATAATCTATGAAAAAAACCTTACAAGAAAAGGTACCTTAGGTAAGTCCAACCAAACATCTGACAGAATGACAAACATTGCTTCTTGATTATCTTCTTCGATGGTACGAAGTTTTGTTGACGTCTTTAAAGCCACTGCAGAAGGACCACCAAAAAAGTTTATGTTTCCAAAATAGTTTCTGAAAAAATAAAAAAGTCAAAGAACAATTCTTATTCTACACAAACTTTACCTACAATGAACAGTTTATTTTAGTTTATATTTTTGGAAGTGTAGAGACTGTTCTTGTTCTCTGTTGTTCATTCGTCACAATATACAGTGACACACGTTATCTTAGTTTATATTTTAGGTAGTGTAAAGACTGTTCTCATTCTCTATTGTTCATTCATCACTACCTACACTGACACACGTTATCTTAGTTTATATTTTAGGTAGTGTAAAGACTGTTCTCATTCTCTATTGTTCATTCATCACTACCTACACTGACACACGTTATCTTAGTTTATATTTTAGGTAGTGTAAAGACTGTTCTCGTTCTCTGTTGTTCATTCATTACTACCTACACTGACACACGTTATCTTAGTTTATATTTTAGGTTGTGTAAAGACTGTTCTCGTTCTCTGTTGTTCATTCATCTACTACACTGACACACGTTATCTTAGTTTATATTTTAGGTTGTGTAAAGACATTCATCGTTATCTTAGTTTATATTTTAGATAGTGTAAAGACTGTTCTCGTTCTCTGTTGTTTATTCATCACTACCCATACTGACACACGTTATCTTAGTTTATATTTTACCTTATGTAAAGACTGTTCTCGTTCTCTATTGTTCCTTCCGTGGTTAAATCATTCGTCAATATATAACTATACACACGAACAAATATCTCAAACCTCGTTACTTGCGAAGGCTCAGATGGAGGGCAACCCAAGGCCTCAACATGAAACTCGCCATCTTCATAGACTCCTGTAAAATTTTTTATTTAATTTTGAAACGGGTAAAACAAAAATAGCTTCGTATACAAACCCAACCTTCAGCTAAAACAAAGCTGTTTTCAGTAAATAAACCTGTGTGATATTTCGTTTTAAAAATAAAAGAAAACAACTCGGATAGAAATCTGTATTTTATAACATGATATAGTTTTTTATAAGGACAATACTTTAAAATAAAAATGTCATTGTATAAAGGATACTGCTTTTGACAAATCTACTGGAACAACACCAGTTGGATCTTCCAAGTAATATTTTCCCTAAATCGAATGTAAATCCAGCAATATTAAATGGATTTCTTGTTTCTTACATTAAAAACGTTCAATCTATGGTATTTACCTCTTTGATTTGAGTTACCATTCCAAGTACAATGAGTTTACCTAATATTGCTGTACTTCCGAGGAGATACTCAACAGGTTTTAACTAGAAATGTTATTTTTCCACAACTTAGAATAATTATCTTCAATCATTGAACAAATTTTCATACTACCAGCACCTCATACTTATTGGTTTTTTGACTTGGATGAGTAACCACAGATGGTGGTGCAAATAATTCATGTCTGATGGTTCGCTAAACACACAAAATGTCCATTGAAAAAATAAAATTCAATAATCCACAAGCCAATGTATATATTATCCTGGTGTCTAATGCAAACCTGATATATTGTCATATATCTATCTTGATAAAACTTGGCTTTACATGATGCTGTTGGATGGAGATGAAAATCGTTTATAGTATCTCTGAAAAACACAAATTCCAATTCACATCAAACATAGATATACTTAATGAAACTTCTGGCTGTGTAAAGATATAATTTTTACTTTCTATCATAAATATCTTTACTCAACCTCAAATATTTTTTCCTATCAACATTGTATTCATATCGAGGCACTCTACAAAATGAAATTTAAAGTTTTACAACAAGAAATGTACTATCCAAGTATGATATCTTACAGATGTAGTACCAATATACACTATAGGACTACATGTATGTTTTTTGAAGAGCTATCATTCAATGCCTTCAAACAAATGCTGAGTTAATACAGTATTTGATCCATAATCAATTTGATAACTTACTCAAATGCATCTATGACAGCAAAAACATTGTCACTAAAAAATTAAATTAAATTGAAAGAGCTAGACATATTTACAGCAGATCATAAATCCTCAGACAAGGGATGTTGTAAAAATATTAGATAGGAAATATTTCTAGGAAGTTACAAGTGGTTACCGTCTGAGCAATGGCAGCGTTACATCCAAGTGAATCGGGGTAGAAGTGTTTGGAGGCTGTCTATTATCAAAATTTGGGGGGAAATGAAGTGAGGGAAACAATAAGATTGAGAGGTGGGGCAATCTCTAGCAGGCTCCCTTAGTACCTCAGCAAAGGTGATGCCACTAAGTCTGAGCATGATCAGAGGCTTACTAACCTCTTTTCCTCTGATCCTTCACTGCATTCTTCAACAGCATTCACAACGAGATCTTTACCGATTGACGTTGATGACACTAATATAAAATCATTTTTGTCAATAGAGCAGCCGACTTCTCAAGGTGTTGTTTAATCTAAGCAATATTCAATCACTACATACAATGTTGTTTTGGATACTCTCAATGATTCTGTCCAGCCACTCATCAATATCTTTTACGTTCACTGTTGATAAAACGTCGCCAAGAAAACGTGACGATTCACTAAACAACATTTTACGTATCTCTCGAACTCTTTTGTGTTACAGAATACATAGAGACTGCTTTGAGCAGTTATAAACAAGAGAAAGCTTTTACCTTTGTAAAGATAGACCATGAAATTTGAAGGTTTTCACTATTCTTCCTCTCGCCGCCATATTTACAAATTTCGCGCGCAAGCCTCGAAATCAAAATGAATGATGACACATAATGCAAAACTGATCTATAACGTGAATCGAACTTGGAGTGAGAGGTCAGGTAAGATTCTTCACAAATCCAAGATTATTTTCAACTGCTTTCAAATGTGCAATGAATAAATGCAAACATCCAAGAATTTAACCTGTCCATTAAGAATTTCATGTCGGAGCATGTGAAGGGAAAAAGATTGACTTTGTAAAAAGTCAGGTGTATTAAGAATGTATGTGTTGAACAAAACTTTTCTACAGGAAAATCTTCAAACAATGATAAAATAAGCAATATATACAAAACGCTTCATACAGTACTCTAACAGTCCACTTTCAAATGCTTTTTTTTCCATTCAACGAAAACATTCTCACTATGTAACTAATGTAACAGTAAAATGCGTTGTCACCATGTTTTCCACTCCATTCCATTCTTTTCTGGTCCATTACTCCATAATATTACCGATGTTTATGTTCCTTCCTTCTTCCTTCCTTCCTTCCTTCCATTCCTTCCTTCCCTTCCTTCCTTCCTTCCTTCCTTCCTTCCTTCCTTCTTCCTTCCTTCCTTCCTTCCATTCCTTCCTTCCTCCTTCCTTCCTTCCATTCTTCCTTCTTCCCTCCCTCCTTCCTTCCTTCCTTCATGCATTCCTTCCTTCTTCCCTCCCTCCTTCCTTCCTTCCTTCCTTCCTTCATGCATTCCTTCCTTCTTCCCTCCCTCCCTCCTTCCTTCCTTCATGCATTCCTTCCTTCATTCATTCATTTTAAAAGATACACACGGCATTTTTGGCCTCTTCAGCAGTTTCAAACATCACCGTTCCACATCCTTTTGATCTATTCTTATCATCGAGAAGAACATCTGCTCTCACAACATGACCTACACAGATAATATTCAATTCAACACATTTCAATAATACGCGAAGATCCCGATCTTACAAAAAATCTAAAGAAGTGCAAAAATGTTCAGTTTAAATAAGTCGCTTGCCTAAAACGTAAGTAAAAGAAATAATTAGTTTTTGTGTTTACCTGCTTCTCGGAACTTATCTTTCAGATCTTGCCAAGTAACTTTCCACGGTAACTAAATGTAGAAAAGTAATACGATAAAAAAAATACATACCTTCGATGTTGGGTCATTTTTTCGACGTTCATTTTCTCTTGTAATGAACATTGTTTTATTTTATTAGCTTTCTAACACTTACCATTGAAAATAATTTCTCTTTTACACCAGGACTATGATGACACATGATGAGAACTCAAGGCAAAACTTACACAACTCGAAATATCCCCCTTCAAAACATTCTACCCGATAGAACAACCGTTTTTCTCGCATAATTTCATACAGTTCGTAAAAACGTAGCTTTCTTTTACATAATCTTTAGCCTTCAAGTATCTTTGCCTCCAAAAACTAAAACATTTTCCTTCTACACCTAACGTACCCAAAGCGAGCCCAACGTTACACCTACCATTCCTAACGTACCCCTTACGTTCCCCAATTACCTTATCTTATCATTGGAATGTGTGGAAAGGAACATCTTTTCGAAACAAAACGCAACAAAATAACCACGAAAATCCATGTTACAGATAAATTGCCAACATGTTCGACCGAAATGCTTCTTTCATTTGAAAGCAAAACAAAACTAGCTAACAACTACGGCTTTTAAACCCACTTACATTTCTGACAAACACCTGCTTTGATGGATCCCCTTTGAACTGGGTTGGACTTGAAGAAAACCCCAGTGATCCACCAGTTTGCCCCTGCAACCTGCTTAAATGTTGCATTAAAAATGCATATGGATTCCCCATGGACCCACTGTCAACAGAACTTGAATTAGGATTGTATGAGTTCCCAAAGGAGTTATCGGTTGCACCTCGAGAAGACTTTGCCAAACTGCCAGTAGAACTTGAACCAAGCCCAGCTAGACCAGCAAGATTGCCCAAACCTGCAAGATTACCCAAGCCAGATACATTTCCTCCAAGACCTGAACCATTGCCAAAACCTGCAAACTGGGATTGAAGGTTCTGTAGTTGAAGTAAAGCCAGTGGGTTAACTCCTCCCCCAAAACCTGCCATTCCAGCTAAACCTGTAAGTCCTGATAAACTGGAAAAATTTTGAAGATTTGCAGAAGCAGTTTTCCCACCATCCATGTTGCCAAACATGTTAAAATATGGAGACTCGCGGTCCTAAAAAAGTATCTTGAAATTAATATGATATTAAATATGATGAAACAAAGGGAATGAGAGCTGACTTCATGTTGAAACTTATTATGTTTTACTGTTAAATATTGCATGATTTTGTAGACTGGATATGAAATGTAATTGAAATGATGGGAAAAACACAATTTATCAAAGCTAACCAGTCTGACAGTCATTTTCCTTCCATTAATTAATTGACCATTCAGTTGAACTATGTAGAAGTTAAAGATAATCAAACAAGATTTCTGTACTACACAGACACATACACACACAAAGGAAACAATCTAGTTGATGAAAAGATACAAACAGCATTAACTGCTTCTAGGGGTGTTTCAAATTGCACAGTTCCATGACCACGAGATTTCTTATCACTATCTTCTGCAACATCAGCACGAACAACTTTTCCTATTATTGTGAAAGATATCAATATCTAAAATATGAGATAAAGAGTTGTCTTCTTCGTTGGTAATCAAATGAACTTACCTGCAATCTTGAAAGCGTCCTTTAATTTCATCCAATTTACAGTGTAATCCAACTAAATTATAAATTTTTTTGTGTCATGTATTATCAAAAAAGGTTGAGCTGTTCACTATGATAACAGAGTCATTTCAGAATTTCTATTACCACAGCCCTTAGTTTAGTGCAACTATAACATATTGCTTGAACAACTAATCTTTATCAAAAGTTCACTCACATTGCTTACAAAGACAGAACAAGATGTGACATCTGACTTTGAATTCATCTGTTGCAATAAACCAAACTGACCCATTCCTAACTGACCAAGCATGCCCAATCCTGCCATGTTATTTACAGGTCCGGAAAAGCCCCGGTTATCCCTATCAAAACTACTACGATCCCTAGATCTTGTGGGACGATTGTCAATTTCCATTGCGTCCTGCAATTAAAAAAATTATCAACAAGCCACAGTGATCAAATCTATCAAAGTTTTGTTTATTTCCAGCAATAAAAATGACCTCTTTAATTTTCACCAGTCGACCACCAAGATTGGTGTCGTGCAATTCACTGATTGCTCGACGAGCACCTTCAGATGAAACAAACTCAACAATCCTTGAGGCAAAAAATTTCAAATTATTTCAGAAATGATTCATTACTTTGGTAGCTGAACTATGCTCAAATATTAACAAAAGCAAAGGTGTACTTACCCACAGCCCTGAAAATGAAAAAAACGTTTATGGTCAACAAAGGCATAAAGTAAGAAATGAGTTTAAGAAACTTCTAAAGACGGACAAGTCCTTTTTCACTAATATGACATAAAGGGAAGTTAAAATATTTCAATAGAAATAATGCAAAGCCATTATGCAAATGTCTATATTCCAATAATATATATATATACAATGAAATCAAAAAACTAGTCAAGAAAACAAATGCATGTATTCTTCCCCAAGGAGTTTAATAAGCTCTATTACTATCATTCCACCAACTAACCTTGGACCGACCAGAAGGATCTTCAAGTATATCAGCATATACTACATCTCCCGCTACACAATAAAATAACAATCGATTTCAGACTTCCAACATGTTCACCATTTTTTACATATCTTTAATGTTATCATCGGTTAACTACCAAAATGAACAACATTTTATAATTTATTCATTTAAAATTATTTAATAAAATTAAATTTGTTCAGTTAACCAACAGTTTTATAGATCAGTAAGTCCACATCTGCTGTGTGTGTCCAGGGCAATGAGTCCAGGATTGCCAGATGAGCATAATTTCCGCCAAAAAACACAAGCAGTGGCTTAAAAAATTTTGTCTGGCAGAAATTTTTTGACAAGTCTGCCATGGCTGAAAATTGGCTTTTTAAATTATATTCCCAGACATGCTGAACATGTTTTACAGAATACTGGAATTAAGTAATTTTTGTAGATCTTTATGATTGCAAATATTTAAATCACCTTTGATGCACCCTTGTGTGTCGACATTCAGCACAACAATGCAAGCAAAAGCCTAAGGCTAAGAAATTTTATAAGCTAAGAAATAAGTCTTGCCTTGGAGTAGAATGAAAAATGTATATTAGTGCATTTTTTGTCTTAACCTTATCGATATAAAACCAACTCGACAATAATAAATAATCATTTGAAATGCATTGCAGATCTTTCCAAATTTATGTAACTAATATGACTTCAACGAACATTACTGATTTTTATAACTTCAAATTTGCAAACAAATATTTACAAATTTTCCATGTTGCATTTCAAATTCCCATTAAATTAAGCCATTAAATGGTGTTGCATTCCGATTGATTTAATGTAGTAGCTTGCACTTTTAATTTCTTTCCCATTAGTATTCCATAGTGTAGTCCCTTAAAAGTTGAATTTCGCTCTTACTTTTACTAACTTCTGGTTGCAGAAGTTGGCAGAAAACTGGCTTTTTTTGTTGAAATTTTAGTATAATTGAATTTATTCCATCTGGCCACCCTGTGTGTGTCTGCGTGGCACAAAGATGTCAATGAAGATTTTCAACATCTTGAACAAGAAAATAAAGATGAAGACATTTTCCATAAAAGTTAAAAACAAACTAGAGAAAACTGTGTAAAACCCCCACTAAATTCATAAAATGCCGCACAAATTTACAGCAATAAAGATGCACAGTTCACATTTCACATAAGACACTGCAAAATCCAAACGAAATTTTTACATTAAATATACGGACCTTTCTTCATGTGATCTTTCAGTTCCTGCCATCTAAGGGAGTAGGGTAAATTGTAAACGTATAACTTCGCATTTGTGTCTCGTTTACTCAATCTAGATTCACGGTCCGATTTGCTTGATGTGTAAGGTTGATAGCGACTGGAATTGCGCGATAACGAGTCATGCTTTCGTTCTCGTTCAAAATTGCTGCGATGGTATTCTCTTGATGTTTCTACTTCACGTTCATCTTCTCTAGGGCTTCCATCATTATGTAACTGCTTAGAGAGCTCTTTACGTGTTTCAACACTTTCTGACAACATGTTCGATAAAGAATAATCAACGAAAGAGGATTCGTCAGCTTGTTCCTGCCAATGATTCCTGCTTTGACCGGACTATTTGCCATATACCAAATTGCATGCACAGCCTCGTTCGGAAGCTGCCGTTACTTTCGGTAGAGGCAAGAAAAATAGGTACGCAGAGTTGGTATCCTCTGGAATGAGCACAGACCTCCACAAATAACTGGTTTCTTGACACAATTTAAATACTGAATATTTATTGCCTTAAGCTAGACATAAAGGAAGACATAAAGGTAGACACAAAGGTAGACATAAAGGTAGACACAAAGGTAAACATAAAGGTAGACACAAAGGTAGTCATAAAGATAGACATAAAGGAAGACATAAAGGTAGACACAAAGGTAGACAAAAAAGCAGACGTAAAGGTAGACCAAAGACTTGTCTTTTTGAAATATCGTTCATGTCGTCTCTTTTAAATTTCAATTTTCTGGGGTGGAGGAGTAATTGTTGGTCGTATAATTACAGTCAACGAATTACTAAAACCAACAATTAACGAAAATAAGCATAAAGGCACACATCTAAGACAAACATAACAGTAAGGACTCCAACTCCATACATGTTTTGTTTCATAATAAAAAAGATTCGTTGAAAAATATTAGCATAAACATCCCACAAAAGCACCACTTTTTCATAATTCACTAAGACGTAACAAAAAGTGTTTTTTTACACCATAAGTGTTATGTATTACAGTTCTCAAAAAAACGTGAATAGCATTTGTTACTTTTTTCGTCTGCAGTTCATGAAAATAAAATTGTGTTGAATTGTTTGATGTGACATATTGATAGTATAATTAAATAAAGGACATAGATATCAAATATTGCACAATTTTCACTTCATAAGAGATTGCTAAATGATGCTATTTTGTTTGTTCTTTTCAAGCATAACTTTTGAAAACTTCTAAAAACGATGAATACAACATCAATCAGTCTGAAAATCCTCTCAAAGCTGCTCCTATTTCCAGGATAAATCTTCAATGAGCACTGCAAATCTGCATATTTCCTAACTGTACTTATTATAATTAAAAAAGTGTGTGAAATTTTTCGTACGTTTTAATGTATTTTGGGTACTTTTGTAAGAAAAGCAAGTGTTTGTATCCACACGTCGCTGAACTAGAGTTGACGATAATACAATTGCAAATATGGCACTCCAGGACCAGTTTTTGAAATATTGATGGTTAGACTTTGTCTCGCTCCAGCTGTACATTTCATAGTGCCTCCGCTTATTCACAGCATCAAAATTTTTACAGTATTACCCCATGGAATAAAGATTAAAGATTTTCAAAGGAGTTGATATCCAATTGCTGCTGTACATTTGCCAAGGACGAAGAAGGTCATCTTTCAAGCAACAGGATCCCACAGGCAAAGTTATACATTATGTGCTTTTCCTACGAGAGCTGCACAAAAGTAGAAGCTAAAAATTTTGCTGTCGTCGTTTTTTTGCTTCCATAGCATCAAGAATCGGCTGTCGTTTTCCTTGATAACGTTTGCGTAATTGGTCAATTTCTTTCTCCATTTCCGAATCCAAAGAATTGATTCGCGATAAAAGTTCATCAAACGGTAAACCTCGTAACTATTAAAAACAAGTGGAAGCAAGTAAAATAACATATTTTCTCTCTGATAATGATAGAATTACACGAAGAACTGATAATAAAGAATTAAAACAAATATTACGATTGATTTTTACTAATAATGAATGACGTTATAATTGTAAGTGACTTCTACGGATGGTTTTAAAAGTTGATGGAAAAGTTTTAGCCACTTAAGGCTATACAGCATAAAGTTATATCAGTTGAGGAAATGTTTTAAAGTTGTAGAAGACAGGTAAAAAATAGAAATGCTGCTTACAAATTCAAAATCACCAGGTCCAAATTTCTTGGGAGGACTAGAGGATGACGCCTCTGTCCTTCTCATTATTACTTGAGAGTCCGCTGATCCATTGGAATTACAATCATTGACGTGATTGGTTTGTTGTGGTGATTCAAACATCTTGTCAAAATGATCCATATATGATGGTCGATACTGTTCTTTAGACTCTGTTGTACCAATTCCTTTAGAATTGTAAAATACAGAAGATTACAATATAATGGCATGAATATAAAAAATCACTTCCATGATTGGGAGACATACGTTTCATTGTTCCTTCTTCATCATCATCATCATTTATAACCATCGTTCCCATTCCTGACTGTAATGTTTCATGATCATCATTGATCACCATCGTACTATCTTCAGTGTTAATCACCATGGTGTCATCATTTATCCCATCAGATACTTTACTCACAATCATTGTCCCACATTCCACCCCTTCATCCTACAAAAAAGAAACGTTTTCTGCTGATATTGAAAAAATACCATATCATAGATGCTTGAAAGGAAATGATTTAATTGCAAGCTAGTCAGTCTTTATGCTGTTGATTTCTATGCGGTGACAGATGATTCAAACTCATCGATCATAAATTTATAGAAATCTTGAGTATTTTGTGTATATTCTCTTATGTTCATAATGACAATGTAACCGTCTTTTTATTCCATACCTCCTCAAATTCATTATCTTCAGGAACTGCGTTGTCTTCATCATCGTCATCATCTTCTGGATCTTCAGCAAGCACCTCTAAGGCCTCCCTTATCATACCAATTAAGCTTGAACAAGGTTTTGCCTTGCGTATGAACGGATGCTAAAAAACAAGGAGTTCACGTGCTAGCGTATGAACGGATGCTAAAAAACAAGGAGTTCACGTGCTAGCGTATGAACGGATGCTCACGTGCTAGCGTATGAACGGATGCTAAAAAACAAGGAGTTCACGTGCTAACAAGATTTGCAAAATTTACAAACATGGCTTAAGTTACTCAAACTTCAAACATTGCTTCACAGTAAATACGTTGGTTTTGAAACTATCATGGCATTATCTAAAGCAGCTTAATTTTAAATCTCAAACTCTGCAAACGCATTGGCTAACTTAGTATTGAATTATGCCAACAAACAAGTTTGATACATAATATTTTCATGTAAAAATGTCCATTTGTTTAGTATAAATCTTTACAAATGAAAATCTTAATACTCTCTCAACAATCAGACATCAGAGAACGTTCCGTCAACTAGATAAACAAAAAGCCCCCAAAAGTGTGTCGTTTACCATTAGCAACATTTGTGATGTGATCCTTTGCTCTGGATTCTTTACCAAACAACTTCGGACAAAATCTTTAAATTCTTCCGACCATTTATCAGTATATTTGAAGAATGGTGGTGGTTTTGTGGGAATCATAAATATCGCCTGTAACAAAATGATCATAATACTTATTGATGTTGATCATTTAGATAAGTTCAATCCTAAGAAAGGCTGTTGGTATAGGTGTTGAATGACGTAAGACATAGCTGTAGTAATCTCGGAGAGGTTAAGAGGAGGAGTTAATGTGCATTTATGGGTCATGAAGAAGGGGCCCCAGAATTTGAATGGTGTAAGTCTGAACTACACTAACCTGGACGATTAACATCTACAAAAATGTGAGATACTTTTGGCTGCAAAACATTCACTTTATTGGATTGATAATGGTAGCAAAAATCGAGACTACCGGTAGTTAAAATGAAATGAACAGAATATCAGAAAATCAACAGTAACGCAAAACACAATGTTTTTGCTTCCAATTTTGACAATACAATTGACGGGATGAGCTTACGTACTCTCATGGGATGAATATCTGCGTATGGAGGTTTTCCTTCTGCCATTTCTATTGCTGTTATACCCAAAGACCAAATGTCCGCTAAGCAATCATAACCAATTTCCTAAAAATCAGGACTATTTTTATTTGTTTTGAAATTTGAAGAACATTAAAAACTGTTTGCTATTACGTCGTCGGTTAACGCTTATCATGATTCTTTGCAAGCAAACATATGCGTATAATCTGCAACACAACTCTTTTCAATGAAATTTTCTGCACTTTGTAAATTCTTACCAAGTGCTGTGCTGCAATTTGCAATCTATATCAATAAGTTACTGCAATTTATGTCAAACTATTTACCTAAGTTGCCAAGTTTAAATATTCATAATGAATAAAAACAGGTCGACATTGGTCCATTCTCCAAATTTTACGGTTTCTTTTTATTGCTAATATCAAAATATATATATTTTACTTGTATCACTTCAGGTGCCATCCAAAATGGAGTACCAATTACTGTGTTTCTTTTGCCATAGTGTCCTAAACAAAGCAAATATTCATATTAAGTGCTGTGCATATCTTCTTTCCATCCTTCCTTTGTGCATTGAAAACTTTACCACCTGACACAGGTGTAAACATTTTAAAAATAAAAAATCAGGAAAACAAATGAGTTCAATTCCTTCTTTTCATTCAAAACCATAAGAAAAGAGTCCCATTTGGAAATATTTCAAGAAAAAACACCTTTGCTATGTTGTGCAGTCTGTGCCAGAAAGCAATCAATACAGCACATGGTTATACAACACATACACAAAACAAGGATATTTTGGCTGATATTGAACTTTGCAAGAAACCAAAACCCAACCAAACTAAAGTTGTTTTCTTTCAAAAAAACCAAAGCAAAAACCAAAATGAAATTTCTGGAACTGAACAACTCTAATCAAATCATAAATATATGTAAACATGTGTCACCGTGAGTTGACCAGCAACACCAAAATCTGCAAGTTTAGCATGTCCTTCTGTATTTAATAGAATATTTCCAGCTTTTATGTCCCTGAAACAAACACAGACAAACAGTCCGGGAGAGTTCAAACTTTTATGATCAAGATGAAATTGAGCATACCTATGTATTTTCCGCCTTAAATGAAGATATTCAAGTCCCTTCAAAGCATAACTTAATATACAAGCAATTTGCTCTTCAGTGCACTGAAAAATAACAAAGAAAGTTTGCTGGGAAAGAACATTATCCAAATAAATATTCATCATGTTTACATACAGTTTTATTACGTAATTTCATAATGTCAGAAACTGAACCAGCTCCACAATATTCCATCACAATCTAAAATAGACCATTTTCAACGATAAGAGACTCCAAGAATGAACAGGATGTGAAGAATTATCCAGTTAAAATTTATCATAATCAACATAACCCTCTAGTTGATAACAACAAAAACTCAAAAGTTGCATTTTTAAAAAATGAACATGTTTCAAATTATTAGTCTGCACGATATTAGTTTTGTTATGTATTCATGTTACTAGGGGTTAATATCTACATCATCATAGAATAATTTATCCAAAGTCACATCCAATGTAATGAAGTCACACACAAAATGAACCAATCAGAAGCCCTAAATTATTTTAAAAACTAACAATTACAATTCTCATTCAGAGAAGTTACTGCTAAATTACTTACCCATAAGTCTGTATTCTTGAAGTAGCTGCCATAATACTTTACAACATACGGACTAAAATGGTTTCACAGCAAAAATATTTGCCTCATAATTCTGTTATGAAATTTGAAAGCATCAAAATCTTACTATACCTGTCACATTGTTGCATCATACTAATTTCTTTAATAATTTCTTGAAGATCGGTATCAACTGGCACCTGCTTAATTGCTACTACCTGACCTGACTCTTTGTGCATCGCTTTATACACAGATCCATAGGAACTATTTGAAAAGTAAAAAATTCAGCAAAGGTTTATGATAAATTTCATAAGCAATTTTATTTTTAAGACCTGTATGATTTGTGAGGTGCAATAAAAGAAGTCCCACCATCCCAAATTTTGTCACCCCCCCCCCTTTATCTCTCTTCCCTATGCTTCATAGGGTATACTGGTGGTATACTGGAAGTTACAGGTACAAATGTCATGCCAGGACTGTACAGTAATAAGCTCTAAAGTGTTCAAATATTGGTGTAAACGAACAGGTTAAAATGACGATGAACTACGAACTACCTGAATAATGGCGAGATAGATATGTAAATAATATGCTTTTCACGAGTTATATATGTGAAATATAGAAAGTTTATTTCATCATTTAGATTAAATTAAAGTATTATCATTACAACTCAAAATACCAAGAAACGGAAACTTTAAAATTTTCTCAATGTCCGTATGTAAACAAGAAGGTCATGAGATACATATATTAGCACAACGTATATGAAATAATGGAAACTAACCCTTCGCCCAACTTTTCAAGTACATCAAATACTTCTTCAGGTTGTCTCTGTAAGCTTTCTTCACTAAGTTTTCTAAGTTCGTTCCTGAACATTCATAAATTTAATAAATTAGGAGGAATAACAGCCAAAAGTCAAGGTGATAAATCAAAGAACATAAGAATTTCACCAACTGCTTCAATGTATATTACAAAGATTCTCAATATTTATACACACTTACCCTTTAGAGGACATATTTTCTACCAAAATTGTTGAATACGTATTTCAAATCATCGCATCTTACGAGAAATTAACAAAACTAATACATATTTACCCCAATTCATATTCCAGACTTCCACCATTTTAGCTAAGACTGAAGACGTTCTCCAGACATTTCGTACCAATGAAATGGCTTCAAATTACACCACGTGATATTGTGGAATTGTCCAATATTATTATCGTTCAGCAATGGTGGTACGAATTATGGAGTCCAAATACACGTTTTTATTCAATTTTTGTTGATAGGGTGAATTTTTAAAGGATATTAAAGCATGGTTATTTGTCAGTATTACCTTAAAGGAAACTGCAGATTTGGTGAACGCTGCTTTAATGAGCATAGGAAGCCAGGTACGTATCTCTTTCTTTTGAAGTTTTTTGCTGAAGTGTCTCGTTCAACTGTGGCACTCCATTCGTGCTAAATATTTCTTGGCGTTAGATTGAAGTATTGAAAAGTAAATTCCCTGCCATTTTTATAGATAATCGAGGGAACCATTATCAGGCGGGACGCGGGAAAAAGAACTACCAGCAGGAATTTCGCTACAACAGCAATAACAATCGCAATGGAAACTATGACAAGAGATATGAAACTCACGAATCGAGGTTTAATCACAAGGCCACGAATTACAGCTTCAAACAAAGCAATCACAGTAACTACCAGAGTTATGATCATGTAGATATTGATGAAGACAGTCAAAGATACAGTGGACGGACACACTTCAGTAAAGATAAGTACCATTATGATGCTAGAAATAAGGTACGTAACATAAACCTTATATATTCACCCAACTTCATCATGTCATTATAAAGCTTTCTGTTACTTCAATTCTCATAGAATCGATTCGCAACATTGAGGCATCAGCCTGAGCCTGAATCACCCAGTTTCCATGGTAACAGATTTAGCAGTCCAAGAGCCAATTTTCATTCAACACCCACTCAACATCCGAGAAAATCTCAAGAACAAAAACTGTGGGTAAAACATTGCTATCCTTAGGTTTATGATAATATTTATCATTGATAGGATAACTACTTTAATTTGTCTATTTATGCTAGCAGATATACCTCTCCATGTCAGGTTCTTTTTTCTCAGAGAAAAGATACGAAAAGATATGAGGGAATGGGAGGAAAGTGGCCAATGGCCATTATCTTGTTATTCTCCTTTAGGAAATGAACCTTGTTTGAATGGTAAAAAGCAATGTTCAATATCATACCTATGTGTGCACATACGTATATATAGCATCAAGATGAATGTCTTGTCTTTAAGAGAAGCCTCTGTTCCATCTTGCAGGTCTCAATGATATATCTGCTGAAGAGATGAGAGTTGAAGCTTATGAAGCAAATCACAACAAAAGTGGATTTCGCTATGTTCGTCTCTTTTATTTGTTATAATTTGTGTGATTGATCACAATATATTTTTTTATCAAACAAAAACAAAGTTTGTTAGTGACATGAACCACAAAAGTCTGGGTTTTGCTCCCAACAATAGAAATCATGCATATTTTTACCTTCAAGGCACAAGAAGTACAAACCATTCTTCAAAACTACAGCCAAAGGAAACATGAATTGGCAAATATGTCATCATTTTCACTGGTAAGAATGAGCTTGCAGTACGCAATGGCAATGTGTTTTGTTGAGATAACTCTAAGCCTGATTGCCATTCTTATGCATCTTCTGATATTTCATATTTTTCATTAGGAAGAGGAATTGTCCAACTCTTCAAAACCAGCAGTTACACTGCCACCAGGTGGATTGTTTGGCAACCAGGACAGTTTACATCAGTCAGCTAGTGAAAATACCCTAGGTGGTAGCATGGATGTATCATCTTCAAGTTTATTTAGTTCCAATCCATCAAGGTGAGATGAAGATGTATAAAGAAGATTTATGATGAAGAAAAAACACAACGTTCCATTCCATTCTTATGCACTGAATTATTCTTACTTATTCCAGTTCAGGCAAAACGTCCACTTTTTTACCAGTTACAACAAATTCCACGTCTACGCTCTTTCAATCCAATCAAGTTGATGTACCCTTTGCTAGATCACTGTCTCCTATAGCTGAAGATGTCTCCAATGATCACCAGACATTCCCCACTCCCAAGTGTTCTGTTTCGTCATTACGATGCAGTGAAGACGATTTGAAGGCGTTCAGGGCAGACCGTTTTAAAATGGGTGCTGTTCCTGAATGTCCACCTCCTTTAGAACTTTGCTGAGCAATAATGTGTAGTATATATAATTTGTATATAATAAAGTTATTTAAATATTGTATTTGTGTATGGGATTTCATTTATAAACCAATCCTCGCAGGGTAATTTACGTTTTTACTCGTTGGTTGATAAATGAACAGCAGAGAATAAGTGTTTATACTTCCTTAAATAAAAACTATGATAAAGTGTGTCAGTGTAGGCAGTGATGAATGAACAACAGAGAATAAGAACAATCTTTACACTTCCTCAAACATGAACTAAGATAACGTGTGTCGGTGTAGGTAGTGATGAATGAACAACAGAAAAAGAGAACAGTCTTTACACTATCTAAAACATGGACTAGGATAACGTGTGTCAGTGTAGGTAGTGATGAATGAACAATAGAGAAAGAGAGCAGTCTTTACACTACCTAAAATATAAACTAAGATAACGTGTGTCAGTGTAGGTAGTGTTGAATGAACAACAGAGAAAGAGAACAGTCTTTACACTTCCTAAAATATGAACTAAGATAATGTGCGTTAGTATAGGTAGAAAACAGCAAAGAACAATGGATCTACCTACTAGCGTGTGGAACAGAGAACGGAGCCGTAAAGTTGACGAACATCTTGTTGGAGGAAACTACGTGGGGTCCAGCTGATTTAGCAGCACTTTTATTAAGCTAGTTTTTGAAAGCAACGTGTTTAACTCCGGAGGTTACTTTTCTTCAATTCATAGTTATAGAGTTTATCTCGAAATTAGCGGAAACAATAAAAGAGGAAAATACTCGGATGTTCAACCTGTTGTTTTCCCCTTCTTTCATTTGAAATGTACATTAACTTAATGATGTTTCTTATTCTCGTCTTTCTTAGTAAATACAAATGAAACGGCAACAAAATATGACCAATCCTGCGGAAGATTGAAGAACTTAACTTTTCTTTTGTTAAAACATCAACGAAGGAAAAAATACAAAAACAGATTTCATACTGGTGACTTTTGACAACGATAAATTTCGACCCCACTTGACGTGGTCATATTGTACAACAGTGAAGACACCTTGCACAACAAACGAGGCGTTTTGATTCGCACAATATTCACACGTCATTAAATTACCTGTCATGTTGCTAACTAGCCATGATTGGTCGGGTGGGGTTATAGGCAGCAATGGTATAAATTGCGCTAATATTCGGCTTACTTACCGAACAAAAAACGCGTGATTATTAATACCCCATAAAGAGTTCAACAAGATTAACTAGGTAAAGCGATGTCCATGGTAAGCCTCAGCTCGTGTATTAGCAACGAAGCAAACAATCCTGATCCTGCAGTTGGTTACAGGCTACGAAAACGTTCCACAGAAACAAGGAATAAAATGGCGAAAATGGCGCGCGCAATAATCGAAGATGAAGATGAGGATTACCTAAGTAATTCCGCATCACCGCGAGAAGCAAAACAGTCACGAACACACGAGCGAGTGTCAGCGACAAAGAGAGAACGAGAACGCATGCACAAACTAAATCATGCCTATGATAAACTTCGAAAAGCCGTTCCCAAACTTGATGCGCATTCACAAAACAAGAACTTATCGAAAATAGCCACACTTCGTTTGGCTATTGATTATATATCCATGTTAACAGACCTACTTCAAGGTAATCTGGATGATATTTCTATAAGACGAGTCGAGAACAGCAGTGACGAGGCATCAAACTCAACTGATGAAGACAGCACGGATATTTTGAATGAACTCATTGATAGTGTCCATGAATTAGAAGAAATGGGATGGTTTTGGGGTGAGTGTTTTAAAACTATATGTTCTTTTTTCATAAGATTGTTCTCGTTTTTATTGCTTACCAAAAGCGTGAATCAACACGTTTTTGGATTTCCTATGAAATGCTGTGAAAGTAAACGATAATACATCAGCTTTTTGGTTTATATTTACAGTCAAAGATAGTATTATAAACATTAATATAATCAACGCATGAACAAATTGTCGCTAACATAAGTTTGCTCCATGGAAAGAAACCTTTTATTTCTGCGCATGAAAACAGATACATTTTTTTATATTCTTTGGATATTTTCAAAACAAAATATCGAACATATTTTCAATTTAAAATATTAACGGCGAAGTCACTGTGAAAAATAAAGCAGACACGAACGAGCTAAGTCTTTTGAAGTGTATATTCCAGTTGCAGAATGTCAATTTGTGTTATGTTTTAGTCAAAGGTGTCTTGCCTACACAACACAAATTACACCAATCAATACAGCACCATTAACATGAAATTTTGCCTATCTTTTCACATAGAAAAGTGAGTGTACTAGATATAACAAGGATATCGCATTTAGTAAAACGTGTTGCTAACTTATGCAATGAAAGGAAATGTTGTATGCTGAAAACTCTGAACATACGATAGATCATAGATGTGAATTTACTACTCACAGTAAAAATTTTCATTTCTTTAGGTGGATGTGAGCTATGAAAGAAGTTTTAAAAGAATCACAGTTCACACCGAACGTTCAGTCTTAATCGCGAGTTTGCAGAAACAATCACACTAGATCTTCACTAATTTTCATTGAAGTTAGTTTACCAGAAATTTTCTAACGAAATTCACAGTTATTTGAAGATGCATGTTTAGCGAAGTCATGACAATATATCAGTTAATTTCATAATATGCGCACAGGAAATTCTTTTGCCCGCAAATTATGCAAATTTATCGAGCGCACAGGAAGTGTAAAATAAGGAGAAAATATATATTTATAAAGTTGCATGCGCCCATGAAAACGATAATTAATATTTTTCAAAGAGATGCTATTTAAGAACAATAACTAGTTTAATGTATTATAAAAAGAGAGTAAAAAATGAAGAAAAACTTAAAAAATCCAAAAGACGTCTCTCTTAGTGCGTAAATGCTGATCTATTTGGTTAGCGGAGCACTGAAAGTTATGAAAGACCATGAAAAATGCTTACACTGAAAAAGTTCATCAAAAGTCTTCTAGAACAAAAAAAATGTAGTGGCCAACAGGAAATGATGAGGTGAACATCGCAATTAAACATTGTACAAACAAATGTACAATGTTGAACATGTTTTTCTCGTTAAAAATAATCTTGTTAGCAAAGCTGTCTCAAAATGACAGGCAATAAAGTAGTTACTACACAAGATTAAGTTGTATTAGCCAAATCATGAAATGAAGTCTGTTGTCGAAATCAAAATTTCCTTTGGTTTAATAAACATTGTTCTTACACGATAATTTCATGTGAAATCCTACTTTTGAACGAACAACGACCGTTTATTATCGTTGCATGCGACAAAGATTGATGCGTTTTGAATTAATTTTGTCACGGACATGGATTTAAACACGTTATTAACAAGCGTTGACATTATGATGAACGAGTATTTAAGATGGAGAAAATTCTCAGATTTAATATAATTTTTATAAAAAGTCTAATAAAACACCATGATAATTCCATAAATAAGTATCATCTCTTAATGGCATGTTGTTACCACAAAGGAAATCAAAACTACAAGTTAAAAATATTGTTATATTGTTATGGAAACGTCAGCCTTTATCAGTTCCAAACTGCTTTTTCTAAAAATCTACCAAAGATTGCCTCCTATTGAATCAGTGTTACTACTGGAGGAAACCAACTCTAAACTACCTTTATTTATGTTTCTGTCAGGTTCAAGCTGTAATTCCACTAAACTCAACAAATATGATTTTTCACTTTCTACAGGAGGAAATCTTCAATAAGAAGACTTTATTTACGACTTTTTCTCCACAAAGAGTAGGAAATATAATCTCGTGAATACAGTAGAAGATAAAGTGTTACCAAAGAAGAAAACTTTTAGAAACCTAAATTTATTTAAACTCAGTCAGTTTAAAACTTTCTTTCACTAAACTTTTCTTAAAGAACGTGTTACCTTACCTAAGTTGTACTACCCATATAAGAAATCTCGTGGCTACATATAGAGGAAGGATATATTTCTATACTTCAGCAAGAGCAATTTACTTTCATATTATGAAATAACTTAAGCTAATTTTGGTTATTCAGTGCACGAGTGAAGTCGTTTGGTAATTCTATGATTTAATTTCATGTCGACGTTATTCAACAAAACATTTAATCGAAAGAGTACAGTTTCACAAAAGTTATTACAAGGTGACGGAAAAATTCCAAAAGTTATTTACCCTCGCGGAAACACGATCAATACATTTCAATCAGCACGTAAGATAATTAAACGACAAACTTTTGAAGTGGAAAAAAAACAGAGCCCTCTAATAAAAGCGGAAATCGCAAGATTTAATGGCTTTCACTCGTTAACTTTTTAAAGTGTTTAAACGATTAGTAAAGCCAGGGAAATTCAATAAGTAAGCATTTATGAACTTAAGGTGTGCCGTGAGCTAATAAAAGTAGAATTTTAACAAAATTAGAAGAATTTAGTGACAGATGGTGTGCAGTTTGTATTGCAGGTCGTTTCGGAAAGTTCTTTAATCTATGACAGAGATAGGATTTGTCATGTGTGTTGTGAAGGCATGTTGTGTGTTTTGAACGCCAACAACACCAATTGCTTTAAAATACTTTGCTATAAAATATTGACTCAAAAAACCAAAGTTCCTCAACTGATTTGATGGAGAAGAGTCTCGTTTAACAACTCCTTTCAACATTCAAAAAAAAAGTAAATGTACGTTTATTATAGCCAACAAATATTATTTATTAATTTAGAAAAGAAGCAAGTGCTAAAGGGAATGAAGATGAATTTCACATGTACCTATAGTTATCACAAACAATAGAAATATATATTTCAATTACGTAAATTATGTGAAAATTTGTTATCGCCAAGACAACAGTGGATAATATATTAAAACATATTAATGTTTCTAAATATACAACTAACAAGATTCAGTTGAGTGCTTAGAATGCATTTGATAGACACAAAAAATGCCAAAACCAAGTTCTAAAGCAAACTGTTTTACCACAAACAAAAAGAAAATTTATTAAATATATCTTATCGTCGTTCACAATAATTCACCCAAGTTATCATGAACATTATACTCGATCCAGTCTCTCGCAATTGGAGCGGATAACATTTCATCAGTAAGAGCAAATGCATCGCAGAGTGCAAGAGCATCGGGAGCCAGTTGTGCACATAGGTCAGCAGCTTCTTCGCTCACTTTTGCCGCCTCAGCAGGTGGGAGGATTTGAGCTAGTAGACACCAACCAAGATCTTTTTCCAGTATATCAACAATATATAGTCGATGAAGAAGATTTAATATGCCCTTATTTTTCTCACTTGCCTCAGCAGTGATGGCCATAAATCTTTCACTTATCAATCTCTCTCCAAAGGCTCTGGCTGCTGACTGAATGATATCACTTGTTTTATACATCCACGTTTCGAAGAGACCTGAAAAATCCCAGATTCATCGATTTTGTTGAGAAATTGAAAAATGGAACTTTTGAAATTTTAACTCAAAAATAACAACAGGAAACTTGACATATAAAGAAATTGTTGTTGAAATGAACATACCTTCTTTGCCTGCGGCTTGCAGGGCCTTCCCCAACTGCATAAAAAGTAAATCCTCTCTCTTTTGGAGCAGAAAGTGAAGACAACCTGTATCTTTCAGATTTACATCCACACTCTTTCCCAGTGTTTGAGGTTTAAATACGGCCAATCTCTCTTTGGCAACTTTCTGCATGAGCACACTGTTATCACCTTCAGCGGTCATTGCTGCATGAGCATTGCCAAGGAACGTGCCAAATCGGTTACAAGAGAGGTAACCTTGTCCCCCACAGCGTTCACGTGCTACAGATACGACTTCACCAATGTTCCACGAGCCAAGTGGTTTGATGACGCAACACATCGTGACAATTTCTGCATGTTCTGAACCGTCGGGATTCTGATTTGCCCAGCGGTCTTTGACGTGATCCAAAGCAAAGTTGATGCCATAAGTTCTTGCAAAAAGCGGAAGAAGTGCACGTTGCTGTAGTTGGTAGTTTAAAATGGGGGTGTCAGACTTTCCTCGTGGGCCGACTGTAAGACGAGTTGACGCATATCGCGTGGCAATAGTCAATGAAGCTTTTGCAGCTCCTTGACACATACTCGCAATGCATATGCGCCCAGAGAGCAGCTGGTCAGCGACAGTCAAAAATCGGGCACGGTTACCTTCAATGGTCGATTTGAACACGCCATCCTCACCGACGTCAGAGTAACGATTTAAAAGATTTTCACGTGGAACTCGAACGTTTTCAAAAAACAGTTTTGCATTATCCACACCGTTTAACCCCATTTTATGCCTGAAGGGAGGCAACGTAATAAGATAATGATTTTTTTATCAGATGGATAAAAATATGTCGATGGAAGCTGCATAAATCACCCGTACAGCAATAATGCATGTAATCATTGTAAAAACATATCATGGATGAACATGTTGAATTAAAAACAACGCAGATATGCTCTGTGTTATTCATCATTGATTTAGTTATTTTACTGAGGTTTAATGATAGAGAGTGGATAAATAGGATCACAAAAAATCTTACCCCATATCCTCTACACGTACTCCTGGCATTACCTTAAGATCATTATCACGAATTTTAACCAATACACCATGAATACCTAAAATAGTTGCAGATATTTTAACCAAGACAGCATAATAAACTCCAAAACTATAGAAAATTACACTACAATCCCTCTCAGGCCACCTCTTAACTTCATCCCCATCCCCCAGCAACCATATACAATGCTTTACTATCCCCCTCAGGCTAGCACTAAACTTTACCATCCCCACAGTAACGATATACTATGCTTTATACTATGCTTTATAATCCTCCTCAAGCCACCACTTAACTTCACCACCATCCCCCAGCAACCATATACTATGCTTTACTATTCCCTCAGGCTAGCACTAAACTTTACCACCCCCCCAGTAACGATATACTATGCTTTATACTATGCTTTATAATCCTCCTCAAGCCACCACTTGACTTCACCACCATCCCCCAGCAACCATATACTATGCTTTACTATCCCCTCAGGCCAGCACTAAACTTTACCACCCCCACAGTAACGATATACAATGCTTTATACTATGCTTTATAATCTCCCTCAAGCCACCACTTAACTTCACCACCATCCCCCGGTAACCATATACTACGCTTTACTATCCCCTCAGGCCAGCAGAAAACTTTACCACCTTACACAATTACTTCAAAATTCAATGCAAAAAACTTACCATGACTTTGACCATCAACAATCAATTGAGCAAACACAATGCAATGTTGAGCATGAAGCGCACCATTTGTAATCCAGTATTTCTGAGCAAGAGTTGTTGGTGTATTAATTATAAATTCCTGAGTGGCTTTATCATACATTGCTGTTGTCTCCATTTCAACAGCATTGTTTCCATATCCAAGTTCAGTCAAACCAAAGCAGCCAACATCCTTTAATGAGTCAATACCTTAAATTTTAAAGAGACAACTCAATACATGTATATGGTGATATCCACAATCTCCTATGAGAACTAATATTTAACTTATCATTCTTGAAAGATGAGAGCTATGTTTTAATAATTCAGCTTATTTGGAATTTTTCTTTCAGTTTCAAAATTATACTAACATTATAATGCATGAAAATGATATGTGAGAGCACAATAGTACTTGGTTTTCTTAACATTTACTGACCGGGTAGTAATTTTGTATGATGTCGATCAGTTCCCAGTTTAAAGACAGTTCCACCAAATAAATTGAATTGAACTGTCATTTTGGTTGTCATGGCAGGGTCTACAACTGCTGACAGTTCATGAGCTGCAAATATTCGGAGAGGGTTGTCCCGAAAATCAAGGACAGAGATATAATTATTGTCACAAATGGCTTTAAGTCTCTGCAAGGCAAGCACTCTTTCTTCATCAATTGATATGTTGTACTTTGGTTTCATTAGATCGCCCGACAAAAACTCTCTGCAACTGTCGCGCATTTCATGGTTGTCGTGGTCTAAAGCATACTTCATTTCCCCAATATCAAAACTTGATTTTCCCCACGAATCTCGCAGTTCCTTTGGGTTGAGATTTCTGTCAATAGCCGTGGCAGAAAATGGACAAATCGTTCCATGGCATACGTCAAGTCTTTTGGGAAAGGCCGAACAAAATACTTTAGGCACTCGTAGCAATCTTTGCATGATAATCTAAAAACAAGAAGAATAACAAAGATATTTCAAATAACGAGTCTGGTGAAAGAATAAATTCATTCATAACCACGTAATGTTATTTTTATGACGATTTTCTATTAAAGAGCTTTCCAAGTTGCATATTTATTCAAGTTGCACGTCCACCAAAAAACGCATTTTTATTTTTAAAGCTAATAACAGTCAATAAGAAATGTAAAGCAAAAGCTTACCGATGATAAAAAACAACAAGAGACAAAGTTCTGGCAATATTTTATGTCAAAATAAAAACAGCAAACGCATTGAACTTTGAACAACTCACTGCCAGGTCAGTTGCTTGTCAGAGTACAAATTAACGAAAGACTGGGATCGAAAGCGAGGACGTTCCCAGCCCCCGCCCTTCTCTTGATTCCGCCTCCTCAGACATTTTTCTGCAAGGGGGGGTGGGTGGAACATGGGTAGAACTAACCTGGTACTTTTCTATTGTAAAGTTTATAAGCGAGCAAAGGCTCGTTACTGTTGGCTAATCAAGAAAATCATCCCTTTCCTTTATTTTAGTCGTCTTTATTACTAACGTTTTCCTTTGAAAATCATTTCAAAATTCAATCATCAATGTAAATTTTTATCTTATTTCCATTGTTTTTTTTATGTGACGTTATTACTAATTTAAACTTTGATACATCTCCTTAATCTGCTCCATAAACAGCTTCTTTAGCAAAGGTCGCTTGATTTTGAATGTAGGAGTTAGATAACCATTCTCTACAGAAAATGGCTCCGGGTGAAGATGAATAGCTTTTGCCTGAAAAAAAAGGAAACATTTTCTTTACATGTAAAGCAAAACAGGTAGAAGACCGGTTCGAAAGAGATTGAGTGAGGATTACGATGGATCACTTTATAAATGTACCTGTTCGAAAGATCTAAGTTCAGCCTTCTTCGCAAACGAACTCATCTCTTTAAGAATATGTTCTTTAACCTCCTATAAAAACAGACAGACAACTTTGCGGTAAGAATAATCCGCCAAGTCAAGTCAGAAAAAATTCGAAGGCATTTATTTCGAATTATTTCGAGTCTGTACTTTCAATTACATGCTGTTAATTTCCAACTTAATGATAGTATCCTTCGTGAGTCGAAAGAAAGCTGTAGATTCATTCAATTGGTTATATATGCAGGAGCTTTGTTCGTATTTTAAAATATTTATAAAATAAAACAAATTACATGCTGAAAAGACTTTGAAAAGTGAATCATTTCCATGCAATCAAAATATTGCTATCTCTTTCCCAGATTGTTGGATGAAAATAAAATGTAGGTAATTCGTAGACGACCGCATATGTACCTGTTTACCACATAGATACCTGTTTACCACACATCTTTTTCCAAATATATACCTTTGTACTACATACATATATACCTGTTTACTGCATATATCATTCATTTCACCAGAAAATTTCTTATTCACTTCGACAATTTCTGGAACAATAATTGCAACAACACAACTCTGAAATATAAGAGCAATTATTTTAATGAATTATCAGTAGCTATCATTAGATGTCTTTCGAGAAAAACTGAGTTTTACTAAGTAAACAATCAACGTTCAACATTCCTCAGATTTCAGCTCAATGCTACATTACCTATACAGAAATATAACAATCAATGTACCTCTGTGCTGACCCCAGTGACGAACACTTGATGAACAATTGGACAAGCGTGGTAAATTTCTTCAACTTTTTCTGGTGCAATATACTCTCCCTGTACGTAGGCAAATGACAATTTTACATGAAAAGCTTCAGCTATAAGAACTATAACAGCTACAACATAAAAACTTATCATTACTTGTGCTAGTTTGAAAATATTCTTTTTACGATCGACAATTTTCAACGTCCCACTAGGAAGCCATTTACCGATATCACCAGAATGGAGCCAGCCATCCTCATCAAACGCCTCTTTCGTTTTTTCTTCATCATAAAGGTAGCCTTGGAATATATTTGGTCCTTTGTAGCATACCTGAAAAATCGCATCAGAAATTGATGTCACAGGTGGTTGTTGGCTTGGTCCTGATGATGAACCATGATGATTTTATGTGAGTTAAATTTTAAAAAACATAAAGGACATCTCTTAACTAAGATGAACACCAACAATACATTGTGATAATTTATGAACTCAATTAAAGAATAACGTCGGTGTTATCGGATAAAAAAACTTAGTTAACATACACAATATTAACTTACGTATACAAACAGTAGTATCTAACATAGTACCTAAACATACACAATATTAACTTACGTATACAAACAGTAGTATATAACATAGTACCTAAACATACACAATATTAACTTACGTATACAAACAGTAGTATCTAACATAGTACATAAACATACACAATTGTACATAAAACATAGAAAATAGTACCTCTCCTGCTCCATCTTTAGCGTAGTAATCCATATCAGGAACATCAACAAGTTTCACCATATTACAGGGGAGAGGTGGACCAACGTGACCTATATAGAAATCGTCATATCAATCCTTGTCTATGTTCTAGAAGGATAGCTCCCAGTGCTTTGTAAATTTTTCCTAAACTATGTTCTAGGACATTATTTTCACTCAGTTAAGACACACAAAAATAGATTCTTTCATTTTGAACCCAACAAAGCGTGATAATATAACGTTTAAATTTATTTTTACCAACACTTGCGTCGCCCACGAGCTGTAAAGTTGCGCCCGCAGTAGTTTCTGTCTGACCATAACCTTCAAACACCTAAAACACAGCAATATCTTTTCTCTCCACAAAGTAATAAACAGATCATTCCTATCACTCAATCCTAGGCAACAGAAGGAACTAAGCCGTCGACATAACCAGAGAAAGGGTAGGAACAACTCAATCACTACAATATTTAGAAACAGTTTGTAACTTACGAAACATCCAAAAGCAGCTCTTAGAAATTTCATCACTCTGTCGGAGAGAGGAGCAGATCCACTAAGAACCAATCGAATGCGACCACCTAATGTTTTCTACAAGAAACACGATCAAGCGTTGATACCATGAGAAAAATAACCTTCTAGTCAAACAATATAAATTGTGTGAAGTCATTGAAAATGAACAAAAACCATCTGCCAGCACCATAATAAGCATGATCTCTACTCATTCAAAACAATACCTGAATTTTTTTGAACACAATATAATCCCACATGCTGTCACGACGAATAATGTTCCTGAAATGAATGGAACAAAAAAGATAACGATGATAGGACAAGTAAGAGAGGGAAAAAAGCAAATGTATGATATAGTAGGGTATGATAAGGTAGGGTAGGATAGGGTGGTTATAAGGTAAGTTAGGGTAGGGTAGGGTAGGATAGTGTATGGTAAGGTATGGTAGGGTATGGTAGGGATATGGTAGGATAGGGTAGTTATAAAGTAATATAGGGTAGGGAAGGGTAGGGTAGGATAGGGTAGGGTAGGATAGGGTAGAGTACAGGAACGTAGAGTAAGGAAGAGTAGAATTAGCCAGTGCGGAGAGTACTAAAAAGTATGACTTGTTGGTGTTTTGGAAAAAGAAAGGTTTTACGCAAGTATAAGAGCAAATACGAGGGTCATTAGAACTAAACTAACCGACTTAATTCATTTTCCTTCGACGACAACGCCATGTTAAATAGGAATTTCTTGACAGAGCTTTTGTCCAAATCAGACATCACCTATAGAGAAATGGTGAAAGTACAGTTTCGTTATTCAGATGAAGAAAACGCTGGGACGAGACAAAATAATTTGAAAACATAAAGTAATAATCAAACGTAAAAAGGAAGCAATGAAGCAAAACAAAGTGAGCAATATAACAAACAATCCGTCAAGTTTACCTTATCGTGAATCCTGTTTAACAATCTTGGAACAGAAATGAATATTGTCGGTCTAGAAAAATATGAACATAAGTTGAAAATGAACATACAGAAGACATTATCCAAGTTTACTGAGATGTTGCTGACTGCTGAGTATTGGGAAAATAAGATTTGATGGATCTTAGCACTGAACTTCTCCATATCATAGATCGCAAGCTATCAATAGATTCTTTTTAAGGTTAAAAAAACGATTTGAATCAATCCCTAATGGAAAAGGAATTTTCAAACATTGACAAGACGAACTTCATTTAACATCCTTTTAAAACTGTTGCCATAGCTAACCTCAAGGCTTTCAAGTCTTCAGTGATTTTTCGTATGTTACCAGTAAAAAATCCCACTCGAGCTCCAGTGGAAAACATCATAAACTATAAAGTTACAAAACAAATCTAACGAATAGAGCACGCACTTTCAAACAAATTAAGCATTGTTTCATGTAACTCTAATACGAGACTTACATGAGCTGCACGTTCGTACATATGAGCAAGCGGTAAATAAGAAATATGAACATCATTATTGCCTATCCGCTCGTTGCACTAGAAAAATAAATAAATCAAAAGTTGGGTTGAATGAGAACGAAGTCTTCGTAAATTTCATTTATGAATGATGGAAACAGCAAGATTTCGATGAATGTTAAATAGTTAACTATTATAAATGTATAAGGTAAATGGTTTGAACCCGGGAGTATCGTTACATGTTTGTAAATTTAGATCGTCCAGGTTGGTATAGTCCTGAGAAGGACTGTTTTTGTTGTTGTTGACTGACGTTTCGACAACCTTAGCGGTAGTCATCTTCAGAGTCAATCTACATTTACAAACATATAAATGTATAAATGTACTATGAAAAAAGAAACATATTGTGACAAATAAAAACTGGTAAAATGATACTTATCCAGCAGTAAATGGAAAAACATGATTTGGCTCTGACGAACATGACACTCACTTTTTCTAACAAAAACTGAATAGCCGAGACTTCTGCGACCATGTTGGCGTGAGTAATCATAACACCTTTAGGATCACCTAGATATCACAGTGTCAACATAAAGTTTCAGTTCTATTTGCTGCGACTAGATTCGTCAAATCTCAAGTCTGTTAATGATTGGACTAAATCATCATATGAAAAATATTTTGTGCATTCAGTGAATTTGTGAAATTGAGTTTCTACGTAGCAATACCGTCGTAATATTTTAGCTAGCATTAGTTTTAGTTAATACATTATCCAGTAAACATCAGTCTTTCTGTTCTAAATTTGGTTTTGAAAGGATTAAACCAAACACTGGAAGGAGGGAGAATGGAGGGAGGAAGGTGGGGGAGGATGGAAGAAGGAAAGGAGAGATGGAGGGAGGATCGGAGGATGGGAATCGGAGAAAGGATGAGGGGAAAAAGGAGGAGAGGGAAAAAAGGAGGATTAGAGAAATCGAGGAAGAAGCGAGAGGAGGGAAAAGAGATCCGGTTAATATCAATAAAATGATAATATACCTGGATCTTTTTGATCCACGTTCCTGAAATAAATACGTTATTGGACTCTTGAATTGTTATGTCAGCTCATGATCTAATGGTTATGTTTTAAAATAGTGGTAATATGAATTTCAGAAAACGAATTATACCACATGAACTAAGAAACAATTAAATATTTTCTCTTACTTCAACATCCATAAAAGTGAGGATTTCCACGCCATGTTTTTGTGCTTGTTCCTGTTCGTCTTCCGGGACACTTTCACCAATCTTTATGATATATTTCAAACCTTCACACTTATCGATGTTTTTCAACAAAGTTTCCACTTTTTGTTCATCGCACACAATGATTTTGATCTGTGCTAAAATTGGAAAAACATTTTTAATGAAACTGGCAAACCAGGGAAATGAGGACGGTCGTACGAAGCATGCGCAATCACAACCACCGGCTTGAAATGAAAAATAATCACTGTTTAAGATTGATAATCAACAGAACAAAATCAGTTTATTTAAAGATAATAAAGGGTTTCAATGGCCATCATTTAACTAACCTCTTACACGAAGTATCAATACAGTGATACTTACACTACAAAAATTAAGGCTTCTGAACCTCGTGCTTAAAGAATTACTTTTTTACAAATAACAAGATTTCGTCAAAATATATTCACGCAAGAAAAGGTTGAAATAATTTTATCAACTCACACTAATAATTTTATTGTTCTATTCTAGCACATCGCATGACATTCTAACGACATGCATTTTTTCTATTGGAAACCGTTCTTGCAGGAGAATGTTTCTAGTTAAAGTTTCCCCAATAAATGTTTAGTCAGGTGTGCTGTTTAATTGGAGGATGTTTAGACAGGGATATATTTTCGTCGGAGGATGTTTAGACAAAGATAAGTTTTCACCAGGAGATGTTTAGACAGGGGTACGTTTTCATTGGGGGATATTCTGACAGGGGTACATCTTATAGGGAGATGTTTAGAGTGGAGTATACATTGACAATGTTTGAAATGGAAATGGTTTGCCATTAACTCTGAAGGAATTTCACTGCAATGTATAGAATATTTTTTACCTTGGTTGATAATAAAAGTACATGCGTCAGGACCAAGTGTATCATAAAGTGGAATGATAACCATGGAGAAACGATTGCATCCTTGTTCAGCTAAAACCCACTGCAAATAAAAAAGGAAAATAACATCCTATATTTCCAATAAACACCAATAAGAGAAATTTAGCAAATACCATACATATGAAAATGGCATTAAATGCTATCACAGACCTCTCCATACACAGGTTTGTCACAGCACTTAAAGAATGTCTTATGCTGTTAGCTTATTTTGAACAGTGCTCACACTTCATTCGATGCCAACTTTCTAGAACTTTTACTAGAATAACCTACAAGTCCTTTCATTTAATATTAGATAAACACAACCAAATGAGCCAACCTCAACTTTATTTTGAGAGTAGATGCCAATAAATGTCTCTGGTCCAGCTTTTGCACCAAGATCAAGTAATCCAGAACCAAATGACAGAGCACGTTCATCAACCTATAAAACAAAAATAAGTTAAGATTAAAGACTATTAAATAACTTGAAATTAATACTTTGTGACTGGGTGCATGTAAAAATCAACTTCATGTGAGAGCAGAATAAAATTCATGGCTATATATATCCATTCCTAGAAATTTCAAATATCATGGTCATACCCATAAGAATAAGCATTGTTCTGTAATTCATAAAACAAATATAATTCCATTATACCAAAAATTGACCTCCATCCCAATGTCTTCAGAACACGAAGAGTAATCACAATCACAACCTTGGGTTTTGTAAACAATTTTATTCTCAATCAAAAAAAGTATTTCCTGTCCCTCGCTTCTATTCTTAACTGTCCCCACCCTACTTCTGTTCCGCCCATGTACTTTGTATTGTTCCCTATCATCCCCAACGTATCCGAATGTACAATTGAACATAACACAACTTTAACATAATTTGGAACACCACTAATAACATTTACTACATATGTTCACATAATATTGACAAACCTCTTTGTATGTTAACCATTGAAATTCTTGATCATAATCTTTTCTCCATCCAAGACAAGGTTTGTCACCTGAAGATAGAAAGAAATTTTTAAGAATAATGTGTGATAACTAATGTACATTAGAAATTTGACTTGTCAACCATCAAGTACAGTACAAAAGTACAGTAATTAGGCTAGATAATTGCAAATATGATGAACATGAAATAAGTCTAAGTAAAAGTTTATAAATGTTAACATTTAAGTTAGAAAGTATGAGAACAATTTTTTTGAGAAGAGAATGAGGTTTTACATTCCCTAATTATATTTTGGATATAATTCAACTTGTGCACCTTGGTACATAAACATATTTTTCAAGGACTTTTTTCAAAGCCATGTTTCATTTGTTTTTGCTTTCACATGTAAAAAGTTTTTAAGTACCTTAGGACCCATTTTGTTCAGGGGTTTGTACATTAATTTTGCTTTTAATGACAACATAGTTTGTGGAAACACCATAATATAACATTATTAAGATCGGATGATTAAGTCACATAACACAGTAGATCTTGACAAATCATTCAATGCAAAATTTCATTACATGACGTGTGTATGCAAAGACTTGTTCTGATGAAATTACTTTCACTAAAATAAAAATCCATTAACAGCTCTGCTTCTAAAGATTTGCTCACCTGCTAAAGATAAGCCTCGCTTGAATCCTTCATACAATGTATCGACACCTTCAAAATACTGATCAACTAGCTTCTCGCTTAAAGCACTTCTTCTTGCCCCATTTTCATCCTGATACAAATTATAACAAAAATATCTTGACTAGAAAACAACTCTAAAAACTCTTGGCTAGAGCCTGAACTACTTACAGGTACTTCAACAGATTGCTGATTAGGGTCAACAGGGCATTTCATTGGAGTTGGTCGTGTAGCAAACATCATTCCTGCTGCAGTGATAGCTGCAAGGCTGGCAAGAGTGGCTGGTTGACTTAGAAATTGTAAAATGCTCTCACTTGACATCTAACAGCAGATGCTCTGTGTATTACTACAAAAAAATAGTGCGTTCACAGTACTCATTATCAGCCAAGTCATACAACAAGAATATATAGATTCATCTTATTTCACCTTGTATCATAAACTGATAGTTATTATCATTAGCTGTTTTTGATATTTCTTAAACTAACCTTACCATCTAAGTTTTATAATCTATGTTTTTGTAAGACTTTTTTTATTGTAGTTCAGTTACTCAGTCTGTTTTGTTGTCTTCATTCAATACTACCTTTGTCAGGCTTGTCTACGTAGCACAAGTTAAAGACGCTAACCAACTCCTAATTAAGAATTAAACGTTATTCCTAACTATTTTTAGGCTTGCAAGTTATCCTATGACATTGTTCAGGACGTGACAATGACGCTTCACAGTTGATGAAGTTGAACAACCAAGAATCAAACTTTCAAATTATTCAAATTACAAAATACGCTTTTGAAATTGAGTCAGTGTACATTATTCAAGCAAGAAATGACGACATTTTCTAGGCAATAAGAGCGCTCGAACATCAGTTAAAAACCCTGCCAATTTGCAATTGGCAAGCAAATTTCTTAAAACTTAGCTTTCTCAACAAATGCATCTGTGATACATGGCATTCTCTTTAAAACATGCCCCAGTAAAAAATAGATATTTTAAATACTTACCCAAGCATTGCAGCACTGACTACAGTTTAATTAGCGCGTACTTTTGATGCCATTGTTTTTGAAATGGCGAATGCAAACAATTCGATTTCTTATAAAAATTTGGCCAAATCATACCTGAAAATATTCTGATCTTGGACGATCACTAAACCAAGTTTAGAAAAGCTTGAATTGTAAATCGGAAAACAAGCAATATTAATATGTCCTGTTCAAGTGATGTTGAAAGTACAAAGTTTGACAAACGACAACCTTATTTTAATTCTTTGTCGTGGACTTGCGGTCAAAGTTCATTACGCATTGTTTTACATTACGCATAAATTCAACGAGTTTTGGCAGCCCAACCATGTGGTTTAGATTTCATGTGAGTAAAATAGAACACGTGAAATGGTAAGTACATATTAAATATTTACCAAATACCCACATCTACTTTGATGGAGTGCGTGTGTGACACTTTCCAAAGCACACACTCTTGGGCACCTGTAAGAGGGCAAACTCCCCTAGTAATAATATATTTAAGATTATCTTTATTGTAAATAAATATGGAGGTATTTGTATGAGCAATTTTTTCTTTTCGCTCTCCACAAAAAAAAATCCAGCTGTCGCCACTGCTAAATAAGATTGGCATGACATAGAAAATTGTCTAGAAAGACCTGTCATTAGATGTTTCATCTAAGATCTCATTCCAGACTTTTTTGACACATCTTCAGAGATAGAACTGCCTCATTTCAAAGCTGGACTCCATCAACTAAACAGCTAAAGCACCAATAATAGACAACTGATCATTGGCACTTGATGTTTGTAAATTAATTTTTCTAACTTTTGTTGAAGGAACAATTTCATCATGGTGTAGTCTAAAGCCAGGACCTCTTGTTGATGTGATACTTATTTTCTTAATGAATTCACCTTTCAGTAAAAATACAGAATGCACAACATTAAAATGAACAAAAGAAAAACAGAAGAACACAAAAAAAACTTTTTCTTTAATGAACATTGAAACACATTATTTAAACAGTGCAACTTCCCATAACCTAAAATGATGAACTTAAGTTATCAATAATTATACCTAGATGTAATTAAATACTTTATGAAGCAACATACCTTTAATTGTCTTACGATTACTAAGCACAGCCTGGATAACAACATCACAATTTTGACGAAGCTCATCATGGGAGAAATCAAGCTGGAATTATGTGACTTATTCTGTTATTTTATTCCTTTAAATTGTTTCAAAACAACTAAATATACATACCATTCCTATGGCAATGTTGACATAACCATATTTGTCAGTTTTGTATGTTCTAGTGTGCTTGAATACTTGAATTGCATCAGCAAAGTTGTTTGTAACACTTCCTGATAATTCATAGTAAAAATTAGTCTCAAACTTGAGTGTTCATGATATTGAACTTCAATAATTCACTAGAAGGCTATACTCTCATGAAAATAAATTCAAGTGAAATCCTACACTTCATTATTTTAACGTAAAATGTTCAATGAGAGGCTGCCTTCCACCTGCAAGTTTAGATCGATGGATAATCTATACTGGTATATGTTGAACAAAAAAACTCACCACGTCTAATATGAGGCATTTTTTCTCTTAGAATTTTTTGAAGATGTTTTATTTTATTTGCCATATCAAATGATGCAAGGCAATGATCAAATTCCAACTCATTTCTCTCAACCTAAAATTATCCATTAACATCATTTAACCACATTTCTCTCATTAAATGAAGTAAGAGTGGAAAGGTTTTGACACAAAGGTCACTTGTGCACTCAGTAAACATTTTTTCTAATTCACACTGCAATATTGAACCTCTTGTCTTTACATTACACATTATAATTTATTCTCCCTTTACTTTTCACCCAACTAATGTTGAAAATTTTCAATCTTCAAATGTTCTTGGGAAACAGCTGTTCACCTCTGCAGCAGTGTGTGAATTAACAGTGTGCAATGTGCAATTTGCACATCGTTTTAGCTAAAATGAAAACAATTGCATGTCACTTTTCCAAAACAATGTGCAAAAATCAGCAGTTCTAACGAAAAACACTGTCGTAAATCATATGAATTTGTTCATGTTTAAAAATATTAATTTAGCAATTAGTGCTATATAATAATTAACATAATATGGATTTTATTATGCCTCTAAAGAAACACTTTTGTCAAAAAAATTGCACACATCGTTTTTTCTGAACTAATTCGCACACTGCTCTGCAGTTTGCACCCCCCCCCCACCCCCCTCCTTCTCATTTCATACTCTTATGCATGTGAGAAAACAAAGCCATTTGAATTTGCTTAAAAAAATTGAAAGTAACAAACATAATTGTTTCTATGTCGTCTGTGTAACCCTTACCTGTGAAATCAACTCTGGCCCACCCACAATATCAGCTCCAGAATCCTTTGCAAGCTGACTTTCTTCACCCTGAAAAGCCATATAGATCATAAAACAGTCAATCACTGGTTGAACAACAAACATTAAATGCAATCTTTGCATACCTCAGCAAAAACGAGAATCTTTTTTGCAACACCAAAATTCTTTGGTAACATTAATGTGCCACGAAAAGAAGGTATTTCCTAAAAAGGTTCAGTTTGACAAAAATACAAAAAACGGCTAAATATTCTAAAAAGTTATATGTATGAGATTTGTCGAAGACATGCTGCTGTGGGCATAGTATTATAAATTGTAAAATTACTTATCCAATTAACATTCTATCCAATTTTAGAAAATAGCATGGCATCACCATGTAGGAAAGTATTAAATTTATTTGATATAATGCTAAATATCACCAATCAGGTCATGTTTGTAGATTGTCCAGTTGATCTTGATTGACGTTTCAACAATCTTAGCAATTGTCATCTTCAGAGTCAAAGTCAAGTTGACTCAAAGTCAAGTTGAGTCAAAGTCAAGTTGACTCTGAAGAAGACTACCGCTAAGGTTGTTGAAATGTCAGTCAACATCAGCCACAACAGTCCTTCTCAGTACTGTACAAACCTGGACAATCTACATCTACAAACATGTAACGATACTCCCGGTTTTAAGCCATTCACCTGATCACCAATCAGATCAATAGGATGAATGTGTACAGCAGGGGTAATGCCAAAGTGTGAAAAAATAGATGGTTGTGTGTGTGGAGGTGTGAAGCGTGGGTATAAAGGTGGGTGTAACCGTGTAAGTGGTGGGCCGGTGGCTACTAGCTAAGAAGTCAAAAAATTTATTCATTTCATTTACAGCGAGAAAAAATGTTAATGTAAGCTTACTTTATTCAAACCTTGACATTTCATACACATGGTAACCGTTTGATGAACATCGTTCTTTTCCTTCACTGAATAAACTTTTAATTTTTCAACAGCTTCTTCAAATGAGTGTAAAGGAACTACATGATTATGTAAAAAATATACAAAATCACCAGGAATTTGTTTGGCTTGATATTTTCTCTTTGCTATGCTCTTCTTGCTACGAAAAGCAATCATCTTTGCAGGACAAGAAAAAGAACGTAAAACAGAGTATGTTTTATGCAAGAGAACGGTCGCCATTTTGAAACTTTGCGATAGTTTACATTACGTCATTGCTACCCGAAGGACGAAAGCATAGACGAAAGCTCGCCTTACATGAGAGAACTTAGTTATTGTTCCAGGAATTACGGCAAAAATTGCTCCAATGGACTCCAAATATTCTTTTTTTCGAGTGCACGATCGGTCACGTTTATATAGGGAAGACAATCTCTGTACAGGTAGTTCTAAAGCAAAATTTAAAAATGCACGTAGTGGGTACTTTGCATAAAATGATTTGACCAGCAAGCTATCAACATGGAAACGCCAAATTCCTTTTTTATATTGCAGAAAAGCAGTCGGCAAATAAAACTGTAGATGTTGTGACTTGGGCTATTACATTCCTTGTGTACATTCTTGCTGTATTCACGTTTCCTCTATCATGTTTTTGCTGTGTGAAGGTACACAATTTTTGTATAAATGACTGAAAATATGCAGTGTGCTCAATAAAAAATCGAAGAGGCGACTGCGCTTCGAAGCTCGTGAAATCAAATCAGGCAAGCTACCGATGTGGCCTTTCAACCACTATGTCAGATTTAAATGCGCTTATCCTTCAACGAAGGGAAGCCGTTTGAAGAGATTAAAATTTTTTGTTTATACCTGTTGTACTTAAAAGATTTAATGGTGGTGGTGACCCTAAACGTTGCGCATGCTTGTCATGGGCCCTCGGGGAAACAAGTTTATTCTACAAACATACATCACATGTATAATCATTACTTTTTCAAATCAAATTGTTTTCTTCTCACCAATACTGTGATGCCACTGAAATACAATAGAATCAATTTGTTGTTCGTCAATTATATCATGGAGCAATCATGAAGCATACTTATACTAACATAATATACAAATTTGTAATAAATAATACCATACCTCAGTCCAAATATTCTGTTAGGTGATTCAAGAATATGAACGTGCTGTTGTTTTACGACTTGGTCGGCTTCAACCTTTAAAGGAGCCAGGTCAGTTGTTTGGAAAGGCCTACCTAAGTTGAGTGCATTAAAAATAATAGTAATTAAAATTAATTTTTTAGAGCAACATATTTTTGTCTCACAGGTATCACATTCATATTACCATGTATTGACAAGTTTCATAGAGTTGATATTCGAATTAAAGCTTTTAATGTACCACCTCAGAAGGTATTAAATATTCAAATAGTTTTAATATGATGTAAAGTTCAAATTTATGAACCAATTATTGAGAATATTAAGTTCTAAAATCTGTTAATTCTTGTTACTTTTCAGTTCCAAATAATGCTTACAACTGTCTATCACTTGTTAATATCTCTCATCAGATTCTTACCAAGGACCAAGCGGCAGTACTAGTTGGTGCAACAGTTCAATTTCTCATCCAAGACCCAATAGCTTTAACAGGCAATGTGCAGGACTTGAATCATTCAATGCGTGTGCTTGCCCAAACAACACTAGTGAACATTTTGACCACGCAAAATCTAATTGAAATACAGAATGACAAGAAATTCACTGCAATTCGAGCTCAGGTTCATTTTAATTGTTCTCAATCTGTTTTTCATATTTTAATTACTTCCATTTGTGGTGTGTTTTAGCCAGTACAACATTAGTTTACAACAAATTTTTTTTTGCTATGCAATGTTCATATAACTTTTGTAATAATAAATAGGATGAATTAAATAAAGTTACTAGATCATGGGGAGTACAAATTCACAGAATTGAAATGCAAGTATTTTCTTGATGTATTGCATTGTAAATAACATGCCATGAGTTCAATGTAATCAATCCTATTTCTATCCATGTAGCTCTGAAGCTCAAGTGATTTCAGCTCCACCAGAATACAATCCAGACATTTCCTCTTTATTCAAAGCTGACAATAATCCAATTAGCACAATATTTCAAGGTAAATCTTTGAAGGTTCTCAACTTGAAAAGGAGTCGTAAAATAATGAATGTACCACAGAGAAAGAGAACAGTCTTTATATTATCTAACTATAAACTAAGATAACGTGTGTCAGTGTAGGTAGTGATGAATGAACAACAAAGAACAAGAACAGTCTTTACAATACCTAAAATATAAACTAATATAACGTGTGTCAATGTAGGTAATGATGAATGAACAACAGAGAACGAGAAGTCTTTATACTATCTAAAATATAAACTAAGATAACGTGTGTCAGTGTAGGTAGTGATGAACGAACAACAGAGAACAAGAACAGTCTTTACAATACCTAAAATATAAACTAATATAACGTGTGTTAGTGTAGGTAGTGATGAACGAACAGCAGAGAACAAGAACAGTCTCAACACTACCTAAAATATAAACTAAGATAACGTGTGTCTGTGTTGGTAGTGATGAATGAACTACAGAGAACAAGAACAGTCTTTACACTATCTATAAATTATAAACTGAGAAAACGTGTGTCAGTGTAGGTAGTGATGAATGAACAACAGAGAATGAGAACAGGCTTTACACTATCTAAATCATAAAGTAAGATAACGTGTGTCAGTGTTGGTAATGATGAATGAACAACAGAGAACATGAAAAGTCTTTACACTACCTAAAATATAAACTAAGATAAAGTGTGTCAGTGAAGGTAGTGATGAATGAACAATAAAGAATGAGAACAGTCTTTACACTATCTATAAATTATAAACTAAGATGTTTTCTATAGTGATGCAAGGTGCACTAGGTGGCCTTCCCCCACAAGTTCGGCCTGTGCAGAAACCCGTTGACTCTTCTCTGGACGCTGTCTCACGCACATCGAACGAGCAAATACCTTATTCTCGTTTACCTGACCCCGATCAACTGATTGCAATTTTCAATCACGTCACTGACGAAAGACTGGTAAGAGACATTGGCTGTGTCTATCAATTCAACTTCAGCGATCTGGGTTCAACCTGGTATGTGGATTTAAAAAATGATGAGGGACATGGTGGAAAGGGTCCACCTTGCGGGTGTACGCCCGACGTGGTAATCACATTGTCCTCACATGATATGCGAGCACTTTTTTCTGGTGAGATATCTGCATTTGATGCCTACATGCATGGTCGAGTCAACATTACAGGAGATGTGCGCATGGCAATGAAATTACAAGTCGTTGTAGAGCGTATGAATCAGTCACGTAGCAGTCACGTGGAACATATGAACACACGTACAGGGATAAAATCTTCAACTTCACGTAATTATGATTCTACGAACACAAATGACATAATAATTGTTTGAATTCTTTTATATCATTCACGCAATCGAGGAATGTAATTTTGCATTGTCAATTTGACAGTATTTGTACCTATGTAATCATCACAAACAAATAGTATAAGTTTGTACCGTCAAACGAGAGCTAAAAACTATAAGAAACCACTTGATTTCTGCGACAACTAAATGGTTTTATATCATGTACATATTAAATAGAGTTTTTCGCGAAAGTTGACCTCTAGCTTTGTACATTCATTTTTAACTGTCTTTAAAATTTTGTCATTAAAAAGAACATAAATGTTGATTTATCATTAGGAAATGATTCTGTAGTTTCATGTACTTGGAAGCAGATGGTGGATTAAGGAAAGGGCTGGCCCAATTTCTTGATGGACGTGTAGTGGACAAATGTAGGGGACAATTTACGTTGTACATTGTTGTTACTTGCAATTGCAACCTCCAGCCTATTTTAAAAAAGCTTGGATGATGATTATTCATACCTTGATAATGAGATCTTATGTCATGCCAACAATCAACATCTTGATAACTTTCCCGTGATGAAGTGATATAACTTTCCAATTCATTGCTTCCAACTGCTCAATTGAATTATCTGTTGAAAGTTTTATAGATCAAACTGCTCTAACATAAGAAAGAAAACCAATTTAGAAATCATTGTAAGAGATCTTTTCCAATCTCTTTTAAGCTTCATCTATAATGTTCCCTTTATAAAACCATAATTTATTCGAACTGAGATTTTTCAAATAAATGTCTACTACACAACACTTATTTCAACAGGATTGTCAATCACAAGACCAATCATTTCCTTATCGGTATAACTTCTTAAAATAACACAATGATGGCTGCCTGTGGTCTCTACACGCACGAGATCTGTTTCTGAGGAGAACATTTTGCTACCTATGTATTTAAAGGAAAACTCTCAGCACAATTTTAATCATTTTCAAAGAAACATCAAATCTTTCCTGTGCATGAGACATTTCATTTCAAACACACTCGAAACATAGGATCGTCGAAAATGGTTTAAAATTAATCAAGCAACATTAAAATCATATCAGTGGAGAATCATCACTGTAGCTACATAGAAAATGAAGAGTAAAATTGCTAATGTTAAATAGGTTTTTTACCGTCGCTTTTGCCACACTTACAAGCAAAAACATGTTTTTCTCATAAACACGCCTCGTTTCGTTTTTATGACTTCCACCTGCTTAATTATACAAATCTAATTTCAGGAATTTGCCATTTTTAGTTTTAAGACTATAACTACAAAATTAGTTTTTCATGACTTAAGGAGACTATAAGTGAAAGATATTAAAGAGTGATATTTTTGGAAACTTTCTTAAATAGCTCGTTGTTCCCACTTCAACATTCCATCTAGCTATATAGGACCTCTTCACATGCCGTAATAAGAGAATGGGGAGAAATGTTTCATCTGATGAAAAATTAAAAGTTACAACGACAGACAAGAGGCAAAAGTTTTTCGAAAGCAACTATTCGTTCTAAGAGTAGCCCATCAGCATTATACCAAAATAATGGCAAACATGTACTGATTAAAAAATCATAAAGTTTGATAATTATCTTAAGATAGCTATCACTAAACATACGACCCCTCGAGCAAAACTACTTCTGCCTTTTTATCTTTTATCAACATTGATCATTATTCAGTATCTCCTAAGCAAGAAAATATTGACACAACTTTGCTCAATTACATGCACAAGCCATAGACTTAAAAAGACATATACACATTAAAATTTCACAATTTTAACAATCAAGGCGTAATGTCGACCAGTTGTTTTTAATCACTTTATTATTGTTGTAATCGCCCTCAAAGATTGTTTATACACGACGAAAAAAAGTTAGACCTCATCGTGAGTTTTGTCGGGAGAATTTCGGTGTCGCCTAATATACAACATTCGCAAAATACACAAAACACAAAGAGTATTGAGGGAATTCTTAAAACAATTTAACACGTCAAAGGGCTCTTATCTAACCTTTAGAATAAAACTACTGTAAGACAGTGGAAAGTTGTACTACAGGCTACCATTAACATCGATTACATTTGATAACGTGTATTTTGAAATTAGTTAAAATTAGGGTCGAATTCAACGTTAAATCTGATTTAAATCTGTGTACGTTTTTTCTGGTAACCAGGCGTTAGACACCCAAAAGAATATTATGAATCACATGCAAATTTACTTTGGGATACGTCAATATAACCATATCCAAATAGTGAATTAATCAATTGTTCCCCAAAAAGTGGTAGTAATAATTCATACCATATTAAGGACATTGTGTAATTTGCAGTCTAGACAATAAAAAGTGTATATATATATATATATATATATATGACTCTAGACTTAAAAGTAGCTCTGACTGGCGAAAAAAAATTTGCCACAGTTTACGCTCAGACCAATCAAAGTATAAAAAATAAAAAATTAACTTCTTCCAGATTAAGCTTCATTACAACAATTTTATCTAATCGAGATGCAGCCCCACAACGTATTTATGAGTTTCGTACATATTTTAGGCAAATTGACGTATCATATATATATTGCTATATACACCTATTTTAGATAACCAATCGGTTCATAAAATTTAGCTTGAGGGGTGCGATGTAATAATTACAGAAAATTATCGAAATATCAGTGACTAATCTATTTATTAATCACTACTTCACTTTAAAATTGTATTTAAAATAGTTGATGTTCATAAGCAAAGATAAATTTGGCAGTTCAGTTTGGCTCCCATTAGTATTTATCAGCTCATAAATATTAATGAGCAGCGATCAACTCATATTTAACTTAAGTAAATATGCTGTAGTCAACAAATGGGCAAATACTCGACAAATTTGAAGGGCTATGAGCCAGGGAAAAAATCAGTATTTCCGATGAAAAGCGTGCAGCTTTTTTAATTCTAACCCTTATATAGCTACTCTTGTTGAAAAACTCAAAACATTTTGGAGCCTTTGTCAATTGAACCGAATACAAATGAAACATTGATTGGCCACTAATGCATCATAACTCTCCGCATGAGCTAGATAAAAAATCATACTTACGTTAAACGTGTTATCAATAAATTAAACTCATTCGTATGAAATAATGAACATATGAAACAGCTGTGACTCAAGGACAATTTGTGATGATTATAATCTTGGGAATTGCGCATCCTCATTGGACAACAAGGTTCGCCAATTAGAAACAGACGAGCATAAATGAATGGAGACTTAAAGAAAGGAAGGAGCATACTGAAACTTTAAATCTACCGTAGATCTTGCCTCCATTATTAGCATGGGTTTTTATACCATTGTATAAAAGGATTAATTCAACCAATTCAGCCCTAACCAATGTTGGAAAACACCACATCAATTTCTATTGCCTACAAACAGTTATTCTGATACTATAGCATATCATTCAGCACGTGACGACAACACGAGGAGCGCACATACATGTGAGAGCTGGTAAGAATGGTCGGCTCACATAACCGCTAAACATAACATCACGAGATTTTCTCTTATCTGTGATAAAATTGATCAACTTTTCATATAAAAAATTCACAAACAATGTTTTGTTGTCAAAACATTTTCGCTCATTATCTCTCAAATAAAATTTACCTGAAAAACGTATCAAGGGGCCCACGCTATAGCAATCAAATGAGTTCCAGTCTACGCCCTTCATAATCATACAGTTCGACTAGAGTCCAGTTTTAATCTGTACGAGATCAGGATGTTATTTAAGTCAGCGTGGGGTAAGGATTTCCACAAATGTATTTATTACGGCGCATTGTTGAGTGGAGATTACTGTGAATATCGTTATTTGTGCGTCACTTGATTGAAGTCGAAACGAAAAGCGTTAATCTAGTGCAAAAAATGGCAGCGTCTCCGTCGTTGAGAAAGCGGACAGAAAACCCACAGGAATTCTACGAGTATCTAAACACGGTATGCGAAAAAAAAGCAACGCAGGACACCGAGATCTTAAAGCACATTGTTTCAGATATGTTACATCGTTCGTCTCCCAATTCACAAAGACGCGCACACACCCTAATGAAGCTTGCGCCACGCATTGAAACAGAGAACAAAAAATACATTATGGAGAGAATGTACAAAAGACTTGCAATGGAAGCGGAAAATGCTGTCTTTGGTGTACCACATTTGCCCGAGGAAGAACCAAGCGTATCATAAATGAAAACAACCACTACACTACGTAGTTGACAACAGCGTACGAAATGGCAACGCTTAATGCTCTGATATAAAACAATGGAAAAAATAAAAGATGTCAATGTAATGCCGAGTTCTATAAAAATTTACAAGACTTAAAACGATCGTAGTTTTGGGTGAAGTTGAGGAAAATATACACGAAGATGAAGATCTATTGCACAAACATCACAGTGGAAAAACGGTACATCGGGAGATACTAAATTGCCCCTTGTATATGTAAGGCAAAAAAAAGAATTTGCTGTTAGCAACGTGCAAACATTATTACATTTTCTTACAAAGATTAGTGTTGTTTGGACGAATCCAAATGGAGTATATTTGACGGTCATTTTCTCTAAATTGGTTTGCAAAGACTACCTTCCGTTGTCTTATTTTAGAAGTGGAATATCTTAACAAGTATCCCATTTTAACCTTCGTATTTACAGTACAGACATTGACGAACGAAATCATTTTGCAATCAAGTGTTTCTAAAATCACGAATGTTATTGTTTCAAAATTGTAAATATTATTTCAAGTTATATTATTTATTTTCGCACAGATTAAATTAGTCAAAAAACTCCTGTTCGTTATTAAATATACATTGATATTCGGTAATTTGAAATTATTCGCGGTGTATCTTTATTTTTTTTTTCAAGCAATTCTTTATTTTCAAATGAACTCCTCTACAATTGGAAATGTTTAATGCTGACAAAAAAAACATAGTAGACAGATATTTTATATTTTTGATGTGGTTGTGAGGGACAACGTAACAGTAACAGGCGATTATATTTAATAAAAGTTTGTTATCATTCATAAAAGAATCGATTGAAAACTTTGTGTTGTTTCATTAAGGTGTTTATCTTTCTGTGGTATCGTTAGACGGCGCATAGAGTCTTCTCACAAAAGAAGCAAAAACAAAGTAACCCGATAAAAATTTTACTTCGCAACAAGCTTTGAAAGCTCTCTCTAATTACAGGGAGAGAGGTTAAACAGTTAAATTTTCCTTCGAATAAGCATGTTCCCTGATTCTTAGGTCATTCATCTTTTCAGTTTTCTAAACAGAATATTTTCTACGTTCCTTTTTTTTCTGGCATTCAAATTTTTATATTTAGTATGCTATAGCATGCTTCTCGACTTTAGTTAACAAATGTCCTCAAAACCTCATGCTCGTATATGGGAAGTCGAATAAACATCAAGAAAGCCATTATATTTGTGAATATCGATACAATAACGCAACTTTATTAAAATACAGTATGCCAAAAACTTACGGTTTTCCATGTTCAAAGTGTGCATATTTGTTGACCAGATCACAAAATGCTATGTAATTAATGTCGTGCTTTCCACCAATAAGAACATCGAATCTCTTATACAAGACTGAGAATTCACGACTGCTTACCAAACTCCCCAGATCCAGCTCACTAAGTACGCGGTGAAATTGAGACCGCGAGACAGTGCCATTGTGTATGCGGTCGTAATCTTCAAATAAAGGGAACATTTGAACGCGTCGATGACGCACGCGGTCGGCCAAACGATGCATTACTTTCTCAAGTAACTCATTTGCATCAGGTGCGAGCTTATTTAAATCAGACCCTTGCTCAGGACGGTAAGGGACAGGCTCGATAAGCGGATTCTTTTCAAGATCTGTAATTTAGGAAAGATGAAAATAGGACAGAAGTAATAAATCGTTATCACTACAATTATTTTTTACTTATTATTTCACTAAATTGTCTTTTACTAATAAATCCTTTACATACTAATGTATTTACTTCTGTAAGTAAGAGCTGATTATTAAGTAGTTTTTACATAATTATTAGCTTGTTTCATGTTTCACAATAAATTTTAAGAGTCTTAAAGGCAGACCATCAGAGGGATTTTTTTGACGACAGTTTAAAAAAAGATTGTTAAGCGTTTGATAAAGAAAAAAAATTTTCACTTTTTGTTGAGCGCATTAAAATGGGCGCATCTATAATCAAGAACATTTCAGACTATTGTGATAAAAATCGTCTTGTCACTTGTGGACTTAGGCTGTAAGAAAATACGACAGACAAAATACTAAATAACAAAAACTCTTACTACTTTTAACTCTATTTATTTCAAACGTGACAAATGTGATAATAACCATGGATACAATCCGTATTTGTCTACATAATCATCGGCTGTAGGGCAGATGTTATGCAAACGCTTTTGCAGCTTACTGACAATTAGTATCTATTACGTTATGGGTTTTGTACTGGTTTTTTTTTGCAATTTCTATCAAAGTTAACAATATCCATTTAGTTTTCTGTAGAATGATGTAAATTTCAACGATAGTCGTCCTCTTACTTTTCATATCAACCGGTAATTTTATACAGTTAATACCATTACCTAATCATAGTTGTTATCTAATCATCTGATGCAACCAGATGTTGTATCTCAGTCAGTGAGCACATAAACCTTACCTAATGTAAATGACTAAAGTTAATGACGTAATCAATGACGTATTAGGTAATCACATACGTTTGATTGCACGGTACGAGAAAGTTCCACAAATCACAATTAATTCAGTAGGATGAGTTCTTATATTATTTTCATAACAGATATTTACATCGTTAGTCTTGACCTTAAAATTGCATAACACATAAATAATAGCTCAGCATAAAAAATGTATTTATAGACTATGCTTAGAACATCCATCGACGGTCAAGTATGGTATTAGTGATAACACCATTAGAATCAGTTTAGCCCACAGGACGTCTTATGAGAAGACCACAAGATTTTAACAACAAACGTTCTCTGCACTCTAATTACACCTTCGGTTTTACTTTCTACTTACTGTGATTTCATAATATTTTCATCAAAAAGAAAAAATGACGTCTAAAGGGAAAAAGCCTTCGCACAAAAAAATCTCCTGACCAAAAAAAAAACGCCGTATGATGAATTTAATCACAAACAGTTTGCATGCTTCCTTTCTATGCTGTTAGTCGTGTGGTTGTGTTGAGAAACCCTAGTCACAGCTATAGGTCAATAGATGGCGGTATCGCTGTGAAAAGTCAAGGCATAAGGACAACTTGAAAAGCCGCGCCAACGCGATAACATATGCAAGAGGTTAAATGATTTCTTTTGACTGACTTTTGTCTAATTGATTAAGATAAGCATCATTATACTAATTGGGTGTTTTTTCCAGTCACCAGACACAGGGACCTTTTATAAGATAGTTACCATGCTTGAAAGATTAAAATGTCAATGTGATAAATATTTATGGCTAGTTTGCACAAGACTTCATGTCACGTGATCTACAATTAATACATTTTACACAAACGACACTGCACATTTATAATATTACAACATATTTGCCAGGTAAAAACTGCACTAGAAATGAGATCACACTTACGTTTCCAAGTAAAAATAGACTCAATGTAATCGGAGAATTCAACATAATCCACGTAGTCTGAGTCTTGACTGGATGTATAGCTGTAGAGATAATAGAAGAGACTTTAGATATTCAAGATTTATTTCATCAAAGAACGCAATTGTTACGTTGACCAAAATGTCAGCAATGACTCGGAATGTTTGGAAAATTCATGTTTCAATTTACTTTTAAATGATAGTTAAGTTGTCAAGTTCCAACATAACATCTTTTTTTATGAGACATTAGAATGGAGTATGGGAATTAGCAAGATTTAAAAATAGTTTGATGAATACAGCAGATTGAAATACTGAAGTAAATAAAATTTCAACATCACATCACTCCTCATGAAGAAATTAAAGGAAAATGTGTAAAGAGCTGAAGTAGGAAAAATGGCCATTAATTTCAGTAAAATGAATATGTACTTACAGATCAATCAGAACATTGACCTCTGTCTTTGTCAGACCCAACTGACAAAGATCCAATGCACGTGCAAAGCACGTTTTCAACATACGACCACTTCTCAGTTTATCGTAGTCGCACATGAACTCCAAAACGCGTATCCGCTCTTTGACCACCTAATTGATAAAAATGTCCATAGTTCAAAGGTTTACTATGGAAAAATTGTTTTTCCCAAAAATAATTAATCTTAGGAATGTGGAGAATTGGTAAAAATTTTATTTGTCTGTCTCACGCGATCGTAGTCACGCGATGAACACATACGGTATTGATTAGAAATTTTTTGATAAATCTCAACTGGATCATGCCAAGATATTGACAAATTCTTAACAATATACTAAACTGTAAATCTTGCAAATTAACCAATACAATCATGTAAGATCGTGTGCATGAAAATTGTCCAAGATCATCCATCAAATTCTACCAAATCCAGAAAGAAACATCCTGTATGATATAATTTGCCTATTACAAAACTTACTTTATTTTTTATTTTGTTTAGTATGTTTTCGATATCCTGGGACCCATGATCGGGCATCTGTTTTGAAAACCATAAGATCAAAATAATAACAAATTATTACAGCAAATCCATATAAACCATCGTCAGAGAATCATCATAACATGAATCCTTTCCATTTTATGGATTCATATAATGAAGATCCATGTAATATATTCACAATCTTTGTAAAAAAACAACTTTAAAAGCTAGGTCTGTGACGATAAATGCTTAAATATACTACACAAAGCAGTAACTAAACTACATTCTTTATGTTCTTCACATTTTTAGCGTCCAGTTCTCTACCATTGTGAGTGAGTCCACAGTCCATCGCTTAAACTCCAGGTTTTTGTCAAATAGGTTGGACGAAAGCGGTTTAAAGAAGTCGACAAAGTTAGATAAGAATAAATGCCGAGAAAAAAGGAAACACCGTTAACGATAGATGTACATGTTTGTTTGTGCAATACAAATATAGCGTAAACGCACTCTCGACATAACGTAAGTCACGCAATTGTTGTGTCAAATTTTACGATTTTGGCTCAGAAAACGGAAAGTTTCCTCTGTTCAATTACCTATGATCAATATACGTTATTTGTACTCAGAGAAAAATGAAACTAGCCAAATGAAGTAAAAAATAATAAATTACGCAAGTCATACCACTTTGCTGTTGACCAATTTGAGTTGCTCCAATCTTTGAGCATATCTGTTGATTTCTGTTTCACTAGGCTGTAATATACTCCACAAATTAGCAATGTATTGATTTCCGTTTCACTAGGCTGTAATAAATTCTATCACCTTTTTCGTATAAAAACTTAAAACATTATCTTAATCACTTTGTTCAACAAAACATGAATGAGTGACTACAAAAAGACGTTACCTGTAATTCCTCTAGAAATCGGATGTAGTTGACACCAAAATCATCCAAAAATTTTTGTTCCATAACCTGAAGTGCATATGAGTAAAATTATTGCAACTTTTTTTCTAATTCAAGAAAATCTCGGTTGCTTTCTGTCTTCAATCACTGAAATCTTCACGAGGTGTAGTGTAGAAACATGAGTTTACATAGAGTTTTTGGGACTTTGTAATGTGTGATCTGATGTTGAAATTTGGCTGCTTTCTTATTCAGTTTTTACGAGAAATGAACAAAAATGTACCTCAAATTCTTTCTCTGTTGCAGTTAGTTCTAAATGTTGTAAACATTGACGGAACTGGGACTTCGTTACATGACCATTGTTGTGTCTATAACATAAGAAGAAAAACATTCTCACTTTATTATTTTGATTATTTCATCTCAAATTAGAAAACATCGATCTTACTTGTCGAAATCTTGAAAACAAGGTTTTGCAAGTAGCCTTCGTTGTTTGGCTCTCTCTCGTAAACGATGCATGCATTCCTCTAGGAGTTGCGATGACTCTAAAGTATGTCTCGTGCCTGGTTTCTCCATTAAAAATTTCTCACTGCATGGCAGGGCATATGTTGGCATTTTTTCAAGACCACGACATGTAAACACTATAATACAGCACGTATGTATTAAAAACTCGAAGTTAACATTTTGTACACTAAACTTTCAGAAGTAGTGGTTAAAATAGTGATCTCGAGCAGGTCGTTAAGATGATTGATGCCTTTAAGGAGGATTGATTATGATCACGTGGCACGCATTTAAAAAACGATCGTTTGTTTTGCCACGTGACATGGACTTGAAACAAATCATTTTGAATGTGTTTAAATGCAATACATTGCGCAATACATTACCTTGTTCAATATCATTTAAGAATCTAGTCCATAGAACATTTCCCACTCTTTTTGGATCAGCATAATTCAACGAAATGACTTCGAATTGAGCGTCAGTAAGTTGATGTTGTCCTAATGAACTAAGCCCACGACGAAAATGACTTTTGCTTATTGATCCGCTACGCAGGGGATCAAAATCTTGAAAATATTCCTCCACCTAAAGAACAGCGTAAGCTATAGGTAAATCACTATACGCAGTTGCAGGATTTACTAAATTGTGGCTCTCTCTAATTTACTTGAATAATTCGACTATTTTTCATAGTTTAACTTCTCGTGCAACAAACAAAAAGTATGACAACCCGACTTTATAGATTACATCAAGACGTTTGTCCTAAATAACCTTTTTTACAGAGAAATTAACACATGAAAACTTGGATTTTGCAAACGCAATCTTTGCATTACAAATTTCAATCGTGGAGAAGTATAACTAACCCTGATTCTGTTTGTTAACACGTGATGTCGTATTCGACCAATCACTTCGTCATAATTCACAGAACTGAGATCAAGCTTTGAAGTTGGCGCAACATCATACTGCCTGAAAGAATCGTGAAAATTGTGAGTGCTGAGAACAATAATGATTTCAGAAGAAACAAGTAGTGTGTTAATACAACCTACTTTACTAAATTGTCGTCAGATGTCAAATGTTTTGAGGAGGCAGTATATTCTGAAAAGAACATGGAAGGATTTGATAAATTTAACAGTATTTTATCAGGAGATATACTGATAATTATATAGTGCTTCCCAATTTCAGTGTGGTAAAATGAATAAACAAAAAGAGTGAGAACACTTTACAATATTTGAACTAAGATAGTTCGTAATTATAATTCACGATGAATCGACAACAATACACAAGAAACACTTACAACAAAAAGTTATGCAGAACTTTTCCCGAGGAAAGAAACAACTTGGAAAAGGACGTACATCTTGAACGTTAACTCAAATACATACCTGTATCGATGGCTTGAATAAATGCAGGATAGTTTATATCTCCTCCAACTGGATATTCAAACTTCTTGCAAATGAGCTTAAGATATAAACATGAAAGGAAAGAATAAGTACACATGTATCTTGTTGGTAAGGCAAACTGACTGTTTGAAAGAACAAGGTTGAAAAATGAGCAAAAAAATTATATAAATTAAAATGATTTCATATGTTAGTAGATATCTCACTTACAACTAATTCATTTGCTTGTAAACTCAAACTCAAAACATGAAGCATTCTTTCAAATTGGGCCTTTGTTATTCCACGCGTGTACGCTTCACTCTAAAGAAAACATAGTTGCTGTATCATACACGAATTTTTTCAAAAAATACCAAAATTCACTTTCTTAAACTTGACAAATTCATTGTTGGATACTTCCCAAGGAAAAGATTGCAAAAGTTTATTCGTAAAGTAACGTAAAAGAAAGCGTAAAATGGCGACCCAAAAAATCACTAGCTAAATAGTTTAAAAAAACGATAACTCTCCCCATTCCATCGTAACAGACCGTGCGCCGTGTGTCGTAAAGTAACGTAAAAGAAAGCGTAAAATGGCGGCCCAAAAAATCACTAGCTAAATAGTTTAAAAAAACGGCAACTCTCCCCATTCCATCGTGACAGACCGTGCGCCGTGTGCCGTTACATAAATATTTTACAACTGCTTCCGGTCGTGTAATTATCAATGTCAGCTGTTTAGTGAATCATATACGTATTTACGGGGGGGAGGAGGGAGGGGAGGTGTAAATTATTAAACATACCCTGTCAAAATCTTTAAAGAACGGGTAAATCATCAAACGTCTTCTTTTTACATCACTTGATAATCGTTCTAAAATTTCTGCCACCTGTCGTTCTTCATGCTCGTTCAATTTGTTTGGAACCTAAGATGACCATAAGATAGGAGGGGAAAGCGTTACGCTATTATTTTTAAGTGCATGATAAAATTTTGTCGCTCTTAGGATAGCACTATAAATAAGCTAATCTAATCTCCCTAAACTGCAACGAATGAGATAAATTCAGGGATCCAAGGAGAGTGCAAGGTTTTTTAAAAAACACTGCCTTTTGACTGTTGATTTGAATCCACCATAAATTGTTTCATTCTCCGTTAACAACCATTTAATTTTGATTCACCTTGAACATCTGGTTTTTTACTCGACAGTTCATCGTTTTGAGAGATAGTGTTAGCATATAAATGATGAATAGGAAAATAAAACCTTCATAAGAGCACCGACGGGAGGCCTTGATGTTACAGTGGTTGGTTTCTTTTCAAGGTGAGGTTCAGTGAAAGCTATAATACACAAAATTAAAAATGCAAATGTATACTGACTATAGGCAAAACGTTTTTGCAGAAAGTCGTATACCATTTTCCATCATATAACAGAAGTCCTTGTAACGCACTCGACCATCCGGGGTACGATAGACATCAACGACCTTTTGAATCTCGTCACGTGACAGGTTTGCTATTACACCACATGATAAAGACAATCCACACACGAACTATTATTGAAAAGAAGACAACATTGATAAATATACAACTATAAAACTTCACTCATAAAGCTGCATAACAAACAGAACTAGACTGTTTAACGCCATAAAATCTAATTCTATTTCATTGTTGGGGAAACAATCGAAGGCGAAACAAGTCTATTTTTGATACAAAATAGAAAAGTACTTCTAAAAAAAGATAAACGTGTTTGTAGGTTGAAGGCAGGGCATAAAAAAATCCATTGTAACATTCATACTTTTGTACACCGACAGCCAGGGCAAATGCTGTGTAAAAAAGATAACTGTACCTGATTTTCTGTTATAATTCCACTTCGTAATTTATCGTGATCGCGGAAGAATTCTGTAGTTCGCACACCGTTTTTAAACACAGCAACACGAATCTTCTCAAAAATCGCATTAAGATCAGAATCAACGCTCTTGTCCTGCATAAAACCATGCAACTATTTAAGTATAGCTGCAAAATCTCTAAATTTAGGAGGAAGCAACTGAAATAAAGAGTCTTCTCGAGAGCTTCAAATACCTGTAAGGGTTGAGAAATAAAAGCAGCATCCAAAGGTTTAGAATCAGAATACAGATATTTCTCACCACTAGCCATAGCTGATGAAATCAGAAAAGATAAAATATTTAAAAATCCACAAACATGCAATACTTTTAAAAAGCAACACTCTTTCTTTATTTTCTCTCGCACAGCTCTACTTATACTCCATTCCTACAACCATGTCGACATTTTCTCACCATATGGCTGTACTTATACTCCATTCCTACCTCCACGTTGCCACTTTCTCTCACCACACGACTCTGCGGGTTGTATCACATCCATTTCGTTGGATCCTACCTACCCTGTTGACGTTGCACAACATCATCGTGGAATTGTAGATAGTTACATAAACCAGCTTTGTCTGGGTGTCTGTGTTTTCTAGCAATCAGCTTCATCTCAGCTTCGGTGATGTCAGACGGGCCGGGAAAACTGCGATAAAACTAAAATAATTAAATGAAAGTTTTTACACTTTGGTAATTTTTAATGGTAGCTGTGTAGGTAAAAAAGGAATTACAATATTGGTAGGTAATGAATAACTCAATCTTTTACCATCAAGCTATCTAATGTGATTTTGATAAAAATATGAAAAGAGGGTTAAAAGGGAGATTGTATTGATTAGCATAATACCAGGCTAAACCAGAGTTTCTACATAATCAGCTGCAACCTTTGACGCTATAGGTCAGTGGCTACTTTCTCATTTCATACATGAACACAGAAAGATGAAAGACAAGGATTTTGGAGTCAAACCTGCAGCACTGTATTAAGCCAACATCCTGTATGAATGGTACCGCTTCATAAAGCCTCATATAGATAATATATCTCAAAATTTAATCTCACATAACTAATTCATAACTAATAATGGAACCTCTTTCAAGTGACCACCTTCATTGAGCAGACATCAGTCATTTCCACAAGGGTGTCCATTTAATACAGGTTTTACTGTTAGGTAATTTAAATAATGCAAACATTATCAGTACTCTACCTGACTTTCTGTAACGAGTCCATTATTGTGTTTATCAAAATCACCATACGATGATTTTACGTTAATACCATGATAATGATAAAAATTTGCACATTTTGAGAGAATGTTGTTATATTTTGATAAGGATGCAGGACTCAAAGGCCGTCTGTTAACGGGCTCACTACATTTATGAAAAGACACAATTAGAGAAATTTTATTTATACACAACGCGTGATATAAAATGTTGTGGAAATGGAGTAAAACTTCATGTAGGAACGAGTTAATGTGGTCTTAGACGGCTGGTCTTGTTGCTAAGCTAAGTACAATGATGAACAATTCACTATAAAAATAATCAATCTAAAAATTAAATAATTTATGTTCGTAATTGTTAATGACAGATTGACCCAATTGGTAGTAACTTATTAAAATTTGCTACAAAGATTAAGCAGATTATGTAATGTGTGTGCAACATGTGACATTTGCATGACAGGGAGAGGTGATCTGAAGTAAAATGGTAAACACTGTCTAGATTATGAAAAGCTTTCAACTAAACAGCAATTACTTTAAATGATTCAATAAACAGCACCTATCAAATTAAAATCTTCTATCTAATAAATGTAGACCTTATGCTAGTTCATATTAAGCATCTCAAATATATTTATTGCCTCCGTAAAAGTTCTAGTATTTTTTAAATACCCCAGGCATTTATTAGAACATTCATGCTACCAATTTATAACTGATTAAAAGTAGTACCTTGCAGCAAATCCAACTTTTTGTGCATCAGGTGCTTTGTCCAAAATGTTTGCATCAAAACCTTAAAGACAAATATTGATAATTAAAAAAGCTTTAAAAAAGTAAGTTGAAAGAAATGCATTTGGTTAAGATTAAATAGCTTTATCTTTTCAAATCAATATTTGAGAATGTAGGAAAAAAGACATTGAAATCTTGAAGAACTATTTTTATCATAGAATATATGCTAATGAGATGGTTGTTGTAGAATAGTCGCATCAAAGTTTTGAAAATGTTCATTTAGTTATATATATTACATTCACATAACAACTGAGGCATGTTTTTGTTGTAGTAAAATAAAGCAGACTTTCAGAGATTTCAAGGAAAAAACTATTTGGCAGCACTAACTAGCATCAATAACAGAACAGAAATCCCTGTAGCAGATCATTCCTTTCTGTTGTGGGTTGCCTCCATATTTCAACAGAAGACTTTGTATCTCAAACTTATTCAAATTCACCGAGAACAACTGATCTAAGCATCTTTCAAACTGTGCTCCTAAAAATAGAAGCAATTCACTTTTGTTAACTTCTATTTGATTATTAGCAGGAAAATATTGTAGCAAATCCAAAAACTCATTTGAAATCATTATTCATATTAAAAAAGGAGCAAAAGATTAATTTTTCTTGAACTTTGGAATAACACCAAAATGAAACACTAACTTGTTATGTATCCACTTCGCAAGCGATCAAAATCTTTAAAATACTCAGAACATCTGGCCTTTTTAGCATGAACAGCATCTCTTACTTTGTCTTCAATTTGTTTGACGTTAAATGATGGAGATTGCTAAGTATGAGAAAAATAAGCTTCATTTCTAACACTTTTCGACCGCTGATATAGTGAAACAAAAAGCTTATTTAATAGTTTTTGCAAGTTTAGTTAAAAAATTTGAAAAAACGGACGATAACTGTCAATGTCAACAGTGGTCTGTGGGGTTTTTTCAATGAAATGAGTTCTACTGACCTCCACTGAATTCTTTTCTTCGCTAACCATTTCTGATAAAAAAAAAACACGAAAAAAGATCGATAAGTCTTAAAAAGAATTTTATAAGTTAAATCTCAAAAAAAAGATTAATTTGTAATTGTTTTTCACTATGATTTAAGAATCTTAAATCGATTTGTCAAAGAAGAAACAACATAGTATTTTTGAAAAAACTTACGCTTCGTATATCAGAAATATAGAAGGTCTCAAAAGTAGCTTGAAAAACCTGGTTAAACTAAGAATAAAGCGTATTTAAAACAAATTAAACTCTACTAGCGAAACATCCACCATCTTGAGTTGTCACCACTGGTTGTCATAGAAATTAACTATGCTAGCATTCGTTACCATAGTGACACCGTGAATATAGATAACGAAGTACCTGTCTGCTAATGTGTCTGCTGTTTCAAGCTAGCAATTTCAGAAATAAGAAAACGTTTAAATGAATTTAGATAAATGCGTTGTAAGCACGTTCTTTGCCCTTTGAACAACATTTGACAGACTTTTGTTGTGAAAGACTTCTTATAGTAATTTCTTTGCATGTTTTATACACACTGCCCATGAATTGTTACATGGGATCACTTTTAAAAGAAAATATGTAAATATTCGAATCAAACACGCATCATGAGGTGAAACGCATTTAATATTACGTATGAAAAAGTAATTGTGTTTCGTCAAATGATGCCTTATTATTAGTCAATTACACTGGTCAATTAATGGTTAATTATAACAGTTAAAGTGCGCGTGCGCGTAACCTTACACCTACATAAAGTTACCAAGCAACATGTCTGCATTGATGGAGGAAAGTTGAAAATATTTACCAACGTAGTTTGGTCAATATAGAAAAAAATGAATGATGAGATGATCCACAAAGAGGTGAATCATGTTAACATACATATGATTTTAACTAGATCTATAAATTCAACAACAGTTTTTCTCATCGCTCTTCTCTTGTGTTCAATTCATGTAGAGTATCTGAGATTTTGAGAAACAAGTTCGTTCTGTATGGCTTTATATAACGATAGGAAATGTCATAAACTATTTCTTGACTATCTTTCATCTTTATGGAATTAAACACGACGAATCAAAGGTAAGAAATATTTCTCGCGTATTGTTAAATAAGAAAACATTTGACTATTTCCAATCACTTTTTAAAAGGTACGACTCGGATTCATGTTAGATCATACCTCTGAACATTTAATTATTCCACAAAGAATTTTTGCTACACAGATGAAGCGCTTTTCATGATGTTCGTAAATCTCTTCAAAAATTTATAGTTTAAAACAAATGAACCAAGGGAATAAGATCAAATCAGATCACAAAGAAAGAGAACACTTGAACCAGAGACAGAAACTTCCATTGTTAAAAAAGATCAAAGCTGTACCAAGCTTGAGCAGAAGTGTAAGTGACACAGTTTTTACACAGACTTCACCCAAATTCTCTAAGATAGATTGAAATCATGCAAATATCAATTTCAATGTAGCTTTGTAGAAATACTTACGCAGCAAATATCTGTTTTTATTGAAGGGTTTAAAACAACCGTTAAAAAAACTTTCCGTCTCCAAAAAGCAAGTGAAAGAAAGCTATAATGGGTAAGTGTTACCCCTGCTATTTGAATAAAAGCCTTTCTATGCGCAAATGAAATGTGAGCAATCGTTGTTTTTTACCGTCCTGTTTGATTATAGAGTCTCTCATCATAGAGAAGATAACATAAAAGAAAGCCAAAAGCAGGTAGCTAAGAACTACAAACTGAACTTAAGTTGCATTCTGTTTGCTCAAAAGATATCTGAATTCATTTTCGCTAATTATACTGACATTCTAAAGTCTCCAGAAAAAATTCTTTGTTTTGAAAATAAGCTATAAATATTTCCAAAAACTATACCTATTATGGACTTTTTAAAACGCTTCACTATAGAAAATAAGTCTCTGTTTTTTATAGATAGAGAAAAACAATATTTACATCTTAAAAGAAAGCCTGCCACAATTATCAAGACCACGGAAGGAAGGATTTGCTGACGCGAATAAACAGGTGGAACTTTAAACATTTTTTATGGCGTTGTCTTAAAATTTTGCACGTCGAAGCACAAAACCTATTACTAAAAAATAATGATTATTATTTTCAGAAAAAAAACAACGGCGAAACGTTGCCTCAACTTTTAAACAAAAAGAACGTCTTAAAGTCATCGTTTTATGAGCATGACACTACTAAGGCAAGTAGCTGAATCTAAATAACCTTTTGCAAATTTTGCCAATGCATTTTACTTAGTGATCAAACATTATTTCGTTAACTTAGGAAGTTGTTCTTGAGATCAAAAGTCATTATACCCTGATTGTAATGAAACAAAACTTTTGGTTGAGTACATGGCTACAACCTTGATATTCATATAACATTTTTTAAAGTATATATTTTAACAAAATTTAATTTTGGTTTATATGGACAAACATTTCATACAAATCTAAAATTAAAAAACGCGCTGAATTACACACAAGGCGATCTTTCTTGACTGAAGCAAAATTACCTTATATTAATGTGACTACGCATGTTGCCTGAAATCTGCTTGAGAGCAATGAAATACGTAACAGGTTAATAGATAAAACTCGCATGCATTTCTATAGGTAAACATGACATCACATGCACTGTACGCAATATTTCATGTAAGAGAAAGTTAAGTGTATTATTAATACGGTAAATTATTTCATATATGTTGACAACCCATCTGCAACTTCAATAAAGCAGTTCATTAATTATACATAAGAAGAGCGATGCAGCCAAGTTTCTCTTCAAGTTTCTGACATGAACAGCTGTATAAAAACACTCTGGCAATGGAAAAAAGTGTCCTATAGCCGCCGCATCTCACATTGAAAAACATATTCTTTAAGATTAAAAACAACAACAGAATTGTGCTGTGTCAAAGAACCATAATTTAATTAACAAGAAAACAAGGCAAAGATGATTCACCTGGCATTGGCCTCTTGCAAATGATGTGCAAAATACATTAATATTCACAGTCTGAACTTACAGCAATGTAAATACGTACGCAACGAGTACATTGCGGTAAAGACGTACACTGTCCATTTAGCGCAAAATAATCTGAATATGTAGATGACCAGAAATTTTATAACAAAGAGGAAACGTTGTTCAAATTTAGCTATAGGGCTTTTGAAGAGAATATATATATATTCAGAAACTGGAGATTAATCAAGTTTCTCCACTTCATTCCTTATGCTTCATGCAATGCAGTATAAGGAATTCAAGCAAAGAATACGTCGTAAACTTGGTATGAAGAAACATCAAATTCATCGTGAGCATGCAACACTTTTGGACCTTAACACACGTCGGGTTGAAAATATAGCGAAGAAGAGTATGCCAAAAACATATGTACCTTCTGCATTACGACAGACAGTTTATCATACAAACGAAGACGTATTAATCACACGAAATAACCACGCAGCAAAGGTTTAAATTCTTCCTATTATTTTACTCATACACATGTATGTTAGACAAGATATCCTTCTGGAGCAAAGGCATATAAAAATTATTCGCATGGAACATTTTTTAATGGAAATTTAATGGAAAGTTGAACGAATGGCTTTCGGAGGGGATCTGGGCGAATCTCATAGCTATACGAGGTTTTTTTTAACAGTCAAACAACGCCCTCTAGAAATCGGCAGTAAATTGTTGTAAAATGTACGTTGTTTTATTTCGCAAGAAACAATTCGAAGTGAGATTAAATAGCCTCATATAGATCACATATCGTTTGGCAATTGTTTTTACATTTTAAGATATTCCATTAAAAAAAAACATATTTTGACTCATTTGACAGCACGATACATGAAATTTTGTCAACAAGAGGTATCCCAATAGAAATTCGTGCAGTTATGAACGCGCTCGTCCATAAATCGCGATAATCTTTTTTAAACAAAAAATTGGATAATGCGTAGGATAATGTTATCAACGCGAACGTGTGTCATTTACGCAAGATAATTTTTTTGCGTTCAAAAAAGTGGGTTTCCCACGTCACAGCGTCGAAGCCAGGTGCATCAAGCCATGAAACATAAATAAGTACAGCTACCTTAGTATTTAAATTCGAGAGAGATCGCGAAGTTTTGGTTAATAATAATGAACATTTTCGTGCTTCTTTTGAAAGTCAGCTCAACACTCAGCTCAAATGGCACGTGCATATTTTAAGATCTTATTTTAAATCCCAATCATATATATAAGCAATAAATTTATATGTACACATTGTAAGGGTTAGAGCTGTCAGCGCTATATGTCTTTCATAATATTCAACAGTGTATGATATTTAAAAGTTTTTAAAGTGATTCAAATGAATTAGTGTCAGCTGAATGCATTCACAAATACTAATTTTGCTTGCCAAAATACCACGGTGTTCTTAACCATCTTGCTATTTTGCACCAAACTTACGCGCATGTCAAAATCAAACGCAATATTATTTTATAGACAGTTGTTAATGTTGGCGAAATAAATAAAACTATTACGAGAGAGACTCGTAAAGATGCAAGTTGCCGAGTTTTCTGAATTTTTAGGTTGCTTAAATTAATTGTAAAAATCTAACAATGTAAATTTACATTGTTGTAAAATGAACAGGTTGTAATTTTTTCCACAACTTTACAATTTTTAAACATTCGACTCGTCCATTTTTACCCAAATCTGACCACATTTTTAATGACATAGCCACAATCAACGAACTAGCTGAAAATCACATAAAATGTGTAATCACATACCTTTTTTCGGTCAGATTTCAGATATACCAAAATTTGCGACTCCCTTGGTTAAAAAGCAAGAGAATTGGAAGTAAGTATCTTTAATAAAATGTATAGCTGTTTTAATAATTGTCAAATAACACAAACTTGTAATCATAAAGCCTCGCCTATATATACTTGCAACGATCAAACGGAAATTCGCATTGTCCCGGAGAGAAATTATCAGATCATTTTTTCCCAACAACAGTCAGTCCTAAACAACAGTCATTCAACGTGATCATTTTTCAACACATTAGATCAAGATATTTTACCCAATTATTCTTGTACATAATACCATTTCCATCCTCATTTCAGTATTAATAACGACAAGAAGAAGATAATTCGCCACGATCCCAACGGTTTTGTCCTACCATTGACACCAAGTTGTGAGTATACAGATCTAATAATTTATAATAATACACGAGGGTGTTGGGGGGGGGGGGGGGTGGTGCTCAATATTTTATTGGTTATCCTTGTTTAACACGCTATGTTTCAGTTTGCATAAAGACATTTGGGGATAAACTGACGTTATTCGAGCATTCAGAGATCTTGGATTATGCTGAAATATGGTATTTAGGCTCAAATGCATCAAAGATCGAAGGTACCCCAGGAAGTCCTTGCAATAATGGTAATAAGTGAATTTTTAACTAAATACGTCATTATTTTATAAATTACTTAATTGTTCAGAAAATATTTTTATTTCCTGAATTAAACTCAGGCTATGATGATGACAATGGAAGCTACAAACGGGTGACTGGAGACCATTTATATTATCGATATGAAGTATTAGATATCTTGGGAAAAGGATCGTTTGGTCAAGTTGTCAAAGTTCTTGATCACAAAACAGGACAACATTTTGCCGTGAAAATCATTAGAAATAAGAAAAGGTAAAAAAAGAAATGTCTTATAACAAAACGTCGAAAAACATCTTAAAATATCACTCGACTTACATTTCTTTCTTTGCAACCAAAAACGTTTTATGAATTCTACGTCTTTGTGAACAACGTACTATAAATTTAACTACAGGAAATTTCTTTATGATGTTTATGTCTGTAATGAAAGATTACTCATATGAACGTTGTTGCTCGAGAGGTTTACCATATGCATACTTTAAGTCTTCATGTTTATTGCTTTAGTATTTGAAGTCTTTAATTAAACTATGAACTAAGTAAACGATATTTTTTGTTAGATTTCATCAACAGGCACTTGTTGAAGTAAAAATTCTTGATAATTTAAAAAAAAAGGTATGCTACCCATCCGTATCTTGATTATAAATGTTTCCAATACATGGACAAAGAGTATATATATACACTCAAGTTTAAGATCACTTCTTGATGAAGACACTAGACTAAAGTCATATAGACTCAAATTCTAACATCTGATCATTTCATCATAATGAAGACACTGAACTAAAGTACCTACAGACAACTCTCAAGTTCCACACGATTCACTTATTAAAATGAAAAGTTCCTTTTAATCAACTTTTAGGCGTAGACTGTAGACAAAATGTATAAACATGAAGTATTTTAAAATCAATTTGAATAAATAGAGGAATTTGTTGCCTAACATGCTTTGTTTCATTATGTAGGATAGAGACAATCATATGAATATCATTCATATGATTGATCATTTTTACTTCAGGTAATGACAATAAATACATTGAGTACATAATGTCCTTATGTTATATATAAATTAATCGAAAGGTATAACGCCATTTTTTTTTTCCGTTAAAGAAATCACCTATGCATAACGTTTGAATTATTAGGGTAAGTAAGCACTAAAACACAAACACGATTCTTATTGGATATCGCAAAGCAGTCACGTGACGCTAACTACTTCGACTTTTTTTAGAATAAATCTTTACGAATTGATAAAAAAGAATAACTTCCAAGGATTTAGCATGTCTTTGATTAAAAAGTAAGTTTTTATATCATATGGTTAAGCTAAACAAATTCAATGAAATGCTTCAATGATATTTAGAGAGCATGATCTTATGAAATGCAACCGACCTTTGATTTTCAACAGATTCAGTGACTGCATTACTCTTTTTATTAGATTTGCTTATTCAATACTCCAAAGTTTAAAAATAGTCCATAGCAGTCGTATCATTCATTGCGATTTGAAACCGGTAGGTTTTTTTTTGAGATCAATGTTATATTCTAGACTATAACTACGGATAACATGTAAGTTTATCTGATTTTACTTTTACACTAGAATATGCGTAATCTATATGCGTAGAAGACCACATATTTTATTGGTTGAAAAAAATTCCTATCCAATGTGACACAAAACGTAAAATAATCTTATTACACACAGGAAAATATACTTCTTAAAAACAAAACACACTCAGGCATAAAGATCATCGACTTTGGTTCAAGTTGTTACGAAAACCAAAGAGGTAAATATGTGCATAATAAACAGGTTTTGAATTCTAATGATTTCGATGACAATTGTATTCTCAGAAAAGATAAAATAAATTATCAAATCAGCTCTTCTTTAGCTACGTAAAACATTTATTTGTTACTGTTTAGTGTACACGTATATTCAAAGTCGGTTCTACAGATCACCTGAAGTAATTTTAGGTACGAAATATCTAAGCGTGATACGTACTTAAGCAACAGTATAGGGAAACACGCTTTTTAAAATAAAACTAACTTAAAAATAGAAGTACACATTTCACAACAGCAAATTCTCCCTAACTATCAAATTATAACACCTACAGGCATGGTATACGGGACTCCTATTGATATGTGGAGTTTCGGATGTATCTTAGCCGAATTATACACTGGTTATCCATTGTTTCCAGGAGAAAATGAAGTCGATCAGTTAGCTTGTATGATGGAGGTAATTTGAATCAATTGTCCGCGACATAAAAACTTGGAATGTTACAGCAAATAGTACTTAGAACATGCATAAAGTGTTTTTAATTCCATATAATTAACTAAGTGGAAAAACGTTTCCTGAAATAGAATATAATGCTTTTAGAAAAATGTTTTAAACAAAAATTTAACGCAGAATAGGAGTAACCCGGACTAATACTACAAATTTCAAACATTCAAGGATCAAACTAGTTAAAATTTACAATAAACTACTTGCTTAAAATCTCCAACGCCTACAACAATCTTGTTTATATATGAAGGTACTCGGTTTACCTGACGTTAATTTCCTTGAAAAAGCTTCAAGGCGCACCTATTTTTTCGGTAAGACAACTTTCAATAATAACTTAATGACTAAGACTGGTATTATATAACTGAAATAGTTAATTTGTTTACATGCGTTCCTATTCATGCAGATTCTAAAGGTTTACCACGTAGCATCACAAACTCTCGAGGAAGGAAGCGTCGACCAAACGCCAAAGATCTAATTACTGCAGTCCGATCAAACGATAAAAATTTCATTAAATTTCTATCGCGATGTCTGGAGTAGGTGACCTTTATACAGCACTCGAAATCTCGTATTTATCATTTTATTATTAAGTGTACAATCAATCATTCAATCAATCAATCAATCAATCAATTAATCAACCAATCAATCAATTAATCAACCAATCAATCAATTAATCAACTAATCAATCAATTAATCAATTAATCAACCAACCAATCAATCAATTAATCAACCAATCAATAAAATTTATTTTAATTTTCATCTCAATGGCATAACTGTACTTAGTTGTTTTTCCTAAATTCTCATTTATAATTAAAAATTGAGTTAACAAGCAACTGAAATACTCAATGACAGATAGTACGTCTATTTTTCTTTAGATGGGATCCAATGAAGCGCATTACTGCAGGTGAAGCACTTCAACATAGTTGGATTCAAGAGGTTAGTAAACTTTGGATAAATCAAATTTCAATAAGTGCCAATGAGTGATATTGACAGATTGATACATGAAGAAAACATTTCTACAGATAAAACCATGATATAACCTTTATCCGAGTCTCAATAACCTTTATCCAAGTTTCAATAACCTTTATCCAAGTCTCAATTCTGTCTGAATTTTTAGGATTTAAAAAGAGTGCGAGAAAATTGTGTTAAATCTGCATCAGGTCAGCGATTTCTAACACATCATCATGGCAAACAGAACAATAAAACGAACAAGTTTTGCAACAAAAAGAGCCAAGAAACATGAACACAAAAGATGCAAGATCCAGGACAAAACATTTCAACAAAGAGCATGTAAAGAATCCTAAAGAAGTTGAATCGAACTATACTAATGCTTTGCAACTTGGTAAAGATAAATCCCTGATATCCAATGGGCTAGGAGGCAATAACAAGCATTCAAGAAAGGAAAATAGTGACAATGATAGTAACATTTCTGAACATGATGGTTCTATAACACTAGACGAACATATGTTTTTACCTCCAATAAAATAATTGTACACAAAAAAACTTTTGATGTACAAAATACATAATTACAAGTAAAGATTGCCATATTACCTATCTAATATGCTCATCGGTAATCATAACTACTAATGTAATACATAAATATCACATATATGCATGTGTATGTTGTTGTTGACATTAATGCTGTAAATGATAAAAAATGGGGCTTGTAAAGCTCATGTAAGTATTACATGGGCTAAATCTTAAAAGCCACAAGCTTATCATCTCCATTGTGTTTTCTTTTAATTTTGTAAATGACATGTCGGAATTATAGATGCTAAATAGAATAGGCAAGGTTTTTGATGCTCATGCTTTGAAACAAATTCTAAGTTTCCTAGACTGTAAAAACGTTGAAATTATAAAGACATTGCACTATTTGAAAAGCTGATTTGAGCTGCAGAATTTATTGACATTCAAACAAAACAGTTGTAACTATCCTCAAATTCCATTTTTCTCTAAAAACTGATTTTAGAATTTGTCTGTAAGCTCAAAGTTCCAAATTTTACATGGAGGAGCCTGTTGTAATATATTACAAATGTAGCTTTTATATGATTGGTCAATACCTGTATACTTAGGTATTAACAATACAATAATACAGAACAATTAAATAGCAAATTTTGAAACACTAGCCAGTATTTCATGAATTCTTTTGAATATTTTTCCAATATTCAAAAAAATATTTGATTTTGAAAATGCAAGTCATGTGATGATTTTCTATCGTCTCTTGCTGCTAAATAGCCAATGGATGATGAATGGGTTGATAATGGTAAATAAGCAAATCAAAGTAGTTTTCCAAAACCCATTATGTTCCTTATCATTAACCCTTGTCTCCAATAATTCAATACGTGATTGCATGGCAGCTATCTCACCTTGAAAATGATTTCTTAAGGTTTCATCAGTTGCAGATAACATTGCTCTCTGGGTTAATCTATGAAAGGGGAGAAATTAAAATTTGGCAAAATTTTAATGTTAAAAAAATGTTAAACACAACATTAATTCAAACATAAACTAAGATACATTATATCCCTTACACAGTGAAAAAAGACATCCTTCGTGTTGATTGAATTCTCAGCAATAATGAGAAATGTCAATGTCAATAACAATAAAAAACAGATAATGAATGACATAGATTTACCTATCATAATCTTCATGTCTTTTCATCTTTTCACTATTTCTGTCAATATAACGAGACTTCGTATCATCCACAGTTAAAGTTCTGGGTGGCGTATCCATATCTCCCGTATATTTGTCCGTAATCACGCCACTATTTTCCAAATTAATGCTGCGAGTCTCAACGCCAGATGGCGTCCCATTCAAAAAAATTCGGTCTGGTACATGCATCGTTTGGTTATCACCAAAACTCCATTTATTCTGACTAAAATCCAGGTTGTTACGTACAGTAATTGTTTCGGGAACTTTCATGTCCTCTATGGCATTATAATCGGTAGAAAAGATACGTGACGTATCGCTATTTATTTCGTGAGGAAAACTTTCCTTATCTCCGTCGGCCATGTTGATTTTCTAGAAGCTAGTCCCAGTCCTCTGCACATGACATTGTGGAACATTGTATTGATTGTATTGACTATATTTATAATTACAATTATTCCCAATTTAGCTCTTAATCTTGGGTATCTTACTGGGAGAAAATTACAAGAGTGGGGTTGGCAATTACAGGTTTAGGGATGAAAAGAGCAAATGTGGTTTATCTTTGTAGAATATTTGTTTGGTTATTTTGCTATTCATATTTTTTGATTTCTTCTTATTCTTTTTTGATACATTGTATGAGCCAGTCATTTCAAAAGAGCCTTTCTTGCGTCCACTAGAACTTTGAAGGCTTCTTCCGAACCGGGAGCGATACTTTTATCAGGGTGAATTAACATAGCCAGTTTACGATAAGCACGATTTACGTCCTCTCTATAAAAATAAAATTATGTTGAATGGGTTTTGTCAAATGTTTTGTCCCGCAGGCTAAATAATATGCTCCAGTAATTACTCACAATTAACACTAAGACACGCTTTTTGTCGTCTGAAGAACGCGTGCACAAAATTCGAACAATGAGGAAACATCATAACAGAAACATCTATAATTTTAAAATTGCCTGACAACTGTGGTTGACATTAAAAAAACATTGAAACAAAACAATGAATAACATTCACATTAATTCATAATGAAAGAATAATCATGGTTGAAAGCTTGTTTCGTTTGTCAAATTTTTTCATATGAAGAACAAAACTTTGCTAAGTGCTCACGTTAACGATGTCACCGACATTTAAAAGACCCTCTTTTAAAAACAGATCACACACTGTTACCTAATTCTTCATATCGACTATTATTAGGAATTCATTTTCACAACCCACAGGAACATTAAATAGTTACTTTTGTTTTACTTTTCCGCATCTCACAAAGTTCATTCAAAACATAAATTTTTTCTTCTTAAGTCATGACATGATCAATGAAGTTGCAAACATAGAATCATAAATCAATATTACTGTTATTGTAGGAAATGAACAATAGAATTTAAAACCTTAGAACCTTTAAGGTAGAAAACAATGACGTTCACTTACATTGGTGCACACAATAACATTGACAAATAACAAATTTTTTTGTGGTATCGAAGTGCAAGCGAAGAAATCTAAAACCGCATTCGTTTGTATTTCTAAACTTATTCTGCATAAATTTATAGTTAAAGCATTCTGACTATAAAGTTTCTGTTACATAGCTTATATAGCTCATATTCAGTCGTAGTCTAAAGGCGAAATAAGAAACATATCAAAATTTTAAGAACAAGCTTTTCTTGAAATAACAGAAAACATTCCATTCAAATTTTAAGTTCCTTAAATCACGCAGACTATCAAATTTTCGACAAAAACTATTTAATCTGTGTCAAATGACTTTTGAACTTGAACTTGTCGAAAACTCCTAATTTAACTGAACTGAAAAGATTTGACAATAAAACACAAAAGAGCGTTGGTTGCATTTAAAGTGGCTTTAGTCTGTATTTTCCTCATAGTAACGTATGTATTGACGTTTGTTGAAAATATCGTACGTTACTTGTTACCATGTAGGAAATTAATGATATTAAAAGTTGAACAAAATATTTCGAAATAAAATTCCAGCATAATGTATTGGGCTATTTAAAAATGGCAAATACATATATTCGAACTGACCTGCTTGCCCCATTGTGTAAACCCAATCGATCATAGTTATCTTTTCCATTAACCAATCTCTGAATGGCATCTGACTGTTCTTTGGTCCAACCCAAAGTTGTAGCAACACGGGTTGCATTACATCCACTTTGCAACATTTTCAGCACCTCCTCAAACAAAGTCTAAAAAATGAACAACTTGAAAGACAATTGGTGTAAAATTACATTCAAGCCTTAATACAACTGCACCAACTTTACAAAAACAGCATAAATATACAATATTCACCTTTACTCTCTGCTTCTATAGTTTACCCTTGGTGTTTATACCTGAAACATTTTGTTCACACCATCTCCATTTAGGGCAGAAGTCTCAAAATAATGAAAACCACAGTTATTTGCCCATATTCTTCCAGTATTCTCGTCTACAACTCTTCTCTTGTCAGTCTGAAATAACAGACAAAAAAACAATAATTATGTGAACAATAAGGATGGTGTCACAACAAGACATTAATGTAGTGAGGAAGAAATGGCTTTTTTAGAATGTACCTTATTAGCACAAACTATGAACACAACTTTTTCCATGTCGGTTGGATCTCCAATTTCTTTCCTCATTTCATTTAGCCATGTTTGCAAGCTGTCAAAACTTTGTTTACACGATACATCAAACACCAATAAAGCACCTTGTGTGTCTTTATAAAACTCATTACGGACCTCATAGAATATAGGGTGACCAGCCATATCAAAAATATTCACTTTGACCTCTTTACCATCAACAAATACTCTATTTATTACAAAAGATTAATATCATTCTTTAGTTTTAAGAGGAACACAATACTCATAACCCATCTTAAGTGATAGAATTGTCTTTATTAGGAGTGATCTGATGTCGAAACTTCAGTCCTTATAAGCTCAAATTCACAAGCTGGCATAATTTTTAGCAATTTTGTGAGGCAAGTTCTAGAATTTTTGCTAATATCTTTATATTCTGTTCTTTAAAAACAAACTTTTAAGTCAGCTTAACTCCACCAATGTGTTCATCAGAAATTATCTGACATTAAAATGGTGTTCTTATCTATTCCAGTCTTTAGTATGTCAGATGATAAAATTTCGACTTATTACGCAGCATTTCATCAAAACTGCCGTAATGTTGGATTTTACAACGTATACATAAGAAATATCATAGAATTATTACTTAGTAACTCCATAATCAATTCCAATTGTTGCCATGTATTTGTTGACAAATCTTTTTTCACAATATCGCTTAATAATGCAGCTCTACAACATCAAAATATCAACAAAAACATTACATCGAGCTGAAAAATTTAGTAAGTTAATACGACATTAATACTAAACCTTTCCAACTGCAGCATCACCCAAACTAACTATTTTAATCCTTGGAGACCATTTGGTCTTGCCTTGTTTCTCCATATAATATTATAATGGTTCAAACAACTGACACAACTTCCAAACTTATCCACCGCAAAAAGGCAGTCGTATGCAGCCATTACTGGACAAATTAATATCTTTAAAACTTTCTTTGTTCATTTCAGCTTGAATATATTTCTTTTTACTGAGAATAATTCCCCTCCATATTTTTAAATTTTAACTGTTACCATGGTTACTATGCAACAAGACGGTGAAGGCGCATGCGTACAAAACTCGCATACGTGTCTACAGAGCGCATGCGTTGTACTGTAAACGTAAGTTTCGCATTTTATGTGTAGCATTCTGATCGTTTCTGATCATTGAGTTCTTGAAGAAAAATAACATTTTTTGCCACCCTATATTTTAAAACAATTTTAAGATATTAAAAACCCATAAAGTTGCCTTAGTATTTGAGAAGTGAGTTTAACTTAGATATTTCAGTTTTTGCACATTTGTATCTTCCAAGTAGGCTATGGTGGTAATCAGTCATTTTTTCAGTCGAGTCTCTTTACCAGACAAATTGCTTTCATAATTCATAAAGAAGCATCAGATATAATTTTCAAGGTCATGTCATTTCCACTTTCTTGAAGATGGTTTTTATTCAACGTGAGAATATTTAAGAGCGAAGTTTAGGGCAGAAAAATACAATAACCTTATCAAATAAGATAAGTTTATATCTTAGAAAAAAGAAATGCAGCATCCTATTCCCAGACATTCATATTTTCCCTTTCCTGAGATTTGCTGTTCGTGGTTTCATAACTATCTCCACAGGTGACCTGGCACCTTGAGAAACGATAAGCTATGTTCGAGATTTTGTTGCGTTGTGAGAAAACTTGCATGACAAGTCACGGCCATCAACAAATGAACGAAAAAACGTGTGATGGATGGACACGAAGGTAAAGGCAAAGTAATCTTCAGCGATGTTTATATGCAAGTGAAAATAATGTAAATATTTATATCTGAATTTTTCTGCATTCATGAACAAAGAATCGTCAGAGAAAATTAATAATATATACTATCATATTTTTATCTGTGCATGTCAATATAACATCACCATATATCCTTACAACATGCACATAAAAATCATTACAATATAACAATGGATATTGTAGAGAAAAATAATTTCAAACCAGGTGACATTTCTTTTATCATGTTGAATAAGTTTTAATTTAAAAACTATAATAAAGTGTGTATACATCTCTCTGCTTATCTATCTTTCTTTTTTAAAACTATATGATAGAAATAAATAACTTTTTTCATACGTTGATCTTAACGATACATGTTACGCAAAAAAATTTAAAATCTGTGAAGTGAAAGCAGCAATAAAGAAAGAAAAGTCTGTGACAATAGCCAGCATAACAAAGATCGTTGACATAACTTTGACTTGGTTTCTATGTACTGGTGTTCTTCTCCAAACGTGGGCTTTGGTTAAATTCTTCTTTACAAGGAATTCCTAAATACGCGATATTGTAATTGACTCATTTGGCCCTTTCAATATAAGAGCAAAATGATGAATTTCGAAATCGCAATAATTCAATACAAAACAATGTAATGCCAAGTAAGTCATGAAAAAACATTCTGCTTTACAAAGATACACTGATATCTTTGTATCCACTTGATGTATAAAGTCCTTAAACTATTTGAAGTATAAGGTCATTTAACTATTTGAAGAGTTTACTACAGAGCTTTGATATTGTCGACTGATATTGGCTTTCATTCTTTAGTCTTTCTCATGAAAAATATTACGTACAGTGAAACTAAGGCGACAAAGATGATCAGTATATAAAATACTTGGTTGTCAGCTTATAATACAGACACCAGCTTAACGTTATCATCATAACACAAATTACATAATTACGACAAACAGTCATCTTATGGTATAAAGACCTTTGTTTACTTCGAGAAAACAACCGTTCAAAATGATTGCACAAGAAAGTTTAAAATACCGTAGCATTTTTTAAAACGTATATTCACCTGTGATGTACACTAAACAATGACTATATGAATTATACACTAGCAAATGATCAGCAAATGATCGCACTAGCAAATGGTCAGCACAGTGCCTTCTGAGATCATTATTTCTTTTGGCAAAGTGAAAGACTAATGCTAACGTGATAATTTATTATTGTGTGGGTTTGTCCTAGGCAGAACAGAACTGAGACAGGAAGTTTGAACTCCACATGAGCTCATGAAACATTTACCTATATTTGTACATGCTCTTTTGCAGGGGACCACTGGAAAAATTTTGAAAATTCAACTATCCATTGAATAGTATTGTGTTATTGTAGTAATTGAACGTTGAAAGCAAACATAGCATTTTACAATACCAACATTACAACTTATTTATTACCTGTGTTTTCAAGCAATGAACAAACCAATATCTTCTCGCGATAAATGATCTTTTGTTATGGAGAATAACTGCTTTGTCTGGCCACTGATAAACGCACACACGACGATAGCAAATGTACAAACAGGTACAATAGTGGCAAGTGCTGGAAACGGCATCGACTCGATTTGACTCAATAGTCCGAGGGCAAAGGAAAAACTTAGCACAATAACAACAACGTACTTGGTTGATTTGAAGAAATGTTTAGAAAAGTTGACAACTAATGCTCCCAGCAAGATGTCACCAGTTCCCAAGAACACTTGGGTTGCATTCCCAAATTTTACTGTGAACACAGAAGGTAACTCCCATTGATCGTGCATTCGGAACAAATGACAAATCAACGCATCACATTTTTCGACAGAAACGCTGAAAAGCGCAGGTCCCAAATTCATCGTGCTTGCCAGAACGCAAACATCGTACAGGAAAGCGGACCACATGAAGACCTGAAGTACGGCAAAGCTTTTAAACTGAATGTCCCCTACCATAAGCGTAAATATAACGATGATAATATTGTTGATAATCCAACGATAAGCAGTATTTCCCGAAAAGAACCACAATAATGAAAACGAAATACCACAGGAATAAGCGATGAAGGGATGAAACCACGAATCAAACGCTATCATAATAAAACCAACGACTGCCATATGTTGAATGTATACAATATAAGTTGGATAGTATCTCAGTGCTATGACCAACAGCGCCATCAAAGAAAAATATAAAAAGTTTAAAACAACATAGTGGACTAGTTTTAGGCTAGTTTCTTTGGTCGTAGCGACGAGAGCGTCTTGCTTGTCGATGTACGACGTAGAATTCACACACAATTCTTCGTCCATTTTCTTCACTTTTTTTTTGCGATTACCAGCCAAAGCGCTTATAAATATAAGACAGCTCGCAAAAGCGTCCATTAGCCAAAAATTATAGTTAAACATGTCGACGATATGATAAAATGTTTGTCACAAGTCACGAGTGGGTCTTCGTTCATCAACTAACATTATGTCTTTGTAAGCACTTCTTAAATGTACTTATTTATGCAAAAACTAAACAATGGAATATTGCAAAGCGTTCACATCACATGCGTGAATTTACAAAAACAGCAAAGAAAATTAGTAAGGCCCAACAATAACATTTTGAACTAGTTTACAACAGCAATAACAGGTCACAGAGCCTATTAAGCCATATTCAAGTAATTGCCTGCAGGGGTAAGACAAGAACGTTGATAATTGCAAGGATGAATATTCACATATTCACATCTGCACGATTGTTTTCTTTTGAATGGCAATTGTACTTTCAAAAGAAATTCTTGGTGGATATATGAATAACCCTATCCAGCCCTCACTCAGCGTTCCATAGTTTCACAAAAAAACTTTTATTTTATGAAAGACTGTATATGGACGATATAGATGGTCATATGATGAAAGAGGGGGCAGGTTTCTATAGACCCAAACATGATTCTATAACAACGAGTATTTCAACTACATTTCGAATACGGTTATAGATATTTTGTGTGATGTTACAGTTTACCAGATGAATATAAATCAACTTAAATATAAGTACTTTAATTTTATTAATCATGACAACTTGACTTGTACCAGTAGACATTTTTACATGTACAAATAGGAATTTTCTCAACAAAGCAACTAACAAAAATGCATGAGTGGATAAGCGACTCAGCCAGTCAATGCAGGTAGTGATGAATGAACAGCAGAGAACAAGAACAGTCTTTACACTATCTAAAATATACACTAAGATAACGTGTGTCAGTGTAGATAGTGATGAATGAACAACAGAGAACGAGAACAGTCTTTACACTATCTAAAATATAAACTAAGATAACGTGTTTCAGTGTAGGTAGTGATGAATGAACAACAGAGAACGAGAACAACTTTACATTATCTAAAATATAAACTAAGATAACCTGTGTCAGTATAGGTAGTGTTGAATGAACAACAGAGAACGAGAACAGTCTTTACACTATCTAAAATATAAACTAAGATAACATGTGTCAGTATAGGTAGTGATGAATGAACAACAGAGAACAAGAACAACTTTACATTATCTAAAATATAAACTAAGATAAGATGTGTCAGTATAGGTAGCGATGAATGAGCAGCAGAGAACAAGGACAGTTTTTACACTAACTAAAATATACACTAAGAAAACGTGAGTCGGTGTAGGTAATGATGAATGAACAACATGCATAGAACAAGAAATATTTTCACACAATTTAAAATGAAAACTAAGATAGTCTGTGTCAGTGTAGGTAGTGATGAATGAACAACAGAGAACAAGAACAGTCTTTACACTATCTAAAATATAAACTAAGATAACAAGGATCAACAACTGAAGAAAAAAACATCTGCAATTTATACATGTATTGTATTGTATTGTATTGTTAAATGGTATACATTTAGGATTATACATTATAATAGTTTAAGGTTAGTTTTAAAAGACACAGACGTCAAAGTCATTTTGATGCACGTAGTGACCAAGCGCGGTAAACAACATACTTCTATTTCTCGTTATGAGGAAATAATCTTAGCAAATTGTGTGTCGGAATGGTGTTTTAAGGAAGTCGGCACGTTCCTCATAACTACTAAATCAATAGAAACGAGCAAGTCTTTGTCATGAGAAGTATAAAAAAATAATCTTGGTCATATAAAGCAGAGTTGAAGTTAGCGATCATATGATCCAAAAAACACATCTTCTTTAATAATAAATGTGTTTGCTCATTATATGTTTGTAGCATATATGCATTATTAAAAATAAAATTATGTTGGCGAGGGAAGTCAGCAGCACGCCATTTAACTAGCAATGCACTTACATTAAACATTTTAGTACATGGTCATTAACACAAGCAAGCATGCAAAGAGTAATCTTCGGTCTCCATAGAAGCAATGTTGTAGCTAAAACATGTGAACGGAAACTTAAATAGACAACAACGAGAATAACCTGCAAGCTCCCTCGTGTTATGTTTTTAATATTTATAACACGAGTGCATGGCTTTGTGCTAGAACTTATAGTGAGAAAATAAGAATTACTTTGTTTCTAAAACTGTGTATAACAAACGATGATATTTTTACAAAACCTATAGCAAAATATTTGATTAGTCCGGCTTAATAGAAACTTTAAATTGTCTGGGTATCTTTTTGAACAAACTCACTAAAAATTAGTCAAACGTGATACGGCAGGACCCAAAAACAATAGGGAAAACTCAAAATGAACGAAAAATTTTAAAAACTCAAAAAAGTTCTACAACAACATTTCCTTTGGATTACTACACGACAAAAAGTTTCTATTGTAAAAGTTTTACTTTAGCTTCACTTCGTCGGCAAAAAAAGTTGCTGTAACATAAATATGTTTATCGGTTATTGACTATAATAAGAATTATGTGAGTGAATGTAAATGCATGGCATCTTAACAATGCAATATATTTTACACAACCTTTTAACGGTTGAATTTTTTAAGCCATATGTTATTATACGAGCAAGTAGGACCAATTTCAATTATCCTATGAGTAATTTTTTAATAAAACCAATTAGCTCCATTACCGACTTTTCAAAGTGGGGCACAGACGAAACCATATTGTTTCAAAATAACAATGCGTGTTTTAATTGCTTTAAATTGACGTACGAGTCTTTAAATGCGTATATATATCTAAGGCACAAGTATTTTTCTAAGTAGTTCGTCAGGCAAAATATCAAAGAGTATATAAACTTTGATATAAAAAAGTTTGCGATATTTTAATTTGTTCTTCTTCTTCTTATATTTATGAGGTATTGACACGCAAAAGTTAAGGTGAATTCTAACTGAATTGGTGTCGAAAAAATTTCCAACAAGGTGAGATAACATGTAGTTTATCTTTCAGCTACAATTAATTTTTATAATACGAAATATTAATTTACCTATATTTTATTTCATTTAAAAGACAAACTGTATTTTTTTATAGCGTCAATACCTCAGTAGCTTTATTTACTTGCTTGTTTACACAAGGTTAAACATATTATAAAGCTTAACATGTAAAAAAAACGATGTTAAAAGCGATTATAGACACTTCACGCATTCAAATTTGCTCAATGAATATGCTCTTGGGATTCTATATATGAATTTAAAATAGTCTTCAACTTCTATTTGACGCTGCATTGGATCAAGATTTAGCCCGTAGAGCAAATCATTTGTTTTAGATGGAAGGTGACTTCTTTATGTCTTTACAAAGTGCAAATATCGCAGATGCTCAGCCAAGGTAGACAATTCCAAGAAAATTTCATTTTACAGACAAAGGACTTTCAATCAATGGCTAATTGCAAAGCTTGAAATAACTTAGTAAAATGTTATTGTCGCTTTTCAGGCGACAATGTCAAGTGCTATTTTTTAAATATTTCTCCAGTCTTTTCAACAGCGGTTGCGTGAAGTAAAACATCCACGCTGCCTATATTAATTAGAGGTAAAATTTGATGTAAAAATTGCGAGCTTGTTGTGTTATAGCTGCATGTTATGTTACAGCTGCATGTTATGTTACATGAACATTATTAAGGTAAGACAGCGCGGTGAATACATTATTCAAATATTTTATGTAGAAAAGATGCCCAGATCATTTCTTGTCAGACTGAGATCTAATTTAAACAAGGAGAGCGAATACAGCGTTAAAACAACGACTGCTGAAATGGTAAAACCCTTTCCGACCTTTGGTAATTACACACTTCATACAAGAACAGTATCGTCACAGTCCTCAATCGAAAGCTTGCTTGTGAATAAAGTGATGATTCCAGAGAAATTATATCAAACCTCTCACACGTACAGCAACACTTTGGGATTGGAGAAAATTCAACTATCGTATATTGGGCAAACTTCGAGCTCATACAGCTGGCAAATGAGAAACAAGAGCAATTGCAAACACGGAGGTAGGAAAGCCAGGGATTCTGCTCACCGAGTGGTATAGTTTACGACAGTATTTTCGACTGTCATTCTAGTTTCTTTAGACTTATTTTCTTGAAAATGTTAGGAGCAAATCTAGTCATTGTTTACAGCTTCCAAGTAATAACAAAGAAAGGGACCATAGTGGGCAGTATAATTTGCTCGAAATAATTTTTCCTCAAACCCAATAGAACATATCTAAAACATCTGCTAACATACTAACTATATGAAAATTATTCTCCATTGAAAGCTCCAGACCCAATTCAGCATCTAAACTTACATAAACCAGCAGTAGGGTTGCAAAGAAAGGAAACAAGCCAAACAAGGTGTGTAAAACAAATATTTTGTGTAAAAGGATTTTCGTTGACAATGTGCTGTTGTAGGAAGCTCAAATATCTGTAGTTAAAATACGTAATCATCTAGAACTGGTATTCAAAATAATTTTGATGATAACGGTCTTGTTTTGCAAGTTTATTTTCTGCAAACTATTTTGCTTGGAACAATAACCTATATTCCGCCGAGCATAAGGAGTGTTTAATCAATTGCTAATTTCCCCCTACTATTTGTAAAGGAATGACGCAAAACTACCAGCTGAACTTGAAGAGTTTTTTGCAATCGAGGAGTTAGAGATTCCCACGAAGACAGATAACCATACACTACCATCTACGTATCAAAATTCAAATGCAATATCAAAAAATTTGCATACACCTTTGAAAGACGTTTTGAAAGTTGCGAAATCCAACGGTGGAGGCACATTCACAAATTTTACTTTATCCTCTTGTAAAATTGCCTTGGAAAATGAATACATGTCATCGAAATGTCATCCAAAGGAATTTGCAAGTGTCAGTCACTTGAACAAAATGGAAATAGAGGTCAGTAAAAGGAAAAATTTGCACACGCAAGAGCAACAAATAAATCAGATATCAAACAAAAACGATGATGAAAGGAACGAGTTTCAAAATTTTCATACAGCAAGCACGTTCGTGAAAAATAAAAGCATCAAGTTGAGCGCTGGAAGGAATCACGTGTGCCAAAGCTGCAACAAGAGTTTTAACCGTGCCTCAAATCTGCGCATGCACATGAGAACGCACTCCGACTATAAACCATATAAATGCGATTACTGCGGAAAAGGATTTCACCAGAAAATCGACAAACGTATACATCACTACACACACACCGGAGAGAAACCGCACAGATGTAAGAAATGCGGGCGCGGATTCAAACAATTGACCCATCTCAACTATCATATGCGCACACATTCTGATACACACATGTATCAATGTACCTACTGCGGCAAAGGATTCAATCAGAAAGGAAACCTGCAGGCTCATATCTATAGGCATACCGGTCAGCGTCCATTTAAGTGCGAAATATGCTCAAAAGGATTTACGCTCCGATCTACCCTAAACACACACCTTCGTACGCATGCAGCAAAGAAGCCATTTAACTGTGAGCATTGCAGCAAGTCATTCTATCAAAAGAACGCCTTAAAGATGCATCGTATTGCATCGCATCCAATGACAGATGGAAAAAGCATGTTGTAGGTTATATTATGTTTGTAGATGCAGACGATAGTTCGGTTGTTAAAATCCTACTTATTTCGCGTATTTGACTACGTGAAAAGGTAAATACACTAAACAGCTAATTACATAAAGTTTATAAGGTATGAAATAACTTGATATTTGCATTATTTAAAAAAATTGAAATTCCTCGCCATGAACGATAACCACCATAACACGAATCGCACGACTTAAAATTTAATCAAATTAAATAAAATATAATAAAACTGATTATAAACAACGCTGAAATAAAATTTTCTTATAAACTTGATAGTTTATTTTTAGTGTGTATTAGCAGCATTACACTTAAACCGCCTCCAACTACACATGTAACAAAACCGTACAGCCTTCAACAGGAAAAAAAAATGAAATACGTACTATTCGGAAACTAAGCCTCAAAGTTGATCAGCATACAGATAGGCTTTGGATATTTAATTCTCGAAGACTCCGACAGTGATAAATCACGTGAAAACATCACGTGACGCATTTTTCTACATCATGCAAGGTTTTACACCCCAATACTAAAGCCAATTTCAAATATTTTACAACTTTATTTGTGGAGACAATAGTCGATCCTACACTTGAGAATTTAGAGTAATTTCTATGTTACGAGGACGAAAATCATTGGCACAACTAATATTGGTTGACATGCATGTAAACATTTTAGGAATTCCACAATAGTTGTCAGAGCAAAAAAATATTCAAATATATCTTCAGTCTGTGAGTATTTTTAAAGTAATATACAAGACAACACAGTGTGGCAAAACTCACATAAAAACAACTTTTTTGTACCTTCTATTGTCAGTTTGTTAGATGATGGTGTGACAGAGAGGACACGTTGCCAACGCTCGAATTTCCTTTTCGTATGCACGATGTTTGCATGTGTTGCATATCCAAAATTGATAGTCCATAAGCGGACGTCCAGTAACAATGCATGTTGGGAACTGGGTCTCACACTGTGGACAACGTTTGCACCTAAGAAAAGGAAAGTCTTAACACTCACACAGAGAAATGAATATACTTTAATGATGCCGTACATAAAGCAATCGTTTATAAAATTCTATTGTATTGATTTTCATATATTTATCATATTTGAGAAATATTTTATCCCTATACAAATGTCTAATGTCTATGTCAAAAAAAGTGAAACATGATATACTCACAAATCCGGTATTGGTGTTTCACAGCTGGGACATTCAACTGTATTTATGCGATTATCTTTTGGAGGATTCCTTCAAAACAAAAAGAAAGTTTCCATGAATTTCAAAGAACCCCCTCCGTATAGCTCGAAGCATTTTCATATAGCTAAATAACCTCGTGAAAATATCTAAGGCCAATTTCTCAAATGCATCTTTTTGTTCTTTGGGAAGGTTTTCGATCGATTCCAGTTTAATAAATGCCTGCAGAGACGACAAATAAATTTAAACGAGACAAGAGAAATATAACATGTCTTCGTGATGTAGTAACATCATTAATTAATAGTGGGCAAGGAAAATGGGGGAATAAAGTATCTCAAGTCATAGTGGGGAACGGTAAAGGCGGGTGGGGGCACAGAACAAACCATCTCGATTAATAACAACATAACTAATATAATGATGGAATGCTGTTAATGTATTTCCAAAGGTTAATATAAGTATACAAATGAGAAAGAGTTTTTATAATTTAATGTAAACTCAACCCGTCATTGATGCATTCTTTGTCGTTTTAACATGTATTTTATTGAAGTTTATCAAGGTATTCAAATCAACTTAACGCAATGATTTAAGGAATCGCTATGGACTTATATATTTCCCGGGTGAACGCCAACAAGTTTATGGACCAATGACGCCTAAGAATACATTCTTTTAAGATATAATGTAACGAAATAATACTTAAGCAAAAAGTAGTATGAATGAAGAGTATTTGATGCGAGCCATATAAGCAAAAAAGTTTTAGAATACCTTTGAACATATTCCAAAACATCTGTTGTTCGAAGAAACTAAGGCAAGTAGAGAGTAAATGATGATTGGATCAAGAATATCTTCGTAATCACGCAAATGCATAACCTATGGGAGATAAATAAATTATTATTTTATTTCATAAACATTAAATCTCGCGTGGTCAGTTTTCAAGCGTTTCGTTTTATTAGTAGTATAGTTTGGGTAGTAAATGCACGATCTTTGAAATAAAAGATTTTAGAAACTATTAAAAGAATTACTAGCTCCAGAGAAAAACCATTACAAAAATAGCGTAAGGCCACTGCCAATTCTCATCATGATAAATTTTTATTGCGTATTCATTACAAACCGTTGTCATTGCGGCGTCAATATAACCATTGTAAAGTTGTTTCTGAGAAAGAACAAGAAAATGATAGGCCTATTGAAGAAAAAAACAGCCATTATTACTATGGACGTCAAGGCCACATTGTCTTAATCCCATACAACAAACCTCGGCTCCTCTCCAGGCTTTGTCCACGATTTGACTATCTTCACTTGAAGCTATATCATCTTCCAGTAGACCAGCAAGTGCAGTGGTCGCCTAGCAACATAGATCGTAAGAATGAAATCAATCTACAAGTGAAAAGCTATAAGGCTTTGAGTTAACTGACTCAATGCATTTTGAAGAACTGTGCAGGGAATGCCAAAATTTAGTAAGGGGGATTATACGATTTTTTGAGTGCAGATTATAAAACTAGACATTTTTGAAACTCTTAAATTGCTTTTTTTAAATGGATAACAAATATTTTTCTCATGTATCCATGTATCCCATCATGTAACCCTTAGTAAGTAAACATACCTATGTAACTATAATATACTACTCCTAACATTGCTATAAACACTAAACACTGACTGCATATATCAAAAACTGTTGAGATTTCTCATGTATCCATGTATACCACCATGTACCCCTTAGTAAGTAAACATACCTATGTAGCTATAATATACTACTCCTAACATTGCTATAAACACTAAACACTGACTGCATATATCAAAAACTGTTGCGATTTCTCATGTATCCATGTATCCCATCATGTACCCCTTAGTAAGTAAACATACCTATGTAGCTATAATATACTACTCCTAACATTGCTATAAACACTAAACACTGACTGCATATATCAAAAACTGTTGAGAAATCTAATCTACATTCATTATACTACCTGCTGGTAAATAGTGCTCTAAAAATGAATAAAGAGGAAGTAATTAGTGAGAGAAGATTCAATCAAGTAAAAAGGATGGCGTGGACAACGTAGAAAGTGGACTGAAGAGGATGTTATTTATTTAGAACTACACAACATATTTTAACGAAAGACGAACAACTTTGGCTGAATATATTACTAAAAGGATAATGTAACGTGAAAAAGCTGAAACTAAATGCAAAGCAAGATATGACAAAATATGATAAGTTTGGGTTCTTTTACCAACCTCTTTTGTACTCTTTCCACTGTTTAAACTTGATATTTTAGCCTGTTCGTGATATTTTTCAATCTAAAACAGAACGAAAAAATCCTTCCAATTTACGCTTCAAAGCTTAACTCAAGTTTTTACTGCCAGTAAGATAAATGTAGAGCCATTAAAACGATTTTCTATGTACCAATAATGCTCCCAACACGAATAACTTTTTCGATCGCAAAGGATTATGGATTGGATCAGCTGTTTCTTTTGCCGTCTAAAAATAAACATTTAAATTATCTTCCATTCATCTATATAATAATCTACAATTGCATTTGAATTGTAGCGAGGTAAAAAATAAAAAGATTGTCGTATTTTTAAAGGCAAGAAAACTCCTCTAGTCTTATTTGTATAAGTAGAAATTATGATTAAATGTTGACCTTAAATAGAAGTTTCGCTGCAGAAATATAATGACCGGCCTTCCGATAGCTGGTGAGGAATATGTAAGTTCAAATCATAAATAAATTAAAGCAATTGATTGAGTGAAAGTTAAAAAGTGATTACAAAATTTGTATTTTTAAAATATTTTTACAGGAGCGATACCACTAAAGAACAGATAAATACATAAAGAAAGGATACAGTTCAATGGCTTCCAAGGTTTTATTTTTCTCCAACAAATAAGAAGCATATTTAGCTAGAAGACCATCAACGTCTTTAATATTGTGCTGTTTTGCAAGATAAATAGCTTTGTCCCATTGGTTTAGTTCAATGCAACAGTCGATGGCGTCTTTAACACGACTACACTGCAAAAAGGAAAGATTATTTTAAATTTGTGAAGCCCTATAGTCAAATTTAAAAGACTTGAAAGGCAATAAAATGTAAAATAAATGAAACATGAAGAATACAGAAAGATAATACTGTAAATACCAAACTAAGTAGTTCAACTGGAAGATTACCATGCACGCACAGAGATCTATACCTTCAAGAAAGCCGCCACAGCTTTATCACTAATTCCAACATTTTGAAAGATGGCCCCAATTTCCTAGGATCATAAACAATAGAACGAAACAAACGAATTACGAGCAATACTCCATTGTGACTGGTTAAATTAACCACCGTTATCACTTTTTGCATCACTTCATCACATTTCAAGAACATAAAATGACCTACCGTTGTGCACTACATTTATGAAAAGATCACAATACTCAAATAAAACAAACAAATACAGACATTATATAAGGGTGCTCGTAAATTTACGAGGCTTGATTTTCCCACAAATTGAAGAATATTTCATGAAAATAAAAAGAATCCACATAAACAGGATAAAAGGATCTTTCTATCATTATGGTGGCCTGTGAAAAATTATTTTCGATCAAAGATGATTTGGTATCAAAACCACATTGATCAAACCCTCTTTTTTCTAACATCACTAACTTACCGGTAATAAACGATGATTTTCAGGTAAAGAATTCACAATCTTTTCCAAACCGTCATACTCTTCCAGCATGTAATAACACTCCATTAATTTCTCTTGATTTTGTCCTTGTTGATAGTAAGTAATCGCCTGTTGCCAACGCATTCTTTCTGCACAATAATCACCAATGGCGTTCCACGCTTGTTCCAACAGAGCATCTTCACCTTTTTACGTCAACATAAAAGGTAAGACGAAAAAATTTTCATTTCATTATGCATCCCTATTGTTCCCCAATGTTGCCCCCCAACAATTTGATCAAAGTCTCGAACAATCTTTTCTTATGGTCTGGGAATAATTTCCATACCTGTTCCATCTCCAGACTTGAGCAATTGAACAACACGAAAGCAATCTCCAAGTTTGATTCGAAGATCAACAGCTAAATCTCTGTAACGTTGAGCAATTATTTAAAAAAAAACAAGTACAATTGCCACCAACTCAAAAAAACCATGGATTCAAATCGTACAAAAGAGATATGACAAATACATGCGATCTAAATTCTTACAGAAGAAAATAATTCAAACAATCAGGAAGAAAATATTTGATTTAACTTAATCTGGTGTCGTAACTGTTCGTCAATCAGTCTATGTATCCAAAACGTCTTGACTTTGTAGACAGTCTTAGTTATCGTACTAAGAAAAAGCTGTTACCTTCGATCCATGTCAAGATAAAGCTTTTCGGCCTCCTCGAATCTCTGAAAATATGCGCACACCTCTGCCTGTCTTTTCATATCGCTCTGTAATTAACAAACACGTTCGAGTGGCTTTGTGGTCGAGAAAAATTTTCATACAATAGTTAAAGAAAAAACGAACAAGCAATATAGAGGCTATTTAAATGGATCAAATTAAATCGTGAGCGCCCAATGTAAGAGATTTATTAGTGAAAGCAAGGTATGCAAGACTAACATCAAGTTTCGCAAGTCTTTTGACAAATTTTATTCCATGGTAATCTTGACATTTTACAAATGCTTTCTCTGCCATTTCCAATGAAAGACGTTCCAACGCTGCCTCGGCAAGAAGACGCCTGTGAAAGGCAGGGAATTCTAAACAATTGCAACTCAAGCATAAAAGAGGTTGAGTTCAGAGAAACGTAAACAAACCATAATCTAGGATGAGGATTGTCTTCAATAAAATGATGGGCATCATTAATGCTTACTTTCTCCAGCAAATCACGAGCGTCACGTAAAGACTGTAACAAAGGGAAAATGCCAATGTCACATATAAAACGAATATAGCAATTTAATTAATGTATTTGTCATTTCTTAAGATAAGAACAAACCTTAACTTCCAAATCAATAATACAGTCTTTAGGTGGATTCTCAGGATCCTGAATAACAAGTTTAGAATGAATAAATAGGAATTTCCTGGAAAGTAAATTCTTAGAAAGCAATCATCTACGTATATACTTTCATGATCTCATCCAAAAGCACAGATTTGATTTCCAAATCGCTAAATTCACAAATGTATCCCGAACTTAAGATTGGTTCCTGTAAATAATGCAAGGGTTAATACAACTTTATGTCACTTCCTAAACAACTGTTTATGCTGGAAAAGGGGAAAGCATTAAAAAAAACCAAATCAAAAACTTGTTTTAAGATATTTTTACTGTGACACAAACCTCAGGATCAAGATTTCTGAAAACATACATTCTTGTTTTTTCCATCATGCAGAATAATTCCGAGTTATCCTGTCCAGTAAATACAAAAAATTAACTGATTAATATAATTAAATAATTATATTAACTGATTAAATAATTAATTAATTAATTATTTAAGTGCCAAAAAAATTCAATACAGTTAGGTAACATTGGTATAGAGGTATAGAATTTAGAAAGCCATGCATTGATAAATCATACATGTCTCTGCTGGGAGCACGCGCTATTATAAATTGTAAAACCTATTTCGCCGTTCAGTTGTGCAGAAATATTTACAGCATTCAGGCAGCTGGTACACTGGAAAAGACATTTCAAAGTTCCTTGTTAGAAAAATAAATGCTCTGCCTTTGAATAATAGTCTTTGCGTGGCACGAACAAACCTCATGTCGAGGAGTTTCTCTACACGTGCTAGAGGCATGAAGACATCTTATCTTAATCACTGACACGAACATATATTAAGTTAAACAGAGTTCAAAAACAATCCTCTATAGCTTACTGAAGCCCATTTCATATCCCAGCTGTCTTTGCGCTCGAACTTTAAGTGCTCCCCGCGTTGAGGGTTTCCGCTTTCGTCCGTCCGCTTTGCATCCTACACGAAAATACAAGGATCCTTAATTGATAATTTAGATGAGGAGCAATAGATTTCCTGGAAACTGTATAAAGAGATAAAAGCATAGAACACCACTTCAACTTGGGAAAATTACAACCAAAAGTATATTTCTTTGATAAAACATTGGTTTAATAAAAGAAACGAGGAGATAATTTTTTTCCAAGTAAGAAAGAACATCACTTTAATTTGGGTAACATGCAACCACAAATCTCTTCCAAATTGGAAAATTACTCAATATTAATGAAAACTCGCTAAAAAACAGAAATTTTGTACACTTTCATAAATAGAAATGATCTGATAAGCTGTTATTCTTTACAGATTGGCGAAATACGCCACGATTAAATTGAAACATCAATTCGCCAACTTACCAAATCAAAGAATGTTATCACTCCTGTTATATCAAGAATAGCAACTCGACTACAAGGAATAAAGTATGAGGAAAGATGCTTTTTTATTACTCGAAAATATAAGAATTTTGATTGTTACCTGGAATTTGAATTGAGAGAAATTTTATGTGGACGACAGTTGAGTAAGTATTTCATCTCTAAAGCGTGTTTTGGAAGTGAGTATCGATGTAATGTCCCTGACTCGCGAGCCTTCGGCATTAAAGAGAGAATGGAAAGTTTATAAGGGAGAACATCACAACCTCCCTCCCTCCCTCCCCAAGAAAAAGATATAAAATCACAATGCCGATTGCAATTTAGCAACTTACAATCAAAAGCGTTTTCTCTGTAGTACACATACAGCAAATTGGTTCTCGTGTAGGCTGTATAGAACATAAAATATAAAATGGATGTATTCATTGTTGTTGATATAAAAACAACCAAATAAAACATCATATACCTGAAAAGCATTTTTTAAATGTTTTATCCCTTCACCAGCGCCGGAGGGCACATCGTCAATATGAAACATTCTAATCAAATAACGTTTATGTATCTTTATGTAAACGTTCACTGCCATAGCAATAAAAATCTTTAAATTAAAACAATGTTCCTCCCTCTCTGCGGTTTATTTTTCTCTTATAAACTATCCGTACATTGGAGTTGCAAGATTTTGTCTGATTTTATAGTTATGCTACATTATAATGGAGGGAATGTTAAAACACCGTCAACGGTCTTAAGCAAGTCAAAAAAAAATCAGAAATCCTTACTTTTCCTTCGTCGTATTCTCCTTTCGCAATGCACTGCTATTGATGTCAAGGGAGGTCAGTTTTTTAGGAGTTTTATATTGCCAAGAAATAAACGCTTGTTGCGATGCAGCGAACACAAACGTCTTGCTCATTGCCATGAATTGTGGTTCTAATCAAAAGGATTTCTTATGACGTCAGTGATGTTTAATGACAGTTGGAAATACGCTGTTTAAAGCATTATTTACATTTTCCATCATTCTGTATGCAAACACAACATTTTCCATCATTCTGTATACAAACACAACATTTTCCATCATTCTGTATACATGTGTAGAGTAGATAGAGGCAAAACTAGACGCTAGTTGGAGGGTGACCCGAGTGGAGGTGGGTGCATATTCATATATTCAGCTCAGCTTGACTGACTTCAATTGCTTTCAAAACAAATTAGTCGGGCAGAGATAAACATGTTAAAATTTCCCCCACTCCACAATTAGAGTTCTAGCTTCGCCCTGCTTTTAGATAGTGAATATGAGCTTTATTAACGTGTCATACTGTTTCTCATTTTTAATGGAAACATTAAACTTACCAATATCAATATATCTTGCATCTAATGGAGTGCCAATAGCATTACAGAGAACAAGAACGTACTAACAAGATACAATCAACGAAAATATAAAATAAATGAACAATACTACAATGTATTAAGAAATAGAAATATAAGAAACTATTTACTTGGTCCTTGGTCTCCAAACTTTTCGTTGCTAAGATACAGTGATCGCCACACGCAGTTATTGAAAGAAGGTTCTTGACATATTTCACATAATGCTACAAAAGCAGACGCAAGCAGTCGACAAATGTTAATAGCTATTCAATATATTAAGCAATAGGCATAGCAAGAAGGGTAATGTAGATATTATACACATTTAAATCACCTCGTGATTCTTAATATCCCAAAACATCACACAATGCTCCACACGATCAGGTTTGGTGAAAGCATACACAACAGTGTTTGTCATATAGCCCCACTAAAATGAAATGAAAATATGACTCTGAGTTCTATTTAAGTTTTTACATACTCCAGTCCTGATATGGAAACTTGAGTCCATATATACTAAAGTTTAATATCTTCATAAGAAGTGATCTGACGTTGAAACTTGAGTCCTTATATACTCCAGTCTAATGTCTTCATCAGAAGTGATCTGATGTTAAAAATTAAGTTCAGTCTAGTGTCTTCATTATGAGTTACCTGATGTTAAAAGTTGCTCTTTACCAGACTCGTGTGCTTATTACGAGAAATAAGACGATAAAAAATCTTTTGCATTTCAGTGAACAAAAAACTGCGCAGTTAAATGTACTCACCATATAGTCGGGACGTATAATGGCGAAATATATAAAGGAGTCGACAGCCAAAGCTATCCTCAGTCCTCCACCTTCCCAAGAACATGCAGTCAGGTCTTTACCAGGAACTTTTAATGTACGTAGATGCTGTAAGGAAAGAGATGATTATGATTCAACATTCCTACACAAACTATTGATGAATAACGTATTACATACCTCACCAAAAGGGTTGTAAAACTGGACAACGTTCACTTCTCTGTCCTTATAAACGAAATTCAAAAATATGGTTCAACCTATTGATGAAAGTGGAAGAAAAGTATAACAACATACCTGTTGAGTAAGTTTTTGTGATCCTGCTACAGCTAATATTGATCCTGTCGTATTCCAATCAATCCCCTGTACTGTCATGTCCGTGTCGACAAGGACTGGAGCTAAGATTCATTTATTACAACAACTACGTCTCCCTACAATGTTTTATTAAAAATTCAACGAACTTACTGTCATCCATCTCATTTTTCATTATCTGCATCCTACCAATATCGAAACAGATAGCCAAAACGGGACAATTCTGTTGGATGTAGCCTTCATTACCATGATACCTGGATGGAAGTCAAGAGAGGTTGCGTTTTTCAGGTTATATTGAAAATAGACAATTACCTAAGATATTCATGCATTGTAGTGGATAGCAACTCACGCCCACAGCCACTGCGCTGGGTGGTAACTCCCCTCCACTGCTACTGTGCTGGGTGGTAACTCCCCTCCACTGCTACTGTGCTGGGTGGTAACTCCCCTCCACTGCTACTGTGCTGGGTGGTAACTCCCTTCCACTGCTACTGTGTTGGATGGTAACTCGCTTCCACTGCCACTGTGCTGGGTGGTAACTCCCCACTGCCACTGCGCTGGGTGGTAACTCCCCACTGCTTCTGTGCTGGATGGTAACTCCCCCCCCACTGCCACTGTATTATATAGTGGTCCCCCACTGCCATTGTATTAGATAGTGGTCCCCCTGCCATTGTATTAGATAGTGGTCCCCCACTGCCATTGTATTAGATAATGGTCCCCCCAATGACACTGTATTGGATAGTGGTCCCCCCCCACTGCCACTATATTGGATAGTGGTCCCCACTGCCATTGTATTGGACAGTAGTCTCCCCAATGACACTGTATTGGGCCATGACCTTCCCCTCCCTTTCAAAGACTTGAAATAAAAACATTACCAAACAATTCCAACTATTCTAGCAGCACCAGTCACATTCATCAAGCATTGTATCACGATTTTTGTCTGTTTAACACAAAAAGAAAGAAAATCATCTCTGTAGACATTTTGCATCAACGAAATATAGCACAAAGCATTATAACATATATAATATCATCAAGCGTGCTTTCAGGGGCGGATTATCCAGCAGGCTGAGTAGGCTTAAGCCTACAGGCCCGGGCTTTCAAGAGGCCCGTTGTATCTGGACACAATTAGGATTTGAACGTTTTTGCTATTCCGGGCTAACTAAATGTGCTTAACTTAGATTATTCATGCTGTTGAAAACCTTACATGCATATGAATGCAGAGGAAAAATGGCTTTCGTACTATCTACTGTTCAAATGCACAATGCTCAGAACTCACGAAGTATTGACTTTTCCTATTTCCCTCACCATGTCTATGATTTTTGAAATTTCGTTTTAACTCTAAAATGAATTCTTTCATATTTTTTTACCCCATGGGGTTACTAAGAGGAAATGCAGTGCAAAGGAAAACTGAACTAAGTGGGAGGAATAGATATCGCTTAAAGGCCTCAAAACTTTGTCTTAGCCTAAAGGTCCCGTAATTAGTAATTCGCCAGTGCGTGCGATTACTTTGAGATACGTTTGTATTCTAGTAAAATTATAAAGTCAAATCAACGAATGTGTTTTTTTCAATGAAATACGAAGTACATGAAGATGTAATAAATTAAAAACACAATTCAGATTGTCACAATTTTATCGAAAGATAATCATGCCAGCATTCAGTGAAGTTGGTCTGAAAGCAGAAACTTTTTTGTTGTCATTACGATATAACTTAAAACATACTTTATTATTTCACGTGATTTTGACGTACAGTCGATTAAAGAGAGAAAAAATATAATAAATCACACAAAACGCACGACATTAAAATGATTTGCGTCAAAATATTCGTCATTTGGGAATCTAAAGTTGAGATGGCAAAAAACGTGGATGATTACACACATTTTAACTCGTGTTTTTAGGTCATTTTGGCCATAATGCTTTGCCGTTCAACATAAAACAATTCACATTGCATCTTCTTTTATCTTTGCAAGTACGTATCCTTTGAAAAACAGACAGTTCAACATTCCTGTGTTCTGTTGAAAAATGCACTTACACAATAGTTTCCTTGGGAATCATATACTTGAACTTCTCCACTTGTTGTGCCAAACAAGATGCTTCTACCATCAGATGACCACTATGAAAAAAATAACAGAGTATTAATCTAAAAATGCAATAGATATGAATTTTTACTCAATACTTACTTCAACACTAGAAAGTTGTAGTTTGATTTCCTTTCCCCAAATTCTGTTTCCATCAACTGAACCAACAATGACAGCACCTATAATTGTTCAAAACTGATGAAATAAAGAAACAGAAATGTGCCTTAATGACATAGTGTTTTGTGCACTTACCATCTTCATAGATGATACAAATTTTTTGACCATCAGCATTCCACTTCATATCTTTAACAACACTTTTGTTACGATTATTAATCATCTCTTCATACCATGCACCTGTTTTCAACATCATAATTATTCAAAACTGGAAGATAACTCAGTTTGGAATTAATCATATTGTCGGCAATTTAATGGCTCAAATCCTGCCTGGACAAAAACTTAAGGACCTTCAGCATTGAGAGAAGGCAATGAATTCTCCACATGTTTCCTGAGTTGCCAATTAAATTTCAGTACATAAATTCAATAGTATACAAGAGAGGTGCTATTACACTACATGACGTAGCAAAGTCATCACCAAAATCTACAATAAACATGTCTACACCTTTATAGAGAATCCAGACAATTATCATTCCATATTGATCACTGCTTGTTAACTTTTGATGATAATTGTTCCATGTTACAACTTGAACAGATCCTACATATAACAAGAAAAAAATTAAAACTGTGACATAAGACTCTCTAATGACTTGTGCAATGGGCATAGTGACAAAATACGCTTCTATGATGCTCTATCAAGGAAAATTTTATTGAAATGACGAGGATTCTGAGAAAAGCCATTCAGCTCTGTTATCTCCAACAAAACTCTGTTGTGATACTTAACTACTTACCAGTATGTCCTTCTAATGTTTGGTTCATTGAGAGGTTACTTGGTGCTGCCAAACCTTTGAATTTGCTATTTTTATCTACAAAGACAATTTAATGCAAGGCAAAGCTTTTATTTGTAGAACTCAAACGAAGTTTTTGTATTAAGAGCATTTAGAAATAATTTTAGTGATAGACTGTGTCGGACTATGTGTTGATTTCAGAAATAAAAGCAGGATAAGGCAAATCTAACAATAAAATGAACTAGTGTATAGCAAATGATTAGAACAGAAATAAAATAAAAACAACAGTGAAGCATTCACAACATTTCAATGATTTCATCGTCAATAAGTTTATTAATAAACCTTGCTGTATGTCCAATTTCAACAACTTCAAAAGACCATCTTCGCCTCCACAAGCAACATATCCATGACTGGTATTCCATGAAAGACAATGTAGTTTTGTATTGTTTGGAATTGCAATCTATGAAATAAAATACTCGATTTTTTCACATTTGTTCGTTGCTTGCTTTCAATGTAGTCGACGGAAAAAAGCGGTATAGCGTGCTATTAACATACCTTCTTACTTAAATAAATAAACATTTTTAAAGAAAACTCCTATTAGAAAAAATTCTTGAGTATTTAAAAGAGTTGAAACTCTTTCAAAGACTATTGTGTACATGTAATGATGTTGTTTACTGTCGCCTTGGGAAACAGCGCCATCTTTGTTATAACAGTCCTGGTCAAGTCATTGTGGTACAAAGATCAGTGTAAGCATTCTCGTAAAAATTAAATGCTCATTTCTGCATGAACTCCCCATTACATGGCCAGAAAATAGATGGAAGAAAATTATTCATTCTCTCTTCCTTCGTATATCTATTCTTTTTTATTTAGATAACCTACATACGTTTGTTTCTGTTGTATTATTTGTATAATGTTATTATACTGTGGAAAAATTTAGAACGGTCAGCAAACTGCAAACGACAGCAAACTTTCGTCATTTCAGAATTACTTCATTTAATTCACATGTAATAAATTTATGCACTTGTTGGGATTGCATCATGTAAACAGTTGTTTCATAATAACAATTTTGAAAAAATGGTAAAAAAAACAAAAGCAGTGTAAAAACTTGTTTGCTGTATGACAGAACATCACATGAAAGCCAGAGAGGATGCAGGCAGTTTTCGTAGCTTTTTTCGTCATGTCAAATACGAACACTTGTTGGCAGGTCTTTCGGGAGGCGTTTGTTCTACACTCGCCTTACATCCTTTAGATGTCATTAAAGTCCGATTGCAAGGTACAATAATCCAAACTGGCGAATGCAGATGTTGCAACAACATTGACTGAAGGATGTTTAACATCATCAGCATTTTCCCTATTGTTGTATTTTATTTTATAGCATATGATGGAGTGAATTCTGACCCTCATAGATCATATAGTGGACTTCGTCATGCGTTCCGTAGCATTTACATGGAACATGGATGGAAGGGCTTTTATCAAGTACAATTTTGCATTTATAATAATGGACTTTCATTTATGATGATTAGAGAAAGTATTTGATAAACATATTTTACAACTGTTTAACTGAACTTGTATGAATGGCATAATGACAAATAATGGCATGAATACCGAAGGACTGAAAGAAGTTAACATTGATTCAATGTTAACTGTTGAAACTACTTGTACTAAATTTTCTTGAACATGCAAAGTTAAGAAAACATATAATGTTGCTTACATTTTTAATCTAGGGAGTGATACCAAATCTGTGGGGAGCTGGTCTTGCTTGGGGGCTTTATTTTTTTGGGTAAGTTTTCTTCTTTTGTTGTAATGTAAAGCAATAATGAAATTCTTGAGTCATGAAAAACACAATTTCCAGCATACACTTTTTTCTTTTAGTTTCAATTTTTTGAAAGATGCTATAAAAGGAGACAAAAGACAAACACTAACAGCTAAGGAACATTTAATAACAGGCATACTGACAGGTATGCTTCATTTAATATCAGTGAAATATTTTGTTTTGTCTCCACACTTTATTCATGTATGCATTCAGGTGCTGGCACTCTTAGCCTGACCAATCCGATATGGGTTACCAAGACAAGGTTGATTGTACAAAATGATTCAGCCAACCATGCATCAAAATCCACTCATTATCATGGAATGATAGGTAGTGTTGAGATTTACATTAGAGTAATAAGACATCACCATTGAAACGTACATTTATTTTAGATACATTAATAAAAACATGGAAGCACGAAGGAATTCAAGGCTTGTACAAGGTTACTTTTGCAACGTATAAAATTGCTTGTAGTATTTTGATAGTTGATAAATTCATGATTTTGATGAATTTATTGAACCATTGAGTCACTTATAGGTAGACTTTCTTAAAGTTGGTTTCCTTACCATCATAGGATAAGTAAGTTTGGGAGAAACAGGGTTTCTATATATATATGAAATTGAACCTCTTTGTAGGGTTTTTTACCTGGCCTGTTTGGAGTATCCCATGGTGCACTGCAGTTTATGGCTTATGAAGAACTTAAGAAATTTCATAGTTCATATTTTGGTACACCAGTTGACAAGAAATTGGTGAGCATTCATAAATTTACATTTAAAACAATAAGGTTTATGGCTTTACCAGATACAAAAGAATATAATGTAGTTCTTCCAGTGACTTACTTGTCATTCAGCAGTTTACTTCTTTACTGTGGTGTTTTGTAGAGTTCCTCTGACTATATTGTAATGGCAGCTTTATCTAAAATATTCGCCAGTGCTACAACTTACCCTTATCAAGTGGTGCGAACAAGGTTACAGGTAATAATTAAAGTGAATAGTTTGAATATTGTCACCTGCATTTAGATGTTGATCATCTAGGTCTCCCTGTTGGTGTTGACTATAGTTTTGACATTCTTATGGGTAGACTTTTTCAAAGTCAAGTGACTAGCTGTTTCCCTAAGATCTCGAAACGCATGATGAACATCTAATAAAATGTAACAGATTATTATTGTTATTATGAGTAATCCTACAATCTTATATAAGAAATGTTCACTATAAAGTAAATGGTTCACTATTAACCAGTAAAAAGTTCACTATTAACCTGGACGATCATCATTTACAAACATAAAATGTTCACTATAATAAGAATGTCGATTTCTTACGTTATTAGTTATAAGAATCAAATGTTGATGTGGCAATGTGATGATATGAATTATGTCAAGGCTCAAAGCAACTTTTTATCTGCCATATTTCTTCTATAGGATCAATATAATATCGAACGTTATAATGGAGCTTTGGATGTGGTGATCAAGACCTGGCGGTTGGTGTTTATTCATTCTTAACCATTAATTATTTATCAGCAATTTAAATATGTGCTGCACATATTTCATCGTAATTATTTCAAACCTAATGAATGACGATTTTGAACCGGCCTTTTAATGATACCCCGTACTTCTTTTGAACGAAGCTACTCGTCTCTTGTCAAAAACAAAACGTTTCTGGTTTAAATATAAGCTCATTATTAAACCTATCCTGATCCAAATTACGTTTATTTTGCGACATTGTTTTTTAGATTTGAGGGATTTCGTGGATTCTATAAAGGGCTATTCCCAAATTTGCTCAGGTGATGCTTCGATTTATTGCACCTTTTATAAAAGACTATAATTGTCTGTATGATAATGACGTCATAGATGTCATATTCTTCCTTACCAATATAAGTGAAACCATTTCTTTCTTTCTTTTCATCGATTTTCTTTCCAATTTAGAGTGACTCCAGCTTGTTGCATCACATTCGTTACATATGAGAATGTTCTTAGTTTGCTTCAAAGTGAAAATAAATAGAGAAAAACAGTTTTGAGTTTTTTGTTTTTAAACTCACAGTTCTTACAATATATTCTTGCGCAAGTTAATTTTTACTTTCAACTGCACTTATTAGAAAATGCGGTGACAAAACGTTCACAAGAACATTAATTGTGCTATTTGCCTAAATTTGGCGTTCTGACCAGGGGCTAGCTTTAGGGATGACGGTCATGTAGAAGGTTGACAAAATGGTAGACATTAAGGTGGACGGAAAGAAAGGTACAAAGATAGATATTAAAGTTAGATATTAAAGTAGACGAAATGGTGTACACAAAAGTAGACACAAAAGCAGACATAAAGGTAGATATAAACGTAGACATAAATATATACATAAAGGTAGAAAAACTGTTTGATACTTTAAATAGGCACAATTTGTGCAAGTCTAAGTTGAAATAAGCAGTGTTTTTCAATGGATTGCTTTTGCATCTGATCTTGTTTGACCGAAACCTAAATCATTAAGTTGCCGTATTTAATGGAGTGTTTACTTCTCCAATTTTGCAGGTATGAAAAATAGACAAAGGCTTAAACCTTTAACGACTTAATGCCATTTGTATGTAAATTTGTCTAAATTACGGAGAGCTTTTTGAGAAAACGACTTTATTACGTAGATTAGTGAGCTTTTAAGTTGACGATATTTAAGTCAACAATGGCGAAAAGAATATTACCCTGAAAGGTGAACTGCAAACGTGATTGGTAGTTTTTTGGTTGTGTTATAGACAATCAATCACAAAGCTTAATTCATACTCACGTATTGGTTTTAATGCATTGGTACAATTCATAACAAGGTCTACTAATGAGAAATGGCTCGAAGAGAAATATTTATGGTTTGGGAAAGCAATTGTCGAAATATTTTAGACGAACTGTCTTCGCTACCAGAAAAAATGTTGGATGACATTAAGCTGCGTGTATTTTTACGCAAAGACACACCATTCAACAACCGTCCACGGAAAGAAAAGTGGATAGATATTTACGATACATTCACGACAGCTCCATACGCTTCTTACACAACATTGGTAACTTTTTTAGTCAAATACTTCAGGCATCTTGCTTTCCTAAGCCCTCTAGGAACGGACGGCGAAGATAAAGTAGAGCTTTATTTTGAGCCAATGGAATTTTATTTCATTGTCGATTCAGACGAAGAGCGAAAGTATGATGAATTAGTGGCAATATTGACTCAAGAGTATGCATCATCTGGGGTGAGATTTTTTATAGTAAATGGACAAACTGAACACTTGCCAAAAATTTTTGGCTTCGAGTTTTGTAAAATTTGCTGCAAATCGTTTGAAAGCGACGAAATGTTACAGGCGCATAACGTCAAAATGCATAACATATTTTGTGAAAACGAGCTCTGTCCAAAAAACAAATCCCCATTTAGAAACATGGAGGAATATTATAGGCATAAAAGCATGCAAACCAAATGTTTAAAATGTGGCGAAAACAGTCCGGTATTTTGCAAGGTCAGTGATAAAATACAACACATGCAAATTGTTCACGGACAAGAGGACATTTCACAGAATACATTGTCATGCGACTTTTGTCCAAAAAAAGTATTCACGAGCCAAGAACAACTAGACACACACATGAAAAACACACACAAGAAATGCAATTGTGGATGTGCCATGTATTTTGAAACACGGGAAGATTACTTAAGACATTTCTACACAGTTTATCCGCTTGCGTGCTATGAGAATAGAAAATGCCCTCATCGCTTTAAAACAGTCATTCATCAGGCGGCACATCACGAAAGTATCCACAATTCCAAATATCCGTATTACTGTGTGGTATGTTTCAAGCAAAACGGCGGACGCCAAGCGCAAACGTGTGTATTCAAAGACAAAAGTTCTCTAGAGAATCACGGGAGGCTCATGCGCCACAGTGATGAAGAGATGTTTCTGGTCTTCTCTACATCATGCAAACCTACGGCAAAAAGTTCTGCCATTAATTACTGCTAACTAACACATTTTCGCATGCAGGAACAGCATAATTCATTGGATGTGAAGTATTGTAATTCAGTTATTGGTTGAATAAATAAGGAATCACGAAGCGATCATATGGCAATCTCTCTGTATAATGAAAAAAGCAAAAAATTTGTAGAAGTTTGACATAATTAAACCCTGCAATGTTGGTAGGTTACTTTAAAGGACAGATGCTAAACAGAGCATTAAATTTTCACTTAATGGTTGTATGTAACAATAATATTGTATATGAAAGTTTTGAGAATCTTCAGGTACTCAACATTCTACTCTTGTATATGAAAGTTTTGAGAATCTTCAGGTATTCAACAATCTACTTGAACCAGATTGTCATAATCCCACATGATGTTTACCAGAAATCTAACTGAAAGATGTTTTTCATTGGGCATTTATTCATAGCTACTTTGTCACTTCTATTTACTATTGTATATTCATGTTTGTAATTAGAGATATAGCTATTTTTATTCAAAAGTCAATATCCAAGTGTTTGCTTATGTTTGCGTATTAGACACGGAAAGCCACTCTCATATAGTGTTCAAATATTCAGAGCAGAAAAACAGTGAAAATGTGTTGTTCATCGACAAATAATGCAAGTGAATGATTTGAACATTGGAGTATCGTTACATGTTGGTAGATATAGATCGCCACAGCCCTCCCTAAAATTCCTTTTCAACCTGCAAATACTCCTCCACCCGCAATTCAATTAAAGAATACATATATACGTGTGTACCATGGTGTGTACATTTAAGTCCACGACCTAAAGTTATTAAACTTTAGTCAAAACCAGCATAACAATAGCCCTCCTCAGGACTCAACTAACCTGGACGATCTACATCTACAAACATGTAAACAATGCATTGCAAGCCTATATCTAGGTTGCTAAACAAGAAAGCCGTTATTTCAATGACCGGTTTTAGCGAAGTTGGAAATCGTCAAAATCTTGTAAATGACAAATAAGCCAACAATGGCTTCTAAAAAGATTGAACGAAAAATTTATCAACTTCTGTAAAACCAGCCCGGGTTAAGCTCAAACAATAAAAACATATGTGCTCCACAAATTTCACTATCGTGAATTAATTTCTTCTTCCCGCAATCAATATGCTTTGCCATAAAGAGATTCGCGAGAATTAACGCTAAAATCATTCGAGGCAGACAAATCCTGACGCTGGACAAATAGTTCTTCCACATCCTCCAAAGACTTTCCTTTCGTTTCAGGAAGAAAAATGAAAATGTAAACAACACAAAGGAAGCAAACAGCGGCATAAAACCAGTAGCAACCGTAAGAATGGAACTTTTCTTTCATATCGACAAACGATTTTATTACGGTAAACACACTCAACCAATTTACAACGGTCACGATACCGCCTGCAACACCGCGAGCTTTTGAGGGGAATATCTCGGACATTAGGACCCAGGGAATTGGACCCAAACCCAAAGAGAATCCAATCACGAAGCAACACAATGAAATAACCGTAACAACTTTGGGGAAATGATTTGCGTAATATTCCGATAACCCTAGAGCTACCATACTGATACACATAAGTGCAGTAGGGAACAGCAACAGCAAACGTCGTCCCAGCTTATCCACGATTAAACATGATATTGCTGTAGCTACAAACTGGATAAGCGCTACAGTAATTTCGGCGAGATTGGAATTTTTGATACCTGCATCGCCAAGGATGATTGAGGCATATGACAAAACTGCGTTGATACCACTGAACTGTTGAAACAACATTATCAAAATGACGACAATCAATGGACGATAGATAAGCGGTTTTTTTAGCTCAACTAATGACATGGCATCGCTGCTTTCTGAAAATTATTGAATCAGAATAAAACAATTTTACCAAATGATACAGACATAAAAAAACTAAAATAATCAAACATTTTCACCATAAAATATACTTGTCAAATCTAATCCCTCACCTAGTCAAATCTAACCTCTCAACTACTAAATCCATCATCTACTGTACGTATTCATCATCTCTCACCTACTCAATCTCAGCCACTCATCTAGTCAAATCTAACCTTTCACCTACTAAATCCTTATCCATCATCTACTGTACTTAAACATCATCTACTGTACTTATTCATCATCTCTCACCTACTCAATCTCAGACACCCATCTAGTCAAATCTAACCTTTCACCTACTAAATCCTTATCCATCATCTACTGTACTTAAACATCATCTACTGTACTTATTCATCATCTCTCACCTACTCAATCCCAGCCACTCACCTAAGCTATGTCGAATCTCTTCATGTTCTTGTCTGCATTTGTACTCAGATGCATTTCTTAAGAACATTAAAGAATCGTAGGCATCTCTGAATCTTTTATTTTTGATAAGCCAGCGTGGAGTTTCTGGAAACTGAGTCATTAATAATACCATTGCAGATGGTGGAACAGCTGCTGTTACAGCTAACCAATGCCAGTTCAAACTGGCACCAAAACAGTAAGCCAAAAGAATACCAAATGTTACTCCCAACTGGTTAGTACAACCAAGTGCTCCACGGTATTTTGCAGGTGCTATTTCAGCAATATAAACCTAAAAACAAAAAGCCTATCAACTCAAGCAATCACAAAGTCATTTATGTCCTTGCTTCCCAAGTTTTTCAGTGAATTGCACCCCTTTACGTTAAAATCATTAGTAAGGATTCTTCATCTCTCATTAGAGAAAAGGAGAAAAAATATTGAGAGGTGAAAATCCAATAATTTTATTAATTTTTAACAAAACTTACAGGAACTGACAAAGAGACAACACCAACACCTATACCAGTAAGAAATCTTCCGAGATAAAACAATTCAATGTGTTTGACAGATATGATGAGAATCCAGCCAGCAACCATTGGAAATGAAGACATCATTATGTTGCACCTACGTCCAAACTTGTCAATTGTGCGAAGGCCAACCAAAGCACCAAATATGGCACCAATAGCAGCAATGGCCTGTTTAAATAATTTACATGAATGTTTTTAAGGAAAACATCAATTGGCTACATTTCCCCCCTTTGACCAGCATCTACAACTAATATGTCATAATTATGATCCCAATCTAATGCATATTTCCGTCAAAAAAAAGATTTGTAAAAACATAGTAGATATCATGGTTAACGCCAATAAATAAATACAATATATTTCTCCTATAATTCTATATAAAAAAAACTTACATTAAACCAGGATAACTGCTGTGAACTCCAATTCAATTTGCTTTCGAGATGCTTTTCAACAGGCGAGGGGTAGCCCATTACAAAACCAAATGCAATCGCTCCAAGGCAGGCCGTGAATGTTGCGCTTACTACCTTGACTGTCAAACGATTTGGTGTGTTACCAGTATTGGTCAAATGTTGATATTCTTCACCACTTTCAACAGAATTGACGCGCATTTTTGAACTTTTTCAATGCTCAGTAACTTTTTTAATGTAAGTATGGAAGAATAATCAGCATCTATCGATTTTTAGAATGAAAATTATGCTGTCAAATATAATTATCGCACCCACTTATTTAACAATCATGTGAGTGATTTTTGAAAACTTCATGTAATTAAAATGCAGCAAATCGATCAACTAGTTTTACCGGTTGCGGTTGCAACTGTCATAACTTACAGTAACCGCAGTAACATCCAAAATAAAAAACACCCTTGACGCAAAATAAAAAACATCATGCCGAAATCATGTCTATCCGACAGAGGTAAAGAGATCAAGTTTCTTATAACAATCCATGTTAACATACTAACATATTTTGTCTTTCATTTTTTGCTATATTGCAAGGAGCCAACTTTGATTTGCAATTCAGACTGTGCCTTACTAGAAAAACCCACTTCCCGAGCAAAATCCGAGTAAGAATTACATAGTAAATTACAGTTAAAAGTAGTTACTAAAAACCTCCAGTAATAACACACATGGAACATCAACCAAAAAACTGTTTTTATACTGGTAACAGCTCACCAACAGGTGTGACATGTTTAATCTAACATACCAAAAAAGGAGGAAATGTTTCATAACATTCACATCGTTGCACATGTAGAGATAACCCATCGTTACATCCATAACTCGTGAACAGAATTATATTATAATTTATAGCTCATGTTGTAATAATTATATATGTAATCATACAGTGTAGGTTCAAAAAGAGGGATATTTTTGTAATATAAAACGGCATTCCTCATCTTGAAGCAAATTTTTAATAGTATAATAATATAATTAGAATAAATAACAATGGAATGGTTACACATTGAATGTGATAATCATAGCATGGCCATATCATAATTCTCTTATTTTTTTGACTCATTTGTAATTTTGACTCGGAACCACCATGTTCTATGGAACATTATACAAAACTTTTACTTGAAACAAACAACATTGACATAAATAAATGCAACAAGAATAAAACATTTTCGACGCGTTCTATCTTTCTTACGGTTGAAAAATTATTAAGCAGTACCGTACGGTGAACTGGAATCTTCATGAGCTAGCAAACCCTTACGCCTGCCCTTGAAGAGTTTTTCTACCTCTTCCAATGTTTTACCTTTGGTTTCTGGTAGGACGAAAAACACGTAAACAGCAGATAAACAGCACACAGAAGAATAGAAAATGTAAAGACCACTAACGCCGAACGAAATTTTCATTCTCACGTAGAATTTCACTACAAGAAAATTACACAGCCAATTGATGGCAGTCGCGAGACTAGTCGCCCTTGCCCTGATCCTCGTCGAAAGTACTTCGGACATTACTGTCCAGGGGAGTGGTCCCCAGCCTATGGAGAAGCCAATGATGTAGAGACATAGAAATACCATAGTGAACTCTTTGGGAATTTTTTTGTAATGTTCACCAACTCCCAACATTACCATGCTTATAGACATTACAGCCCCTGGAACAATGAGCAAAATTCTTCTGCCAACTTTATCCACAATTAAGCAAGAAACAGCAGTGGCAATAATTTGCATTACAGTAAGCGAAATCTCAGCAACTTCAGGATTCGATATTCCGGCATCGTCCAACATGATCCTAGCGTATGAAAAGACTGCATTTATTCCACTAAACTGTTGAAAGACCATTAGAATGGAGGCGATCAACAACGGTCGATACACCGATGGTTTTTTGATTTCACCCATCGTCATTGGCTCGTAAGTGTCTGAATTGATGAAAAGACATCTTTAATGATGTTGAATCAATTTACTATCTACTTTTGACACGCAAACTTACAAATTAATATTAGCTTTAAGTTCATTCGTCCTTTCATAACTGTTTGTAGTCATGTAGCTTAATGTGATCTACTCAACCAGTGCAATGTATACTTCAATCTTAACCTATTAATAAGTTTAAAATTGTTTGTTTTACAAATGGGTACAACTGAACATTCTGGTTAATTTTTGAGCTGAAAAGTTGATGTTTATGTGCAAAGTCATCGTAAGGCAAACTAACGTCTACTTTACATACCTAACGTCGCTCTTATTTCTTCCGCTTCCAGCTGGCACTCGCGGTAGGAGGTTCCTCTAAGAAAAAGAAGCGCAAGACAGCCTTCGTGCATTTTACCATGCTGTATCAACCAACGTGGTGTCTCTGGAGAAAACATCATAAAGATAGCCATCAAGGCAGCAGGAAATATAGCTACTATGGCCAACCAACACCATGAAACAAACGCACCAGTCACGTAAGCCAAGAGAAAACCAAATGTTACACCCAGTTGATTCATATTTGACAAAGAACCGCGATATTTTGCCGGAGCTATTTCTGCGATGTAAGTCTGAAGAAAAAACAAAATGTATCAAGCCTGGTTTTCTTTATCTTTTTTTCCAGAGGTGTTCAGCTCCGTTTTCTAAAATTTTGCTGTACATAAAATATGCTGTTTACTTGTCTTTTGGTCAGATTTAGGCTCATAGCAATGAAATATTTCTACAGTCATGAGTTATTCACATACAATCAAGAGGATTAGTAATCAATACGACAAAACACACCGGAACTGAAGTTGTCTCGATTCCAAGACCAAATCCGGTCAAAAATCGTCCGATGAAAGCCATCCAAGTCCCTTGGGCGCTTCCAATCAACACCCAGGATGCACAAAGAGGAAGAGTACACAACATAATGTTAAATTTTCGACCAAATCTTTCAACAGTGATGCGGGCAATCAAGGCGCTGATCAATGCTCCCAGGCATAAAATGGACTAAAATGAATAAAAGATTTATGAGTGAAATTCCAAGCAACCGTATCTGCATTTTTATTGTGATTGCCATGTTTAAAAAAGAACTGCGAATTTTTTCACTTAACGTGGGCTCAGAAAATGTTCTTGTCGTTAGGATTTTAATTTTCGTGGTTTATGGTTGAAACTTTATAGGTTTGATAGCCTGCCAAGAGACGTTTCTACAGAGCTATGAACACATTTACATTTGAGTTTCCTTAAGGCATCTCTTCCGTTGAAAAAGGAACACCCAGATTTCCAACAGCCCGATAATTTACTGCAGCAAAAACACATCGTCGTTTTTTGAGAGTTCTACATGTCATCCTTGCCTTCTTTTTCTTAGTGCGCAAACCAAGATTCCTTGAATTGGCATGTGATCTCAGTAGCAAATAGAAGGTCAATGAAAAGCAGGTCAAAGGTTTCAACTCGTGAACAACCTTAGTCAAGTATAGTAAAGGTTGTAAATAAATGTGTATACACAATTACACGTTAACGACGGAACATTATCATTAACTTCATCATGACTTAACCATTGTCTTGTTCATTCTTATGCACGCCAAGTAAATACTTTATAGGAAATTAAATAAACAGAATTTAACCAAATAACCAATCATATATAAATGGATAAAAGCAAACTACGACATTAATTAGCTAAGTTAATAACTTCTACTTACATTAAACCATGTTAGTTCTGTATCACCCCAATGGAAATCATGTTTCAATTGTTTTAACATAGGTGAACTATAGCCGATGGCATACCCAAACGATACAGAGCCGAACAGGCAGTCGATGTTGCCAAAACTTCTTTAACGGTCAGTTTACTCATTCGTTCTTCGTAAATATTGCTCTGGTACGCTTCATCCTGTATTGAATCCTCCTTGCGATAATTTGACTCGGAGAGCACCATCGGTTTCATTTCGAATGCTGTGCAGCTTTTTGTATGGCCTTTGTTTGGTACTGACGAACTCAGTGAAATTGCCCACAACAAAGTTGTTCATCTCCTGGTTCTGTTTTAAATAGTAAGATCCCGCGTGATTTAAATTTTGCACTGCAAAACTCAGCTTCTGATCACATGAAAATTCCTTTTTTTGGCAAAGTATTTTATAAAAACTTCCATTTATATCGTAATCAATGTCGTAATAAATTATGTCATAATATTTCCCCGATAATTTAACCACAGTCTCATTAATTAGAACAACTTACGAGCTCTATAGAGATAAATCCACGAATAATATGAAAACCAAACAACTTTTACATGAGAAGGACCATTATTGAACAATTTTATACCATTAACAGGAATAAGATCCTGTTCTTGTGAAGTTGATAATATTTTGTTTGACTTTGTCCCTGGATCATGTGATCAGGGTCTGGGTCTATAACACATCGACGATTCCTTTAACATGTGTGTTCCAGTCAATAGTACAAAGGCGTGATGTAACGCTAAAATTTTTTGAGTATTTGTTCGGGGTGGATTATGATGTATGTTTAAATACAGACGTTAAAATCGCAGAGTTTTGTCAATTTGATATTTTCTTAAGATTGGTGGTGAATAACGTTTTCCTGAAACACGTGCGCAAAAATGCTTAAGAGTAAACAAAAATCATGTGGATATATTTATGCATAAAACGAAAGGAAGGTCAACGAAAGGCAGGTCTAGGGTTGCAACTCGTGAGTAAGTATAGTTCAACACACCACCAAGCGCTGCCTCTAATTAAACATGTAAACATGTTTATACATTTATGTATAAAACAAAAGAAAGGTCAACGAAAGGCAGGTCTAGGGTTGCAACTCGTGAGTAAGTATAGTTCAACACACCACCAAGCGCTGCCTCTAATTAAACATGTATATATATTTATGTATAAAATGAAAGGAAGTTCAACGAAAGGCAGGTCTAGGGTTGAAACTCGTGAGTAAGTATAGTTCAACACACCACCAAGCGCTGCCTCTAATTAAACATGTATATATATTTATGTATAAAACGAAAGGAAGTTCAACGAAAGGCAGGTCTAGGGTTGCAACTCGTGAGTAAGTATAGTTCAACACCACCAAGCGCTGCCTCTAATTAAACATTTAAGTTTTGAAAGTATATTTTGCACATCGCAGACAGAATACTTTTACAGCTTAGATAAGAAAGTGTGCAAAATTTTGGTCGAAACAATGAAATGATACAATCTACTTAATACTAGGAAAAGCTGATAAAAAATGTTAGGAAAAGCTGATAAACATATTGGTTGGACTACTATGAACTGTCACATGTTGTTCCAGATGAATCTGCTGCACGTAAAAGTCGAAAAATAAAATTCCTTACAGAAAGAATAAGCGAGAAACGAGCACAGATGAAAATTAGTTCAATGTTCACAACAGATCTTAACAGATTCACTGGTGACATATGAGACGCAAGAATTCCAATGACATATGTGTTTATGCCAAATGATATTGCTTAGTTATAGTAAATTTACGATTGTATGTCACAGACAGAATTATCTTAATGACAAATGCATCTAAGGCCAGTTTTACTATGCGAAAAGCATTTGGTTTGACTGAAAATAACTTGTTCAAAACATAAAAATTCCTTCGAAGTACTCAAAAATTGGTTCAACATACTCGAAAAATGGTTTAAAGTGCTCAGCAATTAATTTGAAATACTCAATATTTGGTTTGAAGTACTTAACAACTGATTTAAAGTTTTCGTAATTGGTTAGATAGTACTCTAAATCTCAATAAAAATTACTACATAAAATTACCATCCAAAATTAGACACTGTTTTAAATTGTGATTATATCATCAAACGTGACATAAGCATTTATCCTAACATGATAATAGGACAAAGGTCGTTGCGTATTAAAGTTTCGTGACTTCAACTACAGTTTACAAGAATTGATGGCAGCGTATAGGAGAAGACGTACTGTAAAAACGGTTTTGAAAAACTAATGTTAAAATTTAACGGTAAACATTTTTATTTACCCCACATAATAAAGTAGCAATATTTGATCAATCATTTGCTAAGCAGTACAATAATGCCATGTTTCCATTCAAAAATACTATGAATAACATAATAAGATACATTAAGATACTTTAGGTTAACGACGACCAGGCTCGTGAGGTCAGTAACGTGAGAAGTGATCAACATTTTGTACCATATGTTGATCAAATATATAAATGCGTAAGCACATATTTGTATGAAAGCAACTATTTCTTGCGCACATACGACAATTTAAGTATACTTCCACCATTTCATAAACTGCTAAATCTTAAGTGAAATTTTTTAACTTTTGTTGTTTATCGTCAAATTGAGCTCTTTCTCCAACTGTCTCACAACGCGATGATTCATGAATAATAACTTTATAAGAAAAAGGGCAAAAACACGATTCATCATGCATGCAATGACATACAAAGCAAAAGACGATAGCATGAAAATATAATTTTGCGTTTAACACATACGATACAAAAGGACCGAGTAGAGACCGGGTCCAATAGACCGCATATTACATAATACAGTGACATTGCACAAAATACATATGTGGCAAAGATTTTAATTGGCTGCAATTAAAGCTCACCTGACCCGATGGCAAAAAATGGTGAAGAACCGCCTCCATTCTGTCTGGTTTCAAGACAACCTACAATCATAGAAAAAAATTGATTGAGAAACTTTACTAGCTCATTATAGCGCAATTGTCACTTGTGGAAAGGAATCAGTTTTTAGATCTTTGCACTGATCTAATACTTTAAATGTAAAGTAGCTATTTTGATTGGTTAACATACCTCATGTGGACGTTCCAATAAATTGCAATGCTGTTGTGCAAACTTTAATATTTTCACTAAAATTGCCTCAGCCATGATTCTGTTCTCATAACGCTCGCAAATCATTCCCATACCACAACTATAAAAAACATCAAAAACATAAATGACTAACAATTTACAAATAAGTTATATTTATCAAATAGGATAATCATAAAGTATCATGGATCTCTTTACAATGCTCTGGGAATAAGCAGTTTATTCATTCACAAACTATCAGAAAACTCATCAGAGCATGTGTAGTTAGTTTATCCAAGCATGTGAAGTCCACTTCAACAATTGAGTTCACAGTCATAGCAATGACCAACTGGATGAACTTGCATTACTTTTGCATTAACTAACTCACTTAGTCACAAATTATCAGGAAATTTAACAAAACAATATAGTGCAAAGTTGCCTAGAAAGTGCAAGTTATTTTTACCTTTTCTGTACTTTCCAAATGACTATTTTCTCTGTGGTAAATGGCTGTGCAGGATAAAGTCTAATAACAAAATTGATTTTATGACATCAACTGGATGATTTCATGATAACCACAGAATTTTATGACCCTCACCTGAAAATACCAGATGTCATTGCTGTGTTAGGCCTAAAGGCAAAATTATGATGATAATTAAACTCCATGAGTACTAACACTGCAAAAACTCAAATTTAACAGTATTTTACAGACAGATGTGCAGAACAAGTTTAGAATTTAATTTAACTCAATGTTAACAAAACAATTTATTATGATCTTCATTATGCTCCAATCCTTGGCAATACAAACATATTTACCAACCCAGTATTTTTAGCCAGCTCACCAGCATTTGAAATAGAAGTATTAACTGCACCACGGAATGAGAATTCTGACTGAACTTTTGATGCGACAAATGCAATGTTTTTCTTGTTTATTTCTCGTTGATCATCAGCTAAAGCATTGCCTGAAACCTGAGTTTGTGTAAAATTGAACTAAGATGGTATTTATGGTAGGGAGGAGAGGGGGGTGATCACTATGTTTATGGACCAACTTAAATTGTAGTTTCTGTGTTTGATTGAAAAGCACACAATTTATGGCAATCCCACTTTCTGTCCTCTATCAGTTTCTGGGCCAACTTTTCATACAAAATTTACAAAAGCCACGTACAAAATGCACCCTTGAAAGTCTGCTGAAGGTTATCATTATAGAAATTGTTGTATGAGCAGTATTTAGCAGTAAAAATGAATGCAAGGAGAAAGAAGCTAGTTATGTAATTAAATGATAGATGCCCCGATCTTTTTTGCACAAATTATCGACTTACTTTTAAACAGCAATCGAACTAATATACGTGCCCTCGTTTTACATAGTTTTTGGAAAAATGGTAACTTATTTTCAGTAAATAATACATTATACATACCGTCTTTTCGTTCGCAAATATAACCGAGTAAAGTACTTTACAGGTTCCCGATGAAATTGAACACACAAAAAATGCATAAACCATGACAATGAAAGGTTGTCGAGAAACAAAACAACACTTTACGATGTTTCATTTAAACTTTATTATTTGTAATGTGCTGCAGCAGTGGGCTGCCGGTGGCCTTCATCAACATGTTCACATCATCCAAACGTCCGCTCTGAAACATGCTCTGAAAGTATTTACGGTATTTCCCGAGCATATTACGAAACTAATCGATTCATTATTGGATTCGTTTGACTTACATATTCACAGATTTTCTTCGTTTTATTATGATAAAATTTGCTACCATGAAACCTTGACACAGTCTAAGGATATTTACAACAACACCTGTCTATAGAGAGAGTTTACTTTAATTTTTGCAGCAATGTGCCATCATAGTGCACAAGGTGAAATATTCAATATTTTACTATGGTGAACAATACTTCACTGACTAAAAGACAGTTAGACGATACAAATAAGTTGCCATGGTTACTTTAAAGATACATTCTTTACCAATTAAACATGGGCAATGTCAACGGTTCATTTCTGACTAGATACTGCAGACGCAATTACATCCCAGAGGTAATTTGCAATGAAATGGTCACTGTGATCTTTCAAATCAAGAGAGAAAGGCCTCACATCTTGAAGTGATGTAACAAATCCTTGCAGTTTGTCATCTCCACTATCATAATCCCATCGAAGACGTGTAATATTGGAATACAAGCTGAATGAGTACTTGGTTTTAGGCAATGCATCTGTAACCTTTTTTTGAATCTGGTACTTTTCCTTACGAATTTCTACACCAACTGACTCTGTTTCTTTAATTGTGTTCTCCAAGCAGTGAAGTTGTGAATTAAGATTTTCTATTTCCTCAACTTTTCTTGCATTTTCTTCTTGCAAACTCGAAATCACCTCTCCATTTTCTATGTTTTGATGGAAGCATTTTGAATTTGATTTTTCCTCTGTATGTAGAAGTGCAAGCAAAGTTTGATGAATTCGTTTCATATTCAAATTTTGTTGATTGGCTACCTCGACATCTTCCTTTATTTCATCTGCTACGCTGAAGAGTGTTTTAGAGTCACCAGCACTGTCAAGCAACTTTGAAGTATCCTTCCAAGCTTGGATAAGCTCTTTAAATTCATCGCACATGATTTGTTGAAAGAAAAAATAACAAGAAAGAGATTTTAATTTTAAAAATATCTCACAAAACTATTTTGAAAATGGCGCCCAAATCGATGTTTCCGCTTTAATGAAAATTGAAATAAATAGCTTCCCACAGAGTGACACACTGATTTTTAGATTTTACATGAGATTTTTAGTCCACTGCGTTAAGGAAAAACCCACTATGAAATAGGTATACAGGCGACGTATTATCACTCAATTACAACAAAACTTTTTCCTAAGTTTACGAACAATTTACGTTCAGTCAATGCGAAAGCAATATGGCCGACGACGAATTAAGAAGACTTCAAAACGATACAGAAATTTTAGTCAAAGATGGCGAGACGGAATTGGCTATAAATAAATACACCAGCTTTATTAAGAGACATGCTGCAGGAAGCGAGTATAATGCAAAAACACTTGCTATGGCATGGAATAACCGCGGTCATTTACGTTATTTAAGTGTAGATTTTCATGGCGCGATTGAAGATTACACCACAGCACTTCAACTAAACCCTCGTTTCGTCGTTTCCTACTATAACCGTGGACAAATTCACTACAGAATGGGTAGATTTGAACAAGCAATCGATGATTTGGAGAGAGCTCTTCAATTGGATCCAACTTTTACGGATGCCTTACTTAATCTTAATCAAGCCAAAAAAGATTTACTAATCAAATTAAGTTACACAGATAACTCCGAAAACTAAATTGGTGGATTTACTAAGGACTGACCTTATTGTAAATTGTCTTGTAGAAAAAATAATATAAATTCAATATATGAACTTTCCAACGAGTCGTAATTTTGTAGTGAATTTTCTCTCACGAGACCCAATCACAGAAGGCCATGTTTAAGATATGTTCATTAACATTTATTAACTATTGCATTTATTACACTCAAAAAGTACTTTCATTGTCTTGAAATGCTGACATTCTCAACAACAGCTAATTGACACTAAAAGGTCCATCATTACTTCTTTTGTGCTTTCTGTGCAGCCTTAGTTACTTTGCCACCAGTGGGTTCTGCTTTTTCAACACCCTTAATAATGCCAACAGCAACAGTTTGCTTCATATCACGCACAGCAAATCTTCCAAGAGGTGGGTACTGGTGGAATGTTTCAACACACATTGGCTTTGATGGTATCATGGTAACAATACCAGCATCACCCTTCTTAAGATGTTTGGGGTTCTCTTCTGTAACCTTGCCAGAACGACGATCAATTTTTTGCTTCAATTCGGCAAACTTGCATGCAATATGAGCAGTATGACAATCTAAAACAGGGCTGTAGCCAGCATGGATTTCACCAGGATGATTCATGATTATAACCTAAAATTTAAGAGAAAAGATTAAAGCTTAAATTCTGTTTTCTCTACATAATTGAGAGTAGTTGTCACATATATCTAACCTGGGCAGTAAAGTTCTTAGCTCCTTTAGGAGGGTCATTCTTGCTATCACCAGCTACCATTCCTCTCTTAATTTCTTTAACTGAAACATTCTTAACATTGAAACCAACATTGTCCCCAGGTAGAGCTTCACTCAAGCTTTCGTGGTGCATTTCAACTGACTTCACCTCTGTTGTCAAATTTGCAGGGGCAAATGTGACGACCATACCAGGTTTCAAAACACCAGTTTCAACACGACCAACAGGAACAGTGCCAATACCTTAAAACAAAAGCACAACACAAATTCAAATTTACAATTTTAATTACTGTTGACCATTTACCGTTGCTGTTTGAAAATGCCAAAAAGCAGAATGAAATCATAACACAAACAGTATAACTGATTTTCACTCTTGCTTGTGAATATCTGCTAAAGATGAAATATGATATAATTTTAAATGAATCAAACTAAGCATCAATCTTCTCAATCTTCAAAAACAAATAGAACAGAAATCTTGTACACATTGTATGGATACTGCATGTTAAACTTTTTAGAGCTGTGAAATAATTGTAAATGGTATACATTCATGATAGTACATGTAGAAGACTTTTCCGATGGACACTTTGGTCATAAAATGAATGATTTTAATTTTCTTGTCTCAAAAATAAATCCACTGAATATTAAAAGGATTACGTACCTCCAATTTTGTAAACATCCTGAAGTGGTAATCGTAAAGGTTTGTCTGTTGGACGTGATGGGGGAAGAATTGAATCTAGTGCTTCAAACAGGGTTTTACCAGAAGCATTTCCCTCCTTGCGTTCAATGGCCCATCCTTTATACCAAGGCATTTTATCACTGGGTTCAAGCATGTTATCACCATGCCAACCAGAAATAGGTACAAAGGCAACAGACTTAGGATTATAGCCAACCTTCTTTAGGTAAGAACCAACTTCTTTTTTGATTTCTTCATAACGTTTCTCACTATATTTAGGCTCTGTACTGTCCATCTTATTCACACCTACAATCATCTGCTTCACACCAAGAGTATAAGCCAACAAAGCATGCTCACGGGTTTGACCATTTGAGGAGATACCAGCTTCAAATTCACCAACACCACTAGCTACGATCAAAACAGCACAATCAGCCTAAATATAAAAAATGTGAACTTCATTTTAAAAGAAAACAAAGAAAAATGTTATAAAGCAAAAAATCATCAATGCCTTATACTTTAGTCAGCAAACCTGTGATGTTCCAGTGATCATGTTCTTTATGAAATCACGATGACCAGGAGCATCAATGACAGTGACATAATACTTGGTAGTTTCAAACTTCCACAATGCAATATCAATGGTGATACCACGTTCACGTTCAGCTTTAAGTTTGTCCAATACCCAGGCATATTTAAAGGAGCCTTTGCCCATCTATGAATGATTCAAATTTTAAGTTGTGAGCATCATAGAACTTCATCTTTAAATAAACATTAACTTAAGTAATTACCTCAGCTGCTTCTTTTTCAAATTTTTCAATAGCTCTTTTGTCAATACCACCACATTTGTAGATCAAGTGACCTGTGGTTGTTGATTTACCAGAGTCCACATGACCAATAACAACAATGTTGATGTGAGTCTTTTCCTTCCCCATTAGTGGAGCTTTAAATTAGTAGATAACTATACCAGTTGAATAATCTACAAATGATATAAGGCAAAGTATTCAGTTTGTTTAACTACTAAATCATATCTTTATATCTGAAATCATTCTTGACTTGCAATTCAGCCATGCTCGTGGTATGATACAAAAGAATATTTTATCAGTGTTATTGTTGGCACCAGCTGATGTGGGCGTGCAACATTGTTTGATAAATCTCAAGAGAATGGTTGCAAGTCAAGAATTGAGCATTTCAGCTACATTCAGACAAGGTTTCCTAGCTCTAGCAAGCAGAAGAGTTTATCAGTTGAATAGATTTCATGATTCAAAACAGCAGGAGCATATAGATTTCGAACCTTGCTCTTAAAACAACAAAATTATTTGTACTCAGAATATCATAACATGGGAACTTTTCAAGAAATAAAAACATCTCTCCTAAGACGAGGGCACAAGATATTTTAAAGATATTGGAACATGAAGAATTTTTCATCATTTAACAAGGACTCCAGGATTGCATGTCACAAATCAAATCTTTTCAAAAATATCTTCTGCTGTAGGAAGTTCAATTTCATGTATGCAAATGATCAAACAACACAGACAGAAATAAGACACGTTAGGTTGATTGAAAAAAATGGACAAGACAAATGCCATTGTTAAGTAAGAAGACATTTTCATAAGCACATGTCGTTAATATTCGCGTCAAAATTCGTTAAATTCGCGTCAAATGTGAAGAATTAAACAAAAACAAAAAATCAACTTTAAGAGAAATGTTAAATTGTTAATAAATGATTTCACACAGTTGCTTGTCCCGATGAAAGTGCGGTTTACATTAAGCAAATTTTACTATAAGTTCAGCAATAAGCGCTTCCCTTATTTCATTGTTATCGAGACACAAATACTACGCTGAAAATTCATAATCACACAAACCAAAAGTAAGAAACACGTTTTGAATCAAACACGAGATATTAAAAGTAATAAAAATCAAAGGCAAGAACACAATGGCTACGTCATGAAACGATACTCAAACACTTATGAATTAACACACGAGAAAGGAGACAAAACAACGGCTTAAAAACTACAAAATGTCTTCATTTTGCTTTAAATATGAGAAAGGTAATACATCAAGAAATATAAATCATATTTCGTTTAGACCAAGGAAGCAATTGAAAACAAAATAGCTTTTATGTAATCCTGTAACAATTTACAAGGCTATCACAACAGTAAATGTTTTTGGTTTAACTCTTGCTTGAAATTAGATTATTTAAGCAAATACGACTTAAATAACACAGGAGGAATGATCCAGCAATCGATTGAAAATTTTAATACAAAATATCAGACGTAAGTTTGGTGAGATTGATTCGGATTTAAAACGAAAAAAAATACCTTCTGCAGCAAGACACAGAGAATCAGAAAGGGTGATCACATGGCCTGCAGCACAATTTATTCAAGGTGTCCATGCCACGTGATGTCATTAGAGAGAATAATTACTACTGACCTTAATATCTTCCTGGATGTAGTCGCTATCGTTAACTCAATCACTGCTGGTCAAATAAAGCAGATTTATCATAAATATCCATATTTACAAAAACTCATTTAAAAATATATGTATGTTTTTCATACATTAGGAAACAGGAATGGTCTTAAAATTCTTTTCGAGATGCACCTAATTGAAGTGAAATGTTCAACACCAAGGCAAGAATCTTGCTGTCATATACTTCTCCATGTACCAGTCAAGATCGGTTCCATACAATCAATTTTTCCTATCTCTTTCAAACGTTCCACGAGATGTTTACGTGAAAATTTCTTTCTATTGTTGATCATTGACAATACTTTCTCAGCCTTCTGGAAGTCATCTTGGTAAATAGGGTTGCGTTGAATGTTATTTCTTTCTTCGTTAGCAATATCCATAAGACCGGCGAGACTATCCCAGTCTACTCCAATGCGTCTGCTAAGCCGATATGTTTCACGCGGGCTTAATCGAGTGTGACGTAATGTTACGTCATCATCAAGAAAGCTTTCGTTAGTGCTTTCGGTAATTCTTTCTGAATCAACATTCTTAAAAAAACACGAAATGTAAGATGAGCTATAAGGTTGTCTATGCTTTATGATAGTTTCAATGATGCACTAAACACGTATTGGATATATACTGGACACAAAAATATATATTAAACTACAAGAAGACAACGAGCTAAGGAAGGGAAGAATATTCAAAAAACAGAGGAAGAGGAAGTTTTGTGTGAAACAAGTTCTTTGCGTATAAATACAGACGATATAATAACGTTGAAAATAACTTGTTTTCAAGTTTAATTTGATTTTCAATTCTTCTAGACTTTATTGCCCGAGAATAATTGTTTCAGCAGATGGGAATAAATTTCTAAACAAAATACCTCTTCTACCTCAAGTGGGATATCATCACGACCCATTTCTTCGAAACATTTCGTCAGCATATTTCGACTAAAATCATGTTGCTCGTTGTAAATAGCAAGTATCTTCTCAGCCTTTTTAAAACTGTCTGGATAGTCACTGTGATTCCGTCGAATTTCGTCTCGTTCATTATATGGGATATCTAAAAGACCACCAAGGCTGTCCCAGTCTACTGCAATTATCTCACTGATTCGAGTGACTTCCCTATGTGTCAAATTCTTTCTTAAAACATCTAGTAAATGAAAAGTAGCAAAATTTTCATCATACTCTTAACAATGAAGATGATTTTAGACTCAAATCTAATCAAATCTGATAAAATGAGACAGCATTTAAAACACATGTCAGTAAGTATTAGAAGTTGGAAAAAACGTTACCTGGTGGATGCGGTTCAACTGGATTTTCTGAAAAAAAGAGTTTGAGTTAAAATGAAACATGAAATTATTCTCATAACTAAGTAAATATCTTTACAATTTCACATTTAGAGACTCTTCTCATGGATAAAAACATAGCGTACCTAAAAGTTCAGGTCCGGGATTTGTGCCGACTTCACAAACGTTTAGTTTCCATATTAACTTCTCACTACCATCATTGGGATTTATTTCACTTATGTTCACATATCCCTTGGCGGGAAAATTCATTACCAGGCCCTTGAAGCAATCAACAACAAAACCACTGCTATCCAGTTGAGACTCATCCATTTTAAAATTTTCAAATGTTTTTTCTCTTCCAGGAAAATCCAAAGATATCTTGTAAGTTCGGCGTGTCTTTACGCGCTTTAACACTCCCCTTTCACCAATATGAAAATTTTCATTGCAATGATCAGCCAACTGGACTATGTCTTTTTCATTTTTCTTGTCCACAAACTCGCTAATGAAGATCACGGAAATATCTAAGGTGTTCATCTCTGGCAAACGTCGATACAGGACGTACGCACGAGCGACGAAAGAACGATTCAAATGACTAAGAGCACAAGCGAGACGTGGGAACTTCACTTGTATGTAACTGTAAAAAGAAAATCCTTCAATATTCATACTAATTTCTCCTTTAAGAATATCAATGTTAACTTCATTCGTTACTAGTCTCCAAACAGTCATCCTCATATCAACGCTATATGAACCGTGAAGTACGAAGGTTTCTTCTTCAACTAGTTTTGTCGTTTTGATTCTGACGCTCAAATTTGCAGGTTTTAAGAACTTCAAACCATTTGGAAGGCATTTTATAACACAGAAAACCTTTTCAACCAGCTTTAAGTCAAGCAAATGTTGAAAAGGTATCGGATTGTTGTCTTTGATCAACTCTATCTTCGTATCCTTCGCTAGACATTCTGTACCAACGTTCAACTCAACATCTTCCAAATTAACAACACCACCATCTGTTGTGATTAATTTTTCCACCCTTTCTAATCTTTTATATGTACCTAGAAAGAAATAAAAATTGATGTTTGTGTTACAAATTACGATTTTAAACTTTTTGCGCTGTAAATTAGGTTAATTCAACTGCTTTGGGTAGCATAAAATCGCAATATTATTTAAATGACGACCAAACTATAGATGCAAAGGTGACTTTGATGCTTCCAACAAACTTCTCATTGATATATTGTAAAATTTGCGAATTCCACAAACATAGAGAAATTCAATACTGGTTGAGATAAATAGAATGAATTTATAAGCCTACTTTCTAACTGTTTTAGCTTCAAACCGTGTTCACCTGTTTTACAGATACGAGAAGATTGCCTTTCGAAAAACTCGTAACCTTTTGGTAAACCTTGGTGAGCTGTTTTTACTCCTTTTTCAGAGCAATCAAAGTTATGATCATCGCTTTCCTACAAAACCACCAAACTTTAAATCGACAAGCACATATATTTTAAAGAAATATGCATTACACTAACCGATGTGGACACGTCATTGTGTTCTCTTTCTTCAATATAACTCACTATGGAATTTTCTTCATGTGTCTTCTTTTGAAATCCACTTCTGGAGCGGAATTCCTGTACATCAATCAAAACATATAGTCAATGTTTTAAAATGGAATTAAATTCGATCACTTCACTTCCATAAGCCTTACCAATGTGGGCGAGTTAAAGTCATTACTGTCTTCAGGATCACTCACACTGGAATCACATTCCGATACGTCTTTCTGGGATCCTCTTCGGGAATTTACTTGAACTTCTTCCTGTACAATCAGACAAATTTATTGTCCATACTTCAAAATGGAACATAAAATGAGAAATACTATACTTTAAATCTTACATGAATTGTGATCGAACATCTATCATTACTAACGTCAAATGTTTCTTCTATATTGTCCAATGCCGAATCTCTATCAGGACCCCCTTTTTCGTAACAGATTGTAACCTTAACATATTTAAAGAAAACACTTATTCAATGGCTAAAAAAAAAGCAAACTTATATAGCTGTCAACTGTAAAGTAAATTTTCGTCTTTTAAAGATAATCGAGTGCCAACCAACTTTCTATTTTTTGATCATGTGATCATTGAGTAATAGGTTTTAGACGTAGAAATATACCGCTGCCTTACGGGTTAAAATTTTGAAGTAAAACTGAATAACTCGACACAAATCTTAGAAAAACAGAAGAAAATTTTGAAAAAATAAGGTGACTACAAATGTGAAATATCACAAATTGAGCGTATTCAACTTACTTGTGAACGCAATTTACGCAATTTGTTCCGTTTGTTGACAAACCAGATGAAAACTATAATCACCAATACGATAACCACAGCAGGCGCAGCAACTCCAACGATCAAAGGCAGATTTGACTCATCTTGTTTCAATTTACCTGCTTTAGTAAAGTACATATCGTATATTTATCAGAAAATAAGTCTAGATCAATGTCGTAGCAAGCTCACATAATTAGTCCTGCTTATTGAATTATACTTCTTATATACATCTCTAATGTTCCTGTTATGTCCATTTTTCTCTTACCCAATTACAGTGAAAACTGATAGTAAAGAAATGAAAAATACTGTTTTGAAATTACTAAGACTAGGCCATGCAAACATTTATGTATTTAGCTTTACCAATGTTATAATGTTAAATAAAGAAATTAAATACTATCACTTACCAGTTGGAATCGCCGCTATGACAACAATATCATGAAATACAACCTTCCCTGTCAGATCTGTAAATCACCACACAAGGATTCGTTAAAATTCATTACGCATACGGATATTGTATTGAAATGCAGTAGCTAAACATAAGCTTAATAGTAAGAATATAAATATGAACAAAATGGTAAACTAATCATGGCTGCCGCATAAGACATAAAAAGCATGCGAGGAAGAAAATTTGTTTCATTTTACGGTCGATAATATTTTTTACAGGACATATGAACACATTTGAAGCAGGAGAATAAACCAAAATATATAACATAAAAATTTCTTTGTACTATCTAGCAATCACAGCTAAATTAAAAAAAATTACAGTACCTGTATTTGGTGTGGAAGAAGGAAAATTTATCAAAGCAAACGTGGAATTTCTGCCGACTCTTGGGGGGACTGCAATTATTAAAAGTTTATTTATTCTTTATAATGAAATAGCTATAAGAAATGTTATTTTTTTGACTTTTTAGGAAAAAACATCACCAATGACTTCATACAATGTCAAAATGTATTTCACATCAAAAATCGAATGTTAATTTAACCCAACTGTCCCACCATCAACTGATTCTTTAAGTCATCACATTTCAACATTTTAACGTAAAATTAACAATACAAATACAAAGAAACAAAATGTTCAAAATGTTGCTTGCTTTCCAATGTTCGTAAGAATCTTACCAGAACATATAGACAACAACATTAATTTTTAAACACGACAAGAAGAGAATGTTTATCCTACCTTCGGCGGCCGTTCGACTTGTAGTTGTAGATAAAATTGTATTTGTTGGATTCACTGCCGTTTTGGTGGCTGCAAATTTTTTTATAATATTTAATCATCACAACACACTATCATTATAAAGACATATCATCATAATCATGTGAATATGTAAAGATCACTAAATCATAA